GTGGTCGGCATCTTAACCTTTTCCTTTATGACAGACTCATTTAGAGGCCTTTCATCTGCTCATAGTGGTGTCGCATTTATTCTTTACTGCATGTGTTTTGCTTCGTTCTATGTCGGTGTCTGTTTCATGATTCAATATGAAGTTAAATAGAGGTTCTCTAAAGGGAGGAGGAACATGTAAAACTTGATTCCAGCTTAGTCATTTGTCATACTTTACCATCTACTGATTGCATTAAAATTACTGCTCTGATTGGGGCTTAATTTTTATACATTTTACTCTAATGGGATATCTTTTGAACGTGGTGATGTTAAGCTGTGTTTGCATGTGTGTGTGATCACATCTGACACTCTGAGATTCATCGTATTGCAGATGTGTAACCTGTTCACTTTCGGTGGTCCGAGATTGTAAAGGGGTAATAGTTGAATTCCCCTTTATCATCTTTGTCTCAATCAACATGACCTTTCTTTAAATGTTATGAGGACATGGGACCAAAGCAATTTTCATTGTGAGCCACTACTAAGTGACTGTCTTTTTTCCCTCTGAAACAGATCATCCTCAAATAACCACCAGGAGCAGAAGTCAGTGCCGTGTGGCTGCTGTTAAAGACCCCAAACAGCTGCTCTGTAAATACTCTGTTAACTCCACACACAAGCTACAGCAAGCTGCATGCTAATAACACCCCTATGACATGACTTTGATCCTCATAACCAGTATCATAGCTCCAGTACTAGGATTTTACTGTTTTAGAGACGTGTGCCGGGAGGTAATTGTATGTATGCGCCTTTGCACCTGCATTAACATGCATCCGGTTTATATTTCCTGTCAGCTCAAATCCAGTTTGTCTGCTGTTCACATAAAGGTGCCTCATATTCTGTATAAAACTAACTATTCTGATCAAATTCAATGAGGAAACACAAGAAAATATAGTTAAAGAGACAGCAGTGCAGATACATGTTTATCACCTGAATGTGAATTGTGTAAATGCAAAGAGAGACAGAGTTAGCATCACAGATTTAATGTAGACATGTTAATAACGGGTGTAAAGGGGTCCAACATCCAAAAGAGTTTAATGGTGTCATCATAATACTAAGCAGCAAAATACTTTTTTTGTGTTTGAATGTGTTTAGTCGACTTGGAGAACATTAATTCTTCACGTTATTGATTGTTTAACTAGTGCCGCATTTCATTATTTTGAACAAGCTAATATAAAGCACTTATAACTTCAAAAAAACAACATCAATCTCTAATGAAACCTCTTAGAAAACATTCTGAGGAAAGCTCGTAGTGGCTGCTCATCTCCAGAAAACAGAATCAGTGCTCCACCTCCTGGTGTGCCTTTGCATTGCATATACAAAAACGACTGTAAGATCCATTTGCTGCAGACTTTTTCTTCAATGATAAAAACAGCTCCATTTCCCCTTTTATTTGGAAAACATCATATTTGGATTATCAGGAAAAATGATGGTCAACTCAAAGTATGTGTAAGAAAAAGTCTACACCTCTGAGGCAGCTCCAACAAAGACAGAGTTTAAGTTTGACTTTGGCGAAGTATAAACAGGTAGGCTGGCCTAGGACAAAGATCGAAATTTATCTGTTTTAAATTGTCAACTTTTAATAATAACTGTTGGAGTCACTCGCTGATATGATGCCTTCTTGACACTAACAAATTCAGCTGGAAAATTCAGCCAAGAGTGACACAATACAAACGAACAGTGGTCTAAATTTCCCAACAGTGTTTGCGGATCTTTTATAAAACTAGCATTTTGACTGAAATAAGAGCTAAATTAACCTTCGTGAAAGTTCCCCCCTCGTTCAACTTAAAGTTTTTAAACTATACTTTCTAAAACCCTGTAAGGGTTGTGTAGTGTGCAAACTGTTAGTCTTAATGTTACAGTCAGATGTCAGTACTGTATTATTTGAATGTTACTAGTGCCTAAAGAATTGTGAGGATGAGGATATTGTGCATATTGAAAAGGCTCTGTGTGAAAAGTACATTTATGTCACATTTAGAAAGAAAAGTTTTGCACTGCTGTGAGTGCAATTGTGTACACATGTTCAAATTTAGTTAATTTCCACTGATATTTGAGTTTTTATCAACATATAATAATAACCATTCTTTTCTCTTAAGATGTAGTGTATAACAATATTTCCTTACTACTTTTACGCACAGTTAAACACAATGTAGAAAAGTAGAGTTAAAGCAGGTAGGGTAGTTGTGTATGGATGATACAACTTTATGCAAATACTTAAACTGACAGCAGACAGAGTGGGTGTTGTGTCGTGAAAACAGAACTTCTATAGAAAAGTTTTCACACATACTTTATGTAACGCTGATGAGAATTGGTTTTAGTTCCACTTTTGCGCTCAGCTGTTCCACAAATCATTCTTGTGTCTTCTCAAGTTACTGATGAGTCTTTCCTTTAATGAAAATGTGTGAGTACACTTGTGTGTGATTAACAAAGACAATCCACCAAGAGGTTTTCATTCGTTCACAGTTGTGTTGATTCTAAGTTTTACACATTATTAAATGGATTATAAGGAGTATACTTATAGTAGTTTAACACTTTTAAAATGTATCTTCTTCTATTTTATGATGAATGTAATTTATTAAACTGACTTTAGCTCTGCTCGAGGTTCCTCAAAGGGCCTCCGTCTGTTGTATTAGCCTACAAAAAGCCGTCTTGTGTCCAGGGATCAAATGTTTTAGCTAAAAGAGACTAAAAACATTTCATCCCTGTCACTGCCTTGTCACCTGTAAGGGACAACCTACCTTTGTATGAGCAAGGCCATAGAGAAAAACTGCATTTTATGTACAAAAAGTGCATTGTACAGGCCACATTAAGTGTAACTTTCCAGATAGTGTAATAATAGTTTGTCATTTAACTGTTTGGATGTGTTGCTGAGGCAATCTGAAGTTGCAGTGGTCAATTACTGTATTTTTGTAGGTGATAAAATTGTTTTCTTCTTCTCACAATTACACATTAGATTGTGTTGTCAGATTTGATTATGCCATGGTGAAACACTGTAAGTGATTCAGCACATAAAAAGTATATTTTAAAATGTGTGACTTGTTTTCTACTGCATGTTAACAACACCTTGCAGCAAAAATACAACCCAGTGGCAGTTTAGACCTTAATTTTCTTTGCAGATTCCAAATTTTAGGTTGTTATTACTGTGTATATAAATGTGAAAGATTCTCCCCTTATTTATTTTACCGGCGAACAAAAAGGCATATAACCGAATGTTTGTTCCACCTTTTGGCAAAAAGCTTGAATGTCGTGGTAAGACCCGCACATGGAGGTTTGTTTGAGATTTGGTCACACAGTCATAAAGACAGTAAGAATGTTTGGTCTGACTGACTGATGGAAACATTTCACCGAAGCACTTTCTCCACGGTCAGATGACTGAGAAGACATGCTTTTTGTGAACTTTGCCTTATCTTTGATCTATTCCTGAGTTTGTATTTGTTAAGTGATTATGAATTCCATATTGTCTAATAAATAAAATACATTTCACCAATCTCTCTTGTGTGCTTTTACTGCTGCCATACTTTTGTTTTTCTTGAGGCAAAGCTGACGAGGAGTTATAATAAATTCAAGCACAGATGACAGCACTGTTAAGTTTGCTTATCTCCCAGTTAGATCTCATCTTTTTGGATGCTAATGAAATTGACTGAAACTCATGGTGCTGCCTTGTAATATGAAAAATCTCAACTCAACTTTATTTGTGAAGCACTTTAAAACAACCACAGTTGAACAAAGTGCTGTACATAAATAGTACAAATGACGCAGACATAAAAACAATCAAAAAACAATTAAAACAATGGATAAAATAAAAGCAGATATTAAAAAGTAAAATATAGTTTCAATGTTTTTAAAAACTGATTTAAAAACATACAAACAAATAACTAAAACAAACTATAAAACACTAAAACAGGAGCCTCATGCAGGGTTGAAAGCCAATGAATAAAAATGGGTTTTAAGACGAGTTTTATAAATGGACAGTGTGGGGGCTTGTCTGATGAGGTGTAGCTTGTTCCATAATTTTGGGGCCGCATCAGAAAAAGATCTATCCCCTCTGAGCTTCAGTTTGGACCTCGGTACCTCCAACAGCAGCTGATCAGCTGACCTGAGCACCGAGCACGGGTGTAGGGATGGAGAAGCTCAGAGAGGTAAGATCCAACAATAATTAATATACTAATTTTTATTGCCTGAAATCTGTGTGAGGGGGTAGGTCCATACCAAGGACCTGTGGAAACAGCCCTGGTTTTATCATTTTCATCTAAAATATTCACAGTGACTGCCAAAAATCAGCAGGAGGAGATTTGTTCGCATAAATCACATAAATCACGACAGGAGAAGCTAAACTGAAAGAAAGTGGGAGCTTTAATATTTCAAATGATTAAACATTAGGTAAAGGCCTTGTTAACCTCTATTGTTTGTGTTCATGACCTTGATTTTTTGTCATTTTCAGATTCTTAACCAAGTACCATATATATATAAACATATTTATTTATATATCTTGAATAAAGTAATCTTTGTTTGGTTGTATGGATTTTTTTTATACAATACAATTTTTGATAGACCTAATATTGTGTTTAAAATGACAACATATCTGTTTTTGCTCGCACCATAGAGATCAAAACTCAATTTGATTAAGCTGCTTTCATACTACATCCTTAAATTTGGACGCCGGCAATAAAATGCTGCGTTACCATAGCAACAGCATCCGTAGCATTTTTTCCTCCTCTTGGATACACATCCCCGAGCCGGCCCTCTGATTGGACGAGCTCTCTTTGCATGTCACTGGGGCAACCGAATGATGGGAATTTTAACACATGAACGGAAATGTAGACCGCTGAATCTGACTGGCTCCCTCCCCTCCGCGAGGCTCCCATTCAAGGCTCGAGAGAGCGATGGCCGCCGTTGGTCCACGCGCACATCCGTCAGAGTAGGGAGGAGGATCCGTACGATCCCCCCCCCCCCCCCGCCTCGGTAGGTACGGGAGCCGAGTGGGGACCAGCTGGTTACGCAGCGGCCGCGGGTCTCCACCCGAGAGTATGGCGGCTGGGATTTCACCGGAGAACGAGGGAGAAGCGGAGACATGCGAGCGATGGTGAAAAAGAAACAAAGGGACGCGAGTTCGTTCATGAAGGGTCGTGTTAGTTTGAGTGTGTGTGTTTCACCGAGGCGGACCCGTGCTTGAGAAATTGCGCGTGCAGTCAAGTCTAGGGGCTAACCCAGCGATTTTCCAGTGTCCTCGATGGAGCAAGTTTGTTTTTTTTTCATGATGCATAGAGAGGGGTGAGCTAAGCAGATGAAACGGACCACATCGTCGGGTGATATTTTCCTCATCTGCTCTTCTTCTTGAGCACATTTTGGACTGTTGCAGCCCCTTTGGATGTCCGTATAGCTGTCAGGGTCTGGCCTGCATGGGGGAATTTCTACGATGAAATCCATCTTGGGGCAGCGAGTCTTTGTGCTCTGCCATAGCTGAGCAGCGGTGAGCAGGACCGTGTTATTGACAACCCGTTCAAAATGGGACACGGATGGTGAATGTGTTTCGTGCACGGAACGATCTGAGTTCATTTCAATGACGCGCGGAGACTGAAACCCCCTTACGACTTGATTTAATCCACGATGCGCGAGTATAAAGTGGTGGTCCTGGGCAGCGGTGGGGTCGGGAAATCCGCCCTCACTGTGCAGTTCGTCACCGGGACGTTCATTGAGAAGTACGACCCCACTATAGAGGATTTTTACCGCAAGGAGATCGAGGTGGACTCCTCGCCCTCGGTGCTGGAGATCCTAGACACCGCTGGTACCGAACAGTTCGCCTCCATGCGGGACCTTTACATCAAAAACGGACAAGGATTCATTCTAGTCTACAGCCTGGTCAACCAGCAAAGCTTCCAGGACATAAAGCCGATGAGGGATCAGATCATTAGAGTGAAAAGGTTTGTGAAAAGATGTATAGACAAAGAATCATGTCCATATGTCAAGTGTGGATGTTGGAGATGGGTCCTCACTCATGTAGAGCTGGCCTAACAGGCCCTGTAGTTTCAGGATGGGCTCAGGCCTGGTCTGAGAACCCTGCTTGAATGGAGGTCTGCATCTTCAGGGCACACTACATCATAACATGCCTGTTCTATTTTGGTGGACCAGTTCTCACCCACAATCCCTGTAGGAAGGCAAATGCCCTTGCACCGCAGTCCCAGCAGCTCTAAAAATAATTACACAACAGTTTTACAACCAAGTGATGTGATTGGACCAAAGACATGCCATTATTGCTCATAAGGAGTCTGACAGGGACCTGTAACATCAAGTATTACTCAGCCTCAGGTGTCTTTAATACCTGAATAACATTACAGCAGAGAGTCTATCTCACTCATTACTAAAACAGCTGCCAGCAGACTCATATCAGAGACATGCAGGTACTAAGCAGCTGACATAGAGACACACAAAGTTGCAAGAGTGCAGTAACAATATTTTAGTAGCTTGACAACATCAACTGTACTCAGTAGGTTTGTGCAAAAAGTTGTCAGTGGAGTTGAACAAATAAAATAATGTGTTGTTTTTCAATACTGTCAAGCATGCTGCTTCATAAAAAAGCAATATCACACTTCAGGTTGTACTGTTACACTGAATCTGATTGGATAGGAGGCGTTCTACGAGTGCTGATATAGAGTATGACAGCACTGGGACTATAAACCATTTGCACCACTGTGTCTCGGGGTTTCTGAACACCATTAATGAAAACACCTAGTGTGATAATGTTTTAACACGGTGAAGACCTCTCCTCAGTGTTCCCGCAGAGCTCATGTATCATTACCAACAGGCACCAGTGCCAATCGATCAGTCAATCTCCAGTCATAACATCACTCCACTCCAGTCATAACTGCTCTCTCTTATCTGCCAAGCTGCTGTTTTGTAGCGCTGAGTGTCCACAGTGCCAGATAGTGCGAGCCCTGTGAAACAGCCATTCAGGGATATACCCGTCATGTAGTCCAAACAGAGCCTCTGCTGCAGAGAGCATCAAGGAAAGCGAAACTCAAAACACAACTATAGCATTAATTTGGCTTCTACAGTGGCGGAGATGAAGCCGTGTTTTTAATTAACAAGCTGCGAAAGCTCTTTAGAAAGCACGGCACAATGTAATGTCTGAGCGCAGTAACACAGATGATCCAGATATGAGGTCACCAGAGTGAGCTGCTGATTGATACAGGGAAGGGGTTAGCTGAGGCTGTGAGCTCGGCCTGTGGTGTGATTGGTGTTTCTTAGCTCTGTACAGTGAGGACTCACAGTGCTGCACATTCCCTCGGTGATACAGCAGCATCATGTTTTCAAACCCAGACTCTGTTGTAGTAGATGCTGCAGGTTAAATCATTGATGATAGTCGCGTGGATATGATAGCTGGGTCTGTGTGTGTGCTCTGTGGGTAGATGTCAGCGGATGTGTCCAGCGTGCTCCAGAGAGACATGGCTCTCTAAATAAAGAAGCAGATAAAGCAGTACAGCTAGAAGCTCTCATCATTTACTGACATAGTAAATGATTTGGATATCGCACGCAGTGAGGGTGGCACAGTCATGTCATGTTTGAAAGTCGTGTTCCTTCCTACCTCTGTTTTGCCTATTTCTGTCACTCTCTCTAACCTAAAAATGACATAAAAACATCCTTGAGGTGTCAATTTTTGTCACTTGCTTTTGTTTTTGTCACCTAATTGGATTTTTCCCTCCTCAAGTGCACCTTATAAAGAATCCTATAAATCTGTGGTGCTGGATGAAAGAATGAGGTCAACATGATTCCCCCCATAAGAGTGGAGAATAGGAAGAGACTGCTCCGTCTACACTTTGTGTCTGTGCGTGCGTGTGTGTGTGTTTACATGTAAATGTATACAGTAGGCTACATTGTGCTGGGCTGTCATAATTTCACACTAAGGCCTGGTTCTGTTCTCTGTCAGAGCAGACTCAAAGTTGCTTAGTAAAAACATCGCACTTAACATGCCTCAGCTACACCATGGTCAGTATCAGAGTGATGTGCACCATGCAGACTAAGACAAAGGACTCTGTTTCAAACTGAATGAAAATGTGAGGTTATGTGTGTCTTACTGTGAGTCAAATCCTTTTAGAAGTTCCTCTTTAATAGAGGATTTTCTGAACAGGTGTATTTATGTCTGGAGGAAATATTAAAAAGAGATGAAGAATCAAGGTATTACTTTATAGTCTCATAACACCAAACATGTCATGAAACATTATGTTTTATATCTGAGATAGGCTTCTGTACTTGTTAAAGCTGTCTGTATGCAGCTTTTTCATTAGTTTTTTAATAATTGAAAGCTTGTGTTTACAGCTGGGAGACTTATTATCCTGAGAGGCCGTGTAAAATACTTTATATAGTTAACTCAATACAAACTTCTATGGCTATACAAATAAAGGGCCACATTTGCTATTGCAGCAGATGTGTTTTTGATGGAATATGAAAACATAAATACCTGGAAGCTAAGAATGAACTATAGGACAAACAAGCTCCTATACATTATGTAAAAAAAACAAGAACTGGAAATAATTTTTAACATATTTGACAACCCCTAAATTTGAAGTTATTAGCTGCTGTTGCTGGAGATGAAAATGTTAAGAGATTTATTACTATTTATGATGTTCTTTCTTCTGCTTCTTTAACAAGCTGGTTAAAGCTACTGTGAGGAGTGTTTAGCCAGTTCCAAAACAGATTGATATCTAGTCTGATGGCTCTATATGACCTACAAGAGCAAGCAAACAAAGTTGATTGTTTCAATGTAAGTATTTTTGTTGTCAAAAACTGCTGGCAGGGGGTCGGTGTCCAACGGACTGATATCATGCAAGCTACTAAAACAGCCTTTTTTAATTTGTAATGCAAAGATTTGTGATGAATGTTTAAACTTGCCAGGGTAATATTGTATTTTAGAAAATATATGTGCAGGCTGATATCAGCAAAGCTAGAGGAGGTACCTCTTTGTCCTAAGGGGGCGCCAGAATCAACAAATTTCAAAAGTTCCTCACAGGAGCTTTAGCAAACTAGCTATGTAAATATGTATACACGACTCACCGTAATGTATCATCAGCTGATCGGAATATAAGCAACAAAATAATGTCATTCCTTTTATAGATCAGATCACATAGTTGTTTTAAAGTTTTTGAACTGTTTACATCTGGTCAGCCTTGTAAATGTTGCCATGGATACCTAAAATTAAAAGTAAGAAATACACTCTCACATATACAGTGATATATGAACAATTTTACGGGGTTGATATTTGAATTACTAAACTGTAAAGACAGGTTAACTCTTTGATCTCATAATTTTCCATAGTTACACTGTAAAGAGTCAGTTCTGTTCTGTACTGTCCAACAGCTCATAACGTGTTTTTAAGATAGCCTATATTTTTTTGTTAATATCTTGTTCACTGTCTGAAAAAACAGCCCACTACACTCTACTTCAGCCTTCACAAAACCCACTCCTGAAATGTAACGAGTTCAGGCATGTTCTGTGAGGCTTGTTGAACTGTATCCTGGGAAATGTAGGAAAGCAGAGGATTCAATTGGACACGACGAGACAGTCTGAGACATCAAAGGAAAAGAGACATCAAACGAAAAGACATCAAAAATGGCCGACCGTTGCTCCATCACAGACTGATTAAAGAAAATCAAAACATTAGAAACAGAGAGGGCTTTTCTCCAGCTGATTAGGTGTGTGATCAATTCTGTGACTGACAGTGAAGGAGTCAGTTACCAGTTTGATCTATTAATCATTCCACTCATCCGCCCAGCAGGTGGTAAAAAAACACACCATCAGTTTTTTAGGTATCAGCCTTTCAAATGAGAGGTGGACATTTGAAAACCAAACCTAGACCTCCTGGAACTGTGATGTTTCACTTTTTACATGTATTTTGGCGACAAAAAATATTAGATTTATTAAAACTGATGGCATTCATAATCATATGAATATTCCTTTAACATCCATAAAAAGGGATTGTAGTCGAACTTAAAACAAAAATTACACAGACTCTGCGAAAGAGTTTGTTTTCAGCCCCTACAAGAGTTACAGTTTTCAAAATAACCAAGTTTTTAAAGTGTAATTCTGTCACACTTGGACTTCACACTGTTACTGTACATTACACCTTGTCGCTGTTTGTCCTGCCTGTTTGTCCCCCTTGCTGTCAGAACAGCAGTGACCCGTCATGGCCGTATCAGCCTCGGCTTGGGTCAGGGGTGCTGCTTTATGTCGCTCTCCCTCTGAACCCTGTCAGCATCCATCAGTGCCTGCTGTTAATGTCTCCGACAAGTCTTGGACAGAGGCTGCTGGGTGCATGTGATTACACTTCGGTCCATCTGTGTTCACTAAGGATCCTATCACTCCTCCCTTCTTCTTCCACAACTTCTCACTTTTACTCCGGGCATGAATTATGAATGCTGACTGAGCACTGAGAGAAGTGAGTACGAAGTAAAAGAGAGTACCACCTTACACTGTATCTGCGGTCTATCTGAAATTGTTCAACTATCCAGCTACGTCTTTCAACTCCAGGCAGCACGGTGCAGCTTCTAGCTCTGTTGTGTCACAAGAAACAAAAAGGCTCATAGTTTAATTCTTTCAGCCGACAGAGGTCTTTGTCTGTCGAGTTCACATGTTCTGCCAAAACCTCTTGCCTGCACCTGGCTCTCACCCACAGTCCAAAGACACGCCTGTTAAGTTAATTAATGACTCACTGGCCATTAGATATGAAAGTGAGTGTAGACAGTTGTCTGTCTCAATGTGCCAGCCTGTGATTGACCGGGGACCTCTTTAAGGTTTACTCCACCAGCTGGGCAGTAAAAACAAAGAGCTACCACTAAACAGGAAATAGGTTAAGGATATTTCAGGTTGTTGGAATTGATCTCCACTAGTTATTTGTCTTATCAGAGAGGTTTGGTGCGTTCGAGTTACCTCGGAAGTCAGAAGTCCAAGCGGAAACAAGATGGCTACATCTACGAAAGTTATTTTAGCACTTGCCTCGTCTGAATATAAAGGAAGCACTAAAATAACTTTCGTATAGCCGTCTTGTTTTAAGCCACTGATTTAGCTTTTTTTCTGACTTGGTAACTGAAACACTGGGAACTCAGGTGCGACATCATTTTCAGCTCCGATTTCTGACTGCTGAGGTAACTCGAACGCAGCATATGTTATGATATTCGGTTGTTGCATTTGAATTCTTAGATATTGTCTTACGTTTTTTTCACCTTGGATTGGTGTAAGAAAAATAGTATATCAAGCTGTAATATTGCCATTCTCTTTTGCTACTTTTAACACACAACTGCAACACATATTGTATAATTTAATGTCTGATGTCAAAGAAGATATGAACAGTAAACAAATGCTTTTTGTGTCTTTGTGTGCACAAGTATTGCATGTGCTACTCCAGTGGAAAAAAGGTTAAAAAAAATAATGGTCTGGGTCCACCCCGGTGACCCAACATTTTTCTCACCTCTTGTTGATCATTATATGTGTTTGTTATCAGCATGCTGGCTCTGTAGTAGTAAAAAAATAAGCGTGCTTTTCTAATCAATTAAACTAGCGTGCTCTTACATACACTAGATGCTAAAAAAAACTGTATCACAAAATGACAAAGTCTCATTCTGCTTGTGTCCAAATGCCACCGAACCATGCCCATTACAGACTGTGGCAGACCTTAAGACGGTTGCCATGGTAATCACAGAGACAACACAACAACAAGTAATAATTGAAAGAGTCAAGGAAGTGCTTTATGGTTAGTTTATGAACCAAATGTGCCGTGAGAGTTGATTTCAATATTCCACAAAACTCCCCTTCGAGTCAAAGCAGTCGGCGTATAATAGGCTCAGTTTTCTATAAGCTAATTAAGCGATGTCAGCTATTCACGCTAGAGTATTCTGTCTATCATTAGGTATTAACAACAAACCCTTAAAACCCTTTGAAAGTCTTATTTGAATTCCAAAGCTGTGCGTGGAGATTTGTCTGACATTAGGAGGGTCTGTCTTGATGCTGTAGAATCCAATGATGTTCCCTGTGAGAAGAAGTTATGTTGTGGTTTTTGTGAATGAGTCCCTGAAGTACTCCTCTCTTTTTACTGCTTTGTGAAACAGCAGTGTGAGATGCATTGGCCTGATTCAAGATTCAGATTTTATTTCTTGTATTGTGTTAAATCAGAAAAAGAATTTGTCTCAGATGTGACAAAAACCCGAAGGAGCGACTAGTGTGCTGTGTTATAGCTGTAAAATTTCAGACCCAAGGATGGATTTCTTGTTCATTCTGTGAAGCAGGATAGCCCTTTATCTTTCCATTTGAGACATCTTGGCCTGTGTCTCCATCATCTGTGAAAAGCATCAGATTCTTAGAGAAGATAATTGCTTTTCAAAACCTTGAGGGAATCCAAGAGGAACCTGAAGTGGTTTTTCTGATATTGTGTTTTTATCTTTGATTCTTTTGAAAAGCTAGAAGTCTACTCTTGTTTGTCGTGGCCTGTTTACTGAGGACTCTCTAGATATCTATTCCTGATTAAATCTTTCTTTGCCCTGAATGATGCTGCGCCAGAAGAGAGGAGCTTATTGCTGCTCTCTGACTCAGCTGATTCCTCTCCTCTGACTAAACCACAGACCCCCAACAAAAGGACCGCTGGGAGGAGGCCCAGCATGCTGCCTGTTTCCTCCTTCATCCTGACGGCGTTGGCCAGAGTCAAATATGGATGCTCTTGGGCCACCGTCCGTCAACAAGGCCTGTGTGAGTTGATGCATCATGCATTATAGATAAGGGTTGTCTGGCCGAGCTCAGATGGGTGTTTGCAGTCAGAGTGCTCCAGTGGGGGCGCTGTCAAAACCACAAGCTGAAGGCTACAGTATGACTTGCTGTTTGAGCTGTTTTTGCACAGACACAAGCAGACTCATTTATTCTGTTGACTTTTGAGGCTCGTGACTAAACCCTGTGAACTACTCTTGTTTCCTTTAATCGTCCACTGTGGGTTCAGACACAGTTTGGCCCACACCCTTCATGCTGAGGCTTGGGGAGCCTCGATATCTGAGGCAGCTTCTGTCTCACACCTCCTGGGAATGCCGGTTTCCTCCTCTGTTATTACGACTATATATAGACCTGGTCCTTTGGTACCAGATGTCTTTGTGCTGCACTTGTGTTACAATGAGTCCCCAAATGAGCAACATTGCTCGCTGTTAAGCACTCCATTATGGATATAAAACAGAGCACAGTGGGGTGTTTGATATGGGGTCATTGAGCAGGCTTTTCTTAGATTTCTCTTCTTGTTTGAAACATCAAACAGAAGTGTTGTCAAATCATCTTGCTGTCTTTCTTCCATTCCTGATGTTTCACTGCAGACAGCTACTGCAAGAGCAGCTTTGAAAAGCATCTGTGGATTGAAAACTGTTTCTCCTGAAGTATCCTGTTGTTAGCGCTCCAAAGAATTTTGATACTGATCACAGTAGTCGACCTTATTCCCACAGCAGTCATCTTATTGTGGCGTCCTGCTCATGGACGCTTAGGAGGCTCAAACCTTATCATGTCTTATTAATATAGTCTAGGTAGTAAATTGTATAAAGGTTGGTCATGTGAAAAATATTAAACATTTCATAGCTCCACTGTGAATGAGCAGCAACCCAGACAAAGATAGTGAAATCAGGAGAGAGATTTGGTCATATTTTGCAAGCTAACATTAGAACACAGCTAACACTAGCATTCAGCTATGACTATAACGTTCTGATTGATTATCTTACAGATAGCTGAATACTTTGAAAAAACTAGTATATTTATTGGATTCTATTTCCACATCAGCACAACAAGATGTTGTTAAGTATTGTATAGAGGTCTTAGTAATGTGAGCCCCAATCCAGTTGCTATATTTTTGTGATCCTTTTTTTCCTGAATTTTGGCAAATTAAGCTGTCATTTATTTGTTTGTTTGAAGGCAATTTCTGGTGCACAAGTGAGTAATTTCTTGTACTGCTATTGGACTGAGCCTTTTATCTGTGACGATGACTACTGGTGTTTCGGTTTCAGGGGTAACCCTGTTAATTGTGGACTTTGAGTAAAATGCTTAGGTGTTTGTCATAGTAACAGGCTAAAACTTTCCAGTAACAAAGTTAGGGTCATGTTACCAACTGCACTGACTTACAATACATTAACATTGTACTGTTGGCTTGCTAATAAGATATTAAAGTAGAAACCAAAATAAAAATCATACCTATGATATCTAATTGATTTTGAAATATAATCGTTATCTAGGAACTGGCCGAATGCTTTTGTTTGTGAAGCTTTGGTGTAAGCTAACAGGTTGTGGTTATGGCCTGATCAATCTTGAAAATTCCACTATCATCTGACTTTGTGGCTAGTCATCAGTTGGATGTGGTGAAATCAAATTATTGAGGTTATGTGACTTACGACCCTGCAACACAGAAGTAAGGCATGATAACAATTTTCAAGCTCCCCACCCTGAGTTTGAGGTCTCAGGATCATGGTCTATTACTGTTAAGTCAGATGAGTTTTGACCACCACTTCTCACACTAAAGATCCCATGTTATAATATTTTAGCTCTTCACAATATGACCTGGTTGTCTTTGAAGCAAGGTTTTGGTGTTAGTTCATTTATGCCCATGTAAATCACTCCTACTGTGACATCAATACAGGAGCTACTTCATATCACCTTTTAGAAGTCGTGTTTTCTCAGTTTGTGCGCCACAGCAATGATGACATACATTTGAAATATTCCTTATTTAGAGATCTTGGTTCATAAAGAGAGCTCCAGACATGCATCATAAGATATATTTTTTATATCTGGGCTAGAAATGTCAGAGATGGTATGAACCTGTGATAGTTAAAAAATATAAGCGTAGTAAAGCTTGTTCTTTTCAGGCCACCTTGAGACATTTACAGCAGCAGCAGCTTTTCAGCTACAGCCACAGCCTGAGGCGGAATAGGGACATCCAAATTGGACCATTATCCCAAACTAAACACTAAGCCCCCCTTGGCTTCTTCTAAATGAGTGCTGCTATAAAAAATAAAGGTTCTTGCCTTTCAATCTGTTTAACCACAGCTATGTTTAGGATGTTTCTGTGAAGGTGGGAAGGGAAATTTAAGGTTCATGCCCACCACCACTGCAAAGTGGTCCAAAACTGTTCTCAGGAAAATAATGGCCTTGCTTTTTTTTATTGACTCAAGGAATGCGGCAACTAGACCTTGGCACAGATCTCTTAATTTTAGCAGTCGTAGTTTCTCATTCAGTTGAAGAGCACTAGCACACTCTTAGGCCGTCAGACCTCGAAAATTGTTTCCTAAATCTTGGTAGTTCTTTCCAGCTGATGAGCTGATCCTGGGAACAGAGCAGGATAGCTGAGATTAAAGTTTGCCCAAGATAATGTATTCAGAAAGTAGATCAAAGTCTGCTCTGTATTCCTCGGCAAGTTTAAGCTTATTCAACACTGAAACTTGTATCAACTGGCCTCTTAATTAAAAAAAAAAAAAATCACAGCTGCTCTTTCTGTAGGCCCCACATCACTCCAGCATCAGCAATATATCTGTTAATATCTGTTGCCATAGCAATGAAGGATGAGGATCATCCTTGTAGTATCAATAATTTAGAATCATGTATTTTTTATCGCACTGGGCCAGTACTGAAAATCCTAATAATGCTGACGGGTTTTCAGGGGCATGACTTGGGTTGGATGTGATGATGCTGCTCAGTGTCATGAACTTAGATTCTGTTTGAACTGTGTTCAAATGGTGGGTCCAACAGATGGATACAAATACAGATCAAAGAAAACACTATCTGTTTAAAAGGATATGAATACTCATGGTCTGATGTCCCTTTGGTGTTTCTGATCTTTGTAAAAACTAACTTCAAGTTTGTGCTATTCTTGTAGCTTCATGGCTATTCTGTTCAATAGTTTTCACCTTTATAGCCTTTGTGATCTAACTGCCTCCTTTTCAATCCAACATGTCCGGGGTTCACAGCTCAGAGTTGTGGGTCTTTTCAAAAACGACTAACATGCTGGGTCAGATTTTAAATCTACACTTCCAAATGTTCATGTTACTGATCATTGCAAGTCTCGCTCTTGTTGAATAGTCTCTAAAAGCTTCCAGATTTTTTCAATGAAACTGTTGGGTATTCATAACAGATTTTATGGTACATATGGTAAATGTGCTCTACTGCGTTTCAGAAATGTTGTTGCCTTCAGCTGCAAAAAGACGTGTTTACAGCTCATGTTAAAAAAAGCCATCTTGCAGAGAGGACAGCCCTGAAAATATTCAGTGTCACAGGAAGTGACTCAACTGACATTTTATAGCTGCTTGCCTCCCATAAACAGAGAAAGGCGAGTCAAAAGTGAATTAATGAGGTTAGGTTTTTCCATTCACTAATTCACAGAGCTGTCATTTTCCTCTGACATCATGCTGAGGGTAAAAAGCTGAAATGCTTTAATAATGTTTTACTGCTGTGTTTAACATCTATAAATCCTCGAACCACAGAAAACTTTGCAAATCATGTCTCACCACTTCTTGATTATTCAGCAGCTGAAACGACAATAATTATTCAAGATCCAGAGGATTATTGAGCCATATGTTTGGAAAGAGGAATGTATTTGAATAACTAACATTACTGATAGAAAGAAGGACATGTTAAACTAATTAAACTGCCTTTATTTTGACTTTTGTGCCTTTATTTTAGTTTGTAATGCTAAAAAAGAGAGGTTATAATTTGGTGCTGGAGTAGTGCTGGTGGCTATCAAAAGCAGACTTCCTCTAACATTTTCCAGGTCAAAGATTCCTGACGAGTGATGTGTTCGGCTGGATGAGAGTGTAACAGTTAAAGCCCGTTGGTATATTAAGTCTGCAAATACAATTTACAAAATCGCTTCCTTTGAAACTAAATCGTAGTAAACAAATGCCACAAAAACATTCTGTCCTCTGTATGTATCTGTGTCTGATCACCTGATTTGGGTCTGTATGTGTCCTCAGGTATGAGAAGGTTCCGGTAATCCTGGTAGGGAACAAGGTGGACCTGGAGAGCGAGAGGGAGGTATCGTCCAGCGAAGGCCAGGCCCTTGCAGAAGAGTGGGGCTGCCCGTTCATGGAGACCTCAGCCAAGAGCAAAACCATGGTAGACGAACTGTTCGCTGAGATCGTTCGGCAGATGGACTACGCCGCCCAGCCTGACAAGGACGACCCCTGCTGCTCCTCTTGCAATATACAATAGCCCCGGGGGGCGTCCAGGAACAGGCCAGGGAAACACGTCTACCCAGAGGAAGCAGATAGAGAAACACACTTAGACACACATGCACATGCCAATTGAACAGGAGGTAAATTTGTGGTTGAACGCAATGGATTTCAACTCTGTGGAGCATAAAGTCAGCAGAGACTCGATCATTAATAATAACACGTGAGTCATGAATACATTTGAATGAGGAATGCCAGGAATTTGCTGCAAGAGAATTTGACAAGCGACAAAAAAATGACCGCCTTATGTTGCTCTCTTTTGTTGTGTCTGGGTTTGTTCTATCCTTTTTGTTCTAGGAGTGAATCATCAGCAAAGAATCGCACATCAGAATCTGGAGGTTGCTCTACAATCTGCTATTAACAGGGGAAAAAATGTTTGTCCGTTTTCTGTTGTATTACCTTCTAAATCAAAACACCAAGATGCATTTTTACGTTACCATGACTTCAGTAGTGACTGTGCATTATCTAATAATATATTTCTGGAATCCAGTTGTCCTAAATACTACTAAGTATTTGATTTTGTGCAGTGATTAGAGGGAGCTTTTTGTACTCATCACAGGGCTGAACCAAAGAGGTGACCTGACAGCACCTCCATTTTCTTATATTTGAATTGTTTGAAAAAGGAATAGAGAGAAAATGGCGGAGAAGTCGGTGTCTTTCTTTAAACACTGGTGCAGTCATCTCTTTCCTATTTTCTCAGAAACAATAGTAAACATAGCAGTCTTTCACATATCATGTGATGTTTAGTTTCTTTTTCTCTCTGGGATATTCTTGTCAGCAGATTGCCGAGTAATAATATTGCATCATCATAAAAAAGACAGAGTTCATCTTTTAGTGTTTGAATATGTCTGCAGCGACTTTATTTTCAAGAACAGGTGACATTTGAAGTGAAGTTGCCAACATTTGTTAGCCTCAACATTTACTTTTTGTCCTCTGGCATCAATATGACATGGGGTGCTGAAGCATCTAAACATACTGATCCTGTCCCTCGTGTGCTCAGAGTATTCAAATCCATAGATACAAACAGTGAAGACAAAGGCGACGATAATAAGATAATTATTGGTAGTGTAAATATTTTGTATTGAAAGTGCCAGCTCCTATGAAGACACTGACTAAACACATGTGGAATTGTCAACTGTATGCATGGCTAGTAAACAAAAAAGGACTCTCATTGTTTGAGTTTAATATAGGCTGTGGAAACGTGCAAACCAAACACATACACGTCTGGACATCTGGACACTGTCTCAACTGTGCATCTATGTTTTCACGGGAGCCAGACTTTACCCGTGTGACCATTTTCATTGTTGATTTTATATTTTTTTATGTGACCATTTACTCTTTATTCCCTCTCTGAATGGTGACACTGTTACATTTGACACCTAAACAATAAAAGTGCGTTCAACACTCGACTGAGGCTACCAAGCTTGGGTGATATGGAGTGAATGATGCTCAGAGAAACAGCGTTGCTCGCTGAGATTTTCATTAGTTCCCTATTTTCTTCATAATATTATTAGCATTTATTTTATACTCCTTATTTAATGTATGCCACTATGTAAAGCAATAAGCCTTTATTATCTTCTATAGTATCATTAGTCAGACAGAGCTCCATTTATTAATGTTACCTCCACATAGTTTATGGTTAGCTCAGCGCAGGGCTATAAAACAAGCCCCCTTTCCTTACAGGGTTACCTAGCAACAACAGATACTAGCTTAATTTTTGGTCTCGCAGCTTTAGTGTGATGTTAGTGCTGTATCAATTTGCAGGCAACACAGCACTTAAGAAGATTAATTTGCAAATACAATTACTGTCACCACATGTTAGATCAGTTGTCACCATGTACACCAACTTAGTTATAACTGATAGCAAGTGCAGTAAGTATCCAGGTCATTTCTTACTCTCGTTGGATGTTGTTCTTTGTTGACATGTCCCCTCTTATGAGCAGAACAAGAAGAAATCACATTTAGATGCAAGGAATATTATGCAGGATCATCATACTGGTGGGTTTGTCTCTTACAAAAGATTCACCTGTACTGTACTTGTTTGGGTCTTCGCTTTCTCACATATTCAGCTTGTCAAAACCTTCTTGCTAAATGTTTTGTACCCTTCAGCATCCACAGGTTTCATCACCTATGCTTTAAAAAAGGCTGAAGAGGGATGCCTTGTGGTAAAATGACAGTATACATAAATTTCAATATTTTATTTAGGTAGTTTAAAAATATATATTTCATTATTAATTAAAAAAAAAAACTAAAATATGGGGCAGAGGTGAGGATATGATACCAGCTTCATTAAAGGGATTTGACTCGACTACAGATTTTCTGTCAATTGAAACTTGATATTTTGACAAAAGTGTGTTTTCTTCAGCATGTTTGTGCAAAGAAAGTATTTCTAGCAAGCAATACAAATACTTCCACTTTTATGGGACACTAATTTTCATGAATTTTCAGACTCAAAACAAATAAATAAGAATTATATTTTCAATTGTAAATTACCATACACCGCTTCTGACTCGGCAGAGTTACACCCGTTTTCAGGGTCTTTAAGACTTATTGATAGTTGTAAAACTGAAGCTCCTTAGTTAAATAAAAATTATGCAAAGCAGCGTTTAATCCAGGATCATAGCTCTTTGAAATATTGTCAAATAAAAACAGTTTGTACAAGAAATGGGAAAACCTCATAAGCTTTGATGAAACAAGTTCATATAAAGTATATTTATTCTTTCAATGCATAAATTCCTTGTGCTAAACCTTCTAAAAATGTTAACGCTTTAATGCAGACTGCAGGATTTCTAAACCCTGGATAGTCTCCTCGGTAATTTTAAGATTGTTATGAGTCACTGGTGCAGAGAGGAAGTGGTCTGTTGGGGGAATCACCACTTAATAGCTCTGGTAGGGTGTGTTAACACTTCCTCAAGGCGCTTGTCAACATCCACCTTCAGCTGCAGAGTGAGCCTGTATGTTTTCTGTTTTTTTTCCGCCTGATTGTTGAGACAGGACAGAAGGATGAAGCACCTGGATGTAAGAGGTCTCAGAGGGGTTCATTAGACCAGAATCCCCCCTGGCATCCCTCACACCTTAGCTGCATCATTTGTGTTTGTTGTAATAAATAACCAGTCATTTGAACACGCTTGCTGACCGGTGAAAGAGGTTTAATGAGAATGGATCTCTAAAATTTACAGGAATCAGCCTTTTTACGATAGCTGGTGTGTTTAAAGTGTTCTGTCCAGCCCACTCCCCTTCTTTTTTCTGTGTAGAGGAAGGAATGAATTTCAAACAGCACTAGGTAGCAGAGTGATATGTCGAATTCTCAGCAGGAAACAAGCTGGAAAGGAAAAATAAAATCAGCTTGAAAACAGCCCCCTGAGATCCACAGCGGAGGTGTTTGAATCAAATTGGCGCTGACTCATTGTAACCTGTTACCTGCAAAGACATCACAGCTGTGACAGAGAGCACACAGTGTTTGTTCCAGCCGAGATCCTCCATATCAATATGTCAAAAGTCAAGATGAAAGAAAGATCAGAGGGGGGGGCTGTATGAGTCATATAATCACCCCTGCTTCCACTGTGGCCCAGACTGCAGCACAGTCCCAGAGGTATCTGTGTGGGATAAAGCAGCTCTTGACAGAGAGGCCATGTCTCTGCTGTGCGCCCTTTTACACCAGGAGATACAAGTTCAGGCAGCCGAGCAGAGGAACACCCTGCCAGCACAGCAGTTTGGAGGATGAAGGAGATTCCAACACAGAGAGTGAACAAAAGAGCCTTTAAGTTGCTTTAATGGTCTCATTGATTACAGGAGCTTTAAAGGTCTCAGTGTGGTCCAGACTGAGGAGGGTGTGTGTGCAAATGAGGCTTTTGTACCTGTGAGGCGGGGAGAAAATCAATTGGGTGAGATGTAAAGGAAGAAATTACACATTTTCCTTTTTTGACTAAATCCCAGCAAAGCACAAAAGAACTTTATTGTTTAAAGGAATAGTAAAGTTTGTTTTTAATGGGGTCGCTTGAGGTAGTTTTCAATTGTAAGCAATATTCCAGCTTTAAGCTTGTGGAAGAAGCTTTTAACTCCTATTAAAGTTGCTGATGTACGTGCTGCATGCTGAAAAAATATTGTTTTTCATGTGGGATTTTTCTGTTACTATAACTGCATAGCACTCCAGGATTTCTCAAGCATTCACAGTGTGTTTCCCTGACTGAACATTGACTGATGTATTTGTTTCTTCTGCTGTTTGTTAGCTTGAAGTCACCGGCGCTGAAGAGAGCCGAGCTGTTACCAGCCCACACTCTCAGCGCCCCCCTGTGATGTTTCATGCCTTTTTACATAGGAAACAATGTGGATGTGCAAGAGGGGGAAGAACAAACAAACAAGCCAAACCAGGCCTGTCAGGAGGCCTAATAACTAGGTGTCATGGCAACCAGATGGCAACACATGAGTTGCCAATTTCACAGTCTAATTTGCAGCTGTGACAGAGGAGAGCGAGTGTGTGGGGGGATGATCTGTGCAAACAACGAGGAGAGATTCCTCCACTGGATATGTGGATTTATGTCACACCTTGTGTTGCAGAGTTACCATCATTATCAAAGGGTGAGTACACTGAATTAGAGACAGCACATTTTCACAAACTGGTACCTCGCTACACAGATGGGAACTACCTTTACAGTCTGTGCTTGAAAAAGTTTGGATCACCTGTAATGACAAATACGTCATGCTGGGAGAGACCTGTTGCTTCAAGTTAGGATTTTTTAAGGTTGTAGCACCACTTACACACTTTATTTTGCCCATTGGAAAATTAAAAGTAATAAATAACTAAAACTTTAGAGAGAAGGAAGGTGAAGTTTGTTACTCAGGGACCACAAAATACAAAATATGATCTCCAAATTGGTTTCATTTTCTGCTTGTTTTAATTTTATGTAATTTCTTGCCCATATGTTCCAGTGACCAGTCTGTCTGCTAGGATGAGTTATATCCTGAAATTTGGATGCACTGTGGTGTGCTTGATCTTATTTTTCATGTTTAAATGAACACTTGTGACAACATTCAACATATTGGTTCAGTGATTCTCTCGAGGAAGTAAAAAGCTGTGATTCCCCCAAGTTTAAATCTGCTCAGTTTTCCATTTACTTTGAAATTGTTTGACCAGGAAATCAAACAAAAAATTTCAAGTTTCTTTCTTTTTTTTTATCTGATTGGCATAATAATTACATCCTAAAAGCAACCCTTCAGGGATGGTAGAGAGTGACTTACATCTTTTGTCTCTGATGGATTTTTGTGTTTGGCAAAGCTTTTAATTGCTCTCTCAGACAGAAAAATCTAAATCTATACCATCTGCAGCTCTTATGTAATATAGTCAGTCATCTGTTAACAAAAATGAGATACTAATTACATGGATTTATACAGCAGCTGAGGGATTTAGTGTATTTCTACAAGTGGAACAAGACAAAATACTTCCAGACTGACTTTTATTTTTGGAAAGCAATGAGCGGCAGTGTTGCTCCACTAATGACATTCTGCTTAGACACATGCAATAAAACTAAAGTTACACATGGAATTTCATAAGCATACCAAATAAAGGGGATATATTTAAAGTAAAGTGATTGTGGTCAGACAGAGAATCTCCACCGTGTATTTCCCTTAAGGAACTATTTCTAGCCTGACTTTCTGAAGCGGAGATGGTGCGGCACTAAAATTAGTGTAATCCTGCTGTCTTTTTTTTAACCTTCATTATAAAAGCAGGATGGGGCATGTGATGAGGCTCCCCCCTGCTGGTTTCCTTTTCTTGTGGAGGCTGAGGCCTCAGCAGGAGCTTGGCGATGCTTATGATTGAGGGGAGGAGGCTTCATTCCTGGGCTTTGGATGGTTGCCCTCTGAACAAAACACATTCCCTCCCTCTGTTTGATCAGCTGGAATAAATCCCCACTCCCTCCAACATACCTGGAGATATGAGCCGCTGTATTTCCAAACACTGAAAGATGAGGGGAGGTAAGATGTCTCTAGACAGGCATTATTAGTGCTCCTGTTGATTATCATGAAGACTTCAGATCTTCTTAGACATCTGTAAGCTGTTACTTGCCTTTCACATAAATGTAAACTAATGTCACTTATTATTAAAGCTCCTGTGAGGAACTTTTGTTTGCGTCAGTTCTGGCGCCCCCTGTGGCCAAAGCAGTCCACAGCTGTTTGAGACATTAAAAATAAGGATATCAAGTTCTTCAATTTTGTCAAAGGTGGTGTTGTTTGTTTTTGGATATCATGAAAAGACACAAATATGAATTTTAGCCTATTTCACAAACGTGAAAAAAAAAACTCCTCACAGGAGCTTTAATTTAAATAGTTGTTTCATAATGTAGCCTAACAGTCATAATGATGGTTCACAGTCATCACTATAAAGTAGTATTAACATTATAGACCTTAAAACCTATGACAGCACTGATCATGTCTGTGACTTTTCTCGCTAAATGGATCCCCAAATCTGTCAGGATTAAGTATAAAGCTTTACAGGCAATTTCCACCACATCCAGAACGGCTACGAAAAGGCTGTATCTGCCGATCGTAGCTGATCGTAACCATTCAAACCAATGTGTCAATTTCCACCGGCTTCTTTCTGTTCTGCTGCTGATCGCCGGACTCTGCAGCTGATCACAAGAGTTCTATTTTTCCAGATGCCGGAGCATGCGGATAAATTCAGCACAGATTAACCCATGCTGGAAAGGAAATCGGGCACAGACACAAAATAAAATATCCGGCTTCTTTTCAAAATAAAACACTCGTTGCTTCAGACGAATTGTATTTCACACCATGCAAATAGGCAGAGACGAAGAAGTGAAAGGTTTATAGACAGCATTTCGTCCAGAGGACACCAAGGATGAGGGGATGTTGATTTTATAAGTCCTGAAGTTGATTTCCTCCTCTAATAGGACACAATCTGCATATATGGTTAGCCTCTGTGGCTAGAGACAACTTGATTTCGCGCGGTTGCACATGAATCTGCGGGTGCTTGTGAGTTCTCGCGATTCCTGCTGTCCGTAATCTGTCACAAAATTCACCTCACAAATGGATCCGGTAGGAAGTGGCGTACCGCGAAATACGGCTGGAGTCATTCCGGATGCAGTGGAAATCCCGGGTTACTCTCAACTGAGCGAAGAAATGCTTCTGATTTTTGTAAACAGAGGACACGAAGATGCTTCATTCCAAGGAGACTAGAATAGTAGGTCAGATCAACAAAAGCTGTGGTTAGTAATTTAATAAATTTGTAGAACTCTGCTCATGCTTTTAGCTTGAGTTATCTAAAGGATTAGTTATTTTAAGTTATTTTAAGCGTTAAGGTTATTTTAAGTGTTGGACTAATTCAAGGCTTGCATATTCTGAGGATACTCTTCTGTTAACAATGAGGTAAAAATGGCACACACTGATCAAAGACAGTTAAAAAGTAACCAATGATTTATCCATGTTGGGATTCAATTCACATAAAAAAAGAAAAAGTTGTTTACATGCAGCCTATCAGAAGCCATCCGATTCACCCAAAGCTTTACTCTGCCTCATTTAAAGCACCAGTTGTACTAAAAAAATAAAAGGGCAGGCAGCAGAGCTTAAAGTTCAAACCTAGAGGCACCAGCAATTAGACTGTAGGAAATGTATTGTGTGAATGTGTGTGGGCTCAGTCTCAGTCCAGACTGACTGGATCAGAGGGGGGTTGTAGAAATGTAACAGTGGTGCTCAGGCTCTAATGACCCGACTTTCAGAGTTGGTGTGACAGGGCAGGATGAGATGCAGTGTTGGCTGCTGCTGCTGCTGTTGCTGCAAAGATTAAAATAGAAATAGAATCTCATTTCCATCTCCCATCTTTTTTTTTAAGGTGAATTCACCCTGAGGGAAGGATATTGTGTGGAAATGTCAAGAAATGGATTCCAGGTGGCTGCCACGTGAATTGAATAGACAGCTGATGGTCATATGCAAATGTGAGAGGGTTAGGCATGACAAGTATGTATCCATAGAGTTATATCCTACAATAGATACTGAATAAAAACACTTAAAGAAACATTACTGCTTATTGCTCCAGGTTTTAGGTTTATGAAATGGACTGAAATTCATTCTGCTACCTTACATAATATTCAAAAACAAACACCAGCAATCAGTGACAAGATTTATGTCTGTGACTCTTGATCTTTATGTCCTAAATCAGTGCGAGTTACGCAGTTGTAGAAACAGTCCACATAAAACATTCACAATAGATAAAACTATTGTATGTCAGAGCTCAGTAGGATGAATTTCTTTTGACACAGTTCATAACCAAGCATGTAGAAGACAAAAAAAAAGGCAACAGACAATCGTGCCACAGGAGGGCGCCAAAATACACAAATCCAAAAGTTGCTTACAGGAGCTTTAAGAAGGAATGATTTATGATTATTAAGTGCATGAATTAACGTTTACCGTAACTTTATGCAATTAGTTAAGTTGTTTTATTTTATCAGCTGAGAAGCCTTCATTCAGATACAACCTTAATTCACGACATTGGCGTAGCTTCTCTGGTTAAATATGAAAATATATTTCAGTGGATAATCACATTTTTAGATCATTTACACAAAGAATTAATCATTTATCGCTGAAAATTACTTTTTTTAATTTGACGTAACTGAAAGCAGTGAAGTTATTTTTTTTGCATGTCAATGTTATCTTCATTTTACTTGGACATTGATGAAAATCATGATTTAATAATTAATGTGGCACTTAAAACAGCTTAATGTTATTAATAATAAATAAATTATAATTATAATAATATGCGGAACAAAGGGTGCACAATACAAAATATTAAATAAAACTCACTGACAATAATAGTGCAAATAAAACTACTGGACTACTTTTAATAACAGAAACATTAAACGTTGTGATTTGTGTTAGAATTGTAAACAGTCATAGAAATGAAAAGGCAGTGCTTTGTCCTACAATAGACGTACTGTATCCTGATGTGGTCTATATGAACTACTGTATGACGTTAACGTGAATTAAATGAAAGTGAACTGATTGAATTAAGTCATACTGACTGCATTATCAGTCATTGGTCATGCATTTGTCTTTTTATTGAAGTGTACTGCACATTTAGCTCATACACTCCTGCATATGTCCTTTTTTTTAGTGTGCGACAGTGTTATCCTTTTAATGTAATGAGAAAATCAGCCATCTCTCACACTCTGAAGCCACCTCTTACCTCAAAGTTATGGTTTAAGACTTCTCTGGCGTAGCAGTGCAGCATCTGTTTGAATAATTAATGCAAATGTCAAAATTATTGACTATATTTCATTGCATTAGTTTAATTTCCAAATCAAGACACTGAGAACTGCTTTGAAATGTTAACATGAATTTAAACACTGATCGAAGTGCAAAGTAATGGAATTTTAAACATGTTATTGAAACTGTGATTACTGAGATTTCACTATAGAAGTCAAATAACATCCTCCACAAGCTTAATTTTATACCTGAAAATGTTTCAGTGTTACTTTCAGTGTACAAATGATATCTAATGTTTATGTCAGTTTTGGAATAAGCCTTTTCCCCTGCTATTCGGGGCTCTAGATCTGTTGTTATTGGAATGTAGAGAGGGACAATAACAGATTTATTATACTCCCATTTTGGACTATTACAGGATGCTTTCAAATGGAAGTCTGTGTGTTGTGTGTAAGTAATCTAACTTTAAGGTAACTAAAAGTTTAACTGCATAAGTCATCTACATTAGATACATACACAGTCACAAACCTTTAAATTCATTCGATTTTCTCTTGCAAATCAGGACCTAGGGAGGTTACTACAGAGTCTGTTTTGCATGAGCATGAGTGGGAACAGATTTATCAGTAGTCAGGACAGGTTGTCTGTGGATTAGGTGTTACAGGGATGTGTTCATTTACATAATTTGTCGGGCGCTTTTATCCAAAACCTTCTGTTTCAGTTTCAGTGATAAGGGTCTTGAGACGACTCCTGCTTGACTATCTCATTCTGAGAGCCTGTCTTTAAAGCAGCTCTGTGTCACAGTCTTATTAAGTGAGGACACTATGATCAAGGTTTTAACCTTATAATGAAGCAGTATGCACTATTGCTCATGTCGTGCTCCGGGTGAGATTAATACAAGTTGTTCCTGAGTGATAAAACACTCCTGTATGAGCCTGAATATGATCACATGAAAAAAAGAAGACTCATTCAGTTACAGGTAGCAACACAGGTACACACACGCATAGAAGTGAAACAAAATGACCTTTAACCCTGCCATGTTGTTTACTGCTGTATAATGTCTTAGTATGACAGGATTACACAGTGAATGGAGGTTGGATTAATGAGTTTTTACCACCTTTGAACATCTTGGCCTTGAGCACTCCGGCAAGAAAAAGCAGAAAGTGATTTCTATAGAGTTAATTTACTCTGAATGAGCAGAGCTGAACTGAAATCATCAAATATGTTTTAAGTTAAAGTCATTTAAAAATGTAAGGATTCCTTGTGCACATGTTTTCTCGCTCCTTATTTCATTTGCTGTTACATAACCCGAGAAAAGCTCACCAAGAACATGGCACAAAAATCTTGATTGCTTACATAACTAATCCAAAACACCATTGTCTCCTGACTGTTTCCTCTGAAGCTCTCACTCACTCTCACTCGCTTGCTGACATGTTCGTTTTCTTCCCTCGGCTCCAAATCACAAACCTCCAGGGTCCATCTGAGGCTGCCAAGACGCCAAGTGTGATTTCTCCGTCTTCAGTCCCACATCACTAAAGCGTAGGAGAGTTTTTTTTTTTTTCCTGCCAGGGAGAAGGTGGGCGGCTGCAGACGTGAAATAGAGACAAGAGGAAAAAAAGGACGAAAATTCCAGTTTCGGCCTCTTGACATGCTGCTTGTCTTTCATCCCTGTCCCTGCTTACAGTTAGAGACACGGAGGAGTGGGAGATGTGATGGATCTGTCCCAGCTAAAGCCTAAGGCGGCCATTTATAACAAAGAAATTAACAATAAGGAAAAGCATGAGAAAGACTTGCATGATGAAATGATATGATTACATAATGTCATTGTGTGTGCATATGCATATGCATGTGCATGTGGATAGGTCGATTGATTTATACAGGGAAAGAGGGGTATCCAGAGGTGGCACGGCCCTCTTCGAAATCTGACAATACATAATAATTACAAAACACATGTTGGAAATCATCATTTAAAGCATCTATGATTCAATTTCTCACACCTTCAACCTGCTTAAGTTCTCTCATAGCCGAGTTCTCTAGCAGGAGATTAGTGTACCTAGACCAAGACAAAGAGAGACAACCAGAACCAACCAAAACCTGATCACAGTCAGTCTCACTATTCTTATTCTGGTACCTCTTAATCAGAGAGTTAAATTTCAAACTTCTTTGCTTGTGTATGAATGTCTTTGTGGCTCAGCACAATACGACACCTCTGACACACAAACAAAGAATGAAACCTGAGAACATTTGTAGCTGGCCAACTGAAAAGAGTAGGAACTAAACAAATGCTTTTTTTAAATGCAGCAAAGACTTGGAATTAGCTCACTATTGACATTAGACTGGCTCAGACTCTGAACACTTTAGCTCCAGACTAGAGCATTTTCTTTTCTTTTTACACATTTCACTCTCTTCTAGAGTTGATGCTAACTTCAGTTTAAACTCAATTTGTTTGTTCCTCTGAACTGGAAACTTTATAATTCGATTTAAATTAAATTTTTATAAATAATTTTCATTTATTTATTCATTAAGATTTGCAGAGTGGTAGTTTATGGTGTTTTTATGAATTTTAATGAATTTTGATGAATTTACTCCACCACTTGTCAGCATTTCTGCACTGGGCAGCGTTTAGTTGTTTTTTTATGCTGATCCTCATAGCAGCATAGCAGACTTTAACTTCTCTTCCTGAGGTCTGCAGGTGAAGTTTCACAATTCAATTCAACACAGGCCTGAACCACATAACACATCTGAAGTATATGACAGGCATGGTTCAACCCCTCTCCTCAGTCTAAATAAGAGGTGTCATTAATGTGACATCTTTTCTTCTTATGTGTCTAAGAGAAAAAGACCCAGTCACCTGATTTAGACATCAACGTTTATGCTCATGATCGCCTGAAAACTCTTATTAAGATTGACTGCACTATGGTGCTTGTAGAAATTACATGAAAACAGCATTGTAGTCAACTATGGGTCTTTTTCTTTTTACATGATTTTATGTAAAGTGTAACTCCATTGTACTCATATATGTTAGGCAAAATGTTGAGCAATATTTTACGTCTCTGTAGGTTGTCATTAAAATAATGGATTTTAATGCTTCACTCAGTGGCCATGCTCTGTACGCTGAAATACATCCATCTGTATTGATTCATTTTCCCTGAGAGCAATAAGTGTTCACTCAGTAAGACCAATAGCATCTTTTTTTTTCATCTGGGGGAGACTGCTGGGCCATAAGAATCCTGTAAGTTTGCTTTCAGCACAGCTCAAGCCCAGAGGAAAGGAAATTCAATAAGCTGTCACTTCCAGGTTTGGTGTGCTGTGTGGAGGCAGCTGAGCAGGAATTGATACAGGTTTATTGTTCAGTGGCAGAGAGTGAGAAAGAAAGGCACTGCAGGCTAAAAGAAAGTATTTAGAGGGTGCAAAAGTTGGGGGCAATGCAAAAGAAAATTCAAATGTAATGGATAATGTAGGGTAGTGGATTAAACCAGTTTTTAAACCTCATAAAAAGAGGGGATTTTTTTTTAAAACATAACAGAAACAAGACATACGGTCATACAAAGAAAAAATGTATATAAAACAAACAAACACATTGTCACAGTGTCATTCACAGAGAATAAAAGAAAATTCTCCTTACACTTATTCCTTGTGATGGCCCTCTTTGATGCTGCAAAAAGTATTTCAGTCAAGTATCTGTCTTTATTTTGTATGATTTCCTGGGTAAGATTGCCCAGGTACATTACCTTGAAGGTCACGGGGAGCTCATAACCTAATATTTTTTCTTATTCCTTTGCTTATTTCTTCCCAGTAATTAGTTATTTTCTTGCAGCACCAAAAGATATGGGTATGATCAACATCCTGTTCTGCACAGTTTCTCCAGAAGGGCTGTAGGAGTTTTTTTCTTTATACTTGCCGTGATGAAGAATCTGACGTCGTTTTTCCATCAGAATTCCCTCCAGTGTCTAGAATTAGACAATTTGCCAACTCTCACTACCTGAGCAGAGCTGACAACATCATCAAGTACTCCTACCACCCCGGAAATCACCTGTTTGACCTGTTACCATCGGGCTGGGGGTACAGATCACACAAAACAAGGACCAACAGACTCAAGGAAAGCTTCTCCATGAGAGCTATCACTGCAGTCAACAACAACAAATCCAGTTGAACCTGCCCCCCTCAACCAACATATATACTGATCATGTTGATCACAGTGCAATAAATGAATAATTTATCCATGCAATAAAACTGGGCTTCACTGTGCAAAAATCAGGTTTTCATATCATATCCTGTATATATTACTGCCTCTTACATTTCATTTAGTTGACCCTAAGAAAAATACATGTACGGTAAGAACAAAGGACAACATATTTTAAAGAGCTTTAGGTGAACATATGAAGGGTCCATAGAAGGAAATACCATGACAGAACATATTTTGGGGACCTGTGTGATGTAAAACATGGGTAAGAGGTCCTTGTTGAGGATAGTTGTCGGAGGCCCATGGCTCCAGAAATCTAGCACCAAAGTATCTGAGGTATTTGAGAGACACAGCTCCACCACTCTAAAGGCTGACATGACTGGCAAAAGAACCTCGTCCTAACAATGTCTTATCTTTGTGTTTTTAGTGTTTTTTATTTTAATTGTTTTGCACCAGAGGGAGTGACGCTCAAATCTCGTTGTACTGTGTACAATGACAATAAAGGCGATTCTGATTCTGAATTAGAAGTCCTCATCCGAGTCCTGCTCATATTATACCATTCTTTTTCAGTTATTTCCCAGGGAAGGAGGAGAAATTTGATCAAATAAAAATAAAAAATGTATTGATGAATCATCCCATGGACTTAATATTTTGGATTGATCAGAATTTTTCTTTATATTTTATGTGAAGACAGGCTGGATGGACAAATGGGCTCTATGTACAGCTCCACTACCTCCTGAATTTAAGGCTGCTCCTTTATTTCCTGCCTTACATTATTGGACAAACTGATTAACCCAGGTGAGACTGATTATTATGATTATTCAGACACACCTGGCTTAATCAATTTGTCCAATAACGTAAAACAGGAGATAAAGGAGCAGCCTTAAGTTCAGGAAGTAGTTGAGCTGTGCGTAAAGCCCATTAAATGAAAAATATCTGGATAATGCGGTTCCAGCAGAAACCGCTAGATGATGCCGTTGCTCTGTATTACGCCCATACTGAGAAGGTGGAGGTGCTGCACCTCCTTCATTGTCTGAGCTGAGGCACCGGGAGAGGATCCGCCGCTCGGTTCAGTGTAATCCCGTGTCTTCCCCGGCGCACTCACTCAGTCGTCCGCCATGGCGACAGCAGGAAGCCTCCTCTCCGGTCCGAGCTGCATCTAAAACTCAACCAGGGCTCCTTTTTTTCAGTCTCTACTGCTGGACGTGGATGTTAGAAATACCTCCTTTCAGCGGGGAAATACATAACGCGTGGACAAGCCTGCATTTCCAGAGAAGGGGTAAGAACCGTGCAGCCCTCTCTTACCCTGTGTGCTCTTAAGGGAAGTGATTCAACTTGTTTGAGGAGATTAGGGTTAAGTCCTGGGAGTATCTTTGCCATGTTATTCTGTGATCCTGTGGATTTCGAGGAAAGAAAATAACTATGCCTGCGTGAAAACCTTCATCTGCAGATAGTAGAACTGTCCTATTTGTCCTCCAGCGCACATATACCTTTGCGTTATGGATGTGTGCAGACGCCGCAGTCGCTGATGTGTCGTTGCTGTAATGCTTCTTCATCCCTCCGTGTCTGTGTGAGTGTGTGTCCGTGTGCGTGTGTGACATTTTAATAATCAAATGGAGCCAGGAAGTGTGCATTTTCTATCTGCCTCCCAGTTTCCACAGGCTGCCCATGTGAGTCCAGGCGGTGCATTAATGTCACATCTACAGTACTGTCTGAGAATGTCCTGAGGATTACAGCAGCCTGCTCTATTAACCTACATTACATGAATGGTGTGAACATACCAGCAGACTGGGAAAGGTGGAAAAAAAACTCCTTGATTGCTTCATTTCAGGCTTTTCTTCATGTTCCTTGGTTGAGGTTTTAAATGGCAACCAAGCTCTGGTTCCAACATGCATGTACCCTGCTGGTTGTCATTCTTCTCACTTAGTGAACACATGTCGATGCCAGAAATACAGTGGGAACTTATAGAGTGATTCATGCAACGCCAGCCACACCCAGGTATCAGTGTCTGTGGCAGAGCACTGAGGAAATTGAGCTCTTTTTTTTTGTTTTGGAGCTCCCCTCAGGTAGACAGCTGGTTGTATCAGCCCCGGCCTCTGGCCATTCAGCTGTCACTAAAAGATTCCAGCTGTGCAGAGCTGGACCGCACCAAGGGGCCCTTTGTGCCCCAGCACACAGAGGAGCCACTGTTACAGTCCCTGAGACCCTATAAGCCAGCAGTCACAGCTCCATGTTGCACACTTGTGGGGAATTTCAAGCAAACAAGTTCAAAGGCAGGCTGAGCAACACTGAGGGGTTTGTGAATGTCCCCTTGGCTCTGACACACTCTGGAAAAAAGGTGCCAGCTGCACAACTGGAGACTGTTCGTGTGTGTGTGTGTGTGTCTGTTTGGACCTGAGTTACCTATTCAGAGGTGCAAACACACCAGCTGATAAATGATCCCTAGTGCAAGGGAGGCTTGGTGTTAGCTGAAATAATCACTGTCCTCTCTTTCACTGTCCTCTGTTTCACTGCTGCTTTGTTTAAAGAGTGTCTGGTTACACAGCATGCAGGCACAGGTCAAATAAGTCACGAATTTACAGACCCTGTATGGCACACTTACCAGTTAACAAGGCAAGAGCTACAGAGTGATGTCTGTATGAGGATCAGATGTCGAAAATGACTGGGCTTGAATGAGAACTATGCTTGTGTTTCCATTCACATCCCCAGTGAAAGCATTCGGTCTGGTTTCCATCAGCCCGGGGGAGTGTTTGTGTGCTGTTTAGCTGGAAAACTCCAACATTATGCACCCACTGTCCTCTGACATCAGTGTACACAGGTGCAGATGATAATAACAGGCTGGCTTCAAAAACTCAGGTTCTTATAGTTTTATAGTTGTGTTTTTGTTGGTGTGTGTCTTTTTTTCATACCAAACTGGATCTGCTGGTCCAGTTTTAAAAATTTATAGGTCACCAAAGTGACAGAGAGCTGAAACCCAAATAGAAGAACATCCAAATGTGACGCACTGTGATTTGTCCATCCAACCAATTATAAGGGATATTCTGGCGTAAAATTAAGGTAGGGTCAAATACACTGTAACACCGAATTAGACACCCTGTCAAGAGATGAATGTTGCTGACCGCTTGCTTCCTTAGTTATACCAACTTTAGTTTCTTGAAGTAATAATCACCATATTAATCATTTTGCACTGCAGACGCAGTAGTTCTTCTGCCTTAGCGTCTCGGTCTGGTTGCATTTCCATGAAGATATGATCATGAATGTTCTTCCTTGAGCTGCGTCACCCCGCAACAGTCGATGGACTCACCCGGAGATCTCCATACAAACAAGCGGCTGCTGGAAGAGAGTAGGTGAATTGTGTTTTGTCTCTTTGCTAAAGAAATTTGGTCTAGCTAAAAAGATGTTTGGTGGCTAGTACTATGGCTGGGACCCTATATATACTGTTGAAGTTGATGCTGTTCCGAACATTATTTGTGGCTATAGAGTGGCGTTTTGGTTGAGCACGTAGTTCTCTGTATTGCTATCGTGCGGTCGTATTAAAGTTGGTATAACTAGAGAAGCAAGCGGTTGGCAACATTCATCTCTCGACGGGGTGTCTAACTTGGTGTTACGGTGTGTTTGACCCTAACTTAATTTTACGCCGGAATATCCCTTAAAGTACATGGATTGGAATGACTGATAACCAGTCAATTAAAAATATATATATTGACCTTGTTGACCTTGTGGCATCTAACTCTCTCAACCAAATCCAGCTCCGGTCTGCAATGTGCGACAGATGTTAGGTTTCTCTCCTTTGCATCACAGACCATCACCAGACAGAATGAAGTGTTTCCCCTGTCCTTGGCCTATTTTCTCTCTCCACTCTTCTGGATTACACCATCCACTCCTTCAAAACACCTTATTCAGCGTTCAGTTGAAACTTGGCAGCAGTCACTCACCTCTGCATCGTCTGAACAACTGCCCACTGGCCTCCGAGTCCTGATGAAGCACTTGGTGAGGTCTCAGGATGACATCAGACCGCTGGAATGTGCAATGAAGTGAGAATTAAGCCGGACAGCAGGGCCTGGGGGAGTTTGGCTGTGGATACTTGAGAGTGTATAGAGACGTGCACATGTATCAACACAAATTACTGCTCTGTGACTCCATGACTGTAGTCATAGTCTAACACCTGGGAAAATACAGACACAGACCCATGCTGCGCATCAGTATAGATTCAACTCCTCCACTTTGATATAAATTTACAAATAGACTAAATCTAAACCTAAATCTAAACCTGACTTTAAGCTAACTTTTTCAGTTAGGCACTGTGAGGAGTTTTTGTGAAACAGACTGAAACTGGTACTGATGCCTCTCAGTGACCTTCCAAAGCAGATAAGACTGTCAGCAACATGACAGATAATTTCTCTGTTGTGATATTTTGTTGCTTGAAACTGCTGTAAGTGGGTAGGTGTCAGACCAGGCAAAGGAAACAGATTTTCTAAAGAAATTATTTTATTTCAACCACTCACAGGAAGTGGAACACTTCAATGTTAAAAGGATAACAGGATGACCCCAAATTTAAAAATTTCCGGACATGAGATAAGGTCACACTTTGTCCACATCAGAACCAACACAAAATGAAAGTTCCTCACTGGAGCTTTAAACTAAGTTTTGCTTTGCTTTTATGAAAGGGACACCTGGATGTAGTTGGGATGCTTGAGGGAAGACTTGCAGCAAAGGAGTTGAACCCGACTCTGTACATGGAGTACATGGGACCAAAAGGGCGCCCTTAAGCCAAGTGTTTTCACAATTTTTACCTGTTATTGTTAACAGCAATATCCAGAGCTGTAAGCCAATTGTAGCCCATCCTTGTTCTTAGCTGACTGTCACAGTTTTTCTCAGTTGCTCAAAGTTAATTAATTCTGAGTGTCTTTTCTCATTTATTTCACACTTTAACCCCTTTTTTTTTTTTTTTTTGGAAAATGTATTTTCCATAAGTTTAAGCTAATTTATTAGACATTTTTAAAAACAATTTATCTAGCTAAACAAATTTTCTGTGTGGATACTTTTTCTGTAATTCTGTAGTTCTTCACATACTGACCTGCCTACCTCAAAAACCACAAAACTAAGTAGTGTGAGCGTCGAACTGCTCTATTGACTCCAAATGCCCACAGCTAAACCTCGTAGTATTCAGTAATGCGAGTGTTTCCCCTTTACTCTTTGGTTACCCAAATTAATGACTCCTCCAGAGTCCATATATATTTGTCTTAAAGCCTTTGAGACCAATTAAATTTGAGGACTTAACGTGTGTGTGTGTGTGTTGTTGTTGTTGACCTGAGTGCCTCTCTTTTATGACTGCCCTGAGCCACCAAACCACTATTGTATCGACTCTTTGATTTTACACTGTGGCCTCGTGATTCGTTCATCAGATCAAATTAGGGCTGCTTGATTTATGCTTTGAAATCAGGAACACGCTTGGATCTTTTTTTTCCGCCCTGTAATTGGTTCTCCCACAGGCAACAATTATCAGCCATTAGCGGTGGGTGCAAATACTGCATTGACAACAGGCCTGGTAATGTGACACACAAGGTTGTGCTGCCTGTCCTCTGGGTCCTGATACATTGATTCAATTTCACCCGCTGAACCAATGACACCCTGAAAGAGGAGGTTTCTTCCTGACACATGAATGACAATATTGCCTCTCCATACTGTTTGTCTCGCTCACTTTCTTCACTCTGCTTCTGTGCAGGCCGGGCAGTGAGCATCGCAGCACATAATGGCAGAGCAAGACCCCGTGCCAATGGCCCAAGGAACAGGGCAGCGTCTTGGTGCCCCAGAGACTCTTGGCATCAGTACACTGGACCCCGGGCACAGACCCCCGGCCATGCCCCCTGGACGTCATGTCACCATAAGGGTCCGTATGTTGGATGACACAGAGGAGCTCTTTGACATCTCGGTGAGTTGTTAAACCCTGCCAGTGCCCAGGCGAATTTCTCCATGGGAATACTAATGTCCAATTGGGACTCTTCATTATAGCACAGTAGCCAGGAAGCATTTCCTCTTTTTATCATAGCAGCAGCAGTCTGGTAACAGGTTGGCATGGCAACTGCATGATGTTAAGATATTGAATGCTATTGGAGGGAGATTTTAGTAATGTCAGGGTGTCTATGGGTTATTTTGGTGGTTTATTAGATCCTCTGCCTCCTAATCTCTTAAACTGTCTCAAACCTGTGTCACATTTATGACACCTTCTTTATTCCCCCTTGTCACACTCAAACCACTCAGGATGCTCTTTTTAAAGCATGGACAGCGTCATATTTCAGCCCTCTCCCACACCGGTGGGCTGATGACGTACGAGAGTCCTTGTGCTTTCTTGATTGTGCCGTGAAAGCAGACAGAAGACAAAGAGAGGAGAATATTTTCATGTGTTTCAAAGGGAAGAGCAGCTTTTTGAATTCCATTCATGATTTGGGGATTTAGAGGATTAACTACTGCATTAGAAAGGATCTATTTTTAGATATTCTAGTCGAGGCAATTTGCACAGATCATGTTGGAGTTGAGCTAAAATTAACTGCATAACATGGCAGAAAGGGGATAATATGCAGAAACCATTCCAACTTTGGAGATTTAAAAAAATCCTTGTAAATGTATGGCTCAGTTTTCACCCTGTAAATGAGGAAGGTTTGAAATCCCATCATAAGATAAACTAAATTGACTGTGAATTTTCTTCTCTGTAAAGCTTCAGTAGGGACTTTCACAGCTGATTGTAAAACAGGCAGAAATTGATGCTGGTTCCTCTCAATCACTAAAAACACCAAAAAAGACCATCAACAAGAAGAGTTTTCTGATATTTTCAATGTCTGAATCCACCTGTGAAGGGTAGCTCTCCGTTAGTTTCATCCACTCTGCAACATTAAGTATAATTTTGAGCTCCTTTGAGGGGTGTTTAGATATTGGAAATGATTATTTATAGCTTTCTTGTTCTCCAAAATCAAACAAGACCATCAGCAACAAAGTTGACATTATTTGCATTGTAGTTTTGAAAGCTTGAAATCAGAGTGAGGGGAAGGTGTCAAGAAACAACTCTGTTTTATGATTTCAACAGTTAATATTCACAATAAATGATATATTTGACTGTCAAGAATCAGCAGGCTGAGATTTTATTGCCTAAAATCCCCTCTTTGGCAGACTACTACTTTTTAATTATTTCCTTCTTGTAGGATTTCGAGACATAATGAAAACATGTTCGCTAACACTTTGAGTTGAAGTGTAAGACTCGCCCTGCTTGATTTCATGCGGAATGACAGGGTTGAGCTTAAAAAATGTTAAAGTAGAAGAACAAGCTGCATTTGGAGACCACTCTTCTTCCTGCCTGAACGAAAAGAACGAGATGAGTAGATTAGAAGAAAGTGGAAAGCGGTGATGGAGAGACAAAGACTCCGCAGAGGACGTGTTTAATGTGTAAGAATGGGACTCTGCAAACTGCTGAGCTTTACTGACAGTTACTGAGTGTGTGCAGTACATAGTAGATGTGTCCCTCTGGCTGTGTCCCAAGGTAGTTCGGCTAAATGTTGCTCCTACAGTGTGGCGGAGCTCCCTGTGCATGACTGCTAATCTTTCTAGTGGTATCATGTGTTCCACTTAATACCTAAGGCTTACTGGATTCTCACAATGAGGTCCACTTTGAGTGCCCTCGTTTAACTCACATTACTTTTGTGTACTTTAGGTCTGATGAGGCTTTAAGGCCACGTTGATTTTTTGTTTTACGAGACTGTCAGGACAGTTTGGCTTACTCAGAGGGCTGTTTTTGGAGATAGCTTACATATGTGCTGCATCTGGCTTTGGTCAGAGCAATGAGTTCCCTATACTAGTCTTTTAAAATTAAGTAGTATTATGCCCATCTGATATGAGATAGCATAGGCAGGGGAAGGATTTTATTCAGCCTGTTTCAGGGCTCATAATGTGTTAAAACCAGCAGTGAATCTTTGCCCTCCGAGGCTCCCTGAAGAGATATCAACCAGAGCTTTGTGAGCATGCAGTAGATTTTTATGGGAGTTTTAGTGTCTGGGTGTTTCCAAACTGCTTGTACCTTTTAAAAAGATATTCCCAAGCTATTGTTGAGGATGTCACCTCTGTATATGGAGCGCCTTCTCACTAACAGAGGTGCCCCTGCTCTTTTATTTTGTGTTACCTTGTTTGATACAAATACAGAACACATAAACATAAGTGTGACTCGAAAGTGAAAGCGCAGGTTTCTTAATGTGTGGCACGGCCTGACCTGTGGATGTGGCCGTGTTGTGACGGCTGTAGCAAAGGTGATCTAGAAACAGTTTTTGTTACTGCGGCAGACAAACTGAGCAGCTCAGGAGAGGCTAACAAAAGGACCCTGCTAACAGAAAGCTTTATTCATGCTCAATTTAACACACATTATCTCCTCTATCTCCCGTCAGCACTGCAGATACAAATCTCAGCGGGCTTGATATTGTTTTTTGCCCAGAGGTGTCCACGGACTACAGTTTCCTTGTCTAAGGAGTAACTTTTGAGGGAGAAAGATTAGTTATCTTTTCCAGAAAGTAATACCAAGATTTTAAAGTCGTCACATGTATTATTTTAAAATTTCTCTCCCTTGTTACTGAGCGCTCGGAGCTTCTCCAGACAGAGAGGGCTTAGTGGTGGTGTGTTGAGACAGGATCACATGATTGGGAATACTGCTGTGCTGAAGCACTTCTTTGATGTAGTTCTGGACAGACACAGCAGGCTGAATGTACTGATATCCGGTCTGAAAGTACAACTTTGGGCTTGATATTTCTTTTACATAACAGTTTTATGAACTGAGTAGATTAGTTAAAGCTCCTGTGAGGAACTTTCAGTCTGTGCCAATGTTGGTGTCTTCTGAGGACAAAGCAGTCTTCAATTGTTTGGTCTTCTTCTTTCATAAGTAGTGTCTTCTGACAGGAAATTTCATCCTGATGACTTATGACAGTTTAATGTGTCATTGAAAGTGAATATTTTGAATACACATTGTAAAAACAAGGCTATTCATCCTGTTCTCCAGCTGCTAGGTCTATACCAGCCCCCTCTTATTGGTTTCAGACATCAGAAATTACAGTATTGAAAACATCAGTCATGGGCCTAATGGTCTTATATCATAAAAAAACATCAATGTGAATTTCAGTCTATTTCTTAGATATCAAAAACCTCCTCACAGTAGCTTTAACAGAGATAAGAGACGACAGATAACTTTTGGTTATTTAATCATTCATTATGTTTTGCAAATACAAGTTAAGAAACTTGACTGACTTTGGACTGTCGCCAAGCAGGAACTGCACACTAACCACTTTTTACCAGCCGGTTCGTTAGTCTTCAAAGACTCCTTTGACTTCCCTGTATTGGTCAAAATGTTTTATTTATCATGCAATCAGTATGATAAGAGACTTATGACAGATGTTAAAAACATAAGATTTTTTTTCCCTTTTTTGACTTTTACAGAAGAACCAGCCTGACCAGTCTTGATCCAAGTTTTTTATGTGCGTGATTGAGACATATTAAACACTTTTCCAGACCTTTTTAGGCAAGCTGAAGCACAAAGTTAAAAGTTTGAATGTTATCTTATCTCAGCCTCTTGTCATCTCAGCTTAATTAGATAGTGAATAAATTCAAGTGACTTCAGAGGACCTTTATATGGCTACAGTTTTTGGATCCCCATAGTTTCCATCCCAGAAACCACTGCCTTCTTTGAAATGAAGGATACACTAGACAAAGTTAATGTCAACTTGGCTCAGATCCTGCTCATGTTAATCTCTCCCCTGCAGCGGTAAAGTGAGATAAATGCATGGTCTACAGAACACGTTTGTCAAGCTATTACCAAGTCTATTATTTCGCAACAGGAACCTACTGTATCGTCAGGGGAAAACAGAGTTCATCCCAGTTGATTTTAAAGTGACTCAAACAACACCTTTTTTTTCCCTTTAACTGTGTCTCTTTAAGAAAGGGTAAAACATCGAACATCACCCTGTAACTGATACCGAAAGCTTCAGTTCCTGTTCCTGCGGCTCAGAGGGGTACGTTTCCACCTCAGCAGGCAGAATATCAGATGGTTGAGAGACAAAAAAAGGGGCCATGGAGCCATCTCTTGGGTCACATACCATGCTGTGGCCTACTTAGCACTCTGACTGTGAACACACTTCTGTTGATGCTGATGATGTTTGACTGGACAAACCTGAACTGTACAACAGCAGACTGGCATTGGCATTGGGTAAGGAGCAAATACAAGCCAAATTAATTGTATAGCAGCACCTTGGATATTGACTTTCAGCTCATAATTTTCCTAGAAAACCAGCAGCTTTATTCTGTCAAGTTGGCTTTTGCAGAGTTCATTAGAGCAAGAAATCCAGACTGTAGCCTTCAGCCTGCATGCCGTCCTCAGGCTTTTACACACACTCTCTATGTCTGCGTCTGTGCTGATATTTTGACGCTTATATTTGCTGATGGCTGGTAGACGCTCTGTAGAAGTTGCCTGTGTGGATTGTGATTGCAGCATGGATTTAGGGGTTAGGAGATGGGGGGATGGGACGATAAAGGCAGAGTAGAGCGAGGAGAGTCGGGCTTATTCCTGTGAATGAAGGAAACAGTCAGGCTCCATTAGCCCAACCTTACTGCTGGAATACTAACGAATACGACCTAACAGAAAATGTTCCACTCACATTTCAGCACCAGCACTCAACATCAGAAATTCACACACGCCTCTATCTCTCTCTCTCATGTCCCTCCTCTACTTCTGTTCTTTTTCTGACTGTAATGAGCCACTGAGGACCACAGTCTGTCCTCTCCAGCCATTGCTCTGTCCATTTCAGTCACGGTATGGTGTTTTAGTAAAAGGGCTACTGTGCAGTGAAAAAAAACCTCAATTCATTAATTAGATACCCCCTTCATCTCTTGGCATTTTCACTTGCTCTCCATGTTAGATTTGTACCCAGTAGAGTCTCATTAGACATTGCTTTTGCTCCTCTAATAACCAATTTTGTCTTCAGAAAATTATTACGCTAGCAGAATTAAAACTCATTTGAAGCCATGCTGGGCTGGTACATCCTTTGCGTCCAAACAAAAAATACTCTTTAACAACTTTTTTATGGACTACCATGAAGATTTTATTTCTAAGGGTATAATACATTTACAGGAACAGATCAAGACTTTCATCATCGAAAGACTTGTAACTACCCACTGAGCAATAGACAGCTTTTAGACGTCTAGTTTTTTTAGACCTAATTTCAACCTTCTAGATTCTGTATATTTGTAAGACAGAATTTAGATGTTGCACTTTAACCCATTATCGATAACTATTTATTTCAGAAAGCAACTGTGAGTTGCATAACTGATCTCCAAGTACTTAACTAAAATAATTATGATAGCCATTGAGCAATGTACAATGTAGTATAGATATAGCCCAGATTTAGACTTGGTCTAATTTCAGATGTCTAAAAAACCTTGATTTTAGACCAGTCATCTAGGCTACATCTAGACGTCCATTAGACCTCTTCTAGACCAAAAAGTGCTCAGTGGGTGCTGTAACTACCCATAATCTATCAGCAGTGCAGAGGTTTTCAGGTGCTGTCCCTGTCACTTCGTCTGACTGCAGGACTTTAATATCAGCCATTGTTTGTTACAGGACACTACAAGAGTCCTAACTCTGAAAATGAGTTAAGCTGCAGTTTACTCTTTCCTGGCATCTCCTGTTATCATTAAGAGAGAGTGTGGGTGTTAATTCTTCTATCATCAGCTGATGATCACTGAGTTCAGATTACAAATCAGTGGATACAGATGAACATGTGTTTGGCCTCGCTCTTAGCTGTGTCTCTGATATCCCTCTCTGATAATCCACCATGATGACATACAGCACTCAGATCTATCTACAGATAGTCGAGAGCACTGTAGCCTGCGGTGCATTGCTCCATAGGAGCTTCTTAAATATCTGAGGTCGACCCACAGAGTCACAATCATATCAGCTCCAGAGTTCATGTGACAGGGTGTAATTCATCTTTTTCTGAGAAGCTGACCACGCTGTCCCTGGTCTTAATGCATCGTTCCCACGGCTGGTCCTGTAGTTTATCCCCACCATTTCCAACATTGGTCACAGCAAGACAGAAACAGAGGTGAGCACTGAGAGAGATATGAGATTAAATCCCCAGTGCTCGTGACCAGCAATTTTCAACCTATTTTTGGCTCCAGAAAAACCATCTGATGCCTCTTTCCCTCTTTCCCATAACCGAAGCATGAGAAACCAGGGCAGCAGTGACCACCCAGGCTAAAGGGGGTCATGCTGCAAATGGACAGACTTTCACACCAGTCCAGAGGGCTCCCCATCACCAGCAATCACCACTCTGTCCTCCATATGCTGTCACCCATTCATTACGATGGAGAGCAATTAGAACAGTTCCAGTGTGCCTTGTTCGGCTGAAAGGCAATGAGGTCCAGAAATAATGAGTAGAAAGATGATGAAGGGCTTCTTTCAGCTCTTTCAATGACTCACTGACCATCAGTGTGGAGGAGGAGGAGGAGCTGGGACGTTCTCCCTCTAATGACACCTGTGGATCAATGCCCAGATGCACATAGATAGTCGGTCATAGACGTTGCATAAATAGCTTTAATCTCACGTACCAATTACGTAACTTAGTGTTGAATAATAGTTATCTAATTAAGAATATAATGTAATCAGCTAATGCTCTATGTATGATTATAGTCCTAATTACGCTTGACATATATGCCACTGTTATTTTTACACCGTATGATGACACAGTCACATAAATCTGTGTGTCAGGTTTGTTTTTACTCTCACAGAAGAGCCGAAGCACCAATGACTGTTTCACTCATGACAGCAAATGTTTATAACATTAAAGTCTATCACAGTAGTAGTTTAATTTAAAAAACTTGAGCTACTGCTGATACTTTCTAGACATTAACGATTCAAAACATCAGCTGATCATCAAACGATCAGCTGATGAATCAATGACCATTTTGTCATTTTTTTAAACTGCACATATTTGCACCCCCTAACAGGGGTGTGTTAAGACGTTTTGACTGGGGTGGCCCACCCAGAGAACTGGCTTATACAGAGGTGGATATGAAGTATAATATGCAATAAATGTTTAATATAATATGTAATAAATGTTTACCTTTCTTTAACGACAGTGCCTCTCTTTTAGCCACTGATATTTAAGTATCACATGAATTTAATTCAATCCAGAGAGATCTTCTCAGCTTGAATATGGATGTTTGTCTGAAGGTGCAATTTAAAAAATACTTGAAGCATTGCCTGCAAACTTCTGCACAAAATCAAACCATCACAAATGCAATGTTTGGTAATGCATATTTTGCTAAATTTGGATTTTTGCTTGCTTTTTTTCGATGTCCCCTGTCTTATGAAACAATGTGCTGAGTATTTTTGTATAGAATCATTGTACCAACAAAGAAACAAATATCACTGAAATGCAAAGAAAGAAATGAGCTGTCTGTTGTTACATATTCCAAATAGTCAATTTCAACATAAGTCCCGTCCTGTTTAAGGTAACTAGCCAATCAAAGTATGTCAATTTCAATGTCAGTTTTATTTATATAGCACATTTGAAACAGCCAGTGGCCTACCAAAGTGCTTTACTGTAAAATAGGCATAAACAATAAAAGCTATAAAACAATAAAGAATGTAATACATATAAAAACATAAAACAACAATAAAGATAAACACAACAAATAAAAGTATAGTTCAGGATTTCAGGTAGCACCTACAATTGCCTGTCAGATTTCATGTCACACCTCTAAATAAAAAACTTCTATGTACTGAGACATGATGCTTTTCCCAGTATCAGGCTTTTTCTTGTCCGAATAGGTTTTTTGATATGATTTAGCTGTCATCATAAACAATATTGGCAGTGTAGTGTTCAGTACAGCGGGGTAATTAATGCTTATATGTACGTGTACAAACCAAATCTCAGGAATTTTATCCTCTACAACTTTCCAGTGTGCACTAAGACAGGTCATGGTTATTGAAATTCAAGCTGTGCCTTATTTGTGTGCATTACATACCATCAGAGGGTCTCATGGTCTCATATTTCACGTTGTGTATTTACAAATATGACATGTCTTCTAAAAAGAGACGCAGAGCTAAGAGGGGGGAAGAGTGTCTGGTCTTGAAGCAGTGTGTTAAATCCTGTTAAACTCGGAGCGATGGTGGGGACACGCTCTGCTTCCCCTGCCTCGCTGTGCTCCAGGGGAGGGATGAACGATTCGGGCGCGGAGGATGATTTGGCACCAATATTTCTTGATGAGCTGTCATTGGCTGAATACAAATGGGATTTAATTGGCTGTCGGAGCATTTTGGGGAAATGAGGCAGCAGCCTAAAGCGACGAATCCAACTCTCTTCTACCTTTTTGCACCATGTCAATGAGTTTTCTAAACTCATCATGTCACAACCAGCTCTCTAATATGAGTCATGCACTAGTTACAGCGAGATCCAGTTAGATTAAGTGAGCTGTGACTGGGGCTTTCCTCTAATTCAAACGGTCATTTTTTTGAGCTCATGAGGATGTAACTGTGTGGATAATGAATTTTTAGGAGTGATAAAGATTTAAGGAGGCACTGACCAAAGAAATCTCACCTTCTTCCTATTTAGATTAAGCTTGTCTTGACAAAGAGCTGTGAATGAAAGAATTGTAAGAGATGTGTACAGATAACACCGCTCTGATTTTATCTCTCATGTCAGCCGAGGAAAGTGTTTACAGCCTGGCTGGGGAGACAATCACAGACGAGCCTGGGTACAAGAGGAAGGCTGAGAATTATGAGCATCCTTGTCTGATGTTTGTCACTGCTGTCTGGTTTACTAACATGTTACATTTCTTCTTTTTGGGTGGCTAAAAATAGATCAGTTCCTTGTTTTTGTTGGTAAATCTGCATGCAGTCTCAGTAGTGTTGCTCTATCCCGCTCTAATTTGTTGTTTGTCTTTCTCCTCTTATTCTCTCTGAGGCCCCCTGTCCTGGAAAAGGAGTTGTTTTTCGTCAGTTATAGAAATCACTTCAGCTCCCAGGACCTTTAAGCTGCAGGATATTTTGGTGCTGATCAGTAACTTAACCCATTTGTTATTGTCGACAACAGTACATGCCCATCAAAGACAAAACATTGTCCCATGGTGTGTGATATCTGACTATCAGAATACAAGCTGTGCATTTGTGTACCCGGGGGGCGCAGAGTTATTCTTGTCGCTGCAACAAGTGTGGCCCAGTTACTAATTCTCACTGCCTTTGTGTGCTTTTGGCAGTGTCCTCTCTAGTGTTTACTCCTGATGTGTAAAAAGTGAAAAACTGCAGCCAGCTTTCAGCCGGGATTATATCAGTGCACCTGAAACTGCAGGACTACTGTAACAGTTCAGTATACGTTCCTTTTCTTTATCAAATACACAAAATGTGGGTTCACTGCATCATTTAAAGTCCAAGGAAAAATAACAGACATTTTGAGGTGTCTTTACTTTTTCTTTAGAGTCGTGTCGTGGAAAGTCTTTTGCTGCTTATAGCGCCCACATCTCATCTGCTTCATGTCTGTTTTATGTCTGCTGTTTTCTGACTGTGTTTGTTGTTGAATTTCCCTCCCGGGATAAACAAAGTTGTTTAGATCTTAAATCTTGAGAAATATAGTCAAAGTGTTCAAAGACTGAAGTTTTTAGTTTTTTTGTGTTGGAATTATGAACATTCCTCTGTATTACCTCTCCTACCTGTGTGTAATGCACGCTCCTTAACAGATGAGAAAGGACAGCACAGCAGCATTGCATTGTGGGAGAATCTTGGCTTCATTACTCAGCCAAAGTGTTTAAAGAGTGAAAGGTGTTTCTTCACAGATTTAAACACTTTGAACAACCATCATATCAGTTCCTCATTGGCTCTAGAATTTTTTGAGTTGTCAACGACTAAAGACAAGAACTACAGAGGGCAAAACTGACTCAGATTTGACTTGACATGAAAATATTTATTTTCTAAATACAAAGACTAAGGCTAAATTTGAGCTGCCAAAATAACACTGTTGTCAGGTCTGTTTTATCTCATCTCAGAGGTTGAAACTTATGTTGCTGTCCTTTAATAATATGCAAACGCAAACAAATCTACAATCAACAAGACTGAAGATTTAATATCCTTATTTTTATTGTCTTAAACCTATGTGAGGGTCTTGCTGTTCCTCAGGTTGAGATTTTAAACCTTGGGCCCAGACTGATTACCTCCTCCTGAATGCAGAAATATATTTATATCATCTGATTTCTGCTCATGGGAGCTGGGGTGTTACTACAGTCTGCTCTTGAGTGCTATTTTCCTGCCTACAACCAATTGCTCACCAAGTCTAATAATACATGATTGGCCAGTACTACTCATATTTACTACAACTCTGATTACAACCGGCCCCCAAGAACAGGTTCTCTATTTTTATGTAGACTATAGAAGGAGATTTCCCTCCGAGCAGGTGCTGGTTAGCCTGGTTTAAGTCCTTGAATGATGTATTGCTTAATGAATTTCAACCCTCCACAAGTTCTTGTGCCACATGGAATCATGCTGGCCTGTGTGTGGGTTGCCATGGCTACACATCGAGGTGGATGAAGAGCGTCAGAGTCGGTGGTTGTGCAGCAGAGTTCTGTCTTCCACTGATATCTGCTGAGGAGGAGGAGAAGGAGGAGGAGGAGGGAAGAAATGGGAGAGGGGGAGTTTCCATGTCAGGCATTAATGTGAGTGTAGCGCTAGCATGGGGATACGCCGCTGCACATCAATTATGACTAACATATTTAGGAGGCACAGGCTGCCGCACAGTCTGCCGTGGGTTCATGTGTGACTTTCTTTTTGTGTCCTAATCCTTTGACTTTGAATATGACTGACAATAAGTTTTTTAGGGATTATTAGCTCGTCTTGGTTTCACTGCTGATTGACCCAGTTTTTCCTCAAAGATGGCATTGTGTATTTGGGATGGTAGGGATTTTGGGGGAGGGGGGTCATATGCTTCATGTAAGCATAAAAATATAAATGGAGAATCTGTGTGCCGCCGAGGTCTCACACAGGCAGTCGTCTAAAGATGAAAGCTGCTTTTTTTAACATTTTCCACTGGTGTGTGGACTGGAAAATATTAAAAAGTATTCAGTAATGTGACCGTGTGCCATTTCTTGCATCATTCTTGCGCTGACTGACTGTCTCCTGCCAGAAAATGCTCTCATACTTTCCTCGTATGAACTCTGAACCCTCGGTTGCCTTTCCTCTCTCATGGCATGAAATTGAAATCCCACAGCGGGATGGAGGGGCGGTTGTATTCCCATGTACAGCCATCTTCCTCGCTCACATCCTGAAATGTAATTGGGTCGTGGCGGATGAGAGACACAGGAAAGGAGCAACAGTGGAAATTATCTGGTGTCTGGTGGCGGAGAATACTAAGAAGCAGGAAGTCTCTGGAAATTGCAAAAACAGCATTTTTATCAGATCAACTTAACGCATTGTGTATATTTGGGGTTGCAACTTTTGAGATATCTGCATGCTCATAGAGTGTTGCCTTTATTAGAAATATTACTTTAAATTGAATTACTTTCAAGATGAGTAAAGATATAACTTAGAGCTATTTCAATTTTCAGTCCGCCAAGAGAAATCCAGGCTCTGCTCAGTTTAATACTTCTTGCACTTTATTGTCTTTGCTCATGTTCTCTTTCTTCTTTTATTACATCTATACCAAATTGTGTACAGCGCAGCACTAAAGGGACGCAATGTTGTTCCTCTGTGTGTTTTTTTATTGACAGAATGACAATAAATTTCACCTCAAACATAAATCTCAAAAGAAAGACCCTGCCTGAAAAGCACAATTTCGAATTTCTTTGTCCTTTATAGGGTTTCTTCAGGCACAGACACCCATAGCTGTGTTATTTCTTAACAGTTTTCAGTATTTCTAATTTATTAACAACATGAATTAAGGCTGTTGTAGTATGTGCAGTAAATCTGTCTTCAGACTGTGAGGGAATTGTAGCTGAAAATATGCAGAAGTAGTAACCTGTGTTGCATTTTTCCACTAAGAAAAACATTTAGAGAATAGAACATTGGGGATTTCCTACCTCAGGAATGGGAGCAGTCGTCTACATTTAGAGTGGTAAAAAGCTCCATCATACACCAGCTTTTTATCTCTATGAAACACTGCAAACAGACCCGAAAACGCAGGTTCAATAATACATGAAACATCAGGACAGTTCTGCATACAGAAACCCATTTCCTCTTCTACAACATTCCTGCAGTCTGCTGTAAAAGCTGTCACTAATGCTGTCAGGTTATGTCTGAAAACATTATGCTGCTCATGCTCTCTATACTGTGCACAGGTGCTTTGGGAACAGCGATGCCCTTATAATAAGCCTTGTTCCTATGGTAACCAAGATAGATGTGTCTTTGTAGAAGATGCTTGTGTTTGTTTGCTTCAGACGGTAGAGAAGTCGACTCTATCGGCCCGTGTGTCAGTTTAACACAGACAGGAGAATGAAAACCCGACCTGTGATGCCTTTGAAGGGTTTAGTGACAGACACGTGAAGGTGGATCCTTTGACTTTTCATGCACATACATTACGCCGCTGAGCGCTGCCCTTTGATGGCAGCTTTCTGATCCCTTTTATTAAGCTCTTGAACTGCGGTGCCGTTACCCCCACTGTGTTATCAAGGCAGGTAGACATCACAGTACATGATGGGCGTGGCTCCTGGCTTATCCTCACTCTCACTCTGATGTCCTCCTGGTCTGGAATAAAGGCGAAAACCCTCGCGGGAGCTAGTTTGCCTCAGCTGCCGAGCCGCTTCACAGCAGCACTGCCCCTCTTCAATGAATTATGAATTTCTCATTGAGATTCTGTGAGCTAATTAACATGTCAGCCCCGGCTAGCGGTGTGATATTATGGGATCCTGTGGTGCTTTATTGTACCCACGTTGCTCTTGCCTCACCTTTCCTGTTCCCGTCCCCTGTAGTGTTCTCATCAGCTGGAAAGCAATACCTCTGCACCTCCATCTCTTATTTTCTGTACTGGTAATGTAAGCAGAGATTGCTGCATTTTGTCCTTGCTCCGTTTTATGTGAGGCATGCTGCATTTGCTTGACGTGCAACATATCAGGATCCCTCTCAGCTGTACCTGTGCAGCTGAGCCTGCCTCCCACCGCTGCTCCTGGCTGTAATTGAATTTGGGGTCTCTTGGGTAGATAGAGGGTAGATGTGTAGGAGGGAGAGTGAGGATGAATGGAGCCCGGAATGAGGGACGGACGTCAGAGTATGTGTTAGAGAGAGGGGAGGGGGGAAAAAAAAACTGTTGTCCCAGCTGCGCACATGCCTGCTGGAAAGGTATTGACCTGTCAGCAATCGCTCCTCTTCTAGTCTTTATTAAACTGTTGCATAAGCCACCATGGAGAATAAAAGCAAAGCAGAAGATTTCATCTATCCCGGAGCAATCGCACAGCCAAACTCCTAAAACTGAGTTGAGTTTTTCGCTTCCTTTCTCTTAAAGCTTCTTTTCAGCTTTTGTCCTCACTCTTCTCTGGCTGTCTCTCTGCTGATAAGTGATGGGCGAAAGTCCGGCGCTTAAAGAATCAAAGCTCTCTCCGTGCTGGAATGCCCCTTAATAGATGTCAAAGGATTCGTCCCAGGGGGATGTCCGCTTTCACACAACCAGTGGGGGTTGGTCTTTTCAGGGTACTCAAGGTCTCTACAGCTCCTCAACAGCAGCAAACGACGACTTAAGAGTATCTGTCATTGCAGAACAGGCAGCAAAGTCATGAGTGGATCTGACACATGAGCCGACACATCCTAAGTTTGATTCACATCCTGAAAATGCATGTCACTTTAATGCACAGTATAGTTTTGCCACCATATCTGTGTTTATGTCTCATTTTTTTGTAAAGTTAAATGAGGTTGTGTGTGTCTAATCATCTTGTTTTCAGCTCCCTGCTACAGCCACGTGTCTTGTGGATTTTATGTGACTGACTTCCTTTATTTCATTTAAACCCATTACACAGAAATGTTGTCTTGGTGCTCAGAGTTGACGTGCTTTATACAGAGAGGCGGCATGAAGCCATTTAACCCAATTCAGATAGATTTGGTTAGTGAAATTACACTTGAATGACTGTGATGTCAGAGAGGGGTTACATAGCACGGGTAAATGTCAGCCATGCAGTTTGAAAAATATTCTTGATTGCTGTGGCGTCGAAGTATCGATGCAAAGTGGCAAGTTGTGCTGTAATAATGTGTTAGTTTTGCACGACTTTTACTGCCTTGATGCTGAGGCTGAATTCATGCGTTTACCCTCAGCATGTAGCAAAGCTTTACTAAAGTACACTCTCATAGTGCTTAGAATCAAAGGTCACATGAAGGGTAGCATGATGGTTGTACATGTAAGTGATCCTGGACAAAGATTTGGAAACGGATCTCGGTGACATTGAGGTTTTTGACTGTCAGGTCTTCTACACTTAAAAGCATCATCTTGGCCACTAACTGTAAATGCCATATTTTTCAACTCATACACATAGATACTTAGATAAAACACAACCAGTTAACTTCTCACTTAAAGTCCCACTCTGATTGTTTTTTTGTTTTTTTTTACTACTTTAATTGTTCTCACTGGTCTTTAAATTGTGATTATGAAGTTTTTACCAAAAATCACATTATTGTGTCATTTTCAAGGGCTTTTCTTTTGCAGAGCTCCAGTAGATCATTAGCGATTCTCCTCAGGGTAGTGGGCAGAGACAGTGCTGCTCTCAACACTCATCTTCACGTTAGCTTGCAGCTTCATTACCAGTGTAATAGAAGTGACAGGTTACAAAGGAGCTATTCAGCTCTCGGACACTAATGTCTTGAGGGACACAATGAAAGTTAATATCATAATTAGCTTTCTTACGAGCATTGCAATCCGCTAACGCACACGCTTGTTTCACGATCTTCCTCTGAATTTCTCCTCTATATGCAGAGTGTGACCTGCATCGCAGGGCTCTGGGGACAGAGCTTGGATTGGTTACGTAGGAAATCTCACTGTTTCTGAACCTGACGTTTGGGTCTGCCAGAGATTCACAGCAATTTGAATGAGGAAATACTCAGAAAAGCAATTTCACATTTAGTTTTCTCACGATATGTCCTGTAGCATCAGAAAAATGCCACGTGAACATATAAAAAAAACAAGAAAAACATGACTTTACCCGGAGTGGGTCTTGAAACAGATTTTACTCCCAAAACCTGAAAGTGAAAGATTAATAACAGGTCATCTTCAGCTATTGTGGATATGAATTCGAGCTAATGCACCCGACAGCCGATAAATGTCCCCAAAATAGCCTGTAAAACCTTAAAAAAAAAATTCTGATTTTGTCCATTCAAATACAAATCATGTTTTTATTGAAAAAGCTTATTTATATGAGCCAAACTGTGAAGGCAGTGTTATTATCTATGTCAGCTTCTCAAAGGTTAGTGCTTTGCAGTCACTCCTGACATGTTTTTCATCCAATCTTTTGCACTGGACCATCTCCACAGCAGACTGGCAATGCTGCATACTGTAGGTTTCCATGGAGATCTTCCCCGGTTTAAAAATGAAGCCAGCATTGTGTGACTGAAAGCCCAAGTTGCGCCCAGTGCTGGCTTTCTAACCTCACTTAGTGAGACAAACCAGAGGCCTGAATTCAAACCCGACACATTTAAGAGAGAGCTGCGTATGCTTTAAGCCTTTTACTCACAGGAACACTCATGTTCACTTCTCATCTATTGTTTATGTGATGTTAAATTAGTCAGAGTGGACTTGTTTCTATCTCTGAGAACCCTTCAATGTAAGCACTCTAAAACACAAATCCAGCTCTCCCACTTTCCAGATCCGGATTTGTGCATGTGTGTCTGCACAGCCTTGATAGCCAGTTTTTAGTCCAGCCAACCCTAAATCTCATAGAAATGGTTTTGGGTGTGCTTGAGAGCCATGAAGAGGGTGTGGTGTTAGCACCCCATGTATTTTAGCTTCATAAAACATGGTTACGGTCACGGTAATTGCAACATTATCACACTGAGAAATGAAGCTAAAAGCTGTGCTGCTAAAAGTAGAACACACATTTACATCATCTGATGTGAAGATTATTACTCACTATTTAACCTGAACCACATGCTTACTCACTGCGTCAGATGGTTCCTTTATTTTTTCTGTTTCTGAGATTAGGAATCACAATTTCCTTTATGTTGTCATGGTTACCGGTCTTGTTCTGAATTGGTATTCAGTTGTCACAGAGGCCTGAATTCCTGCTGGACCCATGGCCCACAGACATAGAGCAACAGCTGCCTTCACTGAGCCTGCCTGCCCTCACATTTGCTTGCCGGCTGGTGTTTGTACCCAATTCTGAGCCAACAACCTCAAATGTGGAATTTCACCTCAGGACAGTGTCCACATTTGTTACACTGATGAGAAGGAGTGACAAAACTCCAGCGACAGGGTGGTTCATGCAGAGGGTTGAAGGTTTAAATCGTGCCTCATTAAAACTGGCAGCGCAGTTCTGCAGTAAATGTTACATGTCAAAGTGACTTGACACCTGGACCAGACCGTTCAGGTTAGCGGCTCCGAAAGGTTTCTGAATCCAGATCAGATAAATCCCTGTGTAGGTGCTCTTGACCTGGCTTTTCCTTTTAACCATTCAGGTTCAAATATGCTAATAAAAAACACAAAACTGTAACATTATGGAGCCGCCTCATGTACAAGCCGCAACTTAAATGTTGACTTTGACTCTAGTTTATTATCACTCATTCATACATGGTTATTTTTGTGTGGCACGCGTGGGGCTAATATACTTATATAATGTTTCTGCTGTGTAACAAGTTGATAAAAGTAACCTTGACATAGTAGGCTACACTGATGGCTGTTTAAATACCAGACCTGCTAAAAAGTGCATTTAAGCACACAAAGACCTGAACTATCAATGTGACCATCTGCTGAACATCAAGCTAGTGATAATGTTTTGGCTTTAGCTTTTATCTGAAAGCACATCTGGGCCTAAGTACACCCTTACAAAGCTGCTATCATGAGTTTAAAAAGCGTAAAGAGTTTCATGTGCATGGTAATACAGAAAAAGTCTTGAATGAAAAGCCTCCTCTGTGTCATTCAGTTTGCCTATCTGAATGAGATTCATACTTTTCATTCACCGTGCATCGTACTTTAGCAGTGGGTATAAAAGGTGCATCATTAGTGCTTTTTCAAAGTAGGAGTGCTTCTTGACTGTTGACCTTAATCCTTGTCCACAGGAAGTGCAGCCTTGGTCTGAGGCTCGTCTCTCTTCATCTGTGAGGGTATCTATATTCTGTCAGGGAAATCCTCAAAGATGGGCTCGTGAGCCGAGTGTTCATTAGAGGGTCATACTGAATGCATTAAGATTTTTCAGTATGATCTCTGACATTGATCTTTTTTAACACTCAGCACCCTTGGAGGTTGTGTTTTTGCAGCTATTTACTCAGTACTATGCTAACATAAAGGTGAAGCATTTGTCGAGTCAAGTTTGATTATTTTTTACACTTCTCTTGCTTTACTAAATTAGACATTTTGGCAGTACTAATTTTTTCCCAAATGGATGGCACAGTTTTCAGGCTGGGTAGCTAAGCCTTTATTCAAAATGCTAACAATCAAAAGGAGCTGACACAATTTTCTCTGTGTTTGGGATAAAGTTTACAGACTGGGGTTAAAATGTTTGGCATGTCAGGCCACCAACTATCACCAATACAGGAAATGGTCTCCATCACAGGGCAGAGGCGCTCTGGATTTTCTGCTCTGAGGGATAAGTAGTTTAAGGCTAATCTCAGGGAGGCCAACTGATTGGCCTCGCCAGTAAAGCAGCATGTGCAGCTGTCATGATTTATTGCTGGTGGAGATTATGAGAAAAGGAACGTACGGCATGCCAGTTCAAACAACCAACAAATTCCTCAAGTAACTTAACCTTAAAAAAAAAAACCCTGATCCCCATCTTTTTTCACAGTTTGTCCAGCTTTAAAAAAAACCTGCGACAGATCAGAGGGAGGGCAAGAAGCGGAAGCAGCTTTCTTCAGCTTTGTGGTCTGAGTGTGTTGGCGCCTCACAACAAACAGCAGCTTCCACTGTCTGAAATGATGGTCAGAGGGATGATTTCAGTCAAAGTTAAGCTCTAATTTCCACGTTGTTGAAATTCAGATGAGAGACAACTAGTGTAAAAGTGCGAAAGTACAAAACTGTCAAAACTGAGCAAAACTTAATTAACCGAGCAAAACAAGGGTTCACAGAGTCTTTGCTGAGCGTGGCTAACACCAGCAGATCCAGCATCACCAGTGTACATGCTACATTACCTGTAAATGCACACACACCCATGCGGGTTATTGCTTTGGCAGATGAGACACAGCCTACATAAAACCAAGCAGCAACTTCTGGGCTTAAAGGGATATTCCAGCGTAAAATTATTGTAGGGTCAAACACACTGTAACACTGAGTTAGAAACCCCCTCAAGAGATGAATGTTGCTGACTGCTTGCTTCTCTAGTTTTACCAACTTTATTAACAACCACAAGATAGCAATACACAGCGGTCTGAGGAGCCATAAACAAACCTCAACCAAAACGCCACTCTATAGCCACAAATAATGCTCAGAGCAGCACCTAACTTCATCAACAGTACATATAGGGTCCTAGCCATAGTACAAGGCACCAAACATTTTTTAGCTTTGCCTAATTTCTTTATTAGCAAAGAGAACAGACACAACTCACCCACTGTCTTCCAGGAGCAGCTTGTTTGAAGCGAGACCTCAGGCCAGTTCATCATCGACTGAGGCGGGGTAACGCAGCTCAAGGAAGAACATTTGTGATCATTTTCTTGAAGTAATAATAATCACCACATTAATCATTTTGCACTGCAGGCGTGGTGGTTCTTCTACCTTAGTGTCTTGGTTTGATTGCATTTCCATGAAGAAATGATCATAAATGTTCTTCCTTGAGCTGCTCAACCCCGCTGCAGTCCGTAATGGACTGGCCTGAGGTCTCGCTACAGACAAGCGGCTGTAGCGAGCGGGAGAGTAAGTGAGTTTTGTTTAGTCTCTTCGCTATAGAAATCAGGCAAAGCTAAAAATATGTTTGGTGGGTAGTGCTGTGGTGTGTTTGACCCATAGACTGTATATAGAATGGACAGAGTCTGCCTCCTCTCTGGGTGAAGCCACTCCGAGAACAGCACCCTCTGTTGACGGGCTGCAGTATAGGTCATAAATCCTCTGCCAGCAAAGCTTATGGGGCTGTGGACAAAGTTTAGAAATTTATTACACAGAACATAATTTTTTCTCCCCCATGCTTGTGTTGACATGTAGTTACAGTAAGACTGGTTTGTGCTCAAGTCCTCTTTTTTCTGTGAAGCTCCGTTTTTAAAAGTTATTAGGGGGTTCATGTTTTCTTTGATTGACACCTGATACAGCCTATGGGCATTCAGGGATTGCGTAGCTCTCCTGGGGGATACGCTGTTTGAGCCGAGCGTCATCACAGTGACTCTCGGGCCGAATGCGCGCATTGCTACTGCGCAGCGCTGGTTTCAGGAAATGAAGAAAAATCCCGGAAATACCGAGAGCTTTTTGGCTTCAAATCTGTATACAGGCGGTAGGCGGAACCAAGTTGTGCATAGTATATACAGTCTATGGTTTGACCCTAAATTAATTTTACACCGGAATATCCCTTTAAGAAATGCAGACAATGCAGCTCCTTGCATGTAGCTCATTTTCCTGTCAGCACACGCTGTACTGAGGGAAGAATTTAAAATCTGTGGTTATTTACATCCAGGTAGTAAAGCATCATGGCATTATGGCAGTGGCCATGGAGGATGGCTGTGCAAAGGTGCAGTTACAACATATAGTAACTGGTCTTTTTCAATTCTAGGATAATGAAAAAATCACTGATTTGTTTAACTAATAAGTAATTCTAGTGTGGACAATGGCATGTAATTTTTTGGTAGACTAAACACAAACATTACAAGTTGAATCACAGTTGCTCTTCTCAGCTCTTTGGTATGTTGTAGCCCTGCTTTTATGCCCAGCGTTGTTAGTTAAATAATGACTGTGCATTTGGCAAGCCTGCATCTGCATATTAATTATGATCCCTATAATGCTTATGCACCATATCTTAATGGCGCACCATATTATCACTGCACTCTCTCTCTGTCTCTGGCTTGATCTCTCAAACACTTGCAGCACATAAGCAGATATCACAGTAATTATGTAGATCAGTGTGTCGGCTCCAATAGAAGAGGCTGCTGTTCATACATTCAGGGTGGCAGAGTTACTTAATTAACATACCTGGGATGTAAAGTTTTCCAAAAGACTACATCCCATCTGTTTTGTATCTGATGAATGAGTTCAGGTCTGAAGTGTGGTAAAGTAAACCTCTGCCAATCACTGAACTTTCTGAGGGCCTGGAGAGCTACTCCAACATCTGTTTATCTCCTTTTTTAGAGATGATGATGTTGATGTCAGTTTCTAGTGTTGTCTTACAGCAGAGTCCAAGGCTTTGATTAAGGAACTAAATATTCAAACAGTTGGTCCAGAAACATCTGGCCACATAATCACTGCAGGTAAACACAATCCTTCCCTTTGTACCAGAACTGATCAGAGATCTGGATCAGACAGAGGGCACTTCATGTTCAGCAGAGATACACTTGGAGTAGGTACATTAAACTGGGAGGTAGCCCTGCTCAGTTTGCACTTAAGCTTGGTGGGCTGTGACTGATAGGGGATTGAATGTGACTTTTGGGGGTTAGGGTTGTCAGGCTTGTTATCTCGAGAACTGATGAGGACTTGGCGCTACTATGAGGGTGGTAGCATAAATTTATTTTACATTCCCAATAACCACGTAAGAGCTGGTCACAAAACACACATTAATAAAGGATATGTTCCTTAGAGCACAAGCTTACCCAATTAGCAGGAGTTATTTAGAAAGTTATTTAATCTTAAAACTTCAGATGCCCAGAGACTACTCTGAATTATTCCTGCAGAAACACCTAAACTTATGTCTCATCAGGGGATGCTACAGCATCAAAATTTAATGACTGTTTTTTCTGACCATTTTACTCATTTACATTTCTTTTACAGCATCCTTTTGACCAAAAAAGCCCTTTTGGAGTAGCTTTTACACTTTTGTGCTTTGATTGAGAGAAAGGATAAAGGGTAGAGGAGGAAACGGAGAAGAGAGAATGCAGAACGGCATCCGACAAAATCAGCCAATCAGATTTCAACCTGGGCCGCCCACTCCAAGGTCTATGACCTCTGTACATCAAGCACATGATTCAACCACCGAGCCAAAGGCCCGTTTTTTAAATCAAAAACAGGAAATAAAAAGGCAAAGGCTTAAGGCTAAAGACAGAAAAAAAAGACATTTATTGGTTACTGAAGAGGAGTAGTGAATCCCAAAACAGTGGCTGCCAAACTGGAAATGTTGACTCATGCTAACCTTTATCTGAGCCACAATATGGCTAAAAAGGATGGAGTTCAGGGCATAGTTTTACTTCCTGGTACAGAACTATGAGACCTCAAACTGTCAGTAAAATTTCAGAGTTGTACAGAATAAAGAAGCGGAGAACCAGAAGGTTATTGTAGTAGGCTGTAAATATATTTAATTCTGCTGTAAAATAAGTTTTAATGGAGATTCCTCTGCTAACCCTCCAGTGAACACTTAAAGAGCTGCAGCTTTTATTACCTGCAGTAGTTTTATTTCTCAAATAGCCTGAAATAGCCTGCCTACTTTTTTTTTTTTTTCCAAATGGTACTTTTAGGAGGGAAAGTTGTTTGGCATCCTTTCAAAATAAAAGCAGGAAAAAACATCTTAGCTAACATGAAGCAAAACAAATCAGTGTGTAGGGAACAATCTCTTCTCTCGAGTTAAAACATAAATCAGGTTACATATTCAGGCTTTTCCTTTTTTTCTCCATTTCCTTTCTCTTTGCAAGTTTAAGATTGATTTATCTGTGACATAACCGCACAAAGTGTCTTGCCCACTACACATGAGTCTCTTTGGTGTATCCTCATAACACCATCTGTTCTGGGGTCAAGCTTAGCATGTCAGGATCCCACTGACCGTTTAATCAATCTGAATCATTAAGAAATACCTCCCTGACATGTTTTGTATTCAGAGTCTACGGTGTATGAAAGGCTTGTCTCCATCGTGGCCTGACCTTGTGGTAGCTGTCTCTCACAGTTACACTTAATTAATCTCCTAATTAACCTATTGATTGCTTTCACAGTTACAGTGCTCTACAGTATTTACAGCTAATTGAGGGAGCTCTTAATTCTGCAGGTAATGGAGGTTTTCTGCTATAGATTATTTTCAAAGTAATCCAAAATTGTACAGAAATCCCACATTAAAGACAGGTACGTTTGGACAAAAAATTTAATTACATGTAACCCGGTGAAAGACAGATTGAGGTTCAAACTGTTAAACTTTTTCTACATGTAATAAAATGATAGGAATTGCATAGGAAGTATACAACAGTTTGAAGGGTCCTCCTTTTTATTCTCTAATATGGTAATGATGGCTTAAAAATGTATTATTCAGCTCTTCAACTTGCTTTTATCTAGCCAAACTTAATGTGGAGTCTCAGCCCAAATGTGAAGTGACGCTTCCTCCCCCCTGACTGACAGTAATCCATGGCTCTGGGAAGGGGTGCTGGTGGAGAAAAACCAGCATGGGTCCAGAATTTGGAGCACTTTGAAAGAGATTCAGGCAGATGAGAGAAAAAGAGGCCAATCTTTCTCGGTAATTCCAGCTGCTCTAAAATCCCCTCTCGCTCTCCGCTTTTTAAAAACGATAGTTAAGAGTTAAGCAAGGGCATGATAAAAATTTAAAGCGTGTTGCATCAGCGCATGTTTAACATAAAACCCTGACCCAGAGTTTGCAAAGCATGTTGGGATATTTGTTCAACTCTTCCACTGTGTATTCAGTTTGCGCACTGCTGAAGCAAACACACCACTGTACGATCTGTCTCCTGATTTATGGCGCTCTGACGAACAGTGGGAGATCCTCACACAAATGAGCAGAGCGGCGCACTGTTATTCAGCCGCACAACGGTCACAACAGGACACTTAATTATGCTTTATGCAGAATCAATATGTTTCTAGCAGGCGCAGGGGAGGGCATGCAGAGAGAGTGGGGAGGAAGGAGGAAGCGAAGAAGGAGGAGGAGGGAAGCTACCTCCATCTCAGCACACCCCCATTGAGTCCAGGGGACATTATTTTCATGGTTGTCCTCTCCTGGCCTAGAGGCCGGCCTACTGTGACAGAGCGACTCTGACAGCTGTGGCAGCCCAATCATCACTTTCCCCTTCATTTGTGCTGAGATTTTTCATCTGCAGCTTGGGAGTTCTGGCAGAAAAAAGCTTAAATATAAAAAAAACGTTTTAAGTATTTCCAGTAATGCTTCATTAGATTGTGCTAAGATAAACCCACCATGTCTCATTTAGTTGTAATTACACAGAAGCTCTAATTATGGGCAGTTTTTCTTTAACATATGCATGGTCACACATCTTTATATGCAGTGAGGGTCTGTAGGTAATTTGACAGGATTATCAGAGGGTTCTCCTCCCTCCTCGCCGTTCTCTCTCAGTCAGCTTCCTGCTGTAGCCGAGTCACCCTGGGAACCTCTGCACAACATGACATGAATCTCAATGAGCTCTGGTTGCCACTGACCTCTCTGTCCTACCATTTCCCTCACAGTGCACAGTTTACACCTGCATGTGCATATATGCATGCACACACAGCATATGCAGAGATCCTTGCACTCTGTTTTAATTTTTATTTGTTGAGGTGGAAGCCAAAGCAGCAGGGGCAGAAAGTCAGGGCTGTCTTCACATATGTTTCCAATAACAGGAGGATTCAGTTTGGGGATGTATCTGCCTGCTACTGGAAGTTCAAGTTTCAGCCCAGCCTGAGGAGTGCTATCAGAAGAGCTACGCTTCACTAAAATGTATCCTAAATCATTCCCTGGGGTTTTTCCAGCGCTACCACATGTGCAAAGTAGAATTCATGCCCGCGTCTCCTAAAATTCATTTTGAGTCTCCAGGGTCAGTTTGAAATATCTGCGTTTTCAGAATTTGCCGTAGTCTTTTTCCGTCTTATTAAGCACTTTTTCTTATCAGGGACAGGTCAATAAAATACAATAAAAAGACATCGAGTGTATAAACCACAAGCAGAGTCTATTAGTTTTCTGAAAAGGTGTCATGAAGCCCAGAGGGTGCAGTTACAGTTTTGGAAATGCTGACTCCGACTATATTTACTTGATAATAAAGAAACTGCTAAATGGTTGAGTTGAGGCGATAGCCTGGCTGCCCTGGAAACATCTAAAACAAGGTCACCTGCCTTCTAAATAAGCCTCACTAAACAGGCCTGATTATGCATAACTATTTACTGACTGTTCACTAGGGGTGTCATGATTCTACAAATCCTTGATTCGATTAAATTTTCGATTTTAGGGTCACAGTTCGATTTGAATCTTGATTCTTTTTTTTTTTCTTACAGCATAAAGGCCTGTGCCATTTTTTTAGACTAGTCTAGTCGACGATCATTGGTTTTATTCATTACATTTTGTACAGTACATCTGATTTCAAAAGATGGGCAACATACAAGTGATGCTATTTCCATTATTCTCGTGTTATGTATGACATTAGGCACTAACAGTCACATTTAAATAATTTATTTAACAATCTTGTTTTCAGTGAAGTGAAAACAACAAAAACAAACATAATAACAAAATAAGAACTCACAGAGCCTCGTGTCGGCTACAATGTGCGGCGTTGTCATTTGCTTCCGCCTTGCACACCTCCCGGATGTGGAGGGAGGAGATCGTCGCTCCTCTCTTTGATTTCGATTATCGAGACCATGACGTAATTTCAATCGATTTTCATAAAAAACGAAATCGTGACAACCCTAATGTTCACTGTAAATAAGTGGTTTTGATGGGATGTCTTTGACTTTTGGGACAGTCCTCAAGTGAGAACTGGAAAAACTGCAGTCACTTCCTCATTGGCTCCACTTAGTCGGATGAGATGGTTTCAGCGCTGAACCTTCCCTTTTTCTCCACTGGTTTATTTCTCTTCTTTTAGTCTCTCAGACTGTCTCATCTTTGACCTCAATCAGCGTCCTGCGATGACACAGCTGAGAACCCCCCACTGTGAGATGACTGCTCCATTATCTATCAAGCTATAACCGAACCAGCAGGGGCCCTTAGACCATCAGGGACCTCTCGTTTGAGACACTGGATTTTTTGATTCCTCTCCTCCCCGGTGATGACTGACCACTTTCTTTAGGAATAAAAACACCACAACTCTCATATCCAACCAGCCATGATTCCCTTTGTTCCCGCCGTCTTTCTGGAGCCTAAAGGAATTGGCAGGCTGTTCAGCACCCGTGCCACCTGCCCGGCAACACTCCCCCAGGAGGGCTTTGGTGAGCGCAGCCCAGCCTGGCTTATTGGAAGTGAAGTAGACCATACCAAAATCTCCTGGAGGGGAACAGTACAGGGAGTACACAGCTTCTTTACACCTGACCTTTCTGTTGTTTTCGCTGACAGGAGCACACTAACAAGAGATGTGGGGTGGGGTGGGGGGACGAGGTCGAGCAAGGGGGGGCAGTTTGGTTTACCCTGAAGTGGAAACCTCAGGCAGACACGTGTGCAGACATCGCTGTCATCTTTGTTTAGCTCATCTCTGTCAGCTGGAGCATGTGGAGGTCAGTGTGGTGATGCGAGCATGCTAGCACTCAGACACATGTAAACAGTAGTAGCATCCTATGAGCCCGTGTTCAGATCTAATGAACCCAGACGGACCCGACCCGGCCTGGGACTGAGACCGCTGAATCAGGGTTGCACTGACTCACTCCAGTCTTGGCTGCTACTACATATGCTAGCGCCAGTACTTTCATGGACAGAGGTCATAAAAATGGAGATAGGAGACATTTTCTTGGCTTGGTCTACGATGAGAGAAATGTGAGCTGCTGAGCATATTTTTGTCTTCAGATTTGAACCTTTCTGCAGGGGGAGAGGCTGCACAGCTTAGAAGAACCAAAACTGATTTTCTATGCTGGTTTTACATCATTAGCTCTTTCAGTACGTTGTTGAAGTAACTATCCAGCTCCAATGACAGCTGTTTAACTTGTAGCACTTTGAAACCTGGCCATGATCTCTCACTCGTCACTACATAAGACAGATGCTGTAATTGATCCGATGAATCAGTAAGTCTGCTATAAATGAGTAGAGGAAAAAGGTGGGCCATCATCCTGTGCACCATTGACCTCATACTTCTGAGGAGTTTTGGCTTTAAACGGCACAGAGCCCCGATCTCGGCTCCATCCAACACCTTTTGGATGAACTAGTAGGCCAACTGTGAATCAGGTCTTATCACACCACTTCACTAATGCTCTTGTGTCTGAATAGTAGTTAAATCCCTGCAGCCTGATCCCAGAATCTTGTGAAAAGCTTTCCTAGAAGAGCCAGGCCGGTTCTATCAGCAAATTAATGCCCATAGTTCTGAAATAAGAGGTTTCACACTTGCATAATGGTTTAGTTTCACATTCCTTTTTCGAGCAGGGGTTTGCACAAGTATGTGAGAGTGCTGAGTGCTTTATTTGAGTTATACTAGCACTGCAGGGGTGTGTGTTTCTTATATTTGGGTGAGACTTTGATAAGATGCCTGTTGTACTTTTTCACATGTGGCCTAAAGTTTACTCCACCTGACTGGAGGTCAGGTGGAGGACGAGGGCCAGAAGGTGATCTATAACTTTATGACACACTACACTGTAAATATAGTTTTAAACTATTATGAAATAGTTTGAATTAAGATTAAATGAGGGTTTTTTTATAAACTCAGATAATGTTGGGTTTGATTTATTTTCAAGTGAAGTTAAATAAGTAATCCTGCAGAAATAGATAATTAAAAAAATATATTTGACTGAGCATCTTCAGGATTTTTATGAGTCAAACATCATCTGAGGGAGTAAATACCCCAATATGAGGTGTCTGCAGAGATGGAGGCTGCAGTGTCAGGACTGCAGTTCTGGGATGGCATCTTCAGGACCCATGTGTTGTTGTAACAGTTAAGGTTACAGCGACGGTAAAGGATGTTACACACCGGCAAATTAGCAAAGTGAATTGGTTTCTCCTTCTTCTCTCTGCCTCTCTGTTTTCCCATGGCGTATTTTTATGCGAATATACGAATTTTATTCGCATTGCGCCAGGTTCTTATGGGAAAAGGTGTAAGCCAAATATTTTGTAGTTTCGCATCACCTTTTTGCATTGTTTCAGTGTGTAACAACTTTTACAGTCCCAGAAATGTGGTCCTGAATCTGCATCCGAGTCTGCAGACCCATGTTACTCAGTAAAAGGTCAGTTGGTTCATGAAATCATTTTGGGTACAGGCACTCAGCCTCAATGGCAGTATTTTTTATCTGCTGTTTCTGCCTGTATTTGATAGGATAGCTGTAGGGACAGGAAATGTGGAGACAGATATGCAGGAAGGGGATGAAGCCCGGAGTGGAGCCCGTAGCTGCTGCAACATGGGCTACAGCTCCTGCACACAGGGTTTACGTTTGTGCCACTTAGCCCATCCAGTTCCCAAAGAGACTGTAGTTTAATTTAACAAAAGCAAGCAAATACATGTAAATAAATACTTGTTTGTAATATATAGTTTGGTATTTTTTCCTTCTTTCTTACAAAATCTTCACAAACTATGGAAAAGCTTCTCTAATTCTGCAGCAAGACCGCAGAGTTTGGAGTAAAAACTATGTCATGGTGTCCTTTTGAGGGTTTGCGTCATGACAGCGCTCAATCCCTGAAACTTGTGCTTCATTAAGGACGGCGCTCTCATTGTGGCGGGGCTGCAGCAGTGTCAAATGGCAGCACCATAACTCCAGTTTGCAACAGCTGCATTTAATCAAGCTCTGCCTCGGCTCTAATCAGCCTCTGCCTAACCCATCTCTGCTTGGCTCGTGGTCACTTTACCCTGACAGCAGATTTATAAGACTGGATATGAGAGAGCGGCACAGGAACACACCGCTCTGCCCTCACTGTATTCAGCTGTCTGCTGCAGGAGAAACTGGTGCACTAAACAGAATTCATTAAAGGCTTGTGTTGCCTCCAGTTGAAGCAGTCAATTAGGAAGCTATGTGTGTACATAGGAAGGGTGTATTTTGGCTGATGGCCTCTTTCCCTCCGGCTTGCTTGTTGCCTTCCCAATCAGCACCCTTGCCATATGGAAACAGCTGGTCCTCAGTGGTGCGATGCCCTCTGCTCTGCATGAAGCAAGCCTGCAGAGATAGCCATGCTACACACACACACACACACACACACACACACACACATACACAGAGTAGGAGCGATGAGGATTGGGGGGGACTTGTTTGGGGAAGATTATGGATTTGGTTGGGGAAGTGTAAACCCTCTCACTAAGCTGGTGCAGCTTAAGTTTTTACTCTCTAAGCATTAAAAGGAACATAGACAGTGTCATGCTCTGCCTTAGAAACACAACATGGATTTGCAGGCCAGAAAACCCCCCTTTTTTTGTGGGATGAAAAGACAAAGTAAGAGCAGTTCAACTGTAAGGAGAGAATTCTTTTAGTAACATTTGTCCGTATCCTTATCTGAGCTACAGGGAACTGCCTCTATAAACACTCACTTACTGTAGCTGTGATACGCTGCGCACTGCTGCAAACCAGTCACGAGGAATCAACCATGCAGAAAGTCTCCCGTTGTGTGCCTGACAGAGCTCTGTGTTTCCTTGGGGCGTCTAACCGCAGCAGTGTTTCCTTGGAAATCCCTGACATTTATTTGACCCTACATGGGAACATTTCTCTAGCTCCAAAGATGTGGTGTATCTCTTTTTTTGCATTGCATGTATTTGTGGCTTCAGAGTGTTTATATGTGGAGAAAAGTAGTCAGGGAGAGTCTTTGTCACATCCCGATACTGTATCAGCCTCAAAGACCGCTGGTCCACGATCAGAGACTGCAATGACACTGAAAAACACAGATCAAAGAGCAGGTCCAGCCTCCTGTAGCTGCTAAAGCTGTTTGTGGCCGACTGAGCTTTTGAACACTGGGAAGGAGAGGAGGAAGGAGAGCAGAGGAATTTAGGCAAACAGAGTTGTCATCTGTTTAGTGGAATTAACTTCTAAAGGGAGTTACAGGCTGCAGAGCAGCACTTTTTGATTTATTCTCTTTTTTTGTGTCAAATAATGGAAAACGTCTGACAAGGGAACTTTAGAGTAAACATGGTGCAAAAAAACTGAGACAAGTGTAATTTTAACCAGAGTCCTGTGTTGTTTTCTTTCCTTTCATTTACAGCAAAAAGCCTCAGGCAAGGTGCTGTTTGACCTGGTGTGCTCCCACATGAACCTCATCGAGGGGGACTACTTCGGTCTGGAGTTTCAGAACCATCAAAAGATGATCGTAAGTAATAATGAAAATAACTGAGGATGGAGTTAGATTTGTTTTAAAACTGCTCCCTGATGTTACATTTCATGATCCTTTTGTTTCTGCAGGTTTGGTTAGACCATATCAAGCCTATCATCAAGCAACTCAGACGTAAGTGTATCCCAGTTTTATCCTCAAAAATCAGCAGTGAAGTCAGATAACATCCACTATCATCGATGCTAAACTCACTCCAGGGGGAGAGAGTGCTTTGTATGAAAGCTTTTTATGCAAACACATAATCCTGCATAGAAATATTGCAGTCTGACATTAAATCCATCATCTTTGAAGGCTCACATGTCCTAACCGGCCTCAGAGATCTGCTGCTTCAGTTTTATTTATACGAGGATGCAGCTTGTGGTTTAAGCTGTCAAATTAGGTTGCGTAATATTTGGGAGTGTTTGTTTAGCTGAGACTGCTCTACCTGATAAACTGGCGACTCATTGTGTTTATGTGTTGTTAAAAAAAAAAAATCATGTATCCCTCACAGGGCCGAAACACACAATCTTGAGATTTGCTGTGAAGTTTTTCCCTCCAGATCACGCCCAGTTACTGGAGGAGCTGACAAGGTGAGCTCTACGGCACGAATGAATAAACAGATTTGATCACTATATCATGCACCTCCTCCGTTTGTCATTGTAATGGCCTTTTATATGTTTTATGTCAGCGTAGAAAGACTTTAGCTGTAATTGTCGAGGCGTAAATGAAACATGTGCTCCTGTTCCCCAAAGATTTACTCACTCTGCTGCCGCTCTGTATTTCACATGTCACGGCTGCCATGTTTCTGATTTAGGCCTCAGGAGATTAGAGAGGGGCTAATGATTTTCTGGTTTCAGTTTGCATGTTGCAGAGCGACTCGCATGTTTTCATTGTCAGAGCTGAGAAATAATAGGCACACAGAAAGTCATATCTGCCTGACACACCTGTGTGTGTGTGCTGTTGTTTTTGGCTGAGGTCTCCCACATACCTCAGATTCTTTTATTTTGAACTGTAGCGTGCAACACTGGAATAATAACAGGAATTCATCAATCACTTTATTCTGAATTATCCAGCCTACATGAAAAAGAAGCCTGCACACGTGAGGTAGCTCCCACTGAAATAAATAACATGCTGTTGAATGAAACACACATGTGGAGCATGTGTCCGCAGGAGAGCTGGAACAATGAACCTTCATGAATTTAAGATCAATCCTTGACACTTTTATAATTAAATCTCAATGATTAGCCACTTGTTTTAAATCATGCCTTGTAATAATAACTTGTATTCAGAGAACTCTGGTAAAGTGGATTTATTACTGGGGACTCTTTAATTGGCATAAATCCGTGTTTTGGCCTTACAAGGCTGATTAAAAGAATGAGTAAATAACGTCTGCAGACACTGCAGGCAGCTGCCAAACAACACTCATACCTCCCTAAATATGAACCTGTTTTTTTTTCTCAGTCTAAATGACAACAAATCAGAACTAAAACAGGCACTGGTTGGAAATAGACCCATTACTCTGTTGCTTGATTATTGGCATTTTGACGTAATCAGCATCATATTGGCATCAGCCTCCACAAGGTCGATATCACCATCATCTTTCCCATTAAAATCACATTTTTCTCTTCACTCATAAACAACAAATTTAATCTCAAACAGTCTCTGGTTGGTGTTTTAATTTAAACTCTGTTATGATGTGTTGTATGATTCAGTTTAGTATTGACAGCAGTATTGATCATTTTCAGAAATCCTCAGCATAACTCAGACCTGTCTTTCGACTAATTCATTAAAAAGCCATCTAAAACATGTTACTGGCTAAAATAACTGTATATATATCAGGTTTGAATGTGTACAAGATAACAAAATCAATATTTGCCCTATAATATTTTTCTTTCTGAACCGTTTTAGATTGATGGACAGAAATACAAACTTCCTCTGTGGCAACATTTCACTGAGCCAAATATTTTTCGATTTAAATGTATTTAATAAAATATTCACTCAAGTTCAGTAATTTTGTTTTTTATTTCTATTATGAAATGATGACAAAAAAGACAGCATGATATTGGTATTTTATATGGGCAATCAGCCACCCTACATAAATATCAGTCATGTTTTGAAGCCTATAGTATAACTCAGTGTATGTTTCTATTTCAGGAATTGATTAAAATCCATCCAAAATATATTGATCTACAACTGTACAAGCACAAGCAGGCAGGGATACAGCCGAGGTTTCTGTTTGTGGTTGGAGGTTATTTTTATTCACAGCTGCTAGATAAGATACTTCCTTTCCTGACAGCGAATCATTTATCTGTATTTTAAACTCTTACTTATTTTTCATTATACCTTTAATGTGACTAAATTGAATCCTCTGGCTTGTATTCAAGAGAAGCAGCACATAACATAAGAGAGTCAGTAAATCTTCTTCGCTCTCTCCGCTCCATTATTATCAATTATTGAATCCTGAATCATCCACCAGGGCCAACTTCTTCTGGAAGCCTTGTGTGAAATTAAAAGAGCCAAGTAAAATTATATTCTATCAGAAGTCGAGTTAAAGCGGCTCCGTTGGAAGTCTCGCAGATTTCATTTGATCTCGCTCCAGCGTTGGAAACAACCTCCACTCCTCCTCCTCCCCCATGTGATCACTGAAGTCTGTTTGTGTTTGTGTCCAGGTACCTGTTCGCCCTGCAGATCAAACAGGACGTTTCCTGTGGACGTCTGACCTGTAACGACAGCAGTGCAGCGCTGATGGTCTCTCATATCATCCAGTGTGAGTTCCTCATGGCTGTTTACTCGTTTGGCTGGAGAAACCAAAGAGTCGACTGATCAGATAATTGTCTTTGAAGACACACTGTGCGTTTTTCCACACACAGCTTATCATCAAAACTTCTCTTATAGCACACTGCACACCAAGGAAAATTGATTATCTCGGAGTTGCCATGGTTACCTTTTCAGTCAGATGCTTGAAATAATGTTGGATGGCTTCAGAGTAACTGTTCATATTATGGAGCTGTGCTGGGGAGTAAAATGCTCATTAAAAACCTGACATTTCTTATTCATAACAAAGATCACTGTGTGTTTGACAAACAAAGAGAAGAGCTCTTATTGTAATACAAGAGAGTAACGCCAGAGCTTCTGTTTGTTTCAATCTATGAGCTCACCTTGAGGCCTCAGGTTTTTAATTAATTGCGATCAAAATCAAGATGAGGAAATTTTGTTGATTTAAACCAAAGGTAAGAGGAAAAAAAATAAACAAAAAGGGTGAGTTGGCCATGATGGAAAAGAAATCTAAAATGTCAGGTCATAATTATAAGATTATGAGATGAAAACCAAAATGATGAGATGAGATTATGGAGCAGGATTATGAGAAAAGAGTCAAAATTTTGAGAAAAAAAGTGAAAATTACAGAATTAAAAGTCAGGATTATGACAACATTGTTTGGACCGCAGCTGTAGTGAACACATCTCTGCTGTTTTTTTCATGTTTAACATCCACTCAGCAGAGCAATATAATAATTTAATCAATCATATGTAGTTTCATCTTCAGCTCATTTATTTGTAACCATGATGGCATGTTTCCTGTTGAAGGTCGCCACCTCACCATCATCAGTCTTGTTTTTTCTCTGTCTGAGCTGCTTCTTGCTTTCAAGGGTGTGTTTACCGAGTATGAGCCCATGATTTCAATTGAAGTCGTCCACAATGTGCCTGATGCAAGAATTTTGACTCAGTATCTCATAATTTCGACTATGTATTGCATAACTACGACTTATCAATGTGATTTCATTCTCATTCAGTCTAGTTTTTCCTCTTTTCTATTTTTAAACTGGCAGGATCAGGCTTTTAAAAAGACTAGCTCCCTGCACACAAAACTAGTAATTGAATAAGACATTAATTACCAATCAATAATTTTATCATGAGCCAGCAGGTCTGTGCCAAGTCTATGCTGCACTGAGGGCCATTCATATAATTCACTACATATGCTGTGTGCAGACATGTTGGTCTTTGGACCTGTTTGAACATTGCAGGACATGTTTTTCTAATTTTATGCATATTTTGTTCTGTAGACCCTTGTCTGAATGACAGAGAAATGCTTTTGTTTTCATGGTTGTTTCAACATTTTTACCCTGTCTTTAATTGTATTTTCATATTTCCTCGTGTTTTATCTGATTTTTTTTCTTTTTTTTCTATGCTCTTAATTTACCATATTATAATTAATTTTAACTTTTTTATATTTTATCTGTTGTGCAACACTTTGGTAACCTTGTTGTTTTTAAAATGTGCTATACAAAGACAGGGTGAATTGAGTTGGATTGGATCCATCTTTTAAACCAGCACAAGCAACAAACTCCTGACTGTCCCTCCCCCTGACTGTTGTGTGTTGTGGATCGGTTTCTGCATGTTTTGCTGAAATTGGTTGTGAACCCTCCTCTCTCTGTCTGTGTGTTTTCACCGTCAGAGTCTGACTGGGACTTGCTTTTATTTGAATTTTACAGTACTGCCAAAATTTGCAGGCATAAAGGTGTTCATCCCCCAAAATGAGTTCAAACAAAATCGGGTCTGCATCAAAGCTTTCCTAGAGGCTCTTCAGGACATGTTGAATTGTTGAATTTTATAAATTTTCTTATTTTTTCACCTCATGTCTCTATAATAACATGCATTTTTTTTCTGCTCCTTATTTTTTTGTCTCTTTAGCCGAGATAGGAGACTACGAGGAGAGCTACTGCCGGTCACACCTCCTCAATAACACCTACATCCCAGATCAGATGCCCCTGATTGACAAGATCATGGAGTTTCACTCGAAGAATCTGTGAGTTTTCTTTGCACAGTCTGAAGGAAAGCTGTCTCTTCGGTTCAGTTCATGTTCCCGTAAAGCTCTGTTTATAAAGTTACTGCAGCCGTGACTGAACAACAATTGCTCTCAACGGCGAACAGGAAAGGTTGTTTCAGACTTTGTGCGTCTCCTGCTGTGTGGTTTTATTACACAGGTGACACATTCAGGAAAACAGGCGTGGAGTGAATAAGTTCTCTCTGTGCTCGGCTCTCTGTTATCCTAAATGGAGTAAGAAAAGCTTGTCTTTGAAAGCTGTTTTACAGCTCCTAGTCAGAAGTGTATTTCAGTTTGTCTACAGCTTTCTCAGCAAATATGAAAACGTCCTTTAACCCAACAAATCACTCAGGCAGCTGTTGTTCCTGCAGCTAAAGATTTTAAGTATCTGTAGTTACATGGATTTGGACTCTCTTGCCCAGTATTTTACTTGTCTAGCCTAAAGTGTTGTTCTTTTGGGAGTTTGTTAGTTTTTTCTCTCAAATCTTCTCTCTTTCTCCTCCACAAAACGCCTTAACCAGCCCTTAAATCTGTACACACATCATAGCAGGCTGAGCCAGAGGCTGAGGCACAGTGGGCATCTGTTGCATTAAAAATCAACAAACCTCCATCAAATTTCCTGCCCCGCTCAACCTGCTCGTTCCCCACCTTAAGCTCTCCTCCTCGATAACTGTAGCTGCAGTTTTCCTGGCACGCGAGAGAGTCAAACCTCTTATTAAAGAAACACACACACACAGAAAAACAGGAAGGCTTATCCACTGATAAGAATTAGCAAAGTTAGTTGACATTTGCAGCCCCTCCCCAAGCTTCAGGCAGTGCTTCAAAAAACTGAGATACACATGAGAAACCTTCATCCACTCCGACTCGATCTTTCACCTCAATTAGTGGGACACACAGCAGGATGATAAGCCCGGATTTAATTTACGGTTTTGTCCAAAATTTGCCTGAAAGATAACGAATGCTGGAGTTAGAACAAGTAAAAAGTCAAAGTGTTGAAACCTGGAGGTAAGATTAGCTCTTCAGGTTTTGCCGTCTTAACTTGTCCTCTTTACTTCAGTCTCTTTTGAAAACCCTTTAAGATGATATTAAGGTAGTAAAGGTTATTCTCCTTTTTGTTTTCCTCTTAGTCAGAAGATGAAACCAAACCCAGTAATAAGCCAATCTATCACTTTTACCTCCTTCCTGTCAGCCCAAAGCTCGGTTTATTTAAAAAAAACATTTTTCAGTGAAAGCTGAACTTCTTTGTTAAACTACCGCCCCCTCTTTGTTAAAGCAAACTGATCCAAGCATAATTAAATAGTGCGTTTGTTTCAGGTTATTTTCAACTACGGATTATCACACATTTGTTGCTTAAGGGAGTATTTACAGCAGCAGGATGATCTATATGGGATTAACTCAAATAAACCACAGTCTCCGTGTCCACAGGCTATGAACTTAAATGCCACCCCGAGCAGCTCTTTGTTTGTCTTTAATCGTTTTGGACAACAATGAAAGTATGAGGCACAGTTATGTCAGACTGTGGTGAACCAACAGGGAACGCTCAAACATGAAGCATGAATGTTGGTTTGTTTTGGTCTTTCTCTCCTGATCAGCTGACACATACAAAAGGAGAGAATCCAAGAATGTAAGCAGCTTTCTTCTCTGACTTTATTTCTGTTGTGTTTTGTGTTTGTAGAGGTCAAACACCAGCTGAATCCGACTATCAGTTATTAGAAGTGGCGCGCAGGTTGGAGATGTACGGGATTCGTCTTCACCCTGCCAAGGATCGTGAAGGCACGAGGCTAAGCTTAGCCGTGGCACACACGGGTGTCCTGGTCTTTCAGGTCAGTTAGTAGGTCAACGCTTTATAAACAGACACTTGTGGATTAAGTTCACTACACCTGAAATGTTTGGGGATATAAAAAAATTTATTTGACTCACATTCCTCCACTGCAGGGCCACACGAGGATCAACGCCTTTAACTGGTCAAAAGTGCGTAAACTGAGCTTCAAGAGGAAACGGTTCCTTATAAAGCTGAGGCCAGATCTAAATGTAAGTCATAAATCTGACTGACTTGACAGGCTGTTTAAAATCTAACCCCTCCAGTGTTCATAGTTTTGAGTCAGGTGTTTATGTGTCCCCTCAGAGCTCATATCAGGACACTCTGGAGTTCCTCATGGCCAGCAGAGACTGCTGTAAAGTCTTCTGGAAGATCTGTGTCGAGTATCACGCCTTCTTCCGCCTCTTGGAGGAGCCTAAGCCTAAGCCAAAGCCTGTGCTCTTCACCCGGGGCTCCTCCTTCAGATTCAGGTAGTGTGAGAGTGTCTGCATCATAAAACTGCTCCCCTCCATTGAACAGTCCACTACAGCGCTCCCAGAATTGCTCATTACTGTCCCTCCTGTCCTCGTCTCTGCAGCGGCCGCACACAGAAGCAGGTGATTGATTATGTGCGGGAGTCTGAGTTTAAGAAGATCCCTTTTGAAAGGTAACTGCAGACATATTTGGCATGTTTGGTGTGAGAGAGAGTGCTTTGAGTCTATAACACTGACCTTTAACATCCTGTCTGCCAGGAAACACAGTCGGGTACAACACAACAGTCAGGTCCGACACAACAGCCGCCTGTCTCCTTTGCCTTCTCCTCGCCACCATGAAGTGCCAACAGAAGTGAGTGGAGCGCTTTTCTGTATTTGGACTATTGGAGTAATATACGCAGGGTCACCTTTATAATTCACAACAAAATACAAAACACACAAAGAAAATATGAAAATGAGAAGAAGCGTAGCAGGAGATTTTTAAGTCGTATTTGGGCGTAGACGATGACACACATGATAGCACTGACCAAAAGATGAAAACTTCTCTATATACAGGCAATTTAGATATCATGAAAAACTGATGAAAGCAAGTGACAACAGAAATGTGAAACTGTAAACAGTGATTTAATGAAAAAAGTCTCTGAAACCATCAATTTTAACCTGATGTGTTCAATACAGGAAATAACACACTAAGAGCTTGGCTTCACAGTCTTTGTCCTGTATGGTTGAAGTGTCACCTTTGGTCCTAGAGTCCATGATAACCGATAACATCATCGTTCACATCAGCAGGGAGACAGGCTACAATACAACCGTCAATGACACTGGAGGCTCTGGGCTGGTTCAGCTCAGGGGTTAAACTCTCATACAGTTTTATTGAATCCGATTCTCTCACTGAAAATGGCAAAAAAGCCCCAGATCAACTTGTAACAAGAATACACAGGACTCCAATCACATTAACATGTAAGGTTAATGTATAGTGAGCAGGTGGTGATGCTTATTTGACTCTGACACAATGATCTGGATTCAACAGACATGAAGCCGAGGGGTCAACTTCACATTATCCTGCTTATTACCCGTCTATTAACTACAGTTTTTGACACGAAACGTTATTTTAAAGATGATTTCATTGATTTTTAAATGACTTACTGGCCCAAAAAAGTATTCCCCTAAATTTCACAGTTGGTATTTCCTCAATGGCACAGGATATCTTATTAGTCCCCCCTGGGTACCATCAAACACATCTGTTGAAGCTTCAGTTAGACGAGGTGAATGGACTTCTGCAGGGACACTTACGATCATATTTCTGTCGTTATTTCAGCTCTCTCTCTTCTCTTTTAAACATAAATAATTTAATATATATATATATATTTATGATCAGCATTCAATACACTCATCAGATTGATTGTTGTTGTTGCCTTGGTTACAGGATAGTCTGATATTTTAATTATCCTTCATGTTGATTAGTTTAAATTTCAAAAAGCCAACAGGAACTAACAGTTCAGGATCTAGACCAATCAGAATCAAGTATTTAACTCAGCTGGGTAATAAACGCATATAAATGAGCTGTCTTAATTAATTACAAACCTCATATTAAGACAGGATTAGCAGTCGATTTACACATAGTCATGAATTCCATGTTTTAATCTGCTGTTTCTTCCTGCCAGCATGGTGCTCCCAGGGTAGACTCTCCTCACCGGCGTCATTGGACGGAGTCAGTGTTGGTAAGCGCAGAAGACCCCTCAGCTTCGAGAACAGCAAGGCTGAGCCCGGTTCACCAGAGAAACGGCCATGACGAGAGAGAGAGAGCAGGATCTGTTTCTAGGACCGAGGAGAGAAGAGGCTCCATGCGACAGACTCATCCAGAACATCTGAATACAGGTCCATCATTTCAGACTCCTCGAGGCAGCATCTCTTCCATCCCCTACATCGACTGCAGGGATTTAGATAGTGAATACAGCCTGGGTAGGGACCAGGCTTTCAGAATGACTCATGGTTACAGGGAGCAGGCTAAGCTACGGCGTGGCTCTGCAACAGGGAGCATTAATGGGCCTCTGCTGGTCCAGCAGGAGCATTTTCTGGGTAGGATGCAGTACAGAGAATCCCCCTCCTCTTCTAGGCAGACTCTCAACATGAGCCCCGAGTTCAATGAGTCTCACAGCCAACCATACCAAAAAATGAACCAAAGTCCTGTCCACAGCACCGTGTTGGACCCTGTTCTTTTTAGAGAGCGGCACTGCAGCAGCCCTCTCACAATCCAGCATGTGAGTTCGAGAAGTGTCGTCACCAGTCCTGTCATGGACCCCCTCCATCAGTCAAACCCCCACAGTTACGCTGAGCAGAACGGCTACAGCTCTGCTCCTCCACCCTGCGACCAGGGTAGGTACTCCCCCCTCCTGAGCCGATCCCCTCGCTTATCAAAACCCCACAAAGTGAAATACCGCCCAGACACAAATCCAAACCAGGGAACTTCTTCCTTAGGGCAAGAACCACGTCCCGTCCTGTCTCGAGCTGAGCGTATGGCTGCTCTAGAGCGCCGCATGGTGGTTAATGGCCTCTCAGCACCCGGCAGGCCGAGGTCCAGTCTGGGGCAGAAGCGCTTAGGGCGGCATGGTGGCCCTCATATTGGAGGGATTCAAATGAACGACTGCACCACCACCAGTGGTTCAGAGTCCAGTGAGTCTGAGGTGGAGGCTAACAGGGGGAACAGCAGCGGCCCCCTGTACGGTACTCAAACAGAGGCCAACTCCTCCTCTGCTATACCCAGGAACAAGTTCTCCTTTGGCAGCCTGCAGCTGGATGAGGAGGCAGATGAGGACGAGTGCCAGGCCTTTAGTGATGAGGAGGGCCCACAGATTTTTAGCTGTTAAAGCACAGAAACACCCTCCGCACACGAGAGTTTATCGGGTTTAGTTTGGATCCAGATGGAGAGAGGAAAGCTGTGTGATGTGGATGACAGATTACATCTGTTAGAGACTCAGATCTCTCACACTACATGTTCACACTTTTTTTTCTTAATGCTACTAGCAGCGCTTTTTGACCTCTGTGATCCCTGAGTGTGTGAATGAGGATTATCCTGTGCTGGGTTTTTGTTTGTTTCATTGGAGGAGGAACTGAACTCCCATCCTCTTTTAATGTATTGAAAATCCCCCTCAGCAGAAATACACAAGTGCCATGTTAGGATTTCACTCTAAGAAGCTCCATATGAGTAAGATCTAGAAAGAATTAGTGACTTTATTTACGTCAGAATGATCAACAGGAACATAATTATCGCAGTTGCACTTTTTCTCACTTTTTTATATGGATCGAATATTTAGAGAGGAAAATCTGTGCTGAATTCTCGGCTGAGTTTTTGTCTCTTGGATGCCTTATGAGAGAAACACATGTATCCTTGATTGTAGATCCGTTTGTCTTCTCTTGGATAAATTTAGCTGTAAGGTTTCCTGCTCGACACGCTTCGTGAGGGCAGTTTTATTAAGCCTGAGGAGGAAATCCATGAATGTATAATCGTGGCAGTGATTGTTGACTCAGTAGACATTTATTTGTAATAATCCTCTCGTCTTGTTTGATTTATTGACACTCTGGATGCTGTGTCTGGTTTGCTATTGTTGTGAGAGTAGTAATAGTGTCTACACTGTGTGGCGTTGCAGCAGAAACTAATTACTGCACTGCAAATACCAATTTGAACATCAAATTGCTATATCAATATTGTTTACAGTATGTTCTACTCTTTGCTGCATGACAGGAGCTTTCATGAACCTGTCTGGTTTTAGTGCAGATGTTGTGGGAACTTTTCTGTATTTTTGTTGAAATAGTTTAATCACATTTGGGGAGCTGTGGTGTCTTGTCAGATAGAGGTGAACAGTTGTTGTAGTGTTTTTTTTATCCACTTCCACAACATTTTACGGCTCTTATGCTCACTGTTGACGCCCTCCATCTGCACTTGACTCCTGCTGGAGTGTATCTGGTTGTAATTCGGTATCAGGATCTGACAGCTGTAGCCACCACGGACTCCTCTCGTTTGTCAAGGCTGCAAAGTTTTCAATCTTCCTAACAAACGGCACTGCACTTTTTTTCTGTTCTCTTTTGCACCTCTGTCCTTGTGTTTCTTTATGTTGACTGGAAAAGTGATCACATTTTCTGTTGTTTTTTTCTGTTCTTTCAATGTTAACACTCAACGCTGTCTTTTCTTTTCTGTTTAGTTTTCTTTGACTGCATGTAAACCTGTTCTGTCACTCACTTCAGTCTGCATGGTTTTAAAGATCAGGGTTTCCTCCTCTGCAGTGATCCAGCCAGCAGTTTATTTATGATCCAAAGCCAAAAGAAAATCAGAGTAAGGATGACAGGAGCCTGGGAGCATGTAGGAAAATAGAGGCAGGTTTTAGTAACAGGGGAGGTGTGTGAGTACTGTATGTGTGAAAGGCAGTTTAAGGGCGACTCCTCAAAGCTCAGAGTCCCCCCGGCTCATTCATCACTGTCAACTTCAGCTTTATGCTGCTCTCTGACTTTTCAAACACTCAAATGCAACAACATGTTTGTTGTGAGGTGTTGTGGTTTTAAGTACGTGTTGGAATCTGCTTGATAAGTTGGTTACAGAAACTTTGGGACATTTAATCATAAATTAATAAATAATTTAATTGTTGATACTAGATAAGTGCAGAAGATGCTAAGAGTTTCAGTGCTCCATTGCTTTCATTTGAACAATAATATTCATGCATCAGATTTTATGTAGCACTTTATCAGTGACCCTCAAAGCACTTTACATTGGATACATCATTCAATTACTCACACAGTCACACCCTGATGGTGGTAAACTACCTTAGTAGTCACAGCTGCCTTAGGGCAGACTGAAGCCTAAAGCCTAAAACATACAGGATCCATGATGAGTACATTCCATCAGCGTCGCGTATCACGCAGCAAATACGTTCCCATTCTAATCAATGCAGCATCGCACACAGGAAGCGTCTCTGCTCTGTTGCAGCTCCATGGCAGAAGCGTGTCGGGCGCTGTTCTGAAAAAGAAACACACCAAATCTATTTTTGCTGCTCAACGCTTCCAACATGCATCAATCTCCACAGACAAGATCGTCCTAGACAGGAGGTCAAGCACAGAAAACGCGCATGTCATCCGGTAAATTCCAAAATAAAGCACCATAAGAGGACTCCCAACTGTGTATCAGTTTGTGTAGGTGAGAAATACTTCCTGGTTATGGATTTATAAGTAACACAGAACAATCCGATGGTCAATCCCTGATGCATGTGTACGCTAACTAGACTTTTCTGCCTGAAGGTAACAGCACAGCATAAAAGAACATAGTTTACTTTATTAAACACGAGTAAACCTGCAAAAACCAAAACTGTAAAATCACGTTGCTTTTTCACATATAGTACAAACTCAACAGTCACTAAATTTTATCCAAATTAGCAGGAAATAGACCACAGAAACGCAAAACAACCTGTTATGAGCATTTTGTTTCCTCTATACTGAGTCCAGTTGACCGGGGCTGCACTGCGCTGTGGGTGATAGACAGCGTTGCTCGACTAAGCAGAGATGCGACGCTGACGGAACACGCTCAACACGGATTCTGTATGTTTTAGGCTTAACAGGAGCGTGGCTGCCAATTTGCGCCTACAGCGTCTCCAACCACCACCAACATCACTCACAATCATACACCAGTGTAGTAAACAGACACAAATTAAACGTCAGTGGACATAGGCCCTAAAGTCTCTGTGAGTATTTGGGTTTTGTGATGATTTTGGCGCCACCTGTTGACAAACCTGTCGTCCGGCCCCTTTTGCTGATTTTGTCTTGCGCATTTCGTGTTTTCTGACAATATAGAAAAAAAGATGTCTCATCAGCAGCACGCAGTAAACAGCCTCATCTCCAGCTGCTGATTTGCAGGAGTCAGTTAAAACCTCCTTACTGGAGCTTTAACATTTCAAAGTAATCAGCGGAGGGAACATTCAAAGCTGCATGACATAGATTAGTACAGCGCTTTGAGATCAAACACAAGCATGCTTATTTTGGGAGTTTCTGGATCACTGCTGAGTGAGGGAACCCTCTCTGGTGCACAAAGATCTCCTAAAGACCTGAATGAGACTTTAACATCAAGTTAAATCGAGCAGATATAATTTATCTTTGATGATACTGTACATGTGCTCAGCTCAAAGTTTCAGGTCTGTTGGTGAGACTTTTGTGTGTGTATATGTGTGTCTTTTTCCACCACTTGTGTTTCAAATGCATGCTGTGCTAAACCAGGACTGAGGTGTGTTACCCATCATGCTGTTCTTCTCTCTGCATGTGCTGTCACATCACACGGGTACTGCTATCAGTCACTTCACTGTTTTTTTTTTTTTTTTTAACCTAGTAAACAGTCATGGGGATGTGGTTTTAAAGACTAAGGAAATCATGCAGTAATTTTAGAGTCTAAATTTACACAGAGCACATTTGTAAACCGTATTTTTAGCCATAAAAAGAATCTGTCACTGTAACAAGTAAATTGGTGTAAATCCGATTTGTATTCATGGACTAAATTATGCAAATATTTCCTCATTACCAACTGACTTTTCAGAACAGCAATAACAAATTCATGACAAAACGGTCATGCGGCTGTTAACTCAAAACATGTCATTATATTCATAGAGATCTTTTATTTATTTAATTCTGGGAAAGGCAGAAAACTGCATGAATTTACACTTTTTTTTTCACTCATTTCAGTCTCTCTCTTACACTCACATGACTAATCTGTCTATGCTGCTCTTTTGAAGGTGTGTTTTCGTTTAACCCTGTACATACATGTTATATTTAAGTCAATAAAGATGACCTCTTTGAAGTAAGACTTTCCAAATTTTCTTTTTGGCACACATGTAGCTGGTGCTGTTTTTAGAAACTAGACTTTCCCTCTTCTTCGTTGTCCCTGTAGTCTTCATGTGTTTTCTCTCATTTGTTGCAGTCTTGACGTTTTCCTCTCCTCCTTCCTTCTCCTCTGTGGAGTTTAGATTAAATCCTTCCCAGCAGTTGTGCAGCTGTTGTTTTTGTGAGTGTGTTTGTGCATGTAACCACTGTTGTGTTTGTGTTGGCACTCCTGAGGACAGCAGAGAGAGAGAGAAAGAGAGGTGGGCAAGTTGCAGCTTAAACATAGTAAGTAAGCTCAGTGGACATGTTCAGTGGAGATGACTCGGGGTGAGCTGCTCCTCTTGATCATCCTGCAGTGTACATCTCAGCTCAAGTATTGATTGACGTGGCACAAAGATAGCGAGAGCTGTCTGGACTGTAGAGTGAGTCATGGCTGATGTTTCACTTTTTTCAAAGCTCCCCTCCCTCCTCAGATAGTGCAGCTGAGGAAGACTCTGATCCTGCCTCTGAATTAGTTTTCTGCTGTATGCTCTATTTATATGACCATACAGAGTTTACAGTGTACTCTCAGCTGGTGATATTTACCTCATGATCCTGTGGACTCAATGCTTTAAAGTTTAATCAATATGAAATGTCAGCTAATTGATGTTTGACATTTATGCAGAGCTTCAAGTAAAGATCACTTTCATCATTTATTAATCTGTCATTATTTCTGTTTTGTAATTGATCGCAGTTAAGTCTGGGAAATACAGACTGAAAACAAAAAAAATATCCAAGTTCTCGTCTCTAAATGTTTGTTAAGCATCCTACCAGCCGTCCAAATATTACGTTTACAGAAAAATTTAAGTTTATTCTGATATTTCAGACTCAGAGACCATGATTTGACGTGAATTAGGTTAAAGAACATCTAAAACAGTTTTGGCTCATCTGGTTTCTGTTTTATTTTTTCATGTTTAAGTCCAAACAGCTCACTTGTCCTCTTTGGCCCGCGCAGGTGTGGTTGCAAACAGCCCTCGCCTGTCTGCGTCCTCCGGTCACTCTCACGGGATGGTCAATGGTCAGAAGTCCCTGGAGCTGTGCAGCCACAGTCCCGACGGCCGGCAGCCCTCCCCTCTCACCAGCCCGCTGCTTAATGACGCCGGCAGCGTTCGCACAGATGATGAAGATGAGGTTCGGAGAAAGGTCTGTGATTCAGTTGGGAGCTTCATTTGACAAAAAAAGGAAACAAAAGTACACAAGTACACCGTTTTTTTAGTCCAAAAAGTTCACCTCCCTCTGTCTTTCTACAAGTTAGAGTTGTTATTTTTGCTCACTCTTCTCTCTGTTGTGTTTCCTTTTCAGAGGTTCCCAACCGATCGGGCCTACTTCATCGCCAAGGAGCTGCTGACCACAGAGAGGACGTATGTGAAGGACCTGGAGGTGGTGACTGTGGTAAGAACATCCGAGTCCTCCCTCCAACATGCTGCTCCTCTGTTTGTTTTCCCCTGCGCTGTCCTCTGGGGGGAAAACATTGATTATTCCGGTTAGCTGCTCAATGGCAGAGCGCCCACCAAAACACAGAGTCAGGCGGTGACACAGGGATATTCTGGCAGATGCGATTTTCATTTTTTATTCATTCCCCGCACCCATGCTCTGAAAATCATTTATCCGTCTCACTCAAGGCTTTGAATACTAAACTGCGCTTGTGTTTAAAGAGATAGATTTAGCCGCATGCATCCGACTCACTGTTTCAGTCTGTTCCTTTCAGATTTTACCGTCTGGGTACAAGCATATGGACCATTTCATTTGACAATATCAGAGAGGAAATGTAGCAGAGCACAGGATATTAAACATGATACAGAAGGAGGATATTCTTGGGAAAGCCTGCAGTTGTTGGATTCAGTAAAAGGATGTGGAGAAGATGATGCATCACCCCTCCTTTTTTTAAAGTCTGGGGCTTTTTTTGTCTTGTAATTTTCAGAGAGGCCTTTCTTCATCTCATAAATATTTGGGTTGGCTTGTGTCCTCGTTCTTTTTTTCCATCTGCATTTGTGCCGCTGTCTCTCTTACCCCCACTACTCCCATTAGCCGCTCAGTGCTGCTGTTTGGGGGTGAAGTCATCTGAACAACAGCTGGCTCTTCATCTCGAGCCCGTCTACAAGCACTTCCTAAAACTCTTCCCCTCTTTCCCATCACGTCAGCGAAATAAAGCTGTGCCCTGTCTGCAACACGCAGCTTCAATCTAACGTAATGGAAGAAAGTGTTAAGAATGATTGGCTATTGATTCCTCCATTCATCCTGCAGCAATTAAAGGATTTAAGAGACATCACAGGACTGAAGCACAACAGCAGACACAGAGATGAAGGGCTTGTGGTAGTATCCTGGGAAATATCTGCATTAACAAGACATTGATCAGCGTTCTGTAAGCCTGAGCTGCATGCCTGTACAAGCTCCAGACCAGAAAATCAGGACTTGAGTCACCTGGTGTCGCGGAGAGGAAAAGCGTAGCACTGCAGTTTACAAGTTTTACAGCTTTTAGATAAAGTAAGCTCTGTTACATGGTTGTTTTTATCAGTTTTGAAGCAGAAAATTCTCTAAACTCTTTGGAAAACACCTCTGAAAATACCAATTTAAGGATATCAGTGTGTCTTATACCCGCAGAGGGCTCCAGTCTGACTCGCAGAGCAATGAATCTGAGACACATAAGAGTTTGTAATTTAGTGTTAAAACTCCCAAAGCTGTAATTTGATTTTGTTTTTTTGTTTTGGTTCCTTTTCATTTTCTGGCCTTTATTAAGATTGCTCACAGCCCAAACCCAAACACTAAATGTATGTCTTTGTGTGTTATTTGAACTGATCTGATCTTTGTTTACAGATTCTACATGAAAATATTAAATCTTTAGGTAGAAATCTAGATTTAAGTCTTGAAAGTGTCTTCTCTGTTTGCAGTATGTTTGTAATCTGCAAACAAAGAGAGAGCAGATGTTGACAGTAATCTGACAACATCTTAATTATCTCTTCCACTCAAAATGTTTATTGGACTTTAAGTAATGTAGAGCATAAAACAGAAGGTCTTAGCTGAAATTAACCAGCGGCTATGGGAGGAATGGTCACAGAGCTAATCATGTTTTTTCTGGAGGGATTGTCTTCACACAAAAATGCTGAGGAGTTTCCAGATTGAACTGTATCAGATGTAGAGATCTGAGAGCTGTCATGAACTTCCACCAAGAATTGACAAAATTATCTGCAAAAGATGCAAAAAAAAGTTGTTTTACACATCGGCGTGTTTCTTTGTCTCAGTCTTTCCAGAGTGCTGTGGGGCAGGATGAAGCCACTCCAGACTCTCTCAAGAACACCGTCCTCTCCACGTTTGAGCCGCTGCACAAGTTCCACACAGGTTTTCTCAGGGAGGTGGAGCAGAGACTGGCGCTGTGGTGAGACTCGGATTATTTCACTCTTTAACTCAAAATGATCCCTGGTGATGCCTGCTGTTGTTTTAGCCCTCTTTATCACGGGGGTATCTTCCTTTTTAATGAGTATTATTGGCAGTTAGTCTAAAAGGGGGCAACCCGACCCCTTCACATGACCCAAGGAGCTATTGTCTCCATGGCAACAGTCATGCTGCAGCCCGGCCGGCCTTTTCTTGCCTGTGGGTTTGTGCTGTCTGATCTTCTTAATGATGTTGGGCTTTATCTTACATACAACACACATGCAGGCTCTCACATACACACACAGACAGACATGCAGACAGTGAAGCATAAAGCCTGTCATTATTTACGGCCATTAACTGCAGACGTTTACGGTAGGGTTTTAATTTGATAGTCTGTATGTGCCAGTCATCATCATTTCTTACAATTAAAGCTCAAAGTAATTCTTCAAATTGGAGCTCAAAGTGATAAGAAAGCTCAACTCTGATGATAAGAACCACATTTACATGTGAATGCAAATGATCTGGCACTACATGTGTCTCTTATGAAGCTTTGCATATTTAAATGCCACGTTGAATTGAACCTCTGTTGTTGTGACCAGGATTAAGACACTGTTTGTCTTAGATTAAGGAAGTTTTTCCAGTCTGGATATGTTTCCCTGGAGCAACTGCTTAAACGCTGAGCCGAATTAATACAGATTCTCAATGAATCCAGTGAATGCAGCTCAATACTTCTGCAGCCTGTGTGAGGAAAGTCAGGCTCAAGGGAGACACCTGCTGGTGGATCTGTTTCTTAACTTTTAAAGAGCTCGGAGCAACTCTGGGGGAATTTTTCTCGCATTAAGGGAAGCTGGTCCAAGTAGTGAATCAGCTTTAAGTGCTGATGTGTAGTTTAGTCAATAAAAGAAGTTTCTAAAACAGCTCCAATATGTTTAAGGACTTTTTAACACTTGAACTATCAAAATTTACAATGTCGTAACTTTTTTAAAATAAAACTTCTACACCAGTTGCACCCTGACTTTTCCTAAATGTGTGTATATTTTATTCTAACATCGTTTTATCATTAAAATTTCAAAACACAAAAGAGATCTGAGTATTACTACCTTGAACTTCCAGAGGAGTCAAATTGACTGCATGCCTTTGACAAACAATGTTATATTTCGCCATTTTCTACATTTTCCCGCTCTTTCTCCTGCTTTGTTTGTTTTGTACTTTAAGCTCTGTGAAGCTAAAATCTTGCTATAACTTTACTCAAAACTCAAGAGACTCAAAAATGACAACTAGAAGAAAAATGACAAGTATGGAGGCTTTAGCCTTGCTTCAGAGCCTTGATGAGGAAGAATCCGATGGAAGTTCAGGGAATGATGTGTCTTGGTATTTTGAGGAAGGTTCGTAAAAATCTCATTCATAATGATTTTCATTTTGTGTACTCATGTGTTTTTCATCTATTCGACCAATTTATTAGCAGTTTTTATTGTTGATTATCCAAGTAGTGTGCAAAAAAAGGACTGAGAAGTCAAAATGACTGCCATGGTCATTCTAGTAGTTGCAGAATTTTAGTAGACCGAGTGTTAAAAGGTTAAATTTGATCTCTTTCAGGGAAGGACGCTCCAATGCTCATATAAAAGGAGACTACCAGCGCATTGGAGATGTCATGCTGAAGAATTTGCAAGGCTTGAAGGTAAGATAACAACCAAATACAAACTCCCACTTGTCTTTAATCCTTTAGTTATATCATTCTCATTTGTGTGTCTCTAGCCCTTGTCCGTAAACTTTCACAAGCAGTCTGAAGTTCTGTTGGAGCTGGAGAAGGCGTGCAGAGCGTCCCGTAGGCTGGAGAGTCTCTGCAGGGACTTTGAGCTGCAGAAGGTCTGCTACGTCCCCCTCAATGTGTTCATCCTCCGGCCTCTGCACCGCCTCATCCACTACAAACAGATCCTGGAGCGCCTGTGCAAACACTACCCGGCTACTCACGTGGACTTCAGGGACTGCAGGGGTACTGATCTCAGGCTGGTGCTCTTACAGGCATGTTTGAGTATTCCTGTGCTGTAGAGTGATAATCTCTCTTTCCTCTGGTTGGTCTGCAGCTGCTCTGGCAGATGTGTCTGAGGTGGTGGAGCAGCTCCAGGGAAGCTTAATCAAGATGGAGAACTTCCAGAAGCTTCTGGAGCTGAAGAAGGATTTGATTGGCGTTGACAATCTTGTTGTCCCTGGCCGGGTGGGTTTAAAGCTTAAAAACTGAACTGGCAGCTGTTACAGTTCTTCTTGTTGTTTTTAAATGTTCTGCATGTGTCTGATGACGTATTTTTGTCTCATTTGCAGGAGTTCATCAGGTTAGGTTGCCTCAGCAAACTGTCGGGAAAAGGCCTACAGCAACGAATGTTTTTCCTGGTAACACTCATCTTTTTTAAAAATACGTCATGTTAGTAATCTAATTATCAGGCAGAGGAAAAAATAATCATACTGTTATCATTTCTAGCTGTGTAATACTCAGATGGTGTTGGCAGATGAAGTGCAAATGCAGAAAGTGCTCCTAACATGTTGCTCAGAACTGAACTATAACTCTGATGAATAATACATTCAAAGACACAGATTTCCACTATGAAAGAATCGTGTAAATGGTAAAGGACTGTATTTGTTTAAGACCCACTCTGATGAAAATTTTTATATGTTCATATGGCATTTTTTTGAAGCTACAGGACATATCATGAGAAAACTAAATGAGAAATTGCTTTCGTAAATATTTCTTCATTCAAATCACTGTGAATCTCTGTCAGACCCAAACAGCAGGTTCAAAAACAGTGAGATTTTATACGTAACTTATCAAAGCTCCGCCCCCTGGAGCCCCGCTATGCAGGTCACATTCTGCATATAGAGGAGAAATACAGAGGACGATCATGGGACAAGCGTGTGCGTTAGGGGATTGCAATGCTCATAAGAAAGCTAATTATGATAGCTTTCATCGTGTTCCTAAAGACATGAGTGTCTGAGAGCTGAATGCTTATGATCTACTGGAGCTCTGTAGAAGAAAAACCCTTAAAAATGACACAGGTAACGCGATCTTTGGTAAAAACTTCACAATTTAAAGACCACTGAGAACACTTGAAGTACTAAAAAAAATAGATAGGAGTGGGACTTTAAGTACTTTGAGGGTTTCAGGAGATTCATGACACTTTGGCATGTAGGCAGCAGGACCTGCGATTGAACCTTCAACCCTCAGATGGAGAAACTCCTCCACTGATCCACAGCCGCCCCTCTGTTCCTGCTGCTCCCTCAGAATTGCTAATCAGATAAAGCCATTCGACCAAAAGACAGAGCCAGTGACATTTAGCTGGAAAGATTGTTAATGTCTCTCTCTCTCTCTTTCCGTATCCCCGGGGATAGTTCAACGATGTCATTTTGTACACGAGTCGAGGGATGACGGGGACCAATCAGTTCAAAGTGCACGGGCAGCTGCCTCTGCACGGCATGACAGTAAGTGCTGCATCCCCTCATTGAACACATAGTGCTTCAAACTGCTGTCGCCAGTTTGTCATTACTGCAAATGAGCCGTCTCAAACAGCTGAAGTGCAGCTCTGTCAACATCTCACACACACAACAACTTTCAGAACAACTCACTACACATGTCCTTCTTTCACTTCCTTTTCATCTTCCCTCCCTGTCTGTCTATTTCTGTCCTCGCTGTCCCAGATACGCCTACTCTCTAATGTTTTTTCTGTGTCTCTGTGTTCCTCTCTCAGATCAGAGAGAGTGAGGATGAGTGGGGTGTACCACACGCCTTCACACTGGTTGGAGAGCGGCAGTCGGTGGTGGTAGCAGCAAGGTAAAAACAGTGGCTGACAGCGCAGAGACGCCTTGCACTTTGACTTCAAGTTCGTGCCTCAGAATTTCAGTATCCTTAGATCAACTCTCATTAGATGGACTTGATTTATCCCACTGATAATAAAAATATCTAAGACATAAAGCCTCTATTGTTTTCTTCTGCTCGCAACATGTTGATATGCTCGCACAGGCTTCTCCTAAGTGTCACTCAAAATAAACTATCTCCATGAACAGTGCGGTTGCTTTGAGGACACTCAGCACCCTGGGATTTGCCTTTGTTATAAAATAAACATAATTTCTGTTTCCAAATGGAAAATTTCTGATAACAAGCTGGATAGTCAAATCAGAATTACAGAGAAGACAAAAACAAACCACAGAATATTCAGTTTAAAGATCCTGTAAGGAGTATTAGCAATAATTAATAACAGCATGCAGCTGAGGCGAGCTTTATTTACATTTTCTACAACAAAAAATACACATATGTTTGGCTCAAATAGAAACAAATGTGAACTTTTTGTTTGCAAACACAGCTCACACATGTACTCAAAATTATGACCTTGTCAAGAACTGGATTTTTCCTGACTGCCTCCCTGCTGTGTCTAACAGTTCATCTGTTTTTCTCTCTAGTTCACTGAAGGAGATGGAGAAGTGGATGGAGGATATAAAGGGGGCGATAGAGATGGCGAAAACCAGCAACGGGCCTTCATCTGATATTCTGAGCACCAATCTGACAGATGGCACTAGTAAGTGACCGCACAACATGAAGTTGAATGTATATCACAGTAAATATGCAGAATAATAGACCAGAAGAAATCCCAGACTGCATTTGATTTGTGAATGAGCTGACGCTGTCTGTGCTTTAGCGCCCTCCTCCTCCCCTCATCACCCCGCTCATTACCTAGCAGTAACCACCTCCTGACTTTCCCAGAATGCCCTGAGGACTCCTCGGTGGACGCAGAGTCCGAGGACGACATAACATCCCCGCACACCTCGATGGACAAGCCGGCCCCTCACCGTGGTAACACCATGGTGCATGTGTGCTGGCACAGGAACACCAGTGTGTCCATGGTGGACTTTAGCATAGCTGTGGAGGTACCGGCCCAAAACCCCAGCACTCAAACCTCAGACCTGCCTCTGTACCCCTGCCTCACAGTTTTCTTTCTCTCTGTGTCTGAGTGTGTGCTGTTTTTAATTCACTGTGATGATTTCTCTCTGTGGGAACAGTATCCTTCTGTGCTGCATTCAGTCACACTAACTATTGACTTCTTATGGTTGAAGGCATGGTGAAGTGGATCTGATTTAATGAACTGACAAGTAAAATTCTGAAGTACTCAGAAGTATAAAAAAATAGATCCAAATCAAATTCAGAAAAAAATCAACGACAGATTCTTGAGGTGAATACGGGCACGTTCTCAGCATCATTTACATTTGTTTTTGTTTTTTTGTTTTTTAACTGCAACAGGTTTATATCTACTCATGGGATATAAAATTATGGTAAAAATGTATCAAAAACTCTTGTAAGGAGAGCTTATCAGGTTATGTAGAACTAACTAATGTCTCTGTATGACATACAAAAGCAAGCAAGACCATCAAAACCTGTCTTTCAAGTGGCTAAACTTCCTCTATTTTCTCCTGTTTTGCTGTTTAGTGCTTGTCTGGTAGTTTACTGAGTGTTACTGGAGCTTCTTCACTGCTGCAGTGGATAAAATCATGTTATGAGCAGTCTCTAAGTTTCCTTTTAAAGCTAGAGAAAGTGGCGATCAGTGACATTAAACTGAGGTTTCACTGGTCCAGAACTTTTGCATCCCCATTGTAATTTGGCATTAAGTCATTAGATAAGTTATTATTATAAAAAAGACATTTTATAGGAACTATTATATATTTTAAGTCATGCCTGTGTTTTTTTTTTCCAGTATCAATGTTTTGAGAGTTTGCAGTCCTCTTCTTCACAGCCTTAGCTTCTGCAATGCAAAGTTTTTGTGCACCTTAGGGAAACAAGAATATTGGAAAACTGATAGCATGATATAAATATCAGTGCCAGTTTGCAGCTACTGTTGCAGGTGATGAACAAAATATGGATCTTTAAAACTGGTGCACCCCTTTAAAAATCTAGATATTTTGTGTATAAACTGTTATTTTTTTTCCTCTTTTTAACACAATTACTATTATTAATTGAAGATGGATTTCTACCTCAAGTGATCGTATTCAAAGCCAAGTTGAGGATACTGTTCCTTGCCTCTTTTGACCTGTAGTAACCTTTGTTGTCTTTTCTAACCTCAAACTGTGTTTTTTCTTTGTGGTTCTGTCCTTTTTTCCTCCCCTGGCACTTTAAACCTCTGATCCTCTAAAAATAGAGTGAGAGCACTTAGTAGATGTGCTAAACATCTTGCTCTGACAGCCCTGATCTAGTTCTGCTCTTCCTCTGTAGTTTGTAACCACGTCCTCTTCACAGCCTGGACACACCGTCACCGGCCTCCTGTCTCTCCCTGTCACTGCATGCTTCTGTTTCACCGACTCAGTCTATGTTTCTGTCCTTCCTCCCCTGTCTGTTTTTCTCTCTCTATTTTTCTCATGCGTCTGTGCGTTCCTCTGTGGTAGAGGACCCTAGTCCAGTCAGTGAGAATAAGGCCCCCTCGGGGGGGCCCCCCAGTGGCCAGGGACCAGTGCCTCTCTCTGTTATCTGCTGGTACCGTGTTCAGAGCCTCTCCTTTAGTGAATCCTGCAGGAGTCTAGAGGTAAAGGAGCCAGGCAGACAGGAGAGGCCCTGCGAATGTGTTTACTTACACTGCAATATAGGAAGAGGAAAAAGAAGTTACTGTGGTGTCTCATAAATACTGTATCTGGATTTTTAAATGATAAGCTATGCTGGAATTCATGTAAAAATCCCAACACAGCATAACCACAGCCCTAAACAGTTGTAACAAATACCTCAAATTTCTAACTATCAAGGAAACGAAGTGAAAGTAGTAGCTTCAGATTCTATTTGGCTGTAGAAAATGAGAAAGTGAGATAAGGTTGGCCAAAGTCTTTTTTTCTGTACATTGTCAAGCTAACAATGTGTATGAGTGTATATCTGTACTATCTTACTTCCTATTCCTGTCGCTAGCACTCATACTCAAGACAGTTAGCTTAAACAAAAGGTTATAGTCCTTCTAAGGTGACAAATACAAAGTGTAATGTTTCTTTGTCAGGACATTATGTGTGGGACACTTTGGTTATACTTACTTTAATTGAGGAACTCAGAAATATGTTTTTAATAGCTTTAGACAGCAAACAGTGGACACTTAGAAAAATCTAAAATATTAACAGGCTTGTCCTTTAACGTCAGAAATTCCTCTGTAACATTTGATTAAATATATTTAGTATATCTTACAGGTGATCTTATAATGTGCTTGTGTTAATATCGTTTTGGATTTTCACGTTTTTCTTATTCGGTCTTTGCAGAACCAGCTGTCAGGAAACTTACTAAGAAAGTTCAAGAACAGTAACGGCTGGCAGAAGCTCTGGGTGGTCTTCACAAACTTCAGCCTGTTTTTCTACAAGTCTCACCAGGTGATAATCATTCGCTCTCATCTCTATCCGTCCAGAAAATTCATGGCCAACCTCTCCCACGTTCATTCCTCTCTTCAGCCCGTGTCCATAAAAGTCTGGATTCAGAAGCATCACACATGTGTGCAGAATGTATCATCCATGTGCTATCATACAAGCTTACAGGGTTTCTCATGCAGTTTCTGATCACCGCATGTTTCTGTTGGCTGCCTGTCGACTTCAGAAACGGTGTTGTTTAATATTTCCAGGAGTAAGCTTTCATTTTTTATCCAAGCACTTAACATTAAATCTTCACAAAGTCAGTTTTTTATTTTGAAAAGTTTGTGAAATCGTGAAAGTAAAGTACATACAAAGATCCAACAAGTCCAAGTTTATTAAATCAAAGTATAATGTAAGAAGTCAAAAAATATACTTATTAAACACACACAGAGGTTATGAAAAATGTGAGGCAGTGAGAGAGGGAAAAATACATGTTAAAGGAACAAAAGAAGATCAGGGTCAAATTAAAGCATCTTATATCTGCAAAAGGAAATTTATTACAGCAACTTACTCTATCCTGTCACCTACAATGTTGGTTATAAATTTCAAATTTTATCAGCAGCATGTTTTAATAAATGACAATTTTTCACAACACAATGCAGGAAAGGGTTTGTTGTTACTGACACAGCATTCAAACATTTGGAAAGAATTTGGTTCTGAATGGCATCAGCACTTTTTTACAAGCTTTTCTGTAGCAACAAGAGAAGATTTATACCTTAGAAAACAATTAAGTTTACACCTTAGGAAATGAAAAAGGCGTCAGCATTGTAACAAAATCCCAAAAACTTTATTTACAAGGATAGCAGCTCTCATTATGCTGTCTGTTCTCATGATTAAAGTTTTTGGGCTTAATTACGAGTGCTGACGCCTTTTTCACTTATTATTGTGTATCCTGAGTTAGCACCAAGTGACATTTACTTAATTTGATGGCCTTTAATTGTCACAGAGATTTGAGCTTAATGTCCCTTTTTATCTCCTCACAGGATGACTATCCTCTTGCCAGCCTTCCTCTGCTGGGTTACTCCGTCACCATCCCCACAGAGTCTGAAAACATCCACAAAGACTATGTCTTCAAACTGCATTTTAAGTCCCATGTCTACTATTTCAGATCAGAGAGTGAATACACATTTGAGAGGTAAAGAGCGCCATTATCTAAACATGTTCACTCAGTGTCTTTGTTTTTTTTATTTATAGAGGTCAGAGGACTGATAAAAACTTCTTTCTCTCCCTCCAGGTGGATGGAGGTCATCCGCAGCGCCACACTCCCTTCAGGTGGCCCTCGCTTCCTCAACAGTAAAGAGTCCCACCCTCACTGATCGGCTCACCTTGTCTCCTCATGCCGTCCCCCTCCTGTCCTCTCAGACTCTCTGCTTTTCCTTTCTACACATATCTGGGACATTTGTACACGTGTCCATGCACTTTTGGTGCTTTTTTTAATGCTTTAATGGTGACATGTCCGCTGGTTTAGACTGCATCAGAGACTGCATTTTTTGACATTTTTACTCTCAACTCTGAAACCTCTTTTTTAAGGATGTCATTTTATACTGTTTTCTAACGGTCTCAACCACTTCCTACCTGTCTGGTTTTACATTGTTGTCATTGGTTGTTTTTACAGCAGGAACATGTTGATGTAGATACCCAGAATTCCCTCTTAGATGCTTAAACTATCACTGCATCGTCATTACATTTTTGTCAACTTATTCTTTGTACGAAATACTGCTGCTTTGAAAATGTCCAGAAACTCTAGTGCCAAACTGGTTTATATTAATGTCCTGGACTTTTTGATGCTATTTTATTACATTGGAGATGAAGAGTGTCTCCTGTACTGTAAACTATGAAATTTTAAACCTTGTAAAACAGGCCACCCTTTAACATTAATGCTCGGTTTAACCTGGCCCAGCACAACGTGTTCTTGTTAAAAAAAAAAAAAGGTCTGAAGAATATAAGATTATTTTGTTGTATTATTGACTTAAACCAGGATTGATCACAATGTGGCCAGGGGGTAGCTGCCATCACAGTTTAACGATGTTTCTAGTAAATACTCTGTTGTATAAATGCGCCGCAGACAGGTTTTTTTTATAAACTTGAGTTCCCCTGCAGCTGTAAGAGAAAATGTGGGAAATGTTCATAATCTCTAGATTATGTGGCTGAGTGTTACGGAAAGCTTTAAAAGATTACGTGTGAACAAAAGAGAAAACTTTCAGTTCCAAGCGCCGCTGCCCTCACTAAACTCACACAGATACCAGATTCTTTTATGGGTCAGAGTGAATGGAAATATGCACATCGACGGGATTTAGCAGTGAAGCAAATGAAGTGGAAAACCTCAGTTCTGCTTAGATTTGCAGTGTTTTTCCAGAAAACGGAGAGCTCTTTGGAAATGAAAGCAATAAAAAATCTTATTCAACTTCAGATTTGTGTCAGTTTTTTTTCCCCCATTTTTTAAATGAGGCTCAGGAAGCAAAAGTAGTGACGCCACTTGTTGACTATTTCTTCTGTAAAGGGGGTTCCGTGGTGTGTTTACAGCTTTGACCTACAGATGGCGTCATAGATCAAGACGTTGTGCTCAGTCATGTGCACACTGTCAGTGTATTACTGTGCAGGCTGGTAGCGAGGACCAGCTCCAGGGTGACTTCTACCCCTTTTTTCTCGAGTATTTTAAGATAGCCCATACCATGGGTACTGACAACTTGGGGCTGTACAGTCTCTGTGATCCCAAACTCTTTTAGTATGTGCATAAAATTTGGCATTTAGTTTACTGAAATGTTCAAGGAAGAAGCACAATAGCAATCTGGTGCTTTCTGGCTCCAAATTGGAACTATTACCTGTAAAATTTATGAAAAGACAATTAAAATTACACCTGCTGGATAAAATCTTTGAGCACTTTCTGGTTCGTATCAGTGCTGCATCTACAACTATATCAAAAAACCTCTAAGTTTGTAAGCCTCAGAATCAGCTCTTGATGACATATACTGAAAATTTCAACTATTTTTAATAAGACCATTCAAAAGAAAGCACCTTGGTCTTATTCGTCTTATTTTGCTTTCCCACATATGTCTTTATACTATTGTATTTGCAAAATTTGGTACATGTGTGACTTAAAATGCAGTAGTAACAGACTTGTATATACAGTGCATAGCAGTTCCCTCGTCTATTTAACCCTTCAAAGCACCTTAACACTAAATATCACATTCACTCATACATACTATATTCTACACTGATGTCAAAAGTTGCCTGTTCAATTACATTCATACAGCAACTAAGAGTAATCTGGGCTTCAGTGTCTTTCCTGTTGACACTTTGAAATGTGGCACAAGGAGCTGAACCAAACCACCCACTTTTCAAATGTGGGATTAACCACTCTGAGCCATAGCTGCCTTATCAATAGTTTAATTTTATGGACTGATTTTATAAGTGCCAGAAGATTTTCCGAAAAAATGGGAGTTTGAACCCCCAAAACATAGGGGTTTTAGCCTCAACATGCAACAGGACCAAAGTGTGTAATGCTGAAGATAAAAATGTAGTTTCAGTAGCAAATCCAAGATTTTAGGAAGACACTCCGCGCATCTAAAAAAAAAAATCCGCTGTGCAAAATAATACCTCAATGGTGAAATAAAATCATGATCCGGAATGTAAAATAAAGTTAAAAGTGGGAATAAATCTGAGAAAATCATCCAAATTCCTCAAAAAACTTTTACCAAAATAAGCAAAAAGAGTTAAGGTGGAAGCATATCCCAAAAACAAGTAAATGTGGGTTAAAGTGTATTGTGACTTAATAGAGATAGAGCTTGTGGATGCAAACATGCTCTCGGATCATCATGTTGATCAAAGTTTATCGGCTGAATGACTGACTGGTCCAAGGTGTGGGAGAACTGGAAATAAGAGGGGTAACAAAAAGCATCCTCAGGGCTGATCCAGAGAGCAATGTCTATGTTTAATGCAATGAATTAGCAGAAATGTCATGCTAAATTATTGATATGTTATTACCAGCAAGCAAAAATAACCATACAGCAATATTACAGTAGTTTATTTATCATGAACAGTAAAGTTTTCCTCCTCCAGTGTGCAGTTAAGCCATAAAATACATGTCTAAGATGATTTTATTTTTATAGAGTAAATGTAAAAAGCAGAACAACGTACTATTGTGCAGCCTTCAAGGATAATTGGGACTTATGAGGAAAACAGTTTTCTGTTTATCTGTGTCTTTTTTTAAAGCCCCCTTCTCCAAAATACCTGAAAAAATAATCTGATCAAAGTTATTGAGTTTGTTCAAATCAAGATTACTTACTTTAATCTTAAAAACATGAATTCCACACCACTAAAGTGAAGCTGTACAGTGAATTATGATCTCTAATTTGAATAGAGAACCAACTTTTGTGATTTTTTTGTGAAGCTGTGCGCCACATTGAGTGTTACAGTGGCGTGTTTATCCAAATGTCTTTAGAAACAATGACTACAGAAACACGTTCTCCACTGTTGTGATTTTTTTGTAGTGAAAGGAAAATATTTATTCAGTCGTTCCCACTGCAAATTTCTGTCCAAAGTCCAGCCCCAACCGCTCACATACACACAAACGCACTCACAGAAGTGGGCTGGCTTTAAACCGGTAAGGGGGCGGAGTGCGCGGAACAGGCAACCAGATTATACTCCTCCTGTCTGGCGCTGCACGGCCAATGAAACTCAAATGAGCAGCACACTTTATCATGACAACAATAACTCTGATTGAGGAAGGTAGGGCTCAGGAATCATGCAGCACACTTTGAAAAAAAGCGGAAAGTATGATATCGACTTTTGGAAGTGAATCAACAGCCTCTCCACAACATGACCCAGGTTCTAACTCGTGGTGCGTACTAGAGGGAGAATCGGAAAGACCGGTGATGAATTTCCTCTGAATTTGGCTGATCAGAAAATATTGGATTTATCGGGGATTGATGCAAAGTTGTGCGCAACGATGGCTACTCCCGCGCACCCGGAGACCAGGAGGTTTACGCGGGGCCTGGGGAAACCTGGCACGGCGGCTGAGCTCAGGCAAAGCGTCTCTGAGGTGGTGAGGACATCCGTGCTGATTGTAAGTACACACCTAGACACCCCCTGCCCCCTTCTTCTGCTCCTTCTGCTCTTACGCCAACTCTTTCTCCTTAACACCGTCTCTGTCAGTGCTGTTCAATCACTTTAGGACTTGTGGGGAGTGAACACTTTACGCACATCTTTTTCTCACTCATAGAAGTGAGCAAAAGAGTAAATAAAAGTGAATGAATGGAAGTGTGTGTCTGTGGTGAGGAAATAGATAAGGGAAAGGCTGAAAATAGCCTAGCCTATTGTTATAAATCTTAATTCCTCCCAATCCATATACAGAATATCTATTTTGTAGCCTGCTTTTTTCACATTTACCTGTTTGTGTCAGCTGTGTAGCAACACGTGGGCTTTTTGGCTGAAAACAACACGTGATATTTTGGATTGAGTGGCCCTGACCTCTTAATATAAGGAGTAAAGGGGCGGGGAGAGTGATTTGAGTGAATGAATGAGGTGGTGTATGTCTGACAGAAAGATTAAGAGGGAATGAAGAGATTTAATACAAATTTAGATGGACTTTTGGTTGTAATATCCCCCTCTTAGATGTAAATTACCTTCAACTTTCATTCAAAATACCACATCATGCCTGAAAAACTTCACTTTCATTTTCTCTAAGTGTTTTACTTCCTGCTGAGAATCAGTGCCTGCTCAAAGTGTTTTGTACTGTGTCAATGAGGGCATCACTTTGCACTCAGATGACATAATACCTGCTCAGAAGGGAAAGCATGTGGCTTCAGTTTCATGCTTCAGACACACAGTCAGTGTCCAGTGACACTGACAAAATGCTGAAATGGACCATCCACTCAAAATAACATCTGTGCATCGGGGTCCTCTGTATCAGCTTTCCTCAGAGCTCAGGAGGAAAAAGAAGTCGGCCTCTTTCGTTTTGTGTCCGTCTGATTGTTCCAGCTTTCCTGGAAGAAGTTGCTAGGTAACCGAAACGGACACCGTCCAGGCTTTCTGTCAGGGAAATGGAATCCTGAGTCAGGATCCCAGACATCCAACCACACCTTCATATTATTTATTCATCTTCACTCTGGTGCTCTGCCAGAGACGCCTGAGGGAGGAGAGCAGAAATGGATACAAGAATGCACGTTGGGAAATCGACAAGTTTGAGGAGGACTGAAATGACTTGAAGAAATTCTGAGAATGGCTTGTTGTGCTTTTGTGTCATCCAGCTGTTCATCTGCAGACAGGCCTTTGGGCGAAAATGGGCAGAACTGCTGAACTCAGAAAGTTTTGAATGAAGAGTTCAGAGCAGGAAAGTTTTACAGACAATGGCACGTTTGTAAAAATGGGAAAATGTTCAAAAGCTTCGGTTTGGTTAAAAGTAATCTGTATTTTACTAATAATCACAATATTTATGTTGAAATGGATTCCAAACAAACAGCATAATTGAAGAGAAAAATGAAAACAGTGGTTTGTAACTTCCCATATGTTTGAAGGATTGCTGTGTGAGAAAGCCGGCCCTGTTCATCCAAATATAAAAGTCTGTTTTCTAAAAAGAAGACACCCAGACTGACCTCAGGTCAATTCGGCTCTCTTTTGTTTACACTTGCATCTTTTTGTGGTTGTTTTGTGATATTTAGAGGTTGTTTTATACCTGTCTGTTCAAATTGAATCTGTGGGTGGTCATTGTGTGTCCTTTTATTCTAATGTTCAGTCAGTCCAGGATGTTTTAGGGTTTTTATGACTGTTTGGGATCATTTAGCATCACAAGTCCGCTGTTTTGTCTGTTTTGGTTGTTTTGCTGTGATTTGTGAGTGTTAGGATCTGTCTGTTGAGCTTTGGAGAAATATTATGCTCATTGGTGGTTGCTGTTGTCTTTTTTGGAGTCATTAGCTGATCCATAATAGCTTTTACAAACATTTGCAAAGTTCTGCTCCAGAGATTATAAATTTTGACCTGGTCGCCCCTTTTACCAATATTTTCATCTTAAATTTCTAACTTCTTAAATTTTCTTGAATTTTCTTTTTTCTTCCACAACCTGGTGTCACCTCTGGGTATGAGAGCTGCAGAAGTGAATGTATGCGACACTGAGTCCACGTGCTTGCTGAAGCGTCTCAGTGGGACAAGAATGCGAGTGCACACAAGACGGCTGTCTCTGCAGCTCATAATTAATTCCTCCATGAAACATGTAAATACCACAGCAGGAATACAGGGATCTGTTCCACAGACATAAAGAGGGAATTGTGGCGGTTGTCACTCATCATGAGTGTTGTTTCAGCTTTAGAAACAATTGTTTCTGCCCTTCTGAATGTCCTGAAACTCTGACTTTAGTTTGTGAGTTACTTATTAGTGCATACAGACACACAGTAACTCCTTGGTTCTGTTTTGGAGACGGTCGCTCCGTGCTGCTCTCTTCCTCTTCGTGCAGTTTGTGCATTTTGGTGAAGGCACACTCCGGCCTGAGTCTCTTTGTTTATTGTTGGAATGGAGTGCACAGAGGTTTGTAATAGGCCAGGCCCTCAGCTGAGTTATCCATCTGTTTCCACACACTTTAAGCATGCTGGGAACACTATTGGCTCCACGATGGCTGTCATCAGCTCTGAATTTGTGGAGCTGCTGAGACACAAGGAAAACAATGACTTTCAAACTTTATTCTGTACATAGTTAGACAAGAAATGAGTGAGTTTTGTAGATTTTTGCAATGTTTACAACCTGCCTGCAGTTGTCGTTGACAGCGTGTTGATGTAAATGTATCAGCTGATGGCAATAAAACAAATCAATGGTTGTTGGAAATGTTTAGTTACTGTATACGGTGTATGCAGCAGCTGGAGGGCAGTTGTGTAATTGTGATCAATAGTCCTAACTGCCTGCCACCTAATGGTGATATATCGAGATCCTCAGTGTTCCTGCTACATGACTGACCCCGGAGAGCTGTATACCAGATGGGTGTCATTATGTAGGAGTGATGCCGTTAACCGCCCAGGGCCTGTGCACACAGCAGACTCCGAGGGGGAAAGTGAAGGTTTCATGTGAGCTGCAAAAGGAAACACATTAAAATATCGACAACATGCGTAACTACAAACAGAGCATGTGAGCACATGTTGCTGCTTGGCCTTGTTTTAGGGATTACACATTGTTGGGAGAGTACCATTTAGAAGCTTAATTGCTGCTCTGTGCCTCTTGGGGGTCTTTGTGCTTGTTTAAGTAGATCATTGAGATGATGTTTAAAGCATTTGGCAGAGATGGATGGCATTTTGTCTTCTGCTTTTGCCAAATTAGACTCATTTTCAACATCTTGAGGCATTGACAAGTATTGCTCATTCATCCACCTGTGTAACCTCTGACAGGCTCTGTTGGAGAGTTCAATATACACCTGCATGTTCAGTAATCAAACCCAGCTGCAATGCATAAAGGATAAGGCTCCACATTTGGTGCGGTTGCTGCACACACGTTGTTGTAACATGATAAAATATAAAAATCCTGCTTCTGTCATTCCTGGATCTAATCAGCCTCATGTGTACACCTTTGTGTTTTTGTTAGCTTTCCCAACATGAGCTGGGAATAACTCAGGTGGGTGTGGGCTCTTTGCATTTTTCAGCAATAGTGTCAGAGATTTTTTTTTCTTCAAATTTAGCTGTGACAGAACTTGTTCCTTCTTTGTTATTTTGCACTCTGAAAGCCAAGTTTTATAATGTGGGGAAGTCCCGTTTGTTCAGCTGTATTCGAATATGCACAACACTCCTGAAACTTTCAGGGGTGAGATGCATATGTGAAGGCAAACAGCCCACATTTTCACCCCGAATGCACCCTGAATTTTCCTGTCATCTCACAGTCTACCAAGTATAGAACTCCAGATTCAGCGAGTAAAACTGAGGTTAGTTTTGATAAAGATCAGTCAATCGATCTGCAAAAGAATCAAGAAACTTCCCTGCTGCATGTTGTGTTTGTGTTGCAGACACTGTTTGCTGCCTGTCACAAGATTACCGGCTTGTCAGTGTTGTGTGAGGCCTGAGCTGCTTGACCTCTGTGTGCCTGTCTGTCTGTCTGTTTCGCAGTATCAGACCTGATGGGATCAGTCTAAAAGCATTCATGCACTGCCTTTGCAGCTGAGATGGTAAAAGGTACTTTACAAGAACAAACCCAGGGGGGTGGAGATGGAGAGCAGATGAGTTCTCTGAATGGGTCAATAATACATGAGGGTGCTCTAGTAACCAATACACCCATTAGGAGACACTCGCACTCTCTCCTGAACTGAGGGCTAGACAAACCAAAAACTTATCTACAGTTTGGTCCAAAGTTACACAACTGTCCCCTTAAAGTATCTGTAATATGTATAAACTATGAACCACTGCATTTTTTCCATAGTTATGATGTAACAGCTAACAGTCCTCATGGAGATTTACAAACTTGGCTCTTTGTGCCTGAAATTATTTTTCCTCAATAGTGAGTTGGGTCCACTCAGCCGGCAGTTTATTAGACACACCCAGTCAAATATAAAAGCCCCTTCCTGTGGAAAATCCTACGATTACGGGTGTTAGTATGTGCAGTTACTGTTGAAACAGTTTAAAACGGGACTGACTGAGCTCATGATCAATTTGAAGATAATAGTTAGTAGACTACAATATCTAAAGACGTAAAAACAGCTGACTGGTGGATGGGGTCACTTCAGGTCAAGCTCTATGTATAACTCTACATCCACAATAAAGAAACAAATCCAAGGTGTACTGCTTTATCACCTGTCAAATGATATACATTATATAATTTTTTTTTTTTTCTCTCTCTCCTTTTTCCTTTTATTGTATAATTTAATTTTTAAGCTCCCTTCCCCCAGCATTGAAAGTGAAACCAGTGTGGTGCCAAAAAAACTGCAGATTCTTAAGAATCCACTTAGGGCTGGCCGTTTTTACTGCCAAGGAGACCCCATTAGAAACCACACAAAATGTCAATTTCTAAAGCAGCATTTGGGTATGTGTCCATTAATGACATATTTGGTGCTGGCAGTGTCTATTTCCTGTACAAAACCAAAGCAGTCCAGCATCTTCAGCACTCAGCATCCCTTAGCGTCTGTTGTTTATGTTGCAGTGGTCTCAGTTGAAAATAGTTTAACTTTTGGGACACCACTGTGCTGGTTAGTGTCATTTGTCCATCATTGGCCAATCAAAAAAAAAGAAGAAGCAGGACTTCATACATCAGAACCGTCATCAACAATGACAGGGGTCTATAATTTTGCATGGTCTTTGCAAAATTGTCCTTGAATAAGAGCAAATATGAAGCATACAGAGTGTTTAAAAAGCCTTCACAGTCACTACCAAAGAAAGCATTAGTGCCACTGGACAACTTTCATATTATCAATAAGCATAGATGTTCTGTCATTCAGGTCATTGGTATTGTCTGCTGAATGAATGCTGTTGGTGGACAGTCCCTTGAACATGTTTACAAAACCTCCTTTGGTTGCATCGATCCATCTTTCTATATAAGAGCAGGAGCCCCCTTCTTTCACAGGTAAACACCCTCAGCTTAGATCCTCCTAGTCATGTGGATCCAGATTATTGTGCTCAGCAAGAACCAGCTATTTTAGTTCCCGTATAGTTCTTCATAGTATCCGTCACATAAAAAAGCTGACTGGAGCTCACTCCACTAGATGCCCTCCAGTTTGGAGTGGATGTTGTCACAGTACTGTGTGGATTTATTATATGCCGGTTATAAATGATTAACTGTTCAACAAAGGTGCACCTTGATGGCCAGATGTGAGGCAGATTTGAATGACCAGATGGGTGCATTGTCTGACTTCTCAGACAGTAAGGCTGTAGTCCCAGATTCATGTCTTTGCTGGTTTCTAAACTTGAAGTTAGTCAGGGTTAGATATTCAACCATCTTTAGGCCTCAAAACTCCTCTGTAGAAATCAGTGGTGTTGTCTCCAAGACCTCCCTCATTTGTTACCCGAAAGCAGCAGTTGATGGCTCGTAAATAGAGGAAAAAGTGAAAAATGAGGCATACCCGTGGAACATGCCATAAAATGTGTCTGCTTTAGTCCTGGCATGACTTTTGGCAGTTGCGGTTACACTAAAAACCAGATTTGCCACTTGAGGATCTTGAAGTCAGAGTGGGAAGCATGAGGGAATTACTCAACCGAGCACACAAAGGTTGAAATAATATAGAGCACTTCACAAACTGAAAGGATTTCCTCCATTCAGCCCTGACCAACTCTGGTTGAATCACACCACTTAATACTACAGTAGCAAAGCCAAGTCAAATGATCCGATGGCCAGACAGGCCGTTTTCCATCTGCGCCAAATGAAAACTGATTTAATATCATGGACACGAGTTGAACTCTGCCTGTTAATCTCTTTGGGACAAGCTGCTATAGTCTGTGTTTTTTATATGACAAAGCCTTCATTGTGTCGGAGCATATTTAGCCACATGTCTAAATGAGTGTCATATATAAATGTTGAGCCAAGATAGAATCTCAGGAATTGGTTTGTGGTCACATTGCTGGATTATTCAACTTTTTCTTTGCAGAGTGAGAATTGAGGAAGTATTAAATGGCCTTTTCACTCTAAAATTCAGTGAGCTGTGTAATCTGTAATCCATTGATTTTTGGTTCAGCGTTTGCCCCCTGGGATCCGTGTCTATGTAATGGCTCTGTGCTTGTTATGTAATTTTATTTTGGCATTTCCATGACACACATGCAGCTCTAGTTAGGTTGTTGGGTTATATTTTCTTTTCTAAAACTTGTTGCTACCATGAGCTGAGACTCCCAAAGCTTTCCATCCTGCCTGCCCGAACAGGAAGTGCCCACTTCTTCCTGTCCTTCATCTTGTTGTGGGAGAGCAGAGGCCTGTCTTTTCCTAGATAGAGCCGGTTTCCTGTGGCTGCATTTGGGCTGACCAGAAGTTTAAGGCAGGGCTTGCCGTGAATCCGCCCACTCTGTCTGAGCGTTCTGCCTGATAGAGCAGAGTTGTTTTCATACACAGGAGGGGTTACCATAACAGAGAGGCAGCTGATGAAGAGCCTGGCCTGTGTATGTTTTCCTGTTAGCAAGTACAAGGCACTCTGGGATTTATTTAAGATCGCCTCTTCAGAACATACAGTCTCCTAATGAATTATGACTCCAGCTTTCACAGCTCATAAGGCAGTCGTTTTTCCTTTATGAATATTTTTCCTGGCACTTACCGAAGTGAATTAGACTTCTGAGATTAAAGTTTGTTAAGTTTCTCTCACGAATCCAGCAGAAGAGTGATGTGAACTGAGAGAGTGAGTCGCTTTAAACTCTGTCAGTCCAACTCTCTCCCTTCGATATTTACAGCACATCAAAACAACTCAAACTTCTAACAGTAGACACATACATCAGCCCAGTGGAGCCTGACTGTAGCATATTATCATCAACAGCTTTGCAATCAAGCAGAGTTGAGCTTTGCCATCTTCCTCAAAGGCCATTAAGGTTGCTATTTCAGAGTCAGCAGGACACACACTTAGGTGCAGATGTGAAGGACAAACTGACTCACGATCAGCTTGCCTTTCGTTTCCCTCTGTTAGTATTATGTGGTTAATCCAGTTTGCCCTCCTCTGCAAACTGATATCGACTCAGGCATCAGTCAGTGATCTGATAGAGACGGAGATTGGAATCAATTGGACAGGGTTTGCAGATTATGTGACACTAAAGACTGCAAAATCATATGTTGAGTCTCCTTATTGAAGGTGTTTCAATGTCATTTTACCTATAGTTTCATATACTGCTTTCTTTTGTCGACATAATACTGAAGGTTTATTGACACTGGGCGCCCAATACATGCCAGCAAGCAAATGAGGGAAGCAGGGCACCTATTTCTTTCCTTTTAAAGCACAAACTGTTACAGTACCAACTAAATACTCAATCGCATTTTTTTACAGATCTCTCTTTGAAAGTCCCTCTGAGGACATGGATGCTTATGATCATGTCTATGTTTTGTCCAGAGTCTAAACAAGAGGTGCTCCCAGATATGTGCTTAGCTAATGTTAGCCGTAGCACAGCATGATCAGGTGTCAGTTGGGGGTGCAACTGTATGTCGGTATGCACCAGCCTTGTCTGTCTGGGAAATCACTCTACCTGTCTTGTAGAAAGTTTTCTACTTTCTGGAGACCTGGTGCACGGCTGCAGCCAATGGGCTCCCATTGAAACATGCTTTGAATTTAAGATATCATCCTGATAGTTTAGCATAATATGATATTGTTTATGTCTACCTGAGAGAGTCGATCCAGTACGGTCTTGAGACTCACTCGATACATGATTAGCCTACTTGTTGAATAATTTTCTGCCTTGTTTAAGACGTGTACAAAGAGGCTCAGTGCATTTAGGGTCAAGGTTCAGTTTAGTTGAACTTTTGGCCACTTAATTTGGCGGAAAACCAGAGCAACATGCACCGCTAAGATTTGTACACTTGCCCAATTGGAAATAAATCAAATGTGCTTTATGCAATGCTGCCTGTCAACCTTCTGTGTATAGATCCAGGAGGACTTTTTTACTCTGCTTTAGCTGTCAAATGCACATCTTTACATTCTGCTGCTTGCATGCACATTTTGTGTTTTAAAAGTAGACCTACATCTCTAGGTCATGGGAGTACAAGCCTCTACTAAGCTGCTACATATGAATGGCCCTAACAAACAGGTCTCCACATTGCCGGGCCCACTCATGAACAAGTGACTGAGAGAAAAATATCAAGAGTAGGTGGACACTGGTCTCTCTACCACATTGATACATAAGCTTCGCAGGAGACCAGTCAGAATAAAAGCCACCGGGTGAAACTGGTCAAGCAAAATCATTGCTGTGCACACGTGAACCGGCCTACAGATTAAGCTCATCGGATTAAGACCTGAAAGGCACCACAACACTCCTGAGTGGAGAGTGAACAACACATCCATGCTGTCTGGTGGGAGAAATGTCTAGAAGAGCAGTCTAATGACAAACATGTTCATTTTTTATGTCCTGTGTGTGCGTATAGGTGTATTTTCTCTCTGAACCTCCTGAATTTGTCCATCAAAGACCCATTTTCCTCGCTGCTTCTGCTGCTGCTGCTGCTGCTGCTGCTGCTTAGCATTAACCTGTAATTGTGGTTACGTTTTAAAAAAGAGATTTAAGGGACAGCTGTATACTGACACTCTGGACCTTGTCATTATTTTTCTTTCTACTCAGTATGTGGTGCTTTTGATTCCCTGCCACAGAAAGGGTTTGCCTCTTCCCCTAAGTGGAGGTTTACTCTTTAACGCTGATGAGTTTGAGGTTGGACTCATTGTGAGAGATGTTTAACTTTAACAATCTTGGGTAAACAAGCTCTAATTTTATTCATGCTAGCAATTATTTGATCCAGCTGAAGTATCTGTTAAACTTCACCTCTTTGAATTTCATATCCACGTTCACAGACCAAAATAGATTAGGGTTGAAGGCAAAGGTAGACTAGCAACTCCCACGTTCTGCAGTTTAAAACTAATATTCCTGCCGTTAAGGTCTGGTGGCTTAAAGGAGACTAATGTCCGGCCAACTCATATTCATTTTCCCTGCCACATGGATCCTAACCTGGAGCTTTTCATGTTGTTCATCACTCCACTGGACCATTAAGAGTTGATAAAGTAGCATTTGCTCAATATGCTAGCATAACATTTTCATTTGAGACCTCTTCTTCCACTTCATGCTAAAGAAAAGCTAACACCTACTGAGCGTGTTAGCATGTTTTTATTACTATCAGCTCACATCATCTTTGTGCCTGAGTTTAATCTCTCTGAGCTTTGAGCACGGCTGGAGTTTCTTGTTAAATTCTGAATACTTTGAATGCCTGGAGGTGTGTGAATTCTGCTTTCAGAGTTTTTACCCAGTTCTCAACATATGAATACGACCTTTTTTGTTTTTTGGACCTGTGATTTGTTATTTTTATGTTAGTGTTTATGAGTTACCGATAACCTATAGGATTAAGTGTCAAACACACAGCCCACTCTCTTTAGGTTAATCTGCTTTGAACACCGTACCTTTCCCCTCGAGTGCTCCGGCTTTGCCCGGTTGCGGTCACTGACCTCCCATTCACATCCCCTATGCAGCACAAGGCAGGATCAGTGCTCGTCGGATGTGGTTTTACACAGAGGGATAGATTAGCATACAATTAGCTTACACAAAACGTTGCTTCCCGTTGTTAGACTTGGGGCTAAAACCTCATGTTTAAAATTTAATTTGTTTTCCATCATAGTGGAAACTACTTAGGAATATTAATTTGTTCTGTGATGAGGAAGGCGGGCTGCTGTGAAGAGTTTAGGAAAGTACTTAAAATTCCTGCTTTGTGCTGCATAGATGAAAGTGAAAGTTAGCACTGATGCTGTTATCATCCACTTGGGATTTCCCTGAAAGTTTAGGGCTCTTATTTGAACCGACTCAGGCAGCGGTGGGTAAATGCATCATTATGTAGGTAAACAGAGAAGAGTTAGAGACTCCTCAGTGTGAAGTTTCTCCTTTTTTCCCACAGTGCATGCTGTTAGCCTAATTAAACAGTCTACAGTCTCTGCAGTTCTCATCGCTCACTCTTGTGGCTTTGTGCAGAGTGCAGTGTGTGGATGGGACCTGCCACAGCCAGAGGGGATAAACTCTAATGACTTTTCACCAGGCCGGCTGCATAGTTGACATTCTTCACTCTGACACACTGTAGGCCGGGGAGGGGATAAGGGGGAGGGGCTGGACCTACAGGAGGCGGGCTGTGAGCTGGATGGTTTACAACTTACCTTTGGATATTTATGTAGACCTGGTTTGTTTGAAGAAAGATGAGACTCCCTTGTTTCACATTGACTAGAGCCCTCATGGTGAGAAATAATTATAAGACTGAACTTACTCTTAATTAGTGTTTGGCGTTATGAACAAAATCTTTTATCACGGTATGAGTTATTTCATATCACAGTAATGGTATATATCACAGTATGTTATTACCCCTGTAAATTCAATAAATGGCTTAAAAATAACCATACTGTCGCATTTGTTCATTTTCCTTTTGTTTTTTAACTTTGGTGTATACAAATGCAAACAAAATGACAAACCAGTCTGGCGTTTTTTATCACCTTTGGCGAAAGACTCTGCCAAGCTCTTTTTGTATAAGAGGAGCTGCTGCAGTTTTAGTTTTTTGTGCAGCAGATGCCCCACGCATCTTTTGGCTTTCATAATAGAGCTTGGCTAGTTCATCTTTAGGTGGTGAAAGAGGTTGCTGGTGTTTCCTCCTCCAGCAACGACAGCCACACGACACTCTTTGCATGAATCTCGAGACAACTGATGTTGCGACTCGCACCCTTTTTCCGGAATGAGATCCTCCTTCTCATCCTCATGTTGGGTGGGTTGGGCTGCCTCTGTTTGCTCGGTACTGCCACTAATCTCCATGTTTCTTCCAGCTGTTTCTTCTTCATTGAAACTATGCCAAGCAGTTTGCTGGACACGCTGGTGATTATAGGGAGCGCACCCAAACCTGACCAATCAAACGGATTGGTGAATATATGAAAACGCACCCAAATGGATGCGCTCGGCTTTCCTGTTAGCTAGCGTAGACAACTACACACTGACTCAGAGAGAAGCAGCAGACATCTGCTCTCATTCGCTTCGGTACAAATGGTACAGCAAAATTTCTACCGGTAGACACTTTTACAGTCACACTCATACAGTCATACCTCCCAACACTACTCTTGATTATGCAATAGAATTACCTACATCAGCTTTGATTGATTGACATAAAGTGGACTTAAGTAATGTGCTGAAGCTCTTAAGTCGAACTGTACCACTGTACGTACTGCAGTACTTCACAACACAGGGCCTTGATAGGAAAAAACTGAGAGGCAGCTGGTTGTGAAAGGAGTCCCGATGAGTTGCTGGATTTTCCCATTCAAGAAAAATTTACATGAAACACTGAGCTCCTATTTTTTTTTTTCTTGAAAGCTGAAACAGCTCCATTGTGCGCTCCCAGCCCACAAAAAACAAATGAGATCTGCTCTAAGTCACAAATTCACTGTGATTCAGGGCCTTTGTTTATAAAATATTCCTGCGTCTGCTGTTTTAACAGCTGAAAGCCAGAAAAAAATGAAAGGGAGGGAAACAGTACATCAGCTAAAAGACATAAATGAAAGTCTTTCTCTGTGGGAAATAATGTGACCGTGTTAATCTGTGTTTGGTTTTTCTGTCAAAGCCGGTGCAAACAGTAGACGCAGAGCTCTCCTGGAGGGTTTGTTGTTGTTTGCTCTCTGATTGTTTAAAAGGACTTAGCTGTAGGATGGTCTGATTGTGCGCTCCAGCCATAGCCTGGATGTATAAATAAAGCTAGCTGTGTTGTGTTTATGGAGGAGCAGCAGAGTGGATGTGTGCCTGAAGGTCTGTGAATCTCAAAAGATCCTAGACTGTGGATTGGGAATCTTTAGATATTGTGCTGTGGGTTACAGAGACACTATGATTGTTGTTGGACGTTATATATTGCACAAGCAACACCACCTCCCCTGTTCTTCAACGTGCACACCGCTGTGCAGATAAACAGCTCAGTATCCCTGACTTGACTTAATCCCCTTTTCATGTCTCCACTCTTAAACGTCTAACACCATCCCCCACTCACGTAGCTCACTTTCAGATTCATTACACTCACTAGTGTTTCTTCACAAATATAGCAGAACTGTTTGTGCTTCATAAAAGTGTTTTTCCAGGAACATCCACTCCCAAATATTTTATTCTCTGTCTTTCACGTCACAAACGAAAGCCTCGGATTGTTTGTTTCATGGCTGGTGTTTTCTCAAGAAACTGACGCAAGACTCCAAAAATGTCAAATCCATCTTTGTTGCTATGGTAGCAGTACAGCTCAAATCAGTATTAACCTGATCCTTCAGGCAGGTTAAAAAAATCCAGAAACAGAGACGTAGGCAGCTGCAGATAATTTAATTTTTCTTTCTTTGTCATGACAGAGTCCTGGTGGATTTTGCGCGCTGCTCCACACTGAAAATCATCGGCTTCTTGAACAGACAAACAATGTAGTTCAATATTGACTGTCCCAGTAAAGCTGCTCTAAAATCGGGATGTATCCCACAACATGTGTTTCCTCTGTCAGGAAAGGAGGGCGTTTTAGAGAGGAGGGTGCTGGGCACAGCTTGGTGCCAACTAACTGGAAAGAGTTTCGCAACATGTTCAAAGTTAATCACATGTGTGAGGCTGTTATAAAAGCAGATATATTTAAGATGTTTGGAAGTTCATAGATGAAATGGGCTGTCTTTTTCAGTTGGTCAATCATCTTCTGAGAGTGTTTATTACACAAGACAAATAATTACAGACTTGCAGACGAGTTTTCTTCCCCTTTAAATGAATATCATGTTGAGGAGAGGAGTTTAATACATCCTTTTCTGCACATAAACATTAAACATGTGCACCAGTAAGTATTCCAGGAACATATTAAATGCTTCACTGCAAAGCTAAGGCTTTAAACTGTAATAAATCCTGCCTTACAGACAGAAATAGGGAAAGAAAAGATTTCACAGGCTACAATACTGCCAGTTTTGGACTATGCAGACACTCAGCAGCTTCAGTCATGGGGTCACAAGGTACCGTATATCACAGCGCTCTTCTCTTTATCACAGGGCACAGATTTCAAACTCACCATTGTGACCCCCATCCCTCATTAGAGAAGGTACTGTTGGCTCAACAAAGACAGAAACCTGATAGTCTGTCTGAAGAATATCTGCTTTCTTGTAACAATTCAAGCTCAATAAAACTGAGGAGGTCTTTGATGACAGCTCAGCGGCCCTCTCTGGTATCATATGATGATTTTGAATTGTGGTATTTTGTAAATGCTTTTTTTGCACATTATTGATGAAACAAGTCGTATTAGTTAAGGCTTTTTGGTTTTGGCCCTTTTATTTGAATACATATGATCCAAAAACATGTTTTAACCCATTTAATCTCATTGATAGCAGTTTCTGTTATCAATGTTATCAATATCTGTTTTTCCCATGCTCACTTGTCCATTAACAAGTGGTATACAAGTGTATAAGGTTGGGCACTTCTTGTGGCTGGTAGTTTATTTATTACTGAAAAAATCTGATATTTTCAAACTAGTTCTTTTACTGTGCAGTGTCCATCATGTAAGCATCTTATTAGTGTTTTTGGTGTCCCCAGGGAGCTGGAGAGTGGTGTGGTGTTACATCTAAACCCACTGCCCCTTTAGTGGTGCAGGTGCATGGACATACGTTCATCTCCTCCTCCTCCTCCATCCCCTGTTTCCCCTGATTGTCAGCAGCACTCATTGAACCAGGCTCAAGAGGATTTCCACTGATTACTAACAAAGAGCCAGCTGAGATTAGCTGATCCTTAAAGGGCTCCCTGCCACCCCACCCACCCATTATCCCCATCCTGTCTACATGTCTTCAAGTCTGAACCTTACCAGGCAGTGTATGTTTTGATTTTTCTTGATGTTACATGTCATTTACTTTACTCTCTGTACTTCAAAGTTGTTTGTTATATGATCCTCTCTTCTCTTGTCTCTTCTCGTTTGTTCGACTTTCACATTAAATCCCATGCTCATGCTGTTTTGCAGTTAAGAGGCTATAAAGGTTAATCTCCCCCTAACTACATCTCAGATTGAGTTTATATCACTCTCCCAGAAGTGTCGATCTACATTAAATGACAGTAGCTACAGTCCCAAACCCGACACCATGCCCCTGTCTGAACCGGCCTGTTGTGTGGGGCATTATCTTCTGCTCCAAGTAGAAATTAAATCACTTCAATAAATGGTTAACAAGTGATGGCCCTATTTTTTATTAAGGAGCCAAACTCACTGTGTAAGTTAGTTGTTAATGACTAACAAGAGCTGTGTTATATATTAACTCACCTTGAAGTGATTCATCATGTAAGCTGCTAACCCTGCCGTTTTAAACTGAGCACGCGTACGGCTCTGTAGCCCTGATTATTTGTTTATTTCACATTTTATAAAAAGCATCTCCTCCCTCCTGATTGCAGCCGTTAAACACTGTCCAAGAACCTGCACTTGACTGAGAGTGTGTCTCACCTCCCTGTGGCCTCACGTCAGACCAGTGCGGGCTTGTTTCAGGATGTCTCAGCTCTCAGCCTCCACGCTGCATGTCAGAGCCTGAGCATGATGACATCAACTCCTCGAAATGCGCCCCACACCTGGGAACTGGCCACTGACCTGTCGAAATCACAAAAAGTGATGAGAGGTTCTCATTTAGGTTACATTCCTGGGCTTGTAGCAAAAGCATGATACTTGGTGATTCAGGGTCCTGCTTCTTACTTGTTTTGTATCATGTTAAAGCCAAGAAGCTCTTATTTACACAAGGATTTTAACACTGTCAAAACACAGTTTTTGTGACTGTTTTCCCATCAAGTAGTTCACATCACTGGTGTACGCACACCTCTTCTTCCTGTGTAACAGCTCCTGTGTTGGGAATAATTGTTTCCACGCTGATCTGTATGGAAATGACACACATGTGACAAACAATGGCTGCTTTATTCACAAAGACAGTCTGGGTGTATGGAGGGAAGTTATGCCTTCTGTTTCCACAACTGAGTAAACCTCAGAATTATGAGCTTTTTTTTCACTTTGCAGAAATATTTATTTAGTTTACACTGCTTTAGTAACATAATTATACATGTGAGGATTAAAGCAGATTTTCTGTATAGGAGAAAAAGGCTGTAAAATTGTGTTGTTGTATCATCCTGCGCCTGAAGGTGGCAGTAAAAGCATGCAGACGCTGATTCATATTATTCCTTGTACCTCTGTGGAGAGGTGTGTATGTGTGTGTGTGTGCATACTTTTCTACATTTGGATGTGCTTGAAAACTGTGTAACTTCCAAAATGACTTTTATCTCTAATCCATCCCTCTTGTAGTTTTCTTGTGTATTCAGCAGCAGTTGATCATGCAACCATATGAAAGCCAAAGCAACTGCAATTGATTTATAAAAAAGGCTAATTTGTAAATCCACAGTTTGATCGGTGTACAGGGAGAGTGAGTAAGCAAGTATTATTTCACTGGATCGCTTAGTTGTGTGTAATATAGCCAAACACAGTTAGCAGGGGGGTAACAGGGCGACTGACTGCAGGCCCTCAGGGCTTGGCTCTGCTTCAGACCATCTCTGCTGGAGCTGCAGTGATGGCTGTGGAAAGGCACAACTCAGTTAGAACCATGTATTAATGATGAACTGAACCCACTGCAGCCACCCCACTGCAGGTCCAGAGGAGCTACATGACAGACGGACTCAGCGTCAGTTTGTGCGTGCGTGCGTGCGTGCGTGTGTGTGTGTGTGTGCGCGCGCATGTGTCTTTTGTGCAAATTTTAGTTAATCTGCATCTGGAGGCCTCACAACAAAGAAAAGGAAGTGGTACCCCCTCAGGAAAAATGGGTCATTTTTTCTCCTGGGATAAATAAACTATCCTAAAATACCAAGTGAAAGGAAAAGGATGTGGCTCCTGTTGTATTTGGTTTGTAGCATTTAAAGAGGGACAGGATAACCTGATGTCAACCCCAGGACAAAGACAGACTTGAATTTAACCTAAGATACGGTTAAGTGGAAAAACTTCTACCTGTTAATTCATGGGATCGACTTTTTTGTTGTTACTGAGTCTGGGTGTTGTGAACTCAACAGTCATGTTGTGACACTTTATGTAACTGAACCATAGTTACTAGACTGGCATTCTGACAACTCAGCAGTAGAAAGGCAGACGCCAAACAGGCATGATTTGAGACTGCCTCTTTGGTTTTAAAAATCCTCCTTGTGGCTGAAAATGAATTAAAAAAATAAATTTTAGAACTATTGTTTATTTATTGTTTCATACAGTTTGTCTTTTTTTCGAGGTACTAAATCATTGATTGATAAACAAGGGTCTTTTGGGGGGGATACTTTGTCATTATTACAAGGTTTAAAGTCTTAACTTTGAGAAACTGAGTTCTTCTGTGGAGAAATTATGACCTTTTTTAAATACACTTTTACACTGTGTCTTTTCTCAAGACACTAAAACACGAGCCGACAGTACTCAATCATTACAAGTACCTCTTGTTTCCCCTTTGGAAATACTGTACATCTTTCACTGGAGACAAGTTGTCTTTATTTTGATACACCTAGAAGTTTGTTAAGGTACTCAAAATTTCAAGGCTCTCAATCTGTACCTACAACTACTTTTTTGATATATGTACATAACTTTAAAATAATGTAGGCTCTGTCTTGTTGAACTGGTATGTAACTACTTGACCAGGGCAATGTAAATAGAACAGGTATGTGGATGTTAACCTGCAAGGTGAACTGAGGGTTGTTGGTGCTAATAGTAGTAACACTGGCATAGCTGTCGACACGGTTGACTCAGATACTCTATGATCTCTATGATCCCACGTCAGCAGTGCTGATCAATCTGAGGGTGTTCTTACCTTTAGATTAATTGGTGTGATAGAATCTAAATTACCAATAAATAAACCATGATTTTTCACTTCTAAACACCACTTATTTTGACACACTGGGTATTTAACTCATTTCAAATCAGAGCTCAGTAGTTTGGAGTAATTAGTCTTAATTTTTAGGTACCATGTCATTATTTTGAGAGAGTTCTCTATTGTAGTTTAATCATTTTTTTCATTATTTTAAACAAGTTTAACATTATAATACCTTAATGGGTCATTTCTTTTAACACTTTGAAAGTAATGGGTTTCCGTAGTTTCCTATGGGGTTTTGTGTCTGGGTATTTTGGGGTGTAATGTAAACTTGGCATCTAAAATGTAGAGTCTTTGGATTGTTGACATTCCTGGCCTATCTTTGTAGGCCACCCACATGTATAACTGTGTACCCTCCTCCTAACTTCTCAAACAACCCCCATGAGGAACTTTTTAAATCTTTAAACCCCCCCCAAAAAAGTTATTCTAAAAACTCTCAAAGTTTGTCAGCTTTGGTGAATTCCTGTGAAACGTCCGTGTATGTTGAACCAGCAGAGTTCAGTAGAGAAATAGTAGAGGTTAGCATTATTTATATAGAAAGATATCCACAAGAAAAAAGAAGTTTAGATTGGGTTTGAAGGCCAGTGGGCAGAAAGGCATGGCTTTGTTATGACAGTGTTTACCCACACACATCAGCAGGAAACAGCCACTTCCCTTCTGGAGTCCCTGGAGAGCTCCAGCTGGGAGCCAGCTTGTTTTATCTGCCCGTTACTGCTGGAAATGTGGCTGATGTCACTGTGGTCCACCGCCTCTCTCTGAGCAAACACACACACACAGACTTCTCCCTGCAGAGCCCTTCAGCAGACCCTGTGCCTTGAAACATGACCAGCTGCGGACTTGACCTTCATCCTGCAGGAGCTCTTCAGATGAGATGCCAGCTCCTCCTAAACTCCCCTCTACTCCTCCAAACCACACAGAGACATTTCTGTCTTTGTTGTGTGGAGGATTGCCCAACTCTTAGTGTGAAAGGGAAAACTCGAAGTTGACCCCTCTCTGTCCACATGTGCTGCTTTGATGTTGTTATGCGGCTCCACCCGCCACTCGCTGCTAACAGCTGGAAATTGCCGTATTAGTGTAAGTGGTGTTATTTTGGGGTTACTGCAGGCCAGAGATAGTGTCCTCGTGCTGCAGATGTTGTTAGTGTGTCCAAGAACTTCAGCTAGGGAAAAAGACGAACCACTTTGTTCACTGTAAAAAAAAAAAAAAAAAAATCGGAATTCGAATGACTAAATGGCCTAAGTCCATCTGTGCTCGTTTACATCCAGGTAGCAGAGCATCACAGCATTATAGTAGTGACTGTTGACTAAAGCTATAGTCCCAGGTGACTGTGCTACAGCCTACATACAACTATTAGCTGGCATTTCAGGCCTCACTTTGATGGATCAGTAATTCTGGGGCTAACTAGTCAGGGTGACCGTGTTTTATCGTTTATTCGACCACTATAATTATTGACAATGGTCAATAAGGCTTATCCTTGACCTTAAATGAGGGCTTTTGAACTGTTTATGAAACAGTCTCAATACTGCTGCCTCCTGATGACCTTCAGAGCAAAGCATTGTGTCAGCTTGAATATTGACTCTCTATATATTGCTATTTCGAAGCCTTTCAACTCTGTTTATGGGTCAGGCTCCGTCAAAGTAATTTACCGCATTCAAAGCAAGCCTTTTGAAGAATAATGAGTGCACATACGGCGGGCTCTGCCAAGGGAGAAGACAACGCTTTGTCCACAGTTGCCACTAAATTCAACTTCTTCATAGCTGCTTTAAGCTTTAAAAAAAAAAAAAAAAAAACGCCAAACACTCCATGGTTTCAGCTTGGGCTGGGCAATAAAACGATAATGATATATATTAAAAATTTATTTCCCTCAATATCGATATGAAACATGGTCAATATAAATTTCGATAGCCAGCATTCTGCCATGTTTTGGTCGTCATACGAATAGCCAATGAAAAGCCGCGCTGAAATGACCATTGAGTACACTTTCTCTAACACCTTACAATAAAACAGAGACAGAGAGACCTCGCTTATTGTATTGCAAAAGACATGCTACCAATAAGCACTGTTATATTTCATTTAGGAGTAACAGGGAACATTTAAGATTGACAAGTGATTATTTTATATTGTGATATATATCGATATCGACTGATATGAAAAAAATATATAGTGAGAAACTTTTTCCCATATTGCCCAGCCCTAGTTTCAGCTGTAAACATCGGACATCGAAGAGATGTGCAGATCAAGTCAGTATTGGGTCGGTCCATCAAAGACCACATCTAGACGTGCAAAATAGGTTAGAAATTTCGACGTCCATATTGGACCTTTTTTAGGCATCCCTCTGACGTTTAGAATTTGGACGTCATCTGAAGACCAAATCTAGACATCGGCACAACGTGTAAAATGGATCCAAGATTTAGACCTCATTATTGGACCTCTTTTAGACGTTGAAATGACGTCCACATTTGTACCTCATTGTCGAAAAAATATGTTAAATAGATGTCATTTCAAAGTTGCATTGCGCAGTGAAGACATGTTGCTTTTTGTTGGTTTGATATGGTTGTTCATTTGGTATTTGGGTTTCTAGATACTTGGTAGACTAAGACATGACATTTGTAAATGTCTCCTTGTTGGATGTCATCACTTCCTTGGACCAGTTGTTTATTATATTAGAGAATAACTGGCAAATCAAGTCATGGTTTTTGTAACTTGAAGGAGATTATTTTACTGTTTATTTAACTTTTCATATAATTTAATTCATAAGATGACTTCAGTGTCAACCTCCAAATTAAAACCAGTTAGTTTTTACAATTTTGCGATCGTTAAATATAAAATTTTGGAAGCTTGGTGTTTGAATTTGGTTTTGAATACATTACCAAGGTCACTCCAGGAGGTGTAGCCGACAGCGAAGAGTGAAACCCAGGCTGTGACAATAGCAACAATAATCCCTGCAGCTCCACACATCCAGCAGTGTCACATCAGCTCTTATCTCCTCTGCAGCTGCTGTGGGTTTTAGCAGAGCTGTGCAGCAGAGCTGTCACATCCCACGGAGGAGGTTCATACTGGAACATCCACAGATAGGCCCATGCTGAGACTTAGCACACATTTAAAAACCCCCCTACCATTCTCCTTGCAGCCGCTCGGCCGGAGCTCCAGCTCAAGATTTGACACAGTCCAACTGTGTGCTGCTGGAGGCCACACTACAGTACCTCTTCATTTATCAGCTACAGACATGCACGGTATAGATGTACTGGAGCTGTGCACTAGAAGCTGTGTCACAGCAGTAGCAACATACACTTTATCAATATAGATTTAGCTAAGGTGTTGTTTCTGTCAAAGTGAATAAAAATGTGAATCTGTTTCAGAGAGATAGATTTATTTCTGAGAAGCACTCATTGTAAAACAGCATGTTGCAGAGATGCTTGACTTGAGGGCAGCGAAAAGAAAGTCTGCTGCACCTAATGACTCAGCAACCCTCTGTCTGGCTTTAATAATTTATCACCCTTGGAGTATATTGTAAGCCTGTTGCAGAGGACGCTACACAGACTCAGTCAAGCACACCTGGAGGTGTCCAGTCATCATTCTGTTGGCGCTTTACCGTATTTACAGTGTAGTTTACAAGATGAATAACAGGAAATATAGGAGGCACTGATCCAGATTCAAAACACAGATCCAAAAAGATACCTCCTTATCAGGCATTTTGAAGTATTTAACTAAGAGTGGGAGAAACAATCAATTCACATAAGTATTGCGATTTTTTGTTTTACAATTTTTAAATCGATTTTTATGTTCAAAAAATTTTTTTTTTTCATATTTAAGAACAAATCTTAAAAACTGACTGACATGTGATGTGTATTTTTTTGTGGAAATATGGTTCCAATAGTCAATAGACAATCATAATCATTCAACTGTTTCACTGGTGTTAAAAATGCAGACTAAAAACTCGTAGAGGAATTGAATCGTCAGGAAAGCATATCGTCCCAGCCCTGCAATAAACTGTACTTTACAAAAGACTGACTGCAGTTTTAAATTCAGTTGCACCCCACCATAGAAGTTCAGGTCTTGATGGTTTTGTAAAGGCAAAACACGAAAAACTCTTAAATATGCAAATACTGCTGCAAGCGTACATGCTATTACCTCCCTTAAAGCAGTGAAGAAGTCAGGTCCTAATTACAGTGTTGCAGACCTGTCCTCACATGTAAAAGAAGAATCTGAGTCCTCAGGGCGAATGATATGTGATCACCAGCTGTCGCACTTCAAAGTCCGCCTGTAGCTGTTCATCATTGTTCATTTGCCTGCCTTGTCAGAAAAATAGTGACAATGACTGACAGCAGCTCGTCTCAGAAGTTAAAGTGCATTCTTGAGTGGAGAAACACATTTTTGTTTTTTTCTCGATTTAATGCATTTAGATGGTAGATAAGGTTATAATCCACTCAAAGCCTACCAGCTAAGCCTGGCCTAGTTTTTATTTTATTTTACTTATTTACTTACTTTTGTAGAATGTACACATTACGTCTGACGCAACCTCCGACAAAAGGGTTACCAGCTCTAAATGTCTGTAAAGAAAGAGTTGGAAAAACTTGCTATCCTTCCTTCCCGTAAAGCCTCCAAAAGGGGATTTGTGTCTTTGCAGCTTCTGCCGATGCTTCTTGTTATTCAGTATAATACGCTCATAATCCTTCATAGCTGGGGCAGGAGGATGAAGACTGGATCTGAGGTGTGAGGAATGGGATAAAACCAAGAGGAAATGCATTTCCTTAAAAATCAATGGGCAAAATCAAAGTCTTAAATTCTGCCTCTAACAGCTGCTCTCCTCTGCTGCTCTTTCTGTACTCTAACAGCTGAATGTAGTTCAGTGTGTCAAGCACTACTGAAATATTAACACAGCAGCAGTCTGGAGTGAGTGCAAGCAAAACCATGATGTAAGGCAGTACTACACTTTCCCCAAATGTGCATGCGTTTGAATGCGTTTCTGTCAGTGCGCTTTCTTACAAGCAGGTCAGTCAGTCAGCACCTTTTAAGGTTTCTTGTTTATTGATCTGTAGAGGAGGTTTCAAGACAGATGCATGCGTGCTTCTGCAACAGAGTTATGCGGGTTAGCTGCTGCCGGTGAGGCTTACTGTACTTCCCTGGTTGCACCATTTGCGTGCCACTGTGACAAGAAGGTCTCCTACAATTCCCAGCGAGGTCTTTGAATTTGTGACTTAAAGCTAGAGGCAGTAATGAGTAAACTACAGTAAATACAACCTTGTTTCCATCATGGGTTTGTTGTATTTGGGTTTATATGCCGATATGTTTCACAAAAAGAGCTGAAAGTGCCTCAGTATGGGTATTAAACACATATGCACTCAAACACTTGTCTTAGGAATGTGAATTTCCAATATTTCTTCAAAATGCAGCCTTTGACGAACTTAACAATTTTCTGTCTTTCACGCTTTGTTGTTCTGCTCGCCGTCCTGAGACGTTTTAATCAAAGAAGGATGAGTCATTCCCTGTTTTTTTATGATTAAAATGTTTCATTCCACCCCCAATATTTCTGTGTACTTGGCAGAGGAGCCAACATGTGATCAGGCGGCAGCTAATCTTTTTTAGGGGGGAAAAAAAGTCTTTTTGATGTCTTGACCTACAAGTTTGAAATCCTCCCATGCCCTTGATATGTTTCACACAGAGATTTCTTTGAAGCATGTGTAAGGTCCCTGCAATTTCTACCAGGAAAGACAATACAGTTGGTTTGTGATGTTTTTCATTAATTTTAACATGATTCCTCTATAATGCCTAATGCTGCATATTAGATGCCATCTATTGAGTGTGATTCATGCACCTTTTCTGCCAGTGTTCCCTGACTGAACTAAATAAGCATTCAGCCATATTGCTATTTGCCTGACCATGGAATCAGACTCTCCCTCTGGATATACGCCTGCACTCATAGTGAAATAAGTGGGTTACTCTAATTCATCCGGTTTCCCGAAGGAGTCTCGTTTTGTGGAGTAAAAATTAAGGGGATTTATTCAGTAATTCATGTGTAGCCAAATCTACAGTATTCAAATGCTGAAATGAATGAAAATTTAAAAACTGGAAGGGATTAGAAAATGCACACAGTGGCTTAGAGGAGAATGAGCAAGAGAGACAGATGCACACAAAAGCTCACACTGCACCGAAGCTCAGCATTGGCTGAAGCTGCAACAGAACTCTCACAGCATCCTTCATCCCCCCATCCCTCGCTCTCTCTCTCTCTCTCTCTCTCTCTCTCTCTCTCTCTCTCTCTCTCTCTCTCTCTCTCTCTCTCTCTCTCTCTCTCTCTCTCTCTTCCTCACTGTATCTCGTCTGCTGACTGAGGTATTCCTGCAAACACAGACTGGGGAAGCCAGGAATTACAGTCAGACTCTCTTTTTTTTGTACGTGCATGAATTCACTCTCCTGCTTTCCTCACTTTGGATCCTTTTTGCCTGGACTCCAGCGCTTTTTTCTTGGGTCAGAAACTGAGGATTTGCGGGTCAGAGTCACATCATGGACCAGGGAGAAGCAGGGGACAATCAAGGAAACTGGGTCACTGGCAGGCTCTCCTGACTGATGCCTGTGTGGACCTGGAGGAATGGGGTGCACCACCAGCACGGTTGTGTTTGATGGGCTGCGTACAGTCTTAGAGAGGAACTGTAGCGGCTACATCTGTAAGGGAGCAGCTGAGCCCATTGGGCCGTCTGAGGCTGAGCGAGCGCTGAGCAGGAGAGAGTCGCGTGTACTACCAACACCGAGAGTGCTGAAGGTGTGTGTCCATGTGATTGCACATGTGGGATTCTGTCTGGTTGGCACGATGAGTCGGGTGTTTCACAGTTCATTACCATCAAATTAACAAAACTATCTATAGATATTAGCAGCAATATGAGAATTTTTACACATATTCATTTATTGAAAAATGTTAGTTTTTATTCTTTACTATGTTCATCCTCTTATTTATGAATTTCTTTGTTTTCTTTCTAACCTGAGCTGATTTAATAAAAAAAAAAATAGTCCAGTGAGCCTCCTTTCAAATTCTACTGTAACTGATCCAAAGGCTCTTTTATAGCATTTATTTTGTTCCACCAGAGGTTTCATAATGCTGCGAGGGCATGAAGACAGTGATGAGATTAATTCGTAGCCATGGGCAAATTATATTAAAGAGGGGAAAGCAGCAAATCCTTGCATATGAAAAGCAGGAACCAGCAAAGACTTTCATTGTTTTGCTTACCTCTATTCCTTTTTCAGTTGGATTTTTACTTTCATATTTATAAATTATCTATGCTGTTATCATCCCTCATTTCCTCTAAACAAAAGGAAAATGCAAAGCAAGAAAAATAGATGAGTACGAGTGGAATAAATCATAAAATATGTGCAGGCTGTGCAACATTTCCCCCGTCAGTGAAACATCCTTGATTTCCCAGATTTCCTCTAAGACAATAGCAAACTGCAAAACATGACTGTAATAAATGACTCAAATTGACTTCAGAGTAAATATAGCCAGCAAGCCATTATGAACAAGAGTACACCTGCTGGTGGATATTCACTGACAATGGATGCAAGAGTTGCAGTAGGAATCGTCATCCTCGCTCCAGCTCTGTGCATATGCATGCATGAGTGTAAACAGTAGGAAATGTAGGGCAGTAGGAGGGCTGCATCTTGCATCTCACTAAGCGCTGCACGGGTTAAAGCCTGCGTAGCGAGGGATGTGGGTGAGGGGTTGAGGGGGGACAGTGAGAGCTCTGTGTCTGCTGGAAATCAATCACAGTTCTTCATCTGTGAACCAGCGGGCTTGGCAGGGCTTCTGCCGCTCCGTACCAGCTTGTCTTGCCCTTCTTGTTTGTGTTGACTCACGGCTGTGTGCGTGTGATGTCTCTTTCCTGTCGCTGGTTCATCAGATTCACAGCAGAGTAACAGTGGTTCCAGCTGAAAGCAGGGAATTAGGTCAAGGGCATGGTTGCTTCTCCTGGCTCGGGGATGGCCTTATCACCCAGACGTGGGATCATTTAATCCTCTGTCAGCATTCAACAGTCTAACAAATCAATACTTAAATGTGAGCCGGCGAAGTGGTGTGCTTAGCACATATTTGTCAAAGTTCATCTGTAAGGAGCTTTAAAACTAACAAATGGCCCTGAAAAGGTTAGTAGATGTAACTCAACCCAAGAAAACACCAGTTAATAACCGTTTAAGTGAAGCAAAAATAGTGAATTATAATAAATACAAACCAGCATCTCATCAGGTGAATAAATAAGCAAGCTAAGGATACTTACTCAAATCGTAAAGTGTCTTTTTATCTTATTTTCATGAACTGGCTAGCTTAAGAAAATTAGCCAAAATGCTTTACCTATTGTTAAAATACTTAAGTTGGATGTCTGTTATTAAACTTCATAAATCAGGACTGTGAAACTAGCTAGCTTGGCTAAAAACACAAAGAAACAGCCTATCCACTGCACTGATTTCTGATAACCCATAAATATGTATCAGTGGGCTACAGACGTTTCAGTGACAGTAATGCTGACGCTGCATTTCATACTGAACTTCTGTAACAATAGGAAACACATTTCAGCTCTTTTTAATCCACTGCGCCTTGTTATGTGTTAAGACAGTCTGCCTTTTTAATTCCTTGTTATTGCAGCAGGTTGTGATGTCAGGGAGTTTTAAGCAGAGGAGTGCTCTTATATGCAGTCACAAACAAAGCTCTCTGTGGGTCTGCCTGTACTCTATATTAGATGGATACATAGTTAAATGCTTTTTTCACTGTTACAGCACACTGATTACAACAGCTCTGCCTTTTCCTTCCTCGTGGAAACTTTATTTTTATTCTCTCAAGAGCCTCCAAAAATAAAAGCCAGTGATTTGAGATAATGTATTTTAGGGTTTGCTGTTGTTCTCACACACTGGGTCTAAATATCAGATGCTGTTTTCAAGCTACTAGTTGGATATTGCTTTGTTGGTTTGAAACTAGAGGTGATAAATTTTGGAGAAAGAGGATTTGGCAAACATTGACAAAACTGAATTATACACTCATTGCCCAAGGCTGCTCCAGTACTTGTTCTTTTAGATGATTGGCTGCAGTATTTCCCACCAAAGAAGAAGCTGTTTGTTGGGGGCTGACAGTGAGCCTCTTTATTTGGCTAAAATCTGCATAAAAATTCTCCAAAAGGCACCAACACCAGTAAGAATAGTAAGGTGGAAATGTGAAGCTACATTTCGACAGATCAGTTTGGTACAGTACTGTATGCAATTATTTTTGTCTCTAGTGTAAAAAGGTAGAAAAGGCACCAAAATACCAGATTTGAACCATCCTATATCTCTTGGGGGGCCTGTATGACCCTAAAAGGTGGAGCTTGACACTCTGCAGTCTGTGACTGAGTGAGGTGATTGATTATAACTCTCCTAACCGGATTTTAATTGTTGATCAGTCAAATACTTGTTCATGATCATTTATGTTCATATGAGAGAGTGTCTTTAAAGGTCAGGACGGTCTTTTTAGGAAATTATGAAATGTACACATGGAGCTGAGCAGTGAGAGGGGCACAGAGTGATTGCACAAAAAGAAAAAAATGGCTTATAACCAGATACTATGTGAAAAGTTACATATCTTATCCATGGCTGATTTGATTCATGACAACTCTTTTCCAGCTAAATTCACTGTAGGCTCAAAAAGAACTGTTCTTGAGCTAAATAACTGTCCTGTACAAAACTTCAAAATAAAAGCATACTGTGAAAACAAATGGAAGTCCCTTGACAGAAAAAAAATGGATCAGGCTTTTGTTTTGAAAAGTATTTCAGAAGTCCTTATCATGCTATATTTTCAAACTTGTGGCATGAATATATGTGATACAAAGTCAATACAGCCTTCAGCTTATCAATTATTTGTCTGACTTGGCTGAGTGAAGAAAATCGTAAAGCCTCAGACTCTCTCTAGATTTTTCATGAGAAGAATATGAGACGCACTGCTCACGCCAGCAGCCTGAATGGCCTAATCTGTTAACATGCACACTGAAATGAAAATCAAGCTGTTCCAGAGCCATCATGCACCCAACATGCTTATGCATGAAGAGCCATGGGCATAGTTGGCTGCAGACACGCCAACAAGATCAGGGTTTACTGTGCCAGACTGAACCAAACCAGACTACTTGGTGGAAACTAACTGTAAGTGTCTCAAATGTGATAACACTAAACAGACAACCCATGCCCCTAATTATGCATTACTCCAAGCTTTAATTTAATTATACTAATTAAATCAACACTTCCAATAATTGTCATGACTAGGATATTCAGTGGTCCTTATTATTGACCTGACAGTAAACATATTGACTAAAGCTTTACTCTCAGGAATTTTGACATAAATATCCATGTAATGTGCATTTGGAGCCTGCCTCAAGTGGCATTTAAAGAAACTGCTTGCTACCTTAAGAATAAAACAATCAATCTATCAAAATCATCACTTTTTCTTGCCAAAAAAATGTCACCTAGCAGGCTGGAAGTCAATAGTGCCATGTTATACTGCTCTTGTTCTTTAGAAAGCTACCGAGAACACTCAGTGTTTACGTTCTGATATTATTTGCTTTCACAGGGGTTCAGTTTCCTTCCTTTATTTCTCTGAAATGTTTGAGGCCCACAATAATGCTGCGCAGAAACACTGAGGTGTCTGCTGCTTTTATCAGAGGAATGTTGTTGCAGAGAAAGGAGGTGATGTCAGCTCGGTTACAGATGAAAGCAGCTTTCATCTCATGAGGTTTTGGGAGGCTTGTGATTTTTGACTTTTACCGAAACATTCGTGAGGAGTCTTTTATACACTGTTCCTCTCTGGGGGGTTGATGAAGAACCAAAGTATGTCTGAGAGTGACATGAAGTAGAAACTATTACATGATAAAAAACATTTAATGGATTGAAAAATGTGACAAACACTGTTGTGACTGCAGTCTACATTTTTTCGTTTAGCTGGTGTATTCTCAAGGTACAGGGATAAACATGTCGAAGTGTGTGGGCCTGAACACTATTCAATAATTCTCTGAATAATAAAGTAAATTCTCGGTATCCTCATTTAAAGGTGGAACATTTCAAAGATAGCCCTCTAAGTGTTTGCCGGTGTATCCCTAAGGACCCTGACAGTCAATAAGACCACCCTCCTCCATACAGCTGTTATGTTTTAGCCTAATGGATCTACAGTAAGTCAACATCTGCTTTGTTTTTCTTCGTGATTACTTCCTACTTTTGAGAAATTTCAGCCACCCCAATGGTGCTTTAAGGAGGGACACAGACGTCACAGTATTGACGTGTTTGTGTGTTCGTTTGTGTGTGTGTTTATTTTGCTCCATACTTGCTGACTGATGCACTGAACCATAATGTTTTCACCAGCACTTAAGCTCATGTACTTAAAGATTTTCTGGGTGCTGCTGCAGTTTGATTTTCACACAGATCTGACGGCTGCATCATTCATGTCTAATACTGTTAGTTACTTTGAAGTCGTTCACTGATCAATAAAGCTCCAAAGTTACAACACACTCTTATGTTCTTCCTCTGCAGGGTGAGACGACTATCTTTGCCTAGAGATTGCATCCTGTTATTCTTAATGCCATTGTATCCCACATCCTACTGTAGTGATGGGACTAACAGAGCTCGTCGTGTCATTATCACCTCTATGTTAAAATCTCATTCTCTGCTCACAGTACACTACTCTCCAGGGGATGGACTGTAATCAGGCTGCAGGACAGAGGGTTCTGGTCCTGCTGCTATAGCTTGGTGGTGAGGGGTGGGCCGTGTTTTTGTTACATTCCTGGTTACACCCTGTTTTTCTTTGGCTGCTTTATGCTGGGAAGGTCCAGTGATTGCATCAAGTCCTTGTTATGTAATGAAGAAGTCCAGTAGTAGTTCTGTCCAGGCTGAAAATAATGACTTGATGGATGGCTGTGATATTAAGCTGACTGGAATAGGGTTGTGTTAGAATAGTTTTTGATTGCTCGTAAAGTTTTAAAGACAAAGTAATGGAGTAATGAGAACAGAGAATAAGACCAACCCAAATCTGGTCAACCATAGCCACTATGACTATACTTGACACGGCAGTAACATCGACACTGACTGTTAAAAGGCAATGTAATCAAGCATGGTATGTATTATGGTTAACTAAATTAAAAGGAATTACCTAATTTGAATATTGTGTAAGACTGTTGTGGCGCCAATGATTTAAATTAATAACTTGGGGATTGGGGATGAAATGGTCTTCTTTTCTGACCAGTATCTCTGAACCACTACCCACATCCCTGACTTTTTGTCCCACCGAGCAATGCAAAATTTTCATGTGGTCCAAAGGAGTTTACCTACAAAGCATATTTAAGTACATTTACTGTAAGCTGCAAACGCTTTTTTGACAACATCCTGTTAGTCAGCTGCTGACCATTGCAAACACTTTGTTGCTGAACACAAGTGTTTGTTCTACCATTAAAAGGGCTCAATGTGCCCTCCTGCTTAGACCATCTTTCCCATAAGAAACACTCTCTGTTTATTCCTGTGGATAAATCTGCAAAACAGTGCAAAGTCTGAGATTGTTTTAAAGACCAAGAAGAAAAAAACCTGTGCACTGTACCAAGCCGTGTACAGCAGTTGTATATATTACAGGACTGTGATGGCAAAAGGGAGTCTCTTTGAAGATATTTATCTCCTTCAGCTGTGGATAAAAGTTGTCTGGGAAAGAAAGTCCAGCTTTGTACAAGCATACAGATCAAAGTAAAACATCTAGTTTAGTAATGTGGCATGACTTTCTTTGCATAATTAAAGGAAATGTCTAACGAGGCCATTGGCTTATCATTGTTGCCTCTGGGCCTACGATTTACAGCAGCTATGGAGAGTTAACAATAAGGAGGACAGTGGAGTTGGAAGTGATTTCAAGGATTTAATTGTGTTCCAGAGAAGCCGTTTTTGGTCATAAATCAAAGAGTGTGATATAGTACAAACTTCTTTTTTTTAAAGATGTGCAAAAAATGGCCTCAAGGTTGTGGTTAAAGGAGGGTGAGGCAGTGAGCGTCAAAACTGGAATTTTGCATGAGATAAAAGTGCCAAAAAATGTTCCTAAAATTTTTTTTACATATATCCTAATGCTGCCATATTTGGGATTTTTGAGCAAACGCCATATTTTTGTATCCAATGTTTTGAAATGATGTGTTACTGTGTGGTATTTTATGTCATCTTAGTGCCTCAGGATGGCACCGATTTTTAGTTTTCTCCAATGTGCTGCCTGCTTAGAGCCAGGACTCAGGATTTAGCTTGTATCCCTTCAACACCCCCACAGTCCCCATATATAATGCAATGCTGATCCACATGCACGCCAGAGGGGAGTTGACATCATAGTCATCTTTTCTATGTCATGCATATGGTTCACCAGACAGGAATGACCTGTTTTTGTTTCAAAGTCTGTTTTTGCCTTCAAATGGTTTTTGCTATGAAGCCGCTTTTGGTGGTTGGGTGAGGGATTAGACTGGGTTAATTTTAGGACAAGGTCAAACTTCAGGGCATCCTGGAGTCTCACTGATAAGGATACAGGTTAACTAAACATCCTTGGTTTGATTCCAGCTGGGCTCTCTTTGTCGCACTTGACCCCCCTCTCTAATTCCCACTCTCTCTCTCCTGCTTTTCTGTCTCTAATGTGACTCTGTGGGAGCAGCCATTAGCTAATCAACTCTATAAATCAAGTTCATCAAAAATGACAGACAGATAACCTCCATCAAACTTCAAAGAAGTTTTGCCAGTCTGACTACTTCAGCTGGGACAGGAATCGTGAGATGATGCATGTAGTAACAGGCTCGGCTGTTGTGTTGTTGTGGTAAGGAATTAACTAATATGAGCTAATCGCTAAAGTGACTCATACTCTTGTACAAAAATGGATCTTCCTTACGAGGTATTTGAAAGACGCTCAGCACAGCGTCAGTTAGAAGGCACCACAGACAAACTTGTGCTGACTGCCCTCTTTTCTTTGAGACTGTTACTGGAGCTAGGCTAACGTTGACACACCTTGTCTGTATCATTGGAGCTAGAAAACAGCTGATTCTTAATGTCATCTTTCAAAAAAAAAAAAACACCTACTTCTGTTTGTATTCTTGAAAAGTAATTTTTTTGCATAAATGGCAGTCTCTTCCTCGAGTGTGACTAATAATGCTACTATTTGGCTTCTAGCTGCTGTTTGTAGACTTTTTACTTGTCCATGACAGTAAACCTGCACTTTAACTTGCACACTACCACACAGTTGCCTTTACTCTGAAATAAAATCACACTCATCTTGCGTTTTACTCCATGTAGTTTGGTTATTTTGCATTGACACACATGTATTAGTGGCATTTTCATTACTTTTAATATCAATAAATATCTATCCTCAGACTACCTTACGGTGACAGGATCAAAAACCTGAACCTACTGGACGTCCCACAGGTCTTTTGGTTTTAAAAAACTGATACCTAAATCATAATCTATGATCCAAGTATGTCAATGTTTCATGCATCCCTGCCTGAGGTTATCATGGGCTGTTATAAACCAGCTGTTGATGGCGAAGTTTATGAGAAGATGTGATTAGCAGGTTTTATGTTGACCGTGAAGAGTTGGCTCAGGTCTTTGAAACATTTTGAATGGAAAGTCTTTGCAGCTGCAGTCGTCAAATGTTTTTCTTAAGTGATTAATCAGTATTGTTTAGTTTTTAAAAAATGCCAATGATAACATTTCTTTGCCAAAACTGATATTGTAGATGTCCTGTCTTCGATAACCAACTTTTTAAACTCAAAAGTCATCAGTATTTCATTAAATATGCCAAAGACTCACATTTGATAAAACAGGCTTCATCATAATAAATGCTGATCATTTTCAATGAATTGGTGTATTGATAAATCATTCCCGTTATTATAGTTGACAGACATTTGTTGGATCTGTGTCCCAATGCTGAGGTCATTCCTGTTACCACTTTACTTGTTATGATCCAACTATCATCCAAAATAATCAATGATGTAACTTTCACAGACACAACCCTGTAAATATTTCCTTTGATATGATCAGACTACCATGATTAATCATAGTATTGATCTTAACATAACCCTGATGCCTGTGTGAGGGCTGTGGGAGCAGATGACAGTGGCGTGAGGGCAGCTGGAGAGCTGACCTGGCCCCTCCCCCCCTTCGCCTTAAGCTTGGACACAGGCGTGAAAAGATAACATCCTCCCCTGCTGTGGCCCTCTGAGGAATCTGAGGGTCAGGCCCACTCCTAGGTGGGTTGAGTGGGGCTGCGTTGTGCTGGAATGCCCCTCGAGCAGTTGCATCAACAAGCATTTAGAAAGAAGCTGATTTCTGATCAGCTCTGAACGATGACTAACAGTTACTATCTCTGCGTCAGTCATCTAGTGGGGTCGACAAAGATTATAAAGTTAAGTGACTAATGTTTGCCTTTCACATGACTAACTGATGTACTGCACTGCTCATTCAGAGATAGTTGACTTATCCACCCCTGCGATGTGGGTCAAGACTTGGGCATGTTGTCCCTAAAATCTGAGGAGCTCAGTCTGACAGATTATCCCTGATGTTTACGTGTCAAATCTGCTAAATCACTGCAGTCCACTTGTCACTTGTTGCCTTCATATACTGTAACTATGCTATAAATGCTTCTGTGGTCTTTTTTAACATGCAGTTGAAGTGTCCTATTGTTGTCTCATCCTCTCCTCTCCATAACGCTCTTATTTCAGCTGTCCCACTCAAGACGTAGACGGCCCCTGACTAGACTGTAATACTTGAGGAATGTGCGTCTTTTGTTTGCCTTTGTCAACTCTCTGTCACTGTGCAGGTGGATACTGTGGGGTCAGATAACTTCATTGAGTGCGTGTGAGGGTGTTTAACTCCCCCAGGCTGCACAGCTGAGTGTGGGAGGGGCCATCTCTTCAGCCTGGGTGTGAGTCGGCTGCTTTCAGAAACAGAGCAGTCTGACAAGGGAGGGTGCAAGCGCGAGTCTGTGAGGAGAAGCTTTCTCAACTTTTTACAAGCACCTGCGTTTCTCTTAATTGGATATGCTGGCCGTGCTGCTCTTCTATTTGGGATCTAGCTTGGAGATATCTTACCACAGCTGTTGACTATGCAAGGACGAGCTGGTAAAGCTCCAAAGAAGGAGCTGGTGATTGAGAGTCCGCAGCAGTACAGGAGCTTGGCTGCAGCTGAGGCTGAGGTAGACTCAGTGCCACAGGTGGTGGTAAGTCGATTACAGATTTCTTAAAAAGGCAAATGAGACTTTTGTTTGCTGGCTTCTCAAAGTGAGGTTTGTCCTGTGTACAGGGCTGTAAAGGTTAACCACAGTCATTAAGTCTCAAAGCAGGTGTCATGTGAGCGTCTGTGCAGGTCCTCTCTGCCATCCCTTTCATTTTACACAATATTGCAAACTCACGTTACAAATTTACAATGTAAGCACCAGCTTGAAGGAATGTTGAACTTTACCAACACTTAACTACCTGGAGGGAAACAGGGCACAGTCTGATCTTTAAATGTGACCTTGGCTTGTAAACACTTTATTTGGCTCAAAAGTCAACTCTGTAATAACTTCCTAGTGCACCATGAAGCTGTGTAATGGCTGGATCTCTGTCAGAGTCATCTAAACAGTCGGTGGCAAAAGTGTCAGTAAGTAGAGAGGCACTACACAGCACCATTGTTCATTGCTGTGAGAGGGTGCAGTGATGGGAGGAGTGGGTGCTGCAGCGAAACAGCTGCTGGATCACAGTGGAGAGGGAGTGGAAGAGATAGATTCATATGTTTGTATTTTATGTTTTTTCCAGGAATGACTGTAAACTTCAGTGGAAAATGCAGCTCGTTTTGAAATGTACTCTTCACTTAACAGTGTTTATAGCATATCTGAGAAATATGAGACTACAGTGTAACATCCTCAGTCTATAAGTCATAAACCTAACAAGTGTTTAAAACTGCTTCTTCCAAGAACTACTAAAGAGACAATAATTCAACATAAAGTTTGGATTGGTTTTTCAAAAAGTGGTCTACACTGTGGGAATGACCGAGCTCTTACTTATGTACATACATTTTCTCGCTCACTGCTGAGTGGACTGTGTGGTTGACCACCTTCGGCCACTGACAAAGCAGTGTGGGAGAGCCCAGAGGGGTTCGAATGAAAACAAAAGTCAGCAACAATAGAGTGGAGTTAGGAATCTAACCTTTTAACAGTGGGGTCAAAACTTTGAGAAGTTTCAAGAGCAGAACTTCTTTAAATGACAGGTGTACACTATAAGAAAGGGTTTGTTAATTTACTCCCCTCTCCTAGGACATCAATATTTTTTGACATTACAGCTGTGTGTGCGTGCCTTTCGAAAAGTGTCACTGTCTGGTGCATGCAGGCTGGCCTGTGTGTAGAGATGGACAGATTAAAAGGTACCCAGGTTGCTCCAAACAAGACAATGACTCATACACACATCTTATCTCTTCTATGTCTTAATTCCTTCCTGACTTACCTGTCCTGCCTGCAGATATGTTTGCAGCAGTAGATCTACAAATTCCTCATCAAAGGACACAGAAACACAGAAGCAGAAAAATAAAACAGAGGTGTGTTTTACTCAGGGTTTGGTCAAGTTTGGGACAAAATTTGGATTATTGTACGGTCTTTATTTTCAGTTCAGTGTGAGTCCTATCACTCTTGATGCATCCCATACTTTACCTAAGGATATGTCCTGATTACTCTCCTATTATTTTAACATTTTGCTCCAGTTAGCTAAAGTCAGAATTAGTAGATCGTACATCCCTCAGATGTATTTAACATTAGTATTTTACAGGTTTTAACAGTCTGTTTGTTTCAAAAGGATGGCATCCAAGGAAGATGATTCAGTTGATGGTTTAAAACCTTTCCTACTAGAGGAGTATCAACTATGGACAAGCTGAGCACCAGTAAATAAGCTAGGAGCTCCAACTGACTTGTGCAAATTTTCAGTATGAATCTGATTAGTTTAGTGATGCAACCTGATGTTTTGTTGTTGTTTTTTTCAAGAATATGTAGTCTATCAGAAAAAAATCACACAGAAATCCTAACAACTAAACGACTAAAAACAAGATGAGCACTGACAACTCTGCTGTCTCAGCTGTATCTTCATAGAGTGATAGAGGTAACATATTTTTCGACACGAAGCTGCTTTCTCAAGTGTTTTTGATATTTTTGATCACTTTGGTTTTGACAAGGAGGACACCTCTGACTACAGTTTGACTTTGCTGAGAAATGATGACCACCGGAAGAGCGTTTGAGACTGTTAAGTTTGCCACCTACCATGCTACTGCTCCAGCTCTGTCTACAATGACAGCTAGAAAAACAAAGTGCAGAGAGTCAGCTGACAAATGTGAGGTCCTTTAGATAATTTAGACTACTACTGTAAGAGGGAAGCCACAGGAAGCTGTTTCTTGAAGTGTGACTTCACTGAACTTCTGTGAAATAATGTGAACTGATAATGTCAAAACCTTCTTATGCTGGCAGACAGGTTGGCACCGTCTCCGCTCTGCTATCCTTTCCTTGTCCTTGAAACTGATACAAGGTCCTGCCCCCCTTCTGTCCACACTCGGAGCTGTGCTTTGTTATTAACTAGGTTGCTAGCAACATGTATTTAAGCAGGTCGATATCCATGACTCTCCCTCTGAGATCATGCTAGCATTATTGGCCCCAGATGTGGCGTCAGCTTGCTGTCACTCAGCCTTGAAGTCTGCCGATGCGTCACCATTGGTTTTGTGCTCCGCCGTCTCTCTGGCTCTGAGATTTATCCTCCCGTCCCATCAGCTGGAAGTGTTGACAGCTTGCTCTCAATCTAATGGCTACTGCGTCTTTGTGGTGTGTAAGCTCTCTCTAGGCTCTGTAACTGGAGTTTAGTGGGTCAACACTTCAACATTGTGAAGACCCTACAGCATGACTGACTTAAATCTATAATCATCTTTTGATGACATTTCCACATCTGCTGAGGGGAGTCAGCTACAATACATCATCTGACTCACTGGACGTTTCAGAGTGATGGAGGTTTGTTTGTTTGTTTCATGCTGTGGAGGATAATTGTGTTCTGTGAGGTGATTAACACTGTAGTGAGTTATATTTCTTTTCTAGTTGCCTTGACTTAGATGTCATGCATTACTGCTCCCACAGAGGGATAAGCTCATCAAGACCCTCCCCACTGCCGAGGCTGATGTATTTTCTGTAGGCAGATGGAGCTCTGATAGACTTAGTTCAGTGTAACTAACAGATAGCATGTCTTGGTGAAGCCCGATGTAGTGTAAGAGTAGATCTATCAAACTCTGTATAGAAGCCTGTCCTGTCTATGCATAGTAACATCCCTGCTCATGTGCACTGTGTTATGCTTTATCAAGTGGATTTGGCTTTGAAAGAGCCTCAACTAACCAGATTATCACACAACTGCAGTATATAAATCATGTCAGAATAATTAGTATCAAGTGGTACAAGCACTAATACTAGTTTATGCTCTCTTTTCGTATCATAGATATATCAAATGTGCATCTTGTTTGCAGGCTATAAGTATCTTACTTAAAGCTCCTGTGAGGAACTTTTAGGTGGTATCAATTTGTCGCCGCCTGTGGACAAAGCAGTCTTCGCTCATCTTGTTCTTTACATACTTAAACAGTGTCTTCTGACATAAAAAAATAAAATAAAATCCTGCTGACTTCTGACAGCCAAATGTATCATTTAATGTGAATATTTGATGATGTGTAAATGATAAAAACAGGGCTTTTCTTTAGCTGCATGGCCAACACCTACCCCCCTAGTACTGGTATCAGGCATTAAAAATGATGACTTTACAAACATCGTATCTCTAATAGTTTTGGTTGGTTTTGGTTATCATAAAAAGGCATTTATATGACTTTCAGTCTGTTTCTTAGATGCCAGTTAACTCTTCCTCTCCTAGCTGAATGGTGAGGTCACAGTGATCTGGTTGATTTTACGTGATTCTTGCGCAGGGACTTGCATTTTTTAAAGAGGGGGTATCATGCTATTTTTTTTTCAGACTCCATACTTCCTCTCTGATTCCTCTTTATCAGCTTTACATCATTTTCAGTTTTAAAAAAGCCTCGAATTTCTCACAGTGATGGATTAAAATATCATTACTTCAGCCTCCGTTTGAAACGCTTTGTTTTAGCTGCTGTCTCTTTAAGGCCTCCCACGAGCTTACTGTCTTCCAATTGGCCACCTCTTCGGAGGTCTGCAAAGGACAGAACTCATTATTTTGGCCCCGCCCCCTCTATTGTGGTCAGTCAGTAAAGGGTGTCACTTAACATGGTGTTAGAGGCAGGCACAGATGAACTATGAAGAAGAGCCTATTGCTATGACGTCATGAGTTAGTGAGTCTCATTGAGATACCGTGATCTCCCAATGAACCGTTTTGAGCAGTTTACATCTATTTGTTGGATTATTACAAAATATGTTCACCTCATGATTTGAAAATTTGCATATGAACGCCAAACATTGTTATTAGCATTTTCTGTTGTAAATATGGAAAAACATTTAAGCCCCCCACTCCCCCTCAAGTGCTAAACACCAGGGACCAGACTAATGTTGGAGTTACCAGTATCTCTGATCTTACACTTAATGTCCCCCTAAGACTATGCTCTGTCTCTATTTTCCAGGTGAAACCAAAGGTAATCGAGCCGCTGGACTATGAAAATGTGCTGGTGCAGAGGAAGACGCAGATCCTCAGTGATGTCCTCCGAGAAATGCTGCAGTTCCCCCTCGAGGACTTTGAGGTGAGTTAAGCAGCTGTTTCATGCATGTTTGGTAGACAAAATACACCACATTAAGCACTTAGAAAAACAGTTCAGAAGCGATTCTGTGGTAAGGCTGGCTGACAGGCTTGTAGCTGGGGTTTAAAAGGTGTGGAGTAATGATGCACAAGCTTAGGGAGGTGTCTCTGTCAGATTAAGGGCTCGTTTTCTAAAAGTAAGGCACTCTGGGTAATTTATTCCTGGTTTAACGGCGTTTCTATGGATGGAAAAATCTCTCAGCTTGTTTGTTTACACCATCACTCATTAACTCATTTGAGGATTTTCTCCGTATAAGGACGTAACATTTTTTCCCTCCAACATTATTACTTCCCCACCCACTAGCGTGTTGTATTTGTTGTCTTTCCCCTGGTCAGGGTGTGGCCGGTGTTGTGAGTACTGGGTGGGGTCGTTCACACGGGCTCTCTTTCTGTTTACATCCCTCCATGCTAGAACGAGTGAGAGGTCAGGGGCCATCTGTTGAATTGGCTCATTCTGCCTCCAGTGTTGTGACAGAGCAAGTGTTATCTGCAGCCACATTGTACCGGACGTACGCTCCCTCACACGTTTCCACGCTTAGGATGGAAAATCTAAAGTGGAAATCTGGCTCCGTGCTGGTACTTCAGGAAATGAGACTTCTTTGAAAGATGTTCCTACCAGCAGAAGCGACGAGACATATAGTATATCATCACATCTGACACTGTCACTCTGTCTCACGGTCCAGTGGAAATTTTATAGAGTCTGGACTTTTATTGTTATAGCCCCTGGGGCAGCGAGACCCAGTATTTCTCACAGTGATGACTTTAACATCTTTTGTCTGAACGCTTACATTAGAGATTATGACAGTGTGAATACGAATAATTATTCTGATTTATAATCTGTAACTAATGTTGCAAAAAGTTGCTCTTTATTATTTTATAGCTGTGTAAAGTGATTTTTGATGGTATTTAAGATGCTTCCTTCCCTTCCTGTACCTCAATCCTTAAATCTGGAGCAGCTCTCCATGTCACTGTGATTGATTTTCCTGAAAAGAAACTGAGGACATGCAGTGATCCACAAGGCCTTAAGCTAAAGTCATTTTGTTAAGGAAGATAAATTCTGTGCGGCATCATTATGGTCTTTCATTTCAAAATAAGCTGTTTAATTCAGCCATCCTGCAGTCAGAGAGTTTTAATCTTGACTGCAACATCCTTTTCATCGACTAGAGCATGGAGCCGCCGCCCCTATTCCTTACCACCAAGACCTGTTACCCCACTTTTTTCTAAAAAAGAAAAGAAACAACAGACAAGAGTTTTTAGAAATAGAACGGATATCCATACCTGTTTCTATCAAGGACCCTGTTCCAGATTTGTCAAAGCTCAAGATCTATGACTTTTGAGCTTATTCAGTCTGCTATTGAGTCTCCTCAATAGGTCCTATGATGCAACATCAAGTCATTCCAGATCATCCAAATGAAACCAGCAGTGTGTACGCTTAAAGTGATTATTGGATTAAATTCCCATCTGAAAGTTTTTAAACAACAAGAAGAAGAATTTTAGTGTTAGTTGTTTGCGGGACCAGCATAGCATGCAAAAAGCTCTTAAGTTTGGCAACATTTCACTTTGAAAAAAATAGGAAGATACAGCAAAATAATTTTACATGGAGAAAACACAAACACCATAATCAGGTGCTTCAAATGAAAACAAACTGAAGTACCTTGGTCTGTCAGGGATTAAAAAATTCAGTTCCAACTACTTCTGCAGCCACCCTCTCCTCCAGCGGTTGTCACGCCCAAATAATAATCCAGTGTTGGAATCCATTTTGAAATCAGCAGGATAAAAGCTAGTTAGCCAACTTATTGAGGTGATGTAAGGTTATAATATGATGTGTTCAGGGGAGGATAGAAAACAGAAATAGTACTTCCAGTTTTGTTAAAATGTATTTTTATCTCAACTAACTTCCAAATAATAGACTTGATAGTGGATTTAAAAACTTAACAAACTGGAATTTGTAGTTACCTGTAAATCAGCATCCAGATAGTTACCACAGTTTTTTGCGTTTTCAAATCATTCTGTCTTCTCCAATGCACAACCATGAAACTCTGCAGGTTCTCTCTGTGATTCTGGCTTCATTTTATTTCACAATAACTTGGCTGTCTTGTTTCTTGAGAACAGACCTGACATAAACCTTTTCTCTATTAGTGATGAGAGTAAAAGCAGAGCCTGGCAAACATTTGTTTCCAACCTGGACTTTTAAACCCAGCTACATTGTTGGTTTAATATGAAATGTGTATTTTTAAATCCAAGATTCCACAAATAATTTCCTGCTACTGTCATATGCAAACTCTGGTAAATAAACAAAAGGTAAAAATAAGTTCTTTTGTACTCTTGGTTTGGCTTTGGACAAAGTCCCAAGCTTTTACAGACTACAGAGGCCTGGCAGCTGGATGGCAGAGCCTTGACTTTGTCTTCTGTTGGGTCACACTCCTCCAGCCTGCTGCCATGACCAGAGCCCACCAGCTCCACACACAAACAGTGTGTTGTCAGGGGCTGACAGGTGATTCAAAGTGAAAAAAAACACTGATTGAACCCAACATCTGTTCTGACTTCCCAAGACTCTTGTTCAAGTGGAGTTTAATCTGCTCTTGTGTCAAGGCTCTCCCAGTGTTATTTGTGTCATAAGGAAACCTTAAAATTCACAGAGACAGGGCTGAGCACACAGAGCTTTTGAGGGGAGAAAACAAGACCAGGACAGGCTGAAGGAGCTCCTGTGTATGTGTATGTTTTGTTATTTTTATATAAAAGTTTCTGGCTGGTCACAAGGAAGAGAAACAAGTACCAGGTGGCTTTTGTATCTTATCCTCAACTGGCAAATCCAAAATCATGTGATGGTACTGATCTTTTCAGAGACAGTGTTTATATCATCTCCATCTGGTTTTCATCTCAGAGAGTTGGCATGAGGGAGCTCTGTGCGGGTCTCCCTTAAAGGTTTCAAGAAAAATTTGTAGAGGATTACCAGGAGGAGGCCCTTCCTTCCCTTCTCTCAATACAATGTGTACTCTATGTCTAGACATAGACTGCGCTCCAGCTGAAAACCTCAAAATCTGAACAATGATTATATTCTCAGCTTCAATCAATTAGCAGAAACAACTAATAATGCATGTCTGAGCTACTGCCAGGAAAATACCAGGAAAGACCCCTTAAATTCAAGTGTAAGTTTGGTATCAAATACTGGTCAGCATGCTTATTCTGTTCATGATTCCCACACAAAAGATGTATTTGTTCAAATGAGGATGAAAATTTTGAAATAAAGAGTCACAGAAACAATTTGTACCACTGCAGAACTATAGATGGTCCAGAGTTTAGCTCCATACTAAAATGTCTCTTAACCCTCCCAAGAGGTTGCCATCATTTAAGGGAGTTCATATCACATCAGAACCTCTCAGAGCTGCTGGAATAACATTTGCTGCTGTATTTATTATTTGAAAGAGATGAAATATTTTGCTCAGAAATCTTTGTTCTGTTAGTTTTTCAGCAAACACTTTATTCGTCTTTAACTTAGCTGCGGATTTTATGCACTTGATGATGTTGACAGGATTGTGTCCGTAGTCTGCAAAAACAGATGCATCTCACTTTGTTAGGGTTGAGCTAAGGAAGAAGATGATGATTTCTGGTTAAGGTGTTAATGGAGTCTCGCTAAATCAGGGCATATTTCACCCCAAAAAATCGAGGTTATCCCTGGTGTCTCGTGGCCCAATTAAATGTTTCCTGCTGCTCATTTCCCAGCTCCCTCTCACCTCCATGCCTGTTTATTTCTGCTGCCGGGGGTGCAAAGATTGTCATCTCGCCTGCAGGAAACTTGGCTAGCAAAGAGGAAGCGGAGCTTTCAGGTTAACAAATACGAGATCGCGAAGGAATTTCTCGTTTACACGACCAGCTTTCAGTAAAATGCAAGGTCACTGAGAGGAAGAGTGAGACATAAAGGACAGATGGCAGTTTTACGATGTTGACTAGTCGTCATTTTTGATTTGGAAAAAAACTAGCCTGCAGTGATGATTTGCTTTGTCAACTTTTGTTTTTTTTAATTTTAGAAAAATATTTCATTTGAATATCACTGGAAAAAACTGAACCAAAAATAAAAATATAATTCTCATCAAATTGAACTGTTTGCTTTTGTAGTTTCAGGATGGAATAGAAATCAGATTTCACTCACATTTCGTGGTCAAAATCACTGAAATCTGATTTGGCCTTAAGTAAGTTGTTTTTTTAACCAAAGACGAAGAACTTATTTGATCTCATTACACTTTCAATGTGCATGAAAATCTAACCTTCCATCACATCCCCACATAGGAAATGTGGTTTCCTCACACTCGCAGCTGAAGAGCGTTCCACTTTCACAAAACCAACTTTCACTTACTTCCATTGAGCTCAGTCAGCTGAACTGTTATCACTTAATGGTTGTATTTATACTTTACTTATGCTCTCAGGGATTAATATTATGTGCACTTTATTTTTAAATACCAGGACTAATCCCCCTAACAAGATCTAATGGTGTTTCTTTTGTTGTTACACTAAGCATCAAGCTCTGTGCAAGTTGGACAAAGGCCCACGTGACAAAAACTTATTTTTAGGTCATCTCAAAATACAAATTTTAGTTGGTGAATAATATATGTTTTATTTTTAATACCTCTTTAAACATTGCCATAATTTTAAAATATTTGCAAGGACTTTAATACTGGTACATCATCTTATAAAAAGAAACACAACTTTGTTGCAATAGTGAAGGAGGCTTCTAGAATGTTGGATTCTGGAATGTTGGGGGGCTTAAAGAGACAGTGACTAAAATGAGAGTTTTCAGCAGCCTGAAATATGTCAAGAATTTGCTGAACTCTAAATCATGTTAAGCTGCTCAGAAGCTCTTAGAAGGATGATATAATGACAGAAACCAAGAATAATACCCTCTTTAACAAGTAATAGTTGTAACACTGTTAGCATGTTAAAAATTTAAACAGAGAATCTAAAATTAAGTCAAATTCACATCAAACTAAAGCTTTTCTTTGTGCTAATGGTTCTTCGTGACTAACATTAGCATGCTAAAAAGCCAAATACTGATAGAGCGCATGCTAAGCAGTAAACATACCCGAAACTGGCTTGCTATTCTTATTACTTCATCATTTTAGCATGCTAACACTAGCCTTAATCTCTACAGCTGAGCAGCTAGCATGGTCGTGGACACTTTGCCTTGCATAAACATGTTAAAAAATAAAAGCTTTATTTTTTTTTTCCTGTTTGGCTAAAACTCAGTGAACCTGTTGCTCATTAGAAAAAAGGTTTTAATGAAGCATTAGAGAGGCTGCACAACAGTGGCACAGAGCCAGACTCAGGGTGTGTCTGTGGGCCCTGGAGCTGAACAGGAACCAGCATCCTGCCTCCTTCACTTACTGCCTCCTTTAGCCTGCAGAAAGACATCACACCGAACAGTCTTAAACACAGAATGATATTTCAAAGATCTCTGCAAACACTGTCCAGCTGAAACCATAAAACAATGAAACGGAGCTATGTCTCCCACATTTTGTTTCATTTTCATTTTGACAGGGTTTTTGTGTTTATTCTGATCCTTTTGGCGAATAAACTTCTGCTTTGTTTTTCCAGATTTCTACTTTGAGGCGGCAGGGGAGGACGCTCCACTCCACAGTGCCTGAAAATGCAGAGAGGGAGGCCCAGAGTCTGTTTGTCCAGGAGGTGAGCTCATTCAGTGCCCTGAAAACAGCCTCTCTTAATCATTTTCTTTAGATGACACAGTTTAGTTAAAGATTTAAATTTTGTCTGTACACGTTTTTGTCCCACTTTTCCTTACTGAATTAAGCTGAATTAGTGTGGGAATTGAACTGTTTGTTTTTAAGAGTCTGGAAATGAAAAACTGCAGATTAAGTCCAGCTAGGGAATCATCCTGCACTTAAAGTTCACTATAGGTGTCATGATGGGCAAAAGACAAATTAAAAAGTCCCACAGGCAGTGCAAACTTTGGCTAATAATATTAGGATTACGCAGGTAACGTTTGTCTCCTGTACATAAACCACATGGACCCACTGCTGCAGAAAAGTGGCATTAATGTAACTCATTATCCCATTTGAGGGCTTATATAAGCTGCAAAGTACACAGCACCTCACAGAAGATCAGGAAACCTCTTTATTTTATAGGCCAGGCTAATTGTAACATTTATTTTACTTTCAGGAGCCTCTGCAGCATAAACGGTATCAGGGCTCATTACAGATAATTACTGGAGGCAGCCTGACTATTTAGAACAAATTTCCTTGGTTTTATCTGCGTATGCCCAGGGAAGTAGGAATGATAAAGTGCAATTAATTTGTACTCTTTATAGGTTTATCAAAGTTCTGGTTATTTTCTGTCAGTGTCGGTTTATATTCTGTGTTCAGCCCTGAATATATCTGTCAACCAAAGGTCAGGTTTTGGTTTGTTTTAATTGAGACTGGCTGCAGTTGAAGTCTGTTTCAGTTCAAATCCTATTGGTGCTGATAAAGTTGTGAATTATGGCAACAAGTGGAGAAACAAATTCTCTCCAAGCCTTCACCATCCAGCCTCGTACACTGCTCTTACTGTTTTTTTTTTTAAGCCAGACACCAACTGGATGCCTAAAGTTCACACTCCAAGGTCAAAGTTCAGCGTTCAGGGAGCCTTGTCAGAAGTCAAAAAGGAAGGAAAATTCCTAGTTAAGTGTAGTTTGACATCACCAGGACAGCTGTGCGGATGAACACAGCAGGAGCCTCTCTATTTCCGATTGCTCTCCTGATCAGGTTGCATCTCGTCTCCCCCACAGAAGAGTTTCTTGTAAATGGCACGTATCTTTAGAGAAGAGATACCAGCACACAGACTCTAACAATGAACAGATGTCATGTTTCCAAGCAGAGGAGATACAGAAACACTCCCTTTTAGATTGTACTGGTGGGTGTTTGGACTGAGGTAGAGAGTGAACACTCACCATTCACTCCTTTTTTTCCAAGAACATCACTGCATGTGGGCTTAAATTGAGGCTCAAAACAACCGTTGTTTGGTGATTCATGAAACAACTGTATCATTTTGTGTTAATCATCAGGACAATTCAACACTTTCATTTTTACTCCTGTGGATTTGGTTTCATTTCTGATTTTTTGACTCAAACTGAAATTAAAAGGAAGAAAGGCTGTAAAAACCCTCTTTTCTTTCCCACTTGATAGTATTGATTGGCGGTATTGAGTCAGAGAACAGTTTTCTACCCTGATTTCTTTTGCCCTGACTTATCCCTTCACTTCTTAATTAATCACTCACTGAATCTATTGGAAAATGGATGTTTACATTCCCTCTCCATCACCAGAATACATCTGAGTTTATCCATTCACAAAACATGCATTCCCCAAGCAAACAAAACTTCTACAAGTCTCCAAACATTGGACTTGTTAACACGTTACTGTAACATATGGTGTCTCTATCCTGGTTTTGCTTTTTTAAATTTTTGACTTGAATGATTCAGCTTCAGCTCATATAACAGAAGCTGTTTTTTAAGTTAAGTCTACAGCAGGTTGTATTCATTCACTATATTTGCAGACTGTGTCTCTACTGTGTACAATAGTGAAGGTAAAAGCTACCTTCACTCGGCAGCTGGTCAGTAGCTCTAAATCATTTGGCTTCACTTTTGCTGCACGTTTGTTTGGAATAAAGCTAAATGGAAAGAAAAGAGCAGATATCTATACTCTTCTTCATTCTTGATTGTTGTTATTTGTTTCTATAGGAAGTTTGGCAGTGTTTTGTTAACCTGATGCTAAATCAGTGGAAGTTTGTTTGGTTTTATCCAAGGTGATAATGAAACCTGCCCCCTCCCTCCCTGACATGAGAATTTAGGGCACATCTTCAACATTAAAATATTTAAGATATTATAAAATGGTGAACTCATTATTGATAGCTTCTAAAACAATAAATGTTTTGAGAAAATACAGTTTTACAGTATTCACCTTTTTAACAAGAATGGCACCACATCCCTGTTTATCAACTACAAGCACCTAGAAATCCAGTCACAGCATTTAAGGGTTACTTCTTGCCATTTATAAGTTGTAACAGTCATCTAAAATGTGTTTCCATTCTCTTTTCAGTGCATTAAGACCTATAAGTCCGACTGGCATGTTGTCAACTACAAGTATGAAGACTATTCTGGAGACTTTCGACAGCTACCAAAGTAAGTGTTGTGAAAAACCTCTACACTACTATTGACGGTGGTAATATGGTGGTGTGCCAACACGTTCTTATTATGGGCAAGTAAGAACAAATACTGCAGTGACTGTTACACATAATATATGGATGCCAGAGGTTTTAAACTGAGCAACAAACAGCCAAACCCCTTTTTTTGTGTGTTTTTGTGTCAACTAGACAAACTGTCACCAATAGTTTCCTGCTCGTGGCTGAATGTTGTTCTGAGTCAATTACAAGGAAAAACTGCGCACAAATAATTCTTATTTTCACACAACAAAAGAGCGTTTCCTTTGATGACGTTCTTGTAATTCCCAACTGCAGCCAGAGTGGAAACCACCCCCATTGTCCGCACATTGTGTCATGAGCGCCATCCTCTTCCCTGAAGAGTGTCTGTTTTACGGCCAGTCTGCTGGAATATGAGCTGACAATGACCTTGATTTAGTCAGTGCTGCCAAATACCCTTGTGGTTTTACTGAAACTGGGGAAGTTAAAACAATACACTGAGACAGGGGTCGCATGTCAAAAACCTCACAGTATCCTCATCCTGAATCTCACCTTTGGCTGGTGTTCATTTTTCCAACAGGCAGTTTGAACCTTTTACACGTTTCCTCAAAACTCACTTAAGTGCTGCTTTGAAAAAGTCCTGGAAGTTAAATCTGTCATGATGAAGCTTTTAAAGACTCTCAGCAGACACCTGGCACCATATAAAGTTACCCTTTTCATAAACAAAAGGACAAATAATAATTCGGTTTCACCGTTTTAGATCTCAAACATTTGATGTAATTGTATGCTGAACTTAAAAACGAGTAAGAGCGTTGAAGCAGTCAAAAATATCCCCTAAAATGCATCAAAGCTTAAGTAACCATCCTGTTTTGTACACGAGGAGTGAAATGTTCAGATTTTTATGTGAAAATAAAGGGACTATATGTAAAAAGTTGTCAGAAAATAGATACTTAAGAAAGACAGAAACCTGATAATAAAGTATTTCTACTGTTATCTCCATCTTTGATATCAAGATAATATTTTCATCTTCATGTCAAGCTCCTTCAACTTTCACTCTGTGTCAAGTTTGGTTAAAATCTTGACTTGTCCATATTTCCTTTAGTATTTTAATTTTTCCTGTCGTGTTTAAGAGACTCTTGTAGAGATGAAATTCTGAGGAAAAAGTCCAGAAAAGCTGCTTTTGCAGCTGACAGTTAAAGGTACTATAAGGAGTTTTGAACTGGTTTAGAAACAGACTGAAACTGACACCAATACCTCTTTATGAGCTTTAGAGGAAACAAAACTGTCAGAACAGAGCTGATTGACTTCCTGTTGTAATTTTCAATGCTTGAAATCGATGTAAAGGGGTATGTGTCCGATCGGATGATTGACAGCAGGCTGAAGAGACCGCTTTTTACTGTTTTCCTTTGCAGTTATTCTCAGTCAAGGGACACATTTCATTGTTAAAAGACCACAGAAACACTGTTCTGTATTGTTCTTTCACAAGTACAGAACAGAAGAAAAGAGGTTTCATTGGCAGCAGGAGGCGCTAAAATCAACACGAATCAAAAGTTCCTCACAGCAGCTTTAATCTCTGCCTGACTACTACCCTGCGACAACACTTTTGAAGCAGTCGGACATGTCACCTATGGTCTGATTTGCTTTTATAGGCTGTAAAGAGGTATCACTATTAATTCTAGTCTGTTTTATTACCAGTAAAGAAAACTCCTCACTGGAGCTTTAACATGCCAAGTAATATAAATCTGCAGAAAGACAGAGAAATCTGTCAAATACCTGAGTTATACCTGGTACACTGTTGTGTTTTTTATTGTATTATATACTAAAGACGTTGTTTAATGTGAACCAAATCTGTTGCAGCAAAGTGTCCCGGCCTGATAAACTGGCTGTCCATGTGTTTGAAGTGGACGAGGATGTTGACAAAGATGAGGTGAGTCAATGCTTTAATGATTTAGCTTTATAATACTAATATAATACTAGAGTATACAGTATATGCAGCCTTTATTGCAAACCCTCATTTTGATCTAATTTCAGTCATATTTTCTAGCCTTCCTGTTTTCACCACAGCAGTTCAAAAGATAATAGTATTTTATGTGTCCAATAGCAGAAATTAAAGGAAAGCATTAAGTGTAATTAGATTTAATGATTTTACTCGCACACCATGTCGTAAAAACAATCAGAGGAAAATTGTTTCATCCTATTATAACTCATGTGTGACTGAGTGGGTGTGTGTTTTATTTTTGCTCAGGGTGTTTGTTGTTTTTGGAAAGCCTTGTGTAGTTGGAGTGCACAACAAAGAGGCTCATAAGTCAGCTGACACACACTCATGTTTGACAATACAAAGCTGCAGCCGAGGCGTTATTTTACTCAAGATGAGGTCAAGCTGCTTTAAAAGATGTATGATGACCCTGACCTTTTTTTCCTAAAGATGCATCAAACTACGCCCCCTAAAGGTGACAAAATGCCCCTCAGTTTTGGCTGAAAAAGAAACACCCTGAAGTACCCTTTAAGTGGATGTTAGCAGTGATTGAGGAGAGCTATTTCAAATGTTTAATCCTCCTGTTTTTCTCCAATAGGGAGGATGCTTATACAGATGAAAATAAAAAAAGATTTGAGCTCCTTCTCAGAAATCCCCAAAATAAATCATGTTTCTTCGTTGTGTGCTTTGGACCATGTTTGTTGTGCAGTTTCGTTTATCTCCTCCTTGCCCTGCTATAGCTTAGTTTGTGATTTGCAGTTTATTTTCTTGTCCTTGACCAGGTTTTCTGGAGAAAAATTACACTTAAACATCAACCGTAGAAAACTGTCTAGACAGTGATGAGGAGAAACAGGCACCAAACTTTTCCAGATGCTCTCCACATCACTCCAGAAAGCGCCATTAAAAAAAATCATGAATCCTGCCAACACTTCTAAAATCCCCTTTTTGCTTTATTAGACTGAGAGACGAAGAAATCGAGTCGGATCATAACGATGACATCTTGAAAGGCCATTCAATCTTCTTATTGTGAGAATGGGATTGGGATCCTCACTGTAGTCTTTCAAAGTGAAGAGTGTTAAGTGCAGATGACACATCTTTTGTTCATACAGGCCTGATTTAAACCAGGACAGGGCGGTGCACTTTGTCTACATCTCTTCTTCTCTCCTAATTGGTTTATTTTACCAGATCATGCAAGCCGTGGGATCACGCTAGCTTTGTGTTTAGCGGTATATGAAGGCTACAAGGTCAAGCTGGTAAACACAGCGTGAGTGTGAGGCGTTCGGGTCTGTGTGTCACGGATCTGCAGTGAAAATACCGTTATTTATTTGGTTTGACAGTCGTAGTTTGTTTAATGTTCTTCTGCCTGCTTGTTTGGATGGAGACAGACTCACTTCACGTTGGGCTCTGTGGCGTCTCAGAGAAGAGCATCAAAGGTTTCTCTGCACAGTGAGGCAGAGCTGGGGCCATGAGTGTTTGAAAGCATTATAGATGGGATGACCCCCAACAAAAATATACAAAGTCAGGCTTGCAGAGTCTGCTCAAAACAAAATCTAATCACTTCTTATACAGTTTGGGGTAATTTTCCATTTAACTCATATGAAACAAAACAAAGTCACACATTTGGCACATAAGTATCTTCTAATACTTTTTTTCTATGCATTGTGTTATTCCCTGATTTGCTGTATCTTTATTTTCCTGCAGGACACGGCCTCCTTAGGTTCACAGAAAGGCGGGATCTCCAAACATGGCTGGCTGTATAAAGGAAACATGAACAGTGCCATCAGTGTCACCATGAGGGTAAGACAGAAGTGATGGCCACATGAAAACAAAAATGATTTGTCGATGAATAAATCATGTCATGGAGGGGAAAATTAGATAGCAGCTGTTTAAAGAATCCCTACTCTTTATAAGTAAATGTGCCAAATAAATGCACCTCCAGTTGTTTACTTCTTTAAAAAGTGTCTTTTGATTTCTAATAACTGAAAGTTGAACGGTGTCATTTCTTCTTCCTGTTGCAGTCATTCAAAAGGAGATATTTCCATCTAACACAGCTTGGCGATGGATCTTATAACTTAAACTTCTATAAGGATGAGAAGATCTCCAAAGAGCCAAAAGGAACTATTTTCTTGGACTCCTGCATGGGCGTGGTTCAGGTATGCTCTAAAATTCCCTCTCTGTCTCAGGTGCAAAGATTTTCACAGCGATAAAACTCTGAACAGACTTTACCTTCATGTATTTTTCTTGAGATATATTTTCCAACATGCAAGGATCTATACACTCTTCAAACAGCAAACTTTGAATACATATTCTTTTATCAGTGGTAGACCACAGTATCACTTCGTCTTGCTTCTCTTCGTTTCCCTGAAACCTGAGCTCTCTCCTCTCCAGGGTCTCGCTTTACTGCTGACTCTGAGCTGGTGAAACAAGGTGAATGCTGAGGTCTCACTTCTGTGCACTTTCCATCAGCCTCACAATCAATGCCTCGTGCAAACATCTGAATGTAGGCCAAGACTAACTGCACCATCATCTGTCATCCGTACAGATGGAGAAAAAAAAAACAGATTTCATAGATGAGAAACCCAGCTGGCGTTAAAGACATCTTTATTTGAGAACAAGGAGGCAGGTTCACTGTGCGGTTTTATCATTTGGATGGTGGAAAGAGATTCACGTGGTTTTTGAATGCTTTGAGATCCATCACGGTTTTATCAGTGCAGGTTTTGGTTTTCTTAAACCTCCACGCCACCCAGTATTTCTCAACCACAGACCCTCACTCTGCTGCATTCCTCTGTGGAGGGAGGAGAGTAAAGTCTGGTTCAGGCCCAGTTCAGTTCAGTCAAGAAAGAAACACCATTTTCTGTGCCATAGCGTACTTTTAAACTAAACACCACAAAATAAAGAAAAATGAAAGAGGCATTAAGAAAGATGAATATTTATCTGTAAATAAAACAGATTAACCAAAAGAGAAACACACATACCAAAACAATCTATGATAAATATTCTAATTGATAATTTTCCTCCTTGGGTTTTTGAACTCATAGGCTAGTCTGGCTTTGATGTTTCTACTCCTCAGTCAATTAATTTCTCATGATGAATGTGGTCTCTGGCAGATTCTAGAATTTGTTTTGCAAGTCACTTTTATTAAGTCTGTACAAGTCTTATGTTGTTCTGAAAGTCAGTTTTAATCATCAGCACCACCTCAGTTCTCTAAGTGACTAACTGTATGGCACAGTGTGTGTTTGTAGATCAGCTACATGTGGCACTAACACTGCATCAGAATATGTCATGCTACCGATATTCCACTACATGTTTTTTATTTCAAAATGAAAAGCCCCCTAGTTGCATTACAGTGTTTACTCCTCATGCTGTTGATGTAACAGCATACGTTGTGACATGCCATTGGCCACTCTTAGTTCTTACTGTCACTTGTTTTAAAGCTCTTATCAGGAACTTTTGGTTTGTGTTCATTTTGGTGCACAACTGTTTTTCTGATTTTGTTCTGTACATGTGTAAATAGTACTTTTTTTTCAAGGTTTTTATTATTTCAGAGGAAAATATAAAGGCTGGCTCTGCAGTGTGGCCTTTCTCACTTCATTTGATACCTACCCCATGTCAGAAATTTCAGACAATGGAAATAGCTGTATAAATGTAGTTAATCTTTGCATGTTTTTTATATTATAGATCATATAGAGGTCTCAGTGTGAATCATAACCAGCTTTTAGGAGCTTTAGGTTAAACTTTCTGAAAGAAGGAGAGGCTCTCCATGTATGATGATGATAGCAGATGGTCAGAAACTTTTCATGTTACAGATACTGTGCAAAACTTACACAATTTTCAGTTGCGTTTCTCTTCTCTTCATATACTTAAACTAATAGCAGAGGATTTTCTTGCTCTGGTGGATTTGCAAAGATCCCGTGACTCGAAGTCCACCAGCAGAAACAGCTGTAAAAGTGGAAGTGCAGATGTTGAACTGTGTGCCTGTAATTGCAAGTGGAGTGACATCACCCTGAGCCTGGAGCTGCTCCTGTGCTTTGTGGACGTGCCAACATATACTCCAACATTCAAAGCATTTTCACTTGGTAATGAGGTGAACGGCAGTCCCTGTAGGTTAATAAAGAACAGAAGGGGTAAAAACGTAACTTCATTTTTGTGGTTTGAAGTTTAATTTTTTTTTTAATTATTTTGTCTGGGTTGAATTTGTGCAGCTAAAGAACTGACTCATGACTCCAGTCCTCCCATCCATCCCATGATTAAGTCTATTTATCAAGACTCCAGTTTTGTTTCAGTGTTTTTTCAGCCTGTCTTCAGATAAGTGAGTCTGCTGCCTCCCAATCACTCCCACTCTGCTGTTACAACATAGCAGGCAAGCTACAGCGACAACCACAGCATAACAATCCTCTGAATGCAGACAATAATAAGATGACTGTGTTTTTCCACTAAGTGAATACAGCTTGTAAACTCTGTGAAATTAGCAGGATTGCTGCATCATGTGCTAAGCGTGGCTAAATCGGCAGCAGTTTTAGGTTTTAAACACGCTCAGAGGCTAAAATCGGACAGTGACATCACTATCCGTGGCTGTTTGGTGGTCGTAGTTTGGCTGCGTCACACGTTAGAAAGTTTGCACTGTGGTCCTGGCAGATGAGGAGGCTTTGTCACACAGATGGAAATATTCTCGTTGTACATTCACTTTGACAGTGAAGGTTGAGTTTCTCATCTCTTTCCAAAACAGTGACGCACGTTTTGGTGGATTTTTGGAGCGTGAGGTGCTGTGTTTGGAACAGCGAATATTTACTTTGCATACACAGATGTGTTTTTGAACGATCTAAGAGCAAATTAAAGAAAGTGAAGGTGAGGGTGAAGTCAAGAAACCTGCGATTTGGATCATAAAACTGAGAGTTTTCTGTCCTCTCATGAGTTGGATGTTTGTTTTGGAGTCAGAGATTAAACAGACATCTCCACCGTTGGATATTTGGTTTTAAAATGTGTAAAACTAAACTTAGTTTATCACTCATCCAGTATCAGATGCCCAAACTCTGCTCCACATCACAGTCTTTGTTCTGAACTTTTTGTTTTACACCCTTAAATTGTGCATTTTTCCATTTCATCAGGCTGCTTTGTTCATGTTTTTTTAATCTCATGTCTTTCTTTCTCTCGTCTCCATTTGCTTTGTGGTGGCAGAACAACAAAGTTCGACGGTTTGCTTTTGAGCTGAAGATGCAGGATAAGAGCACCTACCTGCTGGCTGCAGACAGCGAGACAGAGATGGAGGATTGGATCAACACACTCAACAAGATCTTACACAGCAGCTTTGAGATCGCCATGCAGGAGAAGAGGAACGGAGACATCCATGATGGTGCGTGTCTCTTTCTGTCTGTCTGCGTGACTGTGGCGCCTGAAGGAACACAAACCTGAAGCTGCACTTTATTTTGTGTCAGTCTTGTCCAAGTATTATCTCATTTCTTATTCAGAATCGATTTGGGGTTTTGGAGATGGAAAATCTTTTTTGTGCAGACTGAAATCTGTTAGACAAAAGCTGCTTTTGTGTGGTTACAAGGCAGCTTCTGTTGTCTCTTTTCTGATCATGAAGGAGCGTTACCTGACAAAAAAAATCTAATTATTTCATGCTGCTTTCTCTTGATAGTCAAACTTTTCACTTACTGTGAAGATTTGCTGAGGGGAAAGTTAATTTCCAAACGTTTCTTCAGCCCAAAGTTCCAAACTTTTCTACTCCCCTGTAATGTGAGCAATAATAATACTTAATTCTGGCTTCTGAGGAAAATTTTTAGACACTTTGGACTTAAAAGATCAGTCGAATGATCGCTTAACAAGACTTCTTGGTAGTCTGCAGTTTTACAACCTTTGATTAATGTAGATGGTTATTGAAACTGAAACAGTGATGTCCGAAAATGTTACTGAGATGAAAAATGTCTCCAATTATTAAATCCAAAACAACAACCAACCATCCTGTTAATCCGCTCCTATTATCAGATTATTTGTTCAGGGATACCTTACCCACCCTGAGGATGTTTTTTTTAAACTAGACACCATTCATTCATGCCAACCTCCACTCACTCCTCATAGTTCACTTCCTCCTGTAGTAAGGTAGTGCAGTCTGAAAGGATGTGATACCGGACCACCCAGACTTTTAATACTCACCTCCTGTCCCACAGGAGGTTTAGCCATGCAGGAAAGACGCTGAATGCTTCTGCACAAAAACACTCCACTAATCTCCCCTAACTCTTCAGACCTGATTAATCACACTCCGCATGAGAGAAAATACAACTCTGTTTGAGGAGATCTGGGAGCTTTCTTTAAAACCTCAATCTCCACTCTGACTGATTTGTGTACACTTAAAATGAGTGTTTATCGCGCTTTTATGCGTCAGTAAGAGATTAAGAAATTTTATGGCATGAAAGAGAAGTTTTGTTTGTGTTTTTAAGTCTTTCGCCACATTTTAACGGCTGTCTTTTGTATTTTCCTCCAGATGATGATCTTGCAAAGTCAGACAGTTCCTCTGGCAGTCTGGACAGCTTTCAGGTAGGTCCTGCTTTCACATTCGAGTGTTTGAACATTAAATCTCTGGACCTTATTGAATTTGTGAAAAAAAGCCTCCTCAGCAACAAAAATGTGTCTTGGGTCGCTTCTTATTTCTCTCTGATTCATCTGTTTTATTCCTTTGAACTGAACATTAACACAGACCTTTAGTCATGTGATAAACTGTATTTTCCTCTACATATTTGGTCCTTTTATATTATCATTTAGGATGTATGCAAACTAGTAGACAACACACCAAACTCCAGGCTTTTAAACACAAGAAAATATGAAAAGGGAGGAAGCTGTAACCTGTACTGACATCAGAACGAACACCTGCATCAACAGTTTTCAGATTTTTTAGTGAATACACACGTTTCCAAATGATCTACTGACTGATAAAGGCAGCGAAATACAATTTATTTCTTGAATTCATCTTTTTTTTTTTTTACGCTGCGAAGTGGAATGCAGTACTGGAGCCATATGTGCTGGGGAAAGTGCTGGGAACAGTTAACTGAGCAGGCTTGACATGTAACAGTAAGCAGTGCTGAAATAAATGGTGGTACCACCTGCCTCTCAGCACTCAGCCTGTCCGTCCACTGGCCTGTAAAATATGAAGCTTGTTTCCAGATGGATGCAAATCACACACAAAAAACTCTGCCTGTGGTGCGTTTACATATCGCGTCTTCTGTTTCAAAGAGTCGATGATATCATCAGTTCAGGAAATGCTTTTTGTCTCCTCAGAGTGCGAGAGATATAGAGTCGAGGATGAGGAACGAGACCAGGCTGAAGCTGTTCACTCTGGACCCAGACACACAGGTAATAGAGTGTAAAACACATTAACCTTCACTTATTCCCGTGTGGAAATAAGATCTAATCTAACACTCCTTAATCAAATAAAAACATCCTCTATTGTTCTGTCTTCAGAAACTTGACTTCTCAGGAATCGAGCCGGATGTGAAGCAGTTTGAGGAGAAGTTTGGTAAACGTGTTCTGGTGAACTGCAATGACCTCTCATTTAATCTGCAAAGCTGTGTGGCTGAGAACGAGGAAGGACCAACAACAAACGTAAGGATGATCTCTTACACAATCAACGCCAAATAACAGAAATGTCATTACCCGGGTTATGAAAGACGGATGAGGAGCTTTATTAGACAGGCCGGATGAACTCTCCTCATTATTTGAGCCACTGAATGACTCCTGTTGCTCGGCAACCAAACTCCAGGCTCAGTAATGGTGAAGAATCTGTATAATGGATTTGGATGTCCTGCTGTCCCTCGCAACAGAAAGTGTCTATTAAAGTGTCAACATGTCAAGACTTGGTCTCAACACTGATCAGACACACACTCGCCTACACACTCACACACACTCTAGAAAAACTGAAGTATGTTCAGCGAGCACCACCCTCTGTAAATTGACTGGTATAGCTCAGAGAGGGAAATTCAACTTTTTTTTTTACTTCTCTTCCAGGTTGAGCCATTTTATGTCACGCTGTCACTGTTTGACATTCAAAACGGCAGAAAGATCTCCTCTGACTTCCATGTGGACTTGAACCACCCGTCTGTACGGAGCATGGTGACAAAAAACACCTGCCAGTACATGAACGGGGGAGGGGACACCCATCCTGAGGGGCAACGACAGGTTCATGGGGTGCCTGAGGCAAACTTGCAGTATCCAAAACTGGTAAGGAACAAAACAAACAAAAAAAAAACAGAACTGGAAGAGTGTTATTTGCTCAGCCAGTCTTATTGAAAAAATGGACAAAAATTCATTTTTACATGATATTAAAGGCAGCACAGGTAGCTTAGTGTTACTTTAGTGCAGTGGTTCTCAATCCAGTCCTCAAGGCCCACTGTCCTGCATGTTTTGGATGTTTCCCTGCTCCAACACACCTGATTCAAATGATCAGCTCGTTATCAAGCTCTGTAATGGCTTAATAACGAGCTGATCATTTGAATCAGGTGTGTTGGAGCAGGGAAACATCCAAAACATGCAGGACAGTGGACCTTGATGACTGGACTTGAGAACCACTGCTTTAGTGCATCCTCTGGAGAGCATGAATCACAAATAAGAGCTCTTGAAACTTCATCCAATAGTTTGAAACTTTAAACCTGTACACCTCAAAGATATATTCGGCATAATTAATTTAGGGTCAAACACACCATAACACCGAGTTAGACACCCCCTCGAGAGATGAATGTTGCCGACTGCTTGCTTCTCTAGTTATACCAACTTTAGTAACGGCCGCACAATAGCAATACACAGTGGTCTATGGAACCACACAAAAACCTCAACCAAAAAGCCACTCTATAGCCACAAACAATGCTCAGAACACCGCCTAACTTCATCAACAGTACATATAGGGTCCCAGCCACAGAACTAGCCACAAAACATCTTTTTAGCTTTGCCTGATTTCTTTAGCAAAGAGACTAAACACAACTCACCTACTCTCTTCCAGCAGGGTGATGCAGCTCAACGAAGAACATTTATGATCATTTCTTCATGGAAATGCAATCAGACTGAGACGCTAAAGCAGAAGAACTACAGCGTTTGCGGTGCAAAATGATTGATATGACTATTATTACTTCAAGGAAATGATAAAGTAATGATCATAAATGTTCTTCCTTGAGCTGCGTCACCCCGCTGCAGTCAGATTCGTCCAAGGTCTTCTTACAAACAAGCTGCTGCTGGAAGAGAGTGGGTGAGTTGTGTTTAGTCTCTTTGCTAAAGAAACTGGGCAAAGCTAAAAAGATGTTTGGTGGCTAGTGCTATGGCTGGGACCCTATATGTACTGTCGTTACTAAAGTTAGTATAACTAGAGAAGCAAGCGGTCGGCAACATTCATCTCTCGAGGGGGTGTCTAATTCGGTGTTAAGGTGTGTTTGACCCTAAGTTACTTTTACACCGGAATATCCCTTTAAGGTCAGCCCCTCAAATTCTTAAGAATAGTGAGAGATGCAGGAGTCATTAGGATTCATCCTCTGGAGAACATGATTGTACACAATTTCTTTTACTCAGTCTGATAGACATTTTTACATCCTTCTCTGTAACCTCCTTCTTTGTTTTTATTACTATTCAAACCTATTAAGCATTAATAAAATTCCAACATTTTCATGGTCTCCATAGGGGGTCTTCTCAGTGACATGCCCCCATCCGGATATCTTCCTAGTGGCCCGAATAGAGAAGGTGCTGCAGGGTGGAATCAACCACTGTGCTGAGGCCTACATGAAGAGCTCGGACTCTGCTAAGGTATTGACCCACCCATGAACTTTCCCCACTGTCCTCCTCACAGCCCAGCAGTGCGTTCCCCTGCTCTCAGCAGATTCCTGGAGATTATTCCACATTATACACCGATAATCATCCTTGTTTTTAAGTGCTGACCAGTTGCACAGGAGCATTGACTTTGGCTGTACAAATGTGGTTGTGCACCCTGCTGGGACCTGCGGTGGGCAGTAATGTGATTCAGAAAACACGTGAAGTATGTTTTTTGTGTGTATGTGCCAACAACACCGGGGAAAAAAAACTCATTTTTATGTATGTTTTAGAGGGGCATGCTATCAAGACTTTTCCATATATGTGTCTGTTATAGGGACCAGCAGTATGTTAAATTTGTTACAGTACAGTAGAGCCTAAAATAACGGGTATGTCTAAAGTGATGGAGCTCAAATAACATGTTTCTTTTTTTCCACCAGGTGGCACAGAAGGTCCTGAAAAATGCAAAGTGGGCGTGCAGCCGGTTAGGCCAGTACAGGATGCCTTTTGCCTGGGCAGCAAGGTACCTTATCTGCTAAAAAAAATAGCTTTTATTCGTAAGTTTTGTCTTTTTATTAACCTGTGTCATCTTTATTTGTACTTAACTTTAAGCACATCCTATATAAAAACACACCAGCAGTATAGCTTACAATCTTTGAGTGAAGACACGCAAGAGATTTGAATCGAAAACCTTAATGTTTCATGATAACTTCCTAGTAACCTTATTTGTATATCTTTATTAGTTATTCACTTAGTATGAACCATTTTGACAGAAGATGTCATAGATTTTTTTAACAAGGTTTTTGTCAGTTCTAACTTTTTTAACATTTAAATGAGGTGTATAGTAGTGAAAAATGACTGAACAATGAGTTTCTTACTGGTCTCTTCTGGCTCTTGAACCCTCATTGTTTCATTTATTTCAAACTCCTTATTCACACATTATCTGCAAGACAAGATTCAAGTTCCTGACTCTTTGATTCTCTTCCCTCTTGCAGGCCTTTGTTCAAAGATGCTTCAGGGACACTTGACAAAAGTGCTCGCTTCTCAGCTCTATACAGACAGGACAGCAACAAGCTATCCAATGAGGATATGCTCAAACTGCTGGCTGATTTCAGAAAGTAAGCATTGCTTTCTATAATTGCTCTGAGTTTTAAACTGTCTGAGCGATCTTGCAGATGTTTAGGGAGTGAAAATATGTTCTCATAGGTCATACTTTGGTCAGTTAAAAATAAGATGTTTGCTCACGTCTATGTATATGGTGTGGTGTTTAAACAGTATATCCCAGTCATCCCCCTCCTCTCTGGTCTTTAAGAGATGATAGCAAAGGCTTAACTGGAGTTTATTTTCCTTTCCTCAGGCCAGAGAAGATGGCCAAGCTGCCTGTAATCCTTGGAAACCTTGATGTTACTATCGACAATGTAGCCCCAGACTTGACAAGTAAGGCCTCTAAATCTGCTCCGTACAGCCGCGATGAAAGCTCTCTCTGCTCTAATCAGATGGGTCCCTGTTGTCTGCAGGCTGTTTATTTGCTCTCTCTCCCTCCTGCTCCTGTATGCAGATTGTGTTACCTCATCCTACATTCCTGTGAAACAGTTTGATGTCAGTGAGAAGACCAATGTCTTCTTTGAAGTGGAGGAGTTTGTGCCGTGTATCGCCAAATGTTCTCAGCCTTTCACCATCTACAACAATCACCTCTATGTCTACCCGAAGCACTTGAAGTATGACAGCCAAAAGTCTTTTGCAAAGGTATCAAAGCTGAGCCATTATTGAAAGTTATTTTGCAGAAAATGTACACCTGGAGGGAGGGATTATGGGCACTTTTTACTTCTTTTGCAGTGAAGATGTTTGATTTCTGTCATTTTGTGTGTTTTCAGGCTAGAAACATAGCCGTTTGCATTGAGTTCAAGGACTCTGACGATGAAGAGGCTGTCCCACTGAAGGTAGAGTGAACTGATTTCCTGGAAAGTTCTTCCAGGTCATTGAAGGACACTTTTCTCCTGGTCCAGGAGACATAATTATTGTTGCTTTCAATCCACAGTGCATCTACGGTCGACCTGGAGGATCTTTGTTTACCAAAAATGCCTTCGCTGCAGTATTACATCACCAGCACAACCCTGAGTTTTACGATGAGGTAAAATCAACTACATCAGCTGTCAACAAATCACAAAATAATGAGTTCAATTCATATATTGAATTTAGCCAATCAATGACACAGCTTTTTTCTGTGCCTTCAGTTTAAGATCGAGCTGCCAACTCAGCTTCATGAAAAACATCATCTGCTCTTCACCTTCTACCACGTCAGCTGTGAGAGCAACAGCAAGGCCAGCACCAAAAAGAGAGACCTGGTCGAGACTCAAGGTTTCAAAGAGCAACAATGAATCGACTTTCCAGATTCACAATCACCTCATTTCAAGAGTCTGTCTTCACTGATTGTTTTACCTCCTGTCTCTCCTCCCTCAGTGGGTTTCGCCTGGCTCCCCCTGCTGAAAGACGGTCGGGTTACCATGAATGAGACTCAGGTCCCTGTGGCTGCTAACCTGCCGGCTGGATACCTCAGCTGTCAGGAGGGTGCTGGCAAGGTAGAGAGGATTTGCAGAGATTTTAAGCTAAAAATTCACAGCCCACAACATAACAGAAGTGGAGAAAGAAGTATAATGTGAAAAACTGTGACTGGAAAATAGTTACTGAGTGTTCAAGTGAAGGATAATACTTCTCTGTGTTACAGCATTCGAGTCCTGAAATCAAATGGGTGGATGGAGGCAAACCTTTATTCAAGGTTTCCACTCACCTCGTGTCCACTGTCTATACTCAGGTGAGTTTTTTCTGTGTAAATGTCACACTTTAAAATGATGACTCCTTATCACGATTTTATTTCAAAACCAGTTTCATGGATAAATCCTCTTTGTGTCTCTCATAGGATCAACATTTGCACAATTTCTTTCATCACTGTCAGAACATTGCATCTGCACCCCAGACACCAGGAGGAGAGCTGGTCAAATACCTGAAGGTAAAACATGAAAACAAGAGTATAACATGTACAAATACAGACTCCAGTACTTAAACACATGCCATAATGCTGTAACGCTGTGAATTTAAATTTGGTGGAAAATTAGTATGTACATACTTTCTTGTTTTGCTCGATACGGTTTCCAGACGAACCAGCTTGTATTTCAGCTTAATCAGGTTGTATTTCCTCTGCATATTTGAGGAGAAACTTACAAGATGGAGTAAGTAATGACATGCAGAAGACCTCAAACAGCTACAATGTGTTTACTCATCAGTTCAACTTTAAGCACAACTCTTGTGTCAGTATTCTCAGCAGTTATGCATTAAATCCACTCCTTGAACTGCATGTAAAAATAGAGAAATGAGTCATGAAAACCAAAACTGTCTTTTTTTTAAATTAGGGTCTTAATGTGTTTGATTGTGCTGTGAAAATGGGCATTGAAATATAAACTTACTTACAAGTACAACTTCCCTGGTTTTTGTATCCACCCTCCAGTGGACACTATGGGTACTGCAGAATTTTGCAGTCATGCACTGGCCTCATACAGTCTGCATTTGAACATTGACACATTCAGCATAGCTGAGGGCACATGCGCTGTAATCATGCATAATCCACAGACTGAGAGATACACTTTAACAGGAGGATATTTGATCCTTTTAAGGGAAAATAAGACATGTTTTGTTTTCCCACTTTTGCTGCTCTGAATCACTTTGCAAGATGATGCTCACTACAAAACTGCAAAAAAATGATCACACAAAGTTTTCTGTTCTTCTTCGAGGTTTTACACTCTAAATTCTCAGTCACAGATTGATCATGACTTTAATCTATTACTTTCTATGTACAAATTTAACAACAAAGACAAAGCCTGCAATACTTAATCTATTACCTAATACCCGCTATGACTTTTTTCCCTTTTTTTACTGGTTCACTTGTAGCTCAGTTATCACTTTTCCCATCATTCACTTCCTTATTCCAGTCCATGGGAGCCCTCGTTCTCACCTCCCCTCTGTGTTCATTGGCATGCACAGTGATACATCTCTTGAGTTCTAATGTAAACACTGCGGTGGACACGAACAATAGCCAGAGGGTCAAACAGCAGGTCAGCTGTGCTGGCTGGCTGGCGGCTCGCCAAATGACTTGGCAAAGCTCGAGCCAGTTTCCTGCACACAGACAATAATGCACTGGGACTCACAATTATCCATGTTCCAGGCAGCTGAAGCAGAAGGTGGAGGTGATTAGAAAGATGCTGCTCTCTCACGTCATCTCCTGTTGTTGCCACTTCTTCACATGTCATTAATAATTTAAAACGATTTATTATTGACTCCTTGTTTGCATGATAACAGAATACAACCTTAATTTTTTTAAACTTTTATCCTCCCTTCAGAGTCTGCATGCCATGGAGAGCCATGTCATGATAAAGTTCCTGCCCACCACCCTAAACCAGCTGTTTAGGGTGCTGACCAGTGCTACCCAGGAGGATGTAGCCGTCAACGTCACCAGGTAAGTTCTTCTGTGGAGATCTTTGACTTATTGAAGCTCAAATTTAAAGGTATTTCATGGAAACTCTGATAAGAACATAGACTCATAAATGGAAACATCACGTTTTTAGACTAAAGTGCAAATAAAAAAGTCCTTTTACTGTCACATTTGATGATAATTTTAGTTGTGTCTTTTACACTTCTTTTCTTTAGGTGTTTTTGCTTCAAAACAATCCAGTTATATAACTTCAAGTATCCCTCTGTATTGTTTTCTTGTAGGGTCATGATCCACATTGTAGCCCAGTGCCATGAGGAGGGGTTGGAGCACTACCTAAGATCATATGTAAAGGTACATTTCACACTCAGCCTATCTCATCTCTCCATAAACTATATATTCAGTGGTTAAGTTTCTCACGGTTCTCTTCACATGTTTCTGTTTCAGTATGTTTTCAAGACTGAGCCATACACATCGTCCAACAGCCGAACAGTGCACGAGGAGCTGGCTAAAGCCATGACTGCAATCCTGAAGCCTTCCACTGATTTTCTCACCAGTAACAAGCTCCTCAAGGTAACATGCCTGTACTTTTTCCAGAGGAGTACAGACGATGTGATTATAATTGGCATGAATTTCCTCTTTATTGTTCTCTGATACATGTTTTTCCGCCTCGCAGTACTCCTGGTATTTCTTTGAAGCCCTCGTCAAGTCCATGGCTCAGCACTTGATTGAGAGCTGTAAAGTGAAGGTAAGTCTGCCACAACATGCGTGTGTTTCTCTGCAGTGTCTGCTCCTGTCTGCTTTATAAAGGCTTAGCTTCCCCACTGTGGCTCACAACATGCCAGGTCTTGTGGACAGCCACATCGCCACAGTCCAAGTATTATGTGTCCACAGGCTGCCCCACGTGGCCGAGCAGTTTAATTAGATTTATTTTTTCATACCAAGTGAGCAACCACATCCCTGGGTTTTAACCTCCACTGGTGTAGTGAGGAGGCAAGTAAAGTTACCGCAGGAGGAGGTCGCACCAGTGTGGAAACTGAGAGACTTCAGTACAGGGACACAGTTCAAACAATTCTCAGAAGTGTCTTGAATTGGAAAACAAATAAATGCAATAAAACAGACGAATGAACTTGACTTATGGTTATTTTATCGACATAAATGCTGCACTGCTAAACCATTGTGGTCTGAAACCATGACTTAGAGGCAGTAGTCAGCTTCAGAGTGAATATTTCTCGAAATATAGTGTTTATCCTTATCTTATTTTTTCTATTGCAGCAGTGTGGCTTACTCGTTGCAATAATTGTTGCAGAGCAGTGCAGCTCTAGCTGTATCAGGGTCTTTTTCTCTTTTGGTATTAGACTTTTTAGCCGTGTTCAAACTTTGATGAATAAACTGTGCTATGGCCCACAGCTGTCCAGGAATCAGCGTTTCTCTGCATCCTTCCATCACACTGTGGAGACTCTGGTCAACATGATGATGCCTCACATCACTCAGAAATACAAAGACAACCTTGATGCTGCCAGAAACGCCAACCACAGCCTGGCGGTCTTTATCAAGGTCAGCAGCTAATGCCACTTTATCTCACTTAATTAAAAATGCACCAGCCTTTTTAAATGTTCTAAATTATTTATTGACTGGATATATGATAAATTTGTGAATGTCCTTAAGTTTCTTAAGCTAACTTGATATCAATAATGACAAAGTGTTTTTCAATTTCTCCTGTAGCGCTGTTTTAACCTGATGGACCGAGGCTTTGTGTTCAAGCAGATCAACAACTATATCAACTGCTTCATGCCTGGAGACCCAAAGGTATCCTTAGGAAACACAAAATCATTTACAGACACGACTTAACATCCACTAGTCTGTCATTTTCCTCTTTTTTTCAAATTGTATCTCTTGTATCTGTTTTTGCAGACTCTGTTCGAGTTCAGGTTTGAGTTCCTGCGAGTTGTGTGCAACCATGAGCACTACGTCCCTCTAAACCTGCCCATGCCGTTCGGAAAGGGGAGAATCCTGAGATTTCAAGGTGAGAAGTCTTTAAAGTTCGATCTGTCTGTGATCATTGAAGAGGGTTTTTGGTTCAGCAGCTTTGATTTTACAAAATGTACTTTGTTTCGTGTTCCTTAATTAGCTTTATTATCTCCAAATGATACGGTGGAGTCAAACGAAACTCTAGTAGGTAGGTGAAAGGGTGTGCCTGCATGTCGTCTCAGAATAGAGTTTAACTCAATCTGCTTACTATCTCAAGATTATACTCCTTTTATTTGTGTACAGCAGCTTAGACTGGCTTTTTGTGCTGGCTTTATGTGCATCAGTTTTTCTGTTTCGATTGGTTTGGAGTTGAAGAACAACAATACTTCTTGACATTTCCCAGAAATCATGTCTTCACAATGCTTTCATTACTGATTAGAATTGACAGCTCAGTCTGTTTGACTGGACTGCTTTCATCTGAGGGAATATTGGGAGTGTGGTTTGGAGTTGTTTTGCAGCTGTTCAATCACAACATTAAATCCTGTTTGTCTTTTTCTATGATGATCAATGTCAGTGTGTAACAGCAGCTCGTTCACACAGCCTGAATCTGTTAGTCATGAAATTTATTCTTACCTCATATAGTTGGATGAATCATTTGTTATTAAATGAATTACACTATCTAAGATTGTCCTGTTGTTTTTGTTAATATTTCTGTATCTTTCTGTATCTTTACCTGCCTTCTCTTCTTCCTCCCAGACCTCCAGCTGGATTACTCTCTGACAGATGACTTTTGCAAAAACCACTTCCTGGTGGGGCTGCTGCTCAGGGAGGTCAGTGCAGCTCTGCAGGAGTTCAGGGAAATCCGTCAGATCGCCATCCAAGTGCTGAAGAATCTGATGATAAAGCACACATTTGATGACCGCTACATCTCCAAAGTACGCAGCTCTTCTTTACCTTTCTGTCTTTTATTTACTCTTCATCTTAGTCTCTGATGTGTGAGTCTGATTCAAGAGAAAAAATCGACTTGTTTTTCAGAGTCAGCAGGCCAGGATGGCCACACTGTACCTGCCCTTGTTTGGTCTGCTCCAAGAGAACGTCAACAGGCTGAATGTAAAGGAGGTTACTCCGTTTCCCATCAACCACTCCAACAATGTAAGAGAGCCATCTAGTGGTTTCTTTTTGTTATTGTAAAATCCCTAAGTATTGTTGCTTTTTTAATATTATAAACCTGGAAAAATAACAAAGCAACATATCCCTCAGACATATGTACTGATATATATATATTTACATTAAATGATAAACAATTTACCAAAAAAAGGAGAATAAAGTCAGTGGACGTGATGAAATCTCTGTTTCAGCAGGATAAGATAAAATAAAATAACTATATACTCAGTAAAAGGGCTAAAACACATTTATATACACAGTAAATTCGTCAGTTTAATAAATGCATCGGTTAAATGAAAGCTCTGTTTCTCCCCAGAATGGAAGAGAAGATTTGCTTTTTACCAACGCTTTGATGACACCTCCCAGGTCCAGCACTTTCCTGGACACCAGCTTGCACAAAGATGTGTTTGGAGCCATCTCTGGCACCTGTGAGTGGGAAGGAGATGCCCATATATTTTTTTTATTTTTTATTTTAATTTATTTTTTTCAGTTTTTCTTCTGTTAATTTAACTCCCTTTTCTCCCACAGCCTCACCTCACACATCTTCAACTCCAAACATTAACTCTGTGCGCCACGCAGACTCTCGTGGCTCACTCATCAGCACTGATTCTTCCAACAGCCTGCTGGAGAGGAACAACGACAAGGGCAACTCGCTGGATAAGGTACAGGCCGCGAGTAATTTCAAAATAAAATCATGTAACTTGATTTATAAGATCCTCAGGGATATCAGAGTTCCCCTTGTTGTGTCAGAAGTTTCACAGAAAGTCACCCTATGTTAACTTGTATCATTGACTCCCCCAACCTTACCTGTGCGGCTGGCCGTGGCAGATGGAGAAGTTTGTGCGAAGACACTCGGTCAATGTCCCCCACTTCTCTACTGAGGAGACCGTGCTCTCTGTGCGCACCAAACGTGTCACCATGGACTTCTCCCTGCTCTCTGTCCCCTGGGTGTCAGAGAGCACCCTGCAGCCCAGCATTTCACTTCAAGTATAAAAAAACCTTCCTCCACACAGTCCTCCTGTTCTCATAGGAGTGTCCCACCTGGGAGTGTTAGAGTGTGTGTGAGTGTCCCTGTGTGCTGAACCCTTTCTTTGCCAGATGATTCTCAGGCTCTGGCCTGTTGTTCTCTGGTTCCTTGAAGCCGCCCTCATACTTCAGGGCCACACAGGGTTTTCCTCGGCTGTTTTTCCAGATGCTCATAAGCGTGCAGGCTTTAGAGATTTCTCCTTATGTGTCATTTTCTGCTTTCCTGGAAAACAGCCTCAAGATAAATCTGAGAAGAAGTCTGCTACACAAAAATATTTGATTTTACTGACAGTGGTCTTTTGTCTTTCATCTTCAGTTAAAGCATGTCAGATTTTCGTGGCCTTTATTACAGTGTGTGTAAAAGCCTAAAGGGACAGGATGATTAAAAAAAAAGATGACAGTCAACTTTTCAAGAAATCTAACTTTAGCCCAGAAGTACCCACCCTTAAAAACACCAAGTAAAAAGCCAGGACCATTGCCTCATGCTTTCCACTAAGTCATCCTCTTGGTCTGGACGAACTGCTGGCAAAGGAACGTGCTTGGTATACCGCCAGTCCCTCTTTGCTGTGGTAGAAATGTTGCTCCACTGCTTTGGTTCTGTTTCCTCCCTGCTCTGTCCTCAGCTGGACAAAATGGTGACTGTTTTTCCACAGTGCATTCAGTCCTGCAACAACTGAGTGAATGCTACCACCACTGTAGTGTAGTTTAACTACTGTATCGAATGGCATAATGATTTTTTCATTGATTATAAATAACCTCTGAATAGTGTTTATAAACTACTATTTATAAAACACTTTTTTATGATGACAATTTCACAGAAAGTGCTGTACATATTCTACTTTCTGTGCAAAGACTTGACTCTTAAACTAAATTTTTGGTCAAAAATTTGTCACGGTTTAAGCCCTTTTTTTCTCTTTAAGAATGATCAAATACACTTTTACAATTTACACTAGTTTATCTCGAGGCATGTAAAGACACAGATAAAGGCCATGATGGGATATTTTATCTTTATTTGTTGTTTTTTTTCTGTGTGTGCCTAATTATCGTTTTCAATCATCATAGAACCAGCCTGCTTCAACACTGGGCAGCACCCTCCTGAGATGTGATAAACTGGACCAGGCAGAGATCAAAAGCCTCCTCATGTGCTTCCTACATGTGCTTAAAAGCATGTCTGAGGGTAAAATCACTGTCACGTTTCACTCCTTTCTTAAAATCTGCTCTCCCCATAATAATAATAAAAAAAAACAAATCACTGTTTGTTTGGTTTTTTTCAGATGCTCTGTTTACATACTGGAATAAGGCCTCACCTGCTGAGTTGATGGATTTCTTCACTTTGATCGAGTAAGAGATCTTTGCTGGTTTTTGGTGACAGCCTCAACATTAGAAGTAAAGTTAATAATTTGTTTTGTGTGATCTTCTTTTTCTTATTTTTCCTCTCAGAGTGTGTCTCCATCAGTTCAGATACATGGGAAAGAGATACATCGCAAGGTAATGCTGTCAAGCGATGCATGAATGCCATTATTTCATGTTGGGTTATGAATTAGTTCAACTTTAAGAGGAGGGCTTCAGAAATGTTCAAAGATTCTTCTCTGTCATGAACATAGACTGTATATAGAATGGACGCCGTCTGCCTCCTTGCTGGGTGAAGCCACTTCAAAAACAGCACCCTCTGGTGACAGGCTGCAGTATAGGTCATAAATCCCACCTCCTCCAGCAATCCCTATGCAGCTGTGGACAAACTTTAGAGATTAATTTCATACAATATAAATGTTTCTCCCTCCTGCTTGCGATGTTGACATGTAGTTACTATAAGACTGGTTTGTGCTCCAGTCCTCTTTTTTCTGTACAGCTCCATTTTTATTATTAGGGTGTTCATGTTTTGTATGATTGACACTTGATACAGCCTACGGGTGTACGAAGATTGCGTAGCTCACCCAGGGGGGTACGCTGTTTGGGCCGAGCGTCATCACAGAAACTCTCGGTGACTCTCCCGCCGAATGCGCACAACGCTACTGCGCAAGTTGTAAAATAAATCCCAGAAAATCCTGGAAATACTGAGAGCAATTCAGTTTTAAATTTGTATAATGATGGAAGGCAGAGCTAAGTTGTCCATAGTATATACAGTCCATGGTCATGAGCAACAGTTCCAACATGTACCTTTAACTGACACCAATAGTCTAGCTTTAACTGTTTAAAGAGATTTAATAACAGAGTTAAATCTTTCTGGGACTGCTGAAATGTGAAGAACCCTGGTTGGGGTTTGATTTTTTGGGGTTGGGGTTGATGGTTTAATGTCAGACAACAAAACTACTTTTCTATGAAACATTATTACTCGTAAAACTTTCTAACATGTGACAGTGATGTTGCTACTCAGTGCTTTGCTTTTTCTCTATCAGTCTTACACATAATTGCCAATTTGTGAGTGAGGTGTCTTGACTGTCTATTTGAAATTAATGCAAACAAACACACACACATGCTGTACTATCGTCACAATATGGAAGCTGATCTGGCCGTGACTTCCAGAGGGCTTTGGATGTTCACTCATTTTAACCTCCCACCACTGTTTCTATCTTTATTCACTTAAATGCTGGCAAGTTTAACATAATGAAATAAAACCTGGCTCCTGCCCTGTCCTGCTTGGGTAAGACTTAATGTGACACTGACTCTCTTTAACTACATGCATGATGTCTGCTCACCGTTAAAAGTTGCAGTGTTATGACACATCTTCTGTCTTTGAGTTAACCACTGTTTCTTTCATTCTTCTATGCATGGCATCTGCATTAAATCATGCTTTGTGGCCGCCTCTGCTGCTTTGATTATTACTTCTTCAAACTGCATGCCAGATGATTAATATGGCACAACTTGACTTCTTTAGCAATCACTGTGGGCTCATTTATAAAATCCACCCACAATTTTTCAAAAAGCATTTTAGCCATGCTTTTGAATACATATAAAATTCTCAAAAGCCACTATTTGATATGAAAGGTTATTAAATATTATAGTTTCAGCTTTAAATATAAAAAAATTGACTCTTGCTCCAATGGGAGATTAACCGTCCACTAATTGAGGCTCTGCTACTGGTCAGCCAATCATCTAACATTGTCCTGTTTCCTCATCAGGAACCAGGATGGGGCAGGACCTGTAGCACATGAGCGGAAGTCTCAGACTCTGCCTGTGTCCCGCAACAGGGCGGGAATGATGCATGCCCGCTTACAGCAGCTCAGCAGCCTGGATAACTCTTACACTTTTAACCACAGTAAGTGCCCCATGCTTTACTTTTCATCAAATGTCCTCTACCAGAGAAGTCCTGCTGCCCTCCGCCTCACCCTGTGTAGTCTTACCCCTCAGGCTTTTCAACATCATCTTCATCAACATCATCCTCCTCTCTTGTATCCTCTGAAGACATGGGGCTAGCACGGTTGTTTTAGACAACGACTAAGGCAGCTGTGTTTAGCTTTATTTTGGTTTCATCCAAAGGGTCAAAAATTGTATGCTTCTGTTATTATTGGCGTTTTTTAATACAGTTTCTTTGTGTTTTCAGTGTAAGAAAGATTTCAAGTATTCTTGGAATATCTGTAGACCATGGTAAGAATGTATCGGGTTGGCAGGCAGTTTGCAGACTACTTTACTGGCTCTGTTCATTTGGTTGAATTATGAGCATGCCTGTTTTAACTGAACATTAGCTAAAAAACCTTTACATCCATCTGGCTAGCTCATGTGCTTTTACATGTTTTCATTTCATTCTCTGAAAAACGTAATCAATCCAAAACTATGAAGGGTTTCATTCCAAAATACCGCCAGTGTATTTTGGAAAAATGCCGCTTTTACTTTTTTCATCCAGAAGAAATCATATTTGAGCGCCATACAGCTTCAATGCTACAATTTGTTTCCATTGTCAGCATTCATGAACGGTATTGATTACATAAGTGGTCTGAGTTTTTTCCCTGATTGGAATGAAACTCATTAAATCCAACTTCTTCATCTGCACCTGCTTTGCCTTTAACAGTATTTCATGTTCTGAGACTGTTGATATGATGTGAAATGACTGATGCATCTCTGCTGGAGAGTATGTGATATACCGGTCAGGGGAAAACCGCTACAGCTCTCTGTTTGGTCCATTTCAGCCTACAGTCACTCAGATGCAGACGTCTTGAATCAGTCCCTCCTTGAGGCTAACATCGCTACTGAAGTGTGCCTGACCGTCCTGGACACGCTGAGTATCTTCATCATGGGGTTCAAGGTAACACCCATAAACTGTACCTTTATTAGAGATCTGGTACCGTTTATATAAAGTAGTGTAGATCATATAACACATGTCATGTTTCTTTATTTTTCTATATTCTGCCGCTCTGTTTCTCCTCAGACCCAGCTTTGCTCTGACCACGGCCACAGTCCACTAATGAAGAAAGTGTTCGATGTCCACCTCTGCTTCCTCCGGATCAACCAATCAGAGACGGCGCTCAAGCAGGTCTTCACTTCGCTGCGTACTTTCATCTACAAGGTAGGAGCATCATTGTTTTCTCCTGTCTTACGTGTGCTCCCTCCAGTGTCACCACAGCTGACACATCTGTTTTTTTTTCCACACTCTAGTTTCCATGCACGTTTTTTGAAGGGCGCGCTGACATGTGTGCCGCTTTCTGCTACGAGATCTTGAAATGCTGTAACTCCAAACTGAGCTCCATTCGAAGCGACGCAGCCCACCTGCTCTATTTCCTCATGAAGAGCAACTTCGACTACACGGGTCGCAAGTCATTTGTTCGGACGCACTTACAGGTGAGGCTGACTGTCTTTGGATCTTTCACCCTTGGCCATGATTACCATCTTAAATATCACATCTAACATTATTTTATCAACTTGATAACCCATTTTTTCTCATCATTCAAGCTCTGACAGCAACTCCTACTCTATAGCCACCAAAAGGGAATAATCTTCTGCTTGTTTGGTCCGTTTAAAATGTGAAAACATCTCCTTATCTGGTGAACTGACAGAGCTGTGTGACCTCGGATAATAATCAAGGGTTTAACTGTGCTGAATGACTCGTCTCTGTCTCTTTAGGTGGTGATAGCTGTCAGTCAGTTGATAGCTGATGTTATCGGTATTGGAAGTACCCGCTTCCAGCAGTCTCTGTCAATAATCAACAACTGTGCCAACAGTGACAAAACTATCAAGGTCAGATATTTGTTTAGGTCCTTTTTTACCTTCTTGTTCTATTTAGCCTGAAGAGTTTTTATTTCCTAAACCATAAGTGGAAAAAAAATGACTGTTTTGATTTTTGCATCCCCCACATTAGAACACAGCCTTCCCATCAGACGTGAAGGATCTGACCAAGCGGATCAGGACGGTGCTGATGGCCACAGCTCAGATGAAGGAGCATGAAAGAGATCCAGAGATGCTGGTGGACCTCCAGTACAGCCTCGCTAAGTCTTATGCCAGCACACCTGAGCTACGTAAGACCTGGCTGGACAGCATGGCCCGAATCCATGTGAAGAACGGAGACCTGTCGGAGGTCAGTGATAAGAGATCCCCGTGTGGATGAGAGATTGTTAAACAGTTTGGGTCCATCTGTATTCTGTCTTTGCAATATCATAAATCCAGATCTGACTCGACCGATGTTATTTTTTATTGGTTCTTTGAGTAATGATAAAATTCACTTTCCTCTGTGATTCACAGGCAGCCATGTGCTACGTCCACGTCGCAGCACTCGTGGCAGAATACTTGAGGAGAAAAGGTGCCTCACTTTTGCAGTCTTTTTTTTTTTAAATCTCAATTCTCTCCTGGTTTCTTTTCAATCCTTCTTTTGGGCTGATGGTGAAAATATTTTCTGTCCTTGTTCTGTCTGCAGTTATGATCAAGCAGGGCTGTTCAGCGTTCAGGGTGGTGACGCCAAACATTGATGAAGAAGCAGCAATGATGGAGGACGTAGGCATGCAGGACGTCCACTTCAATGAAGTATGTATATGCAAACCAAACCGGGACACCCTCAGTAAACCCAATGCATCTTTTTTCTTTGGCTCCTTATTATTTGCTCATGGGAGAGCAGGCATTGGCTTGTCAGGTATTATTTACTTATGCCGTGTTTCCATCTCCTCTCAGGATGTCTTAATGGAGCTTCTGGAGGAGTGCGCTGATGGTCTCTGGAAAGCAGAGCGTTATGAGCTCATCTCCGACATCTACAAGCTCATAATCCCTATTTATGAGAAGCGCAGGGACTTTGAGGTACACAACTTGTTCACGCTGAATTTCATTCCCTCAGTGAATCCCCACTAAAAAGAGGACTCATCCTGAAATGAGTTTCTTGACAATTTTGTATCACTTTGCACAGAAACTGGCCCACCTGTATGACACACTGCACCGTGCCTACAGCAAAGTGACCGAGGTCATGCACTCAGGCAAGAGACTGCTGGGAACATATTTCAGGGTGGCTTTCTTTGGCCAGGTGAGTTTTTTTTCCTTTGTTTCCTTGTTTCATTTTCCCAACAGACTTTGGATTTTTAATTTTTGAATAACCTAATTCAAAAAGATTCAATTTACATCCATGAAAACACATGAATTTGTTTGCTGGTGCTGCAAAGTAGTACACAATGAGAAAGCGAGAGAGAGAGAGTGGCTCAAAATTGTTTACTTCTAAAGCATGACCTCATGCTGTGGCATTCTATGATCCACTCTAACACCCTTTTCTGCTTTTTATCCTCTTTGAAGGCAGCGGTAAGTTTTGCAACAGCCCCTGCTGGCCTCTCTGAGCAGCCTTTGTGTGGTGGTGTGGGTGCTGCTGTAATCCACGGCATTTGTCAATCATAGTTTGCTGCTTAAAGTTACAGTAACCACTGCTGCTTTCTGTTTCTGGAAGTGTGCTGCATGGCGCGCTTCTACTCATTCCAGTGGTTATGCTTTTGTGTTACAAATCTGAGTTTGTATATGACACTAAACTTTGTCATATCTTGCTGAGTTTTTTGATGAGTCTAATGGGCGTGGTTATCTTTGTGTATTTGGATTGAGGTTCACGTAACCCTGTTTCTCTTGACATGATTGTCTCACTGGTGATGGAGTAGTTTGACTTGAAGTTTGTTGACTTTGTTTTTAGTGTCTAGTTAGGTGTTGTGAAATAACATTATTTTTTGCTGTCCATGTCCCTGTAGCAGTACCAGTTTACTGACACAGAGGCTGAGGTAAATCCATGTGAAAGCCAATCCAGCAGTGTTAGGTTGTGTTGTGCTCCTATGCTAATGAAGTGCTCTTTGTGTGAACTTCTTATCTTGTAGCTCCTTAACTCCTCTTTGACTTCAGCTCAGTGTTGTCAGTGTGATTAATCATACTAGAAACCCCTTTAAGGGCTAATAGTAGAGTTTAGATCTTATAGGGAAGTGCATGGCTACACTCATCTGTTGGTGGGATTGTTTTATATTTACATACAAACTAATCTAGGTGCTCTCACAAAGTGTTTGAAGTGTGTGCTCTAGCTTTGGTCTGTCTTTTACGATGGAGGATTGGGGCCTCATTAAGGAGGAAAAAAAGAGAGATTTTAAAAATTAAGTCATGATGTTGAAAAAATATTCCAAGAATTCATCCTAATAAAAAGTTGTAATATTTAAAAAAGTAGAAGAATAAAAAAAGCTCATAATTCTTCATGAATAAATCCAATTTATTATGAAAACTACATGTAAATTTATAGGAAAAGGTGATACTTTAGCCCATGTCTGGCCAATATGTTATTTCATTAAGGGGTATATCAGACAGGGAGGCCAGCCTGGCCTGATTACAAAATAACATATCGGCTGACCTATCACTAAAGCAATGGCATTATTTATTCTTGTATTATTATGACGCTTTTCTTACAATATTACAATTTTATTCTTAACTTTATTATTTATAACTCTTTTGTTTCCCCTTACTGTGGCCCCAACCCTCCTCTACAGTGGAATTATTTTTCAGTTTTCTTTTTCTGTATCCTGGACATGAGATAGTTGGTTGTAAATTTTTGGAGTTTGCCAAACCTCTTTGTCTAAAATTTGGCAGCTTTAGAGGTAAATTAGCTTTTAATTTTCACAACATGTTCAGTTTACTTTGACCTGCCGTCAGCTGGTTTGATGTGGGGGTCTTTGCTTCTTTACATTCAAACATATAAGTCACCCTGACCATGTTTTGAATTTTTAGGGCTTCTTCGAAGATGAAGATGGTAAGGAGTACATCTACAAAGAACCCAAATTCACCCCTCTGTCGGAGATTTCACAGAGACTCCTTAAGCTGTACTCTGACAAGTTCGGGCAGGAGAACGTGAAGATGATCCAGGACTCTGGAAGAGTGAGTCTGTGTTAAAGAGAGGACTAGCTTTTGTCTGCAGTCATAAAAATGTGTGTCCTTTTCTGTTCTAACTACCTGCTTTCTCTGCAGATTAACCCCAAAGATCTGGACTCTAAGTACGCATACATCCAGGTGACACATGTGACGCCCTACCTGGATGAGAAGGAACTGGTGGACAGGAAAACAGACTTTGAGAAGAGCCACAACATCCGGCGCTTTGTGTTTGAGATGCCTTTCACAATATCAGGCAAAAAGCAGGGTGGGGTGGAGGAGCAGTGCAAACGCAGGACCATACTCACCAGTAAGTAACCCTTTATACAGTCGACTTTAACTCAACATGAGATAAGCTTGTGAAGGACAGAGGTGAACCATTATCATTGTTTAGAAGTCAGGAGTAAGTCTGACATCTTTGGTCTCAGGTCTGAATGTTGGAGCTTTGACCGAATGGGTATAAAAATACTTTTGTGATTTATGAATTGACCAAATACTTTGTACTGATTAATACAACTTCTTTGAATCCAACCCAAAATCCCAACTGCAGTGACATAATACATAATTAATTTAAAAAATTGATTTTGTAGAACTTAAGAAATGACGGTGTCACATTGGTCCCTGATATCAAATCTCCATTCAGGGACTAAATCAGAAGCCATCAATTCTGGCACCTAAAACTCCAGGCCTTCTCCTGCTCTTGTCTGTATATTGACACATTTATGATCTATGTGGGGGACTCAACATGTGCACGAGTGTCTGAGGTTCCACACGACTCAGCAGTAAATGTCCTCTCGATGAAAGGAAGATCTTGATTAGATTCTGACCGCTCAGCTGTTTTGTCAAGGATCTTTCCTAATCCTAATCAGACTTTTATTTCTTTATGACACCAAAGATTCAAAAGTTCAACTTTGTCTCCTTATCTTAACTATCTGAGAGCTGTCAAAGCCTGTCCTCTACACACATGAGAGGATCCTGAGCTGTAAAACTCAGAAAAACACATGCAAGAGGATGACCCCCCTCTTCCTCCCTTTTCTGTTTCTGTCCATCAGCGACACACTGTTTCCCATATGTGAAGAAACGTATTGCAGTGATGTATCAACACCACACTGATCTGAGCCCCATTGAGGTGGCCATCGATGAGATGAGCAAGAAGGTGGCGGAGATTAAACAGCTCTGCTCCGCCAGTGAAGTGGACATGATCCGTCTGCAGCTCAAACTGCAGGGCAGCATCAGTGTCCAGGTGCCTGACTTCAGTACTACCAGCAAACGCACACTATTCATACTTCAATAAACGACATTACAAATCCAACATCGCTGCCATATCTTCCCTTAGGTAAATGCAGGACCGCTTGCTTACGCTCGAGCATTTCTAGATGATTCAAGCGCCAAGAAGTATCCTGATAATAAAGTCAAACAGCTGAAAGAAGTCTTCAGGTGAGATTAGATGGTTAAAAACATTTCTTAATTATAAAACAAATTTAATATTTGATTTCATCCGCCTTTAAAACGACTTTTTTTGTCATACAGGCATTTTGTGGAAGCATGTGGTCACGGTTTGGGCATCAATGAACGGCTGATCAAAGAGGACCAGCAGGAGTATCACGACGAGATGAAAGCAAACTATAGAGATCTAGCCAGAGAGCTGTCCATCATCATGCATGAGCAAGTAAGTACAGTATTCAAATGTGAAGGATCTAAGTAATTTAAGAATACCTAACAGATATAACACCCATAATCTGCCCCTAAGATTGTTTAGTCATGTTCTTGATAACGCTCTCTTTGATAACACCACTCTCTGTTTTTCTCCTGTGCTGACATGAGCAGATTGGATGGTAATGCAAAAACACCAGTGTGCAAAAAGACTTGATATTTGTTGGTCCAGCCAGACTCAGATAATTAGCCTGTGGTGAACCTGTGATTTCCTAGACCTGTGTTGCATTTACAGTACAGCAAAGTAACCCCATTATGTAACTTTCCTCGGATGTATTTTCTCTAATGTTACAGCTACCAAAGGTAAGGTCTGTTTCCTGACCTTACAAAGCACTGAATAGATTGTCAGAGGAATGTGATCAGATCAAAAGCTGGTCCTTATCGTTATATACCTGCTATAAAAAATAAATTAAGTAATCGTCATATACTCTTTTACTCGTGTAGAAAACACACGTTCACTGATCAACAGATCAACCAGTCCTCCAGATTAAGGCAGACGACACAAATTATAATTTGCATGTTATAAAATGGGAAGCAGCCAGATTTACATAAATTAATTAATTACATTAATTACATAGGGATTTGCATTTATTCATATTTATTCATATTATGGCAAAGTAGACCTTGGCACCATGACAACAGGGTTTGCTCTTTTCACCTAATGTTAATCCTTGAATATCAGAAATCTGGCTAGACCAACAATAACGTATGGAGACGTGTCCTCCCTGCATGTGTTTACTGTTTATGTGAGTATGTACATGTGTGTATTGACAGTGTGTTTGTGTGTGTTTACATGCATCAGAATGTGTGTCTTTTTCATATGGATACCTGTGAAAATTATGTTTTTAAGATTGTTTATTTTCTCTTGGTGTGTCTTTGACTGATTGCTTTAACGTACTTGTTTTCTATCTGTATTTATTCATCTTTATGTTCATCTTGTAAAGACTTCATTTAGAGGATTTGCTTTTTACCCACTGTGCATATCAACTCCTGAATCACTGTTTTCATTTCTGTACTGGAAACAAGGAACAGAAATTTAGTGAAACTTACTGCCTGGCTTTATCAATTATATCTCAATCTTCTTATATTATTACTAAATCTCACTTATGAATGTTTGTTCAAGCTTGAAAAAAGGGAGGTAAAACTATACAAATTTATTACACAAACTAATTGCCACTACCTATTTTTACTCGATATGCTTGGTTAAGCTTAGCCAACCAGGATTCTGCACAGAAGTGACTCTCTTGGCATGAAACAACTACTTTATTTCCTTAATTTGCATCATATTAAATTTAAGGGTCTGTGAGGAACTTCTGGTTTGTTTTGGTTTTGACTCACAAGTTTTACAAGCGACTTCTGAGAAAAACAAACCTAAAGTGTTTTATAATGAGCAGACTTGGCAACTCTAAGGCGTCTATGAATATTTTGCCAATGTTTAAACTTATCTCTGTTCATGAATGCAGATCAAGGAGGTACGCATGTGCTTCCAAACCAAAATAAAGAAATGGCTAGGTTTTCAAAATGAAAGCAACACACTATAAAGCATGTTGATGATTTGATTGACGGACCTCACAAAGGGCCGGGCAGGGACATCCAAAGGGCCGGATGTGGCCCTCAGGCCGTAAAATGCCCAGGTCTGCTCTAATCTTTTGTACTGTATATATAAAATTAGTTTTTTTTTCAGACAAAAAAGATAATCCTGTTGCTTCCTAAATTTACAACTGCAGCTTTAGTTCTGATGGTCTCATTTGATTTTGAAGGTCATAGAGAGGTGTCAGTATCAGTTTTAGGCTGTTTCTCCACCAGCGAAAAACTCCTCACAGCGCCTTTGAGTTAAGTTTGGATACTGCCATGTGATATTTTATTCAGAATCTGAATTGTTCTGTTCTTTCAGATTAGTCCTGTAGAAGATGGCATGAAAAGCGTCCTTCCAGACTCGCTTCACATCTTTAACGCCATCAGTGGCACACCAACCACTGCCACCATCCAGGGCATACCCAGCTCTTCTTCTGTGGTATGATGCTAGCCTGGGATAGCCTTGAACTCGGCGCTCTCCACACTTGCTCCCCATCCTGCCTGCCTGTGATGCCATATTGTCAGCTTAAAGGGAAACTGACAGAAAGTACAGGCAACTCTGACCACCTCTGACCCTCTGAGTGAACCATGGCAAAGGCACTGGACCTGTTTTATGTATTCTCATGTCATGGAAACTGTGGTGGAAGTGGCCAAATCAACTGAGACCTTAGTGATAAGGGAGCAAGGATGATACAGGACAGATTACAGACTTGGTTCTTGCTCCACAGACAGACAAATGTTCAACGCTCCGTTTTCTTGCTGCTTCTACCTGAAAAAACTGGGCAGTATTTCCCGTGGAGACTTTCCTGTTGGGATCTTTATTATGCATGACATTACATTACACCCACACCACTGTCCCAACAGCTTGTCTTTGTCTGTTTTGATAAAATTTCACATTGTGTTTTTATGTACAGTATTCCACTTTTATAAGCCACTGTATTGATGTCTTGATGAACAGTATATGCGACATACATCTGTGCTCATCTCCCTGTAAATGAAGTTATATTTCTACAAGATGCTAAAATTTTGCCTCCTTTGACACCCGAGCATTCAACCTTAAATCACTTCAATGTCTTATGAAAGGAGTGTTTTTAAATATTCAAAGCCATCGCATACAGAAAAAAAGTATACTCAAAGTTGTTTATTAATGTAAATAAAGAAAGGAGTGTGTGCAATATTTGAAAAGTATACACTGTAAAGATGATGTTCACCTTCTTGCCAAAGCGATGAGGTGTGGATCCAGACACTACACCTACTGTGGAAGTAATATGAAGCTTTTACCATTTTAGTGTTCATGGAAATGTTCTACATATTGTTTTATAATTGAGCAGCAATGTTTTTTTATTTTTTATTTAACACAAAGTCACTGTTCTGCTGTAAACAGAGATATTCCCTATTGCTTCTCTTTTAATAAAATACACCTATTTCTCTGGGCTTGTTTGCATGAATCTTTATTCTGATTCAACATTCGTTAAAGTTTTCTTCACATTTACTCCTACGCTGGATTGAACTATACAGACCTCCAGTCATTAATATTTTTTATGAGTTGCTCAGGACTGAACATACCTGACTCCCTATCTCCTGTATCACATGTTCCCTCCCACAATAAAAGTGACACAGTCAGCAGTGTGGAGACGGATGAAGGGCTAATAAGAAGAAATACTGTGGACTCACTCCCACTACCACCTGAAAACACTGACAGATCAATTATCAGCTGCTCTGTGCAGGAATTTCTGAGGAATATCTAACAGACAGGCAGCAGTGTTTTCTTAGCCATCATGGCAGGTAAGTTTGCAGACATTTGTTTAATATGTAAGCTCTGAAATCTGTTGGAAATTATATTTTACATTGTAGACACTGCAAAGAGCAGAGTAGTTCAAGAACAAAAAATAACCTGTTGCTCTGAAAGGCTAGGAGAAAATGGAGTATCTAAATTTTCCAGAACTGCTCATGAGACAGCTTTTTTTTTAACAAGTTGAATTTTGTGCACAGACCAAGAGGATCCCAAGAAGAGGAAGAGCAGAGGAACGGTAAAGAGCTTTACATTTGTTGTCATCTTTGTGTCTAAATGTTAAGTTAGACAAAATTAAAAGCTGTAAATTTAGCAAATAGATAGTGATGTGTGGGACTTGCTGTATTTTTGCTAAGCACTAAAAAATGACCTCAATTTTTTCCCTTACAAAGTTTTTAGTTGCTTGTTTCATCTATTTTAAGTTATTCCAAAATCAGCAATTCTATTCTATCACATAATGACAGACAATAACAATTTCTTACTCCACAATATTCTTTTAAAGCTACAAATGCCTTTCAGGCATTGTTTTACTCGAAGCATATGAATGTTATTTATGACTGTATGAGATCAGGTGTAAAGCTCTGGATTGGACAACCTATACCTGTAAAAAATATATGTTGGCATTTGTTTTCATCTCAACCTACCCCTCCTCACATGTCAATCTACCAACAGAGATGATTTAACAAAATTGATAATTTAACAGTTAATGGAGTTTTATTTTTTGAAAACACTAAGTTTATTTGGTTTCCAGTACTTCTATACTCTGTATACTGTATACTCCAAATATGGGAAGGATGTCTTTTACTTTTAGTACAGCATGTTTTCATTGTGGTCCTGTATTAATATTTAATCCACCACTTCTCTTCACGGCTGCTGCTCTTACTTTCACCCATTAGAGCAAAGAAGTGTGCGGCTACCCGCTCAGCATCTTCTTCATCGTTGTAAATGAGTTCTGTGAGAGATTCTCCTACTATGGCATGCGAGGTGAGATTATGGCTCCCCAGGACTTTAATCGTGTTTACAGCCATGGCAGAAAAGCTGCTGGTGTTAAAAAGATAAAAACATGATAAAGTGCTTTTTGAACTTAAACTTGTAAACATCAGGTGTTACACTGACAATACTTGATTTGAAACATGAGAAACAAGTTGGTTTCCACCTCTGTTCACAGCTGTCCTGGTGCTGTACTTCAAGTACTTTCTGCGTTGGGATGATGACTTGGCCACCTCGATCTACCACACCTTTGTGGCCCTCTGCTACCTGACCCCTATCCTTGGGGCCATTGTTGCCGACTCGTGGCTTGGAAAGTTCAAGTTAGTCGCTTCATCACATTCCTCTGAATAAATGTGTTATAGCTGTAATTGTTTTGTCATTGAAGACGTGCAAGCAGAGACAGAAAATCATAAACTAGGGTTAATATGATATATTCTTTCAGTTATTGTTGAAGCTTGAGAGACATGCTTTTGCAATACATTATTTTCAAAAAGGTGACTCTTGGAGAATATTTTAATTTCTCTCTCTTTTTCCACTTAAGAAATTATGTAACACCCCCAAATCAAACTTCGGGCTAATTAGAGAACACAAAACCCCTAAACTTGAAAGCAACAAACTACTCTGGAAATACACCAAACAGTCCACATTGGTGCTGTGTAAAAAATAATAAAGGATCTCAGTACTGTTTCACACCTGCTTTCTTTGTTCCATTTCTGATTTGCAGGACGATCATCTACCTGTCCATTGTCTATGCCATAGGCCAGGTTGCGATGGCTGTCAGTGCAATCCATGAAATCACGGACACCAACGGAGATGGGACACCAAACAACATGACCTTCCATGTGTGGGTTTCCAACTTAAAACCCTAATAATAATAAGAAAACAGATATACATTTGCATGCTTTCTACACATCTCCCTGATCAAATGGATGTTTTTGCTTTCTCATATTTAGTGTCTTGTCCATGGTTGGTCTTTTCCTCATCGCTCTGGGCACTGGAGGAATCAAACCATGTGTTGCAGCTTTTGGTGGAGACCAATTTGGTGACCATCAGGTCAGGATACTACCTTACCACTATTCTACCTGCTTAGCATTTGGTACATTTAAGACATAACCATGCCTATCCAAGCATGAATATCAGTACAAAATGTCCTTCCCTTTAATAGATGTTCATATACTAATTGTTGCCGCTGTAATAACACCACAGTCCGATGAGTAATGTTGCTAGAGTGGCAAAAACCCTCTCAATTCAGATAATAAAAATAGATTACTTTAGAATTGATTACCCATCATATTCTGTATTATATAACACGCATGGGACAAAATCAAAGGTCAATGATTTGTTTCTCTGTGCAGGAAAGGCAAAGGAGGACTTTCTTTTCTGTCTTCTATCTCTGTATCAACGGTGGGAGTCTGCTGTCGACTATTATCACCCCCATCCTCAGAGGTAGATATGGGAAAGGAAATAAAGTTTATGACAAACAGAACCATAAACTGGAGAGCATGTTGAAATCTTCAGGCACAAGAAAAATTTAAACAGCTGTTTGTCTCCATCTGCAGCTACGGAATGTGGCAACCCTCCGCAGAAATGTTATTCCCTGGCCTTTGGCGTCCCTGCAGCTCTGATGGTGGTTGCACTTGGTATGTTCGAGGACTTTAAAGACTTCAGTTGTATGCATTAACCAATAATGTAAATACTTGTAACGTAATGACCTTGTACCTTAAATGTTCCTAACAGTGGTGTTCATTGTTGGGAGCGGTATGTACTACAAAGCTGAACCTCAGGGAAATATCATGCTGGATGTGTGCAAATGTATCGGGGTGAGTCTGGTTTCTCTCATTTCCCTTAACGAGTTCTGCGTCACTGTATAACAGTTTCGTCAGGTGTTTATTAACCTTCCTTTCTCCTCCGTTTGCCAATCAGTTTGCAATCAGCAACCGCTTCAGGCACAGAAGCAAACTGTACCCTGTGAGGGAGCACTGGATGGACTGGGCAGAGGAAAGATATGATGTAAGTTCTTGTTGGTTCCATTGTTTGAAGCGTCTACCAAAGTTACTGCTTTGTCAGTTGAAAACCAACACTACATAATGTCTTTCTCCATGCTGTAGAAACTCCTCATTGCTCAAATCAAAATGGTGCTGAGGGTCCTCTTTTTGTACATCCCACTTCCGCTATTCTGGACCCTGTTTGACCAAAAGGTATCATAAAGTTAGTTTTTCTTTTAAAAGACAGCCCCTTTTCTTGGCAGTGGAAATTGGGCTAAGCTTTGATTCTCTATTACAGGGCTCTCGATGGACTCTGCAAGCCACCACTATGGATGGAAACTTTGTAAGTTTGTTGGTTTGAGTCAACTTTAAAATGTGTATCAGTTAAATTATGTGATGAGTATCTGTTTTGATCATGTTTTTGTGTCTGCAGGGTGCTCTTGTTATCCAGCCTGATCAGATGCAGGTAAGTCAAAAATAAAGCTTTATCATAATATCTTGATATGGTAGTGTAATATGTTTGAGAAGATTCATACTAGACATTTCTGTCTTTCAAAGACTGTCAACCCAATCCTGATTCTGACTCTGGTGCCTATAATGGACAGCTTAATTTATCCGCTGATCAAGAAATGTGGCCTGAACTTCACGTAAGTATTTCTTGACACAACTTTACAAGCCTACAGAAAAATCTGCCAGTATATGTGCACCATTGGTTCATTGAATAACTTCACATACCTGCTTTTACCTATCCTTTAGCTGTTAGATGTCAAGAAACCGTAATTATACATTGTCAAATCAAAGGCCAGTCAGCTTAACCTAGTTTAGTTCAGGTCAATGTGGATTAGCATTAAGAGGACAGTGTGAAAAAGGTAAACAACCCACCTGTTAAAGCCACCATTTATTCTCTGACCAGGAACAGAGTAACTGACAGTCATACAGTCAGCTCCATACAGTACTGCAGCTAATTAGCTGACCCATGAACACCCAATGTTGCTATATGGAATTTTTAGTGCTAATAAATGACAGTTACTCAGCCAGGACTTGTCTTATTGACAGTAACAAACAACAGTGCATCAACAGTCCACAAGATATAAATGCAGACATTAATATACAGTTTTTGCACACAGTGCAGCAATATTCAACCTTGAAGATATCTCTCAAATGTTATAAGCACCATAGCTGCCCATCAAGGTTACACACACCTGAGACAGGGGGCTAATAACAAATACAAATGAATAAATGAATCTCACACTAGGGCAGGTGGAAACATTATAAACTCTGTTACAGTAAGCAAACAAGGTACTAGCTGCAGTTTTATATTTAAAGCCATACCAGAACTATCAATCTTTTCAACAACAACAACAGCAACAAAAAGAGTCAAATTCTCCAAATCTGAAACAATCTCTGTAGCTTTGCCTTTAATGTCTTCTTAAGATATCTTTAAAAAATCGTACACCTGAATTTGAAAAGTAAACATGCAGCTCAGTTGCTGTGTTTCTTCAGAGGCTTTATGTGATAAACTCTTTTGCTGTATCAGTGTTACTTGACACTAAATAATAAAGTTCTTATAAAACAATAGAATACCTCAAGCGCTGTCTCCATTGTCCAAAACTCTGTATAAGTGAGTAATAAACATGATTTCAATTCAACAGGCCTCTGAAAAGAATGACAGTGGGGATGGTGCTGGCAGCCATCGCGTTTGTCTGCGCTGCTCTGGTTCAGATTGAAATCGATGTGAGTGGAAAACGGCTTTTGTCGTCATTTCATAATGAGCTGTAAAACACACATCAGTTCGATTTGTTATTTTGATTATATTGATTAGGAGAAGAGAAAAGTGCTAATTTCTGTCTTTTACTAATTTTCAGAAAACATTGCCCAACTTCCCATCTGCCTCCCAGAGTCAGCTGAAACTACTGAACATGGGCACTAACCCAGTCACTGTTAATCTTAACGGCACTGAAGTGCAACTTCAAGCAGCTATGGTACATCCTCCAATGAGACACTCAGTGCTAATAATTATCTAGCATGTCTCTGTATGGACTCTCAGAGTGTACAAAACCATGCTATGTTTTAACAGTTCTCACTTTTTTGCAGGCCAGTAATGATTTCTTTACATTTGATGGACAATTGGTCTATATTTCCGCCGGCAGCCCTCCAGTGACATATATGGCATACTTGTCAAGAGGAGGGCGACACACAGTTCTCCTTCCTTCAAATCTTAATGTTGAGTGGAAGCTGGTGAGTAAGAAAAACTAAGAAAGGAAATCAAATAAAACCAAAGAAGGCCTTTCAGAGGTTAAACTTATCCACATCCAATTTTTCATTTCCTCAGACGACAGACATACGGTCAAAGCCAGAACAAGGCAGTAATAAAATACGGTGAGTCTCAGAAATTTTGAACTGTTGTAAATTCATTTGGTTGCAGCTCTATCATAATCATTATTTTTATTTGCGGAGTAAAGTATCGAAGATTACACATACCTGTTTACTGACTGCCTCATAATTGTCTTGCAATAATGTTTTCTGCTCATCATGTGTCCACTCAGATTCATTAATGGAATGAACAAATTACTGAACATGTCAACTTCTGAAACTGACTTCATCATAATAGACCCATTTTCTGAGTCACGCTACTTTGACGTTGAAAATGGAAAGTAAGTAGTTTTCCCATCTAGTCAATTGATATTTTTCATTCTTAAACTGTTACTTTGTGCATTAATTAACACGGTAAATTTAACATTTTTCTTTTTCTTTTTTTTTTATCATCGCTATAGTCGCATATTTACCATATCAGATGGTTCAAAGTCATGCACATACAGGAGAGACTTTGGATTTGGGAGTTCATATACCTTCTTCATCCCCAGCACAGTGGTCCTTGGAGAGGATGTAAGTTTAACACAAGCTCTTTAACATCTTAAAAATCAGTCAGTCAAGGAAAAATCGTGCAAACACCACTTTAACATCTAGATGGTATATGTAGTTTGTTTATGGGACAGTTGTTTTAAACTGGGCTAAAAGTGTAATTTGTGAGTTTGCTTGAATGACGTGTGAAACATTTTAAGACATAATAGCAGACAGAAACCACATAATGATCATAAAAAGCTAAAAAAGGTGATTTATATTTTCTTTGATGACAACAAGGCCATCTCCTCTTTAGTCTTCTGTTAGATAAAAAGAGATTTTTTTTTCTTTTTTTTTTTTTTTTTTTTTTTGACCAGACAGATTTACAGAGCAGTCCTTGTAAAAAAAATACATAATATCTCTCTGTTGTGTGTCATCAGTTGAGAAATACTGCCCCTAACTAAACTGATCATTTTTTGCATATGTTAGTGCCAAGACTCAATTACTGAAATAGAAGACATCAAACCCAACTCCGTCCACATGGCTCTGCAGATCCCACAGTACTTCTTCATTACTGCCGGTGAAGTGATGTTTTCTGTCACTGGTCTAGAGTTCTCCTACTCCCAGGTAAAACTGAAACAACACACATCTTCACAACTTTTCTTTCAGAGAATCATCAAAGAGGATTGTGATCATTTTGTTTTGTGCCCCTCTTTTGTGTTGTTAAGGCTCCCAGTAACATGAAAGCAGTGCTGCAAGCTGGCTGGCTGTTTACCGTTGCTATTGGCAACTTTATTGTACTGATCGTGGCTGAGGTTGCAAAGATTCCTGAACGGGTAAAAGAAAAGAAATATTAATGACTAAGATAAGGTAAAATGGCTTAAGTGGATATGACAGATATGAGTCATTAATACTGTGCTGTCTGTCTCGCTCTCTTTCTTTCACAGTGGGCCGAGTACGTCCTGTTTGCCTCTCTCTTACTGGCTGTGTGTGTCATCTTCTCCATCATGGCGTACTTCTATACTTACATTGACCCAACAGAAATTGAGGCCCGGTTCAGGAAAAAGGATGATGAAGACGAAAAGAAAACAGACTTTGAAATGTCTCAGAAAAGTGCCCTCCAAAGCGGTGATGAAGATGATAGATCTTTACAAACAAAAATCTAAACAGTCTAAAAGGCAAATTGTTTGATGCATATACTGACGTTAAGCAATGACACGAAGTAGTTTTATCCTGCTGTCTGATTCTGTCTGTGTCCAGGTGGACACTTTAAATATGAAAAATATGTAAATAGGACAGCTCACTTCTTCAAATTGCTTTAAAACTACTTTTTTGTCAGGTATTGATGGTTTGGTCAAGGTAAGAATATAGAAAGAGGAGCAATGAGGTTAAACATGAAGAAAATGAGTGTTAATATTTGTGACGTATCTTAAGACACCTTTAAGAAGAGTGAGTATGTGCCAGAGTGTATGTGTATGTTTGTTTTGATTTTTTAATGTAAAAATATAGTATATCACTTGGAAAGTAAACTATGTCCTTCTACTCTCTGTTTAGTAAGACAAATTCAAACAATATTTTTTGTTGTCATGGCTGAAGAAATGCTGCTTTATCTTGTTATTGGAAAGTCTTTGGCTGTAATTTTTTTGTATCACTGTGGGATTTATGCTCATGTAAGCAAATAAAATAAATCCAGTATTTTTGGTCCTTGAATATACTTTGTTTTGAGATCTTTTGCCCCCCATAATTAAGCATGTTATTTGTTTTTGACCATCTGTTTGGACATCATGAGAGTTTTATGTTTATGTGGTGCATACAAACTGAAAGCTGATCTTCCCAGATTCAGTGCTAATCTTAGGAGCCTGCAAGGTAAGCCAAGAGTGGGAGCATGTTTGGTGGCTTCCTGCATTAAATGGGAGCAGACCTGAGAGATGGGAGGGGTCTTTTTCAAAAGTGCTCCTTAAATGAAGAAAGCAAGCACCGGTTTGTGCTTATTGATAGGGGAGCCCTACAGATGTCTCTGGTTATGGATGTAAGCAAGGAGTAGTACACCACAGCCAAAGATTTTGAAGTAAGCTCTTCCACTGATTACAGCCAACAGTCCAACACAGACAGGAAAACTGTCAGGAAAACTATTATTTTATTATAGTATTATTATTATTTTTGCATGAAGAAAAGGTAAATTATTAATTTTTATAGAAAAAAATATGGCTGTTATCACCGTTTTAACAGAAGATTGTTGATGTGTGTTTTAAAAGTTTTTCATCTATCCAGGTTTTCTAAATAATATCACACACTTTCTGTTACTGTATTACTGGCAGATCTGATTTGAACACTCGCAGTCAGTCATTTTAAAACACCCATTTGCTGTTTACAGGGTACATGCCCTTGTGCTAATACAGTCTATTCTACATCACTTAACTTACATAGTTCACCTAACTCATTGTAGCTCTTGCATCCATTTTAAATGAGTTATTGCCATGGTGATATGTGAGTTTTTTTGGCTTAGTTTATTCTGATTTTAGGGTTTCTATACCACAGACTAGAAGAAGGTAGCTAACACTACACTAACAGTGTAACATGGAGCCGACTGAATATCACCGTCAGTGGAGTTAAAGGTGAAGGTGTTCAAAAAGCAGCCTCTTTAAATGTATAACAACACCTAAACCAAGAATATTGTAAAAGAATAGGAGGGGAGAGTGGGGTAAGATGAGCCATTTTTATATTTCAGATTACTACATCAAGGCAATCATAGTTATGTCTCTAACTAGTGTATCTGCATGTATTTAAATATGTTGTGCATCCCTGCAAACCAACAGAATGAGTGTAAACATAACTGTCTTGATAATGCCAAAAAAGTGGTCATAGCCATATCCCTACTACCCCCCCAACACACACACACACACTCTCCACCCCAGTCCTCCCTCACCTTCTCTCTCCCTAAATAACAGTCACTTCTTCACATTCATGTGTATTTTTATCTATTATACGCTTATCAACTGGTACAATCATTCTTTTCATTATTACTGCATATAACTGATAAAAAGCTGTTTAGTAAAAAGACATTTTAACATGAGAATGTCTTTAAGTCATTCAGAACATTCACAGCTGTATTTTTGAAAAGAAAATGTAACACATTTCAACAATCTGTACTGAAACTCTGATCCCCTCATCAGACCCCTTTACTTTCCCTTTACCCCTTTACTGAACCAATGGCTCAACTTACCCCAGAACTATGATGACTTTATTAGTCCTCTAAGCTAAAATGGTGGACTTTTATGCTAGGTTTTTGACCTCATGTTGTAGCTCATAGATACCACAATTGATGTATAAAACTAATTTAAAATGATCTTTTTTGGTCTGAACACAATTCTAATAAAACTTATTACAGACTAAATTCACTTTCAAGAGTGAAAATTTTTTTTTGGGATATAAATGTCTAACCCCTTCACTCATGTGCTTCTAACCTTCACAGACTCCATGAATTGATGCCCATCTCCTAAATATTTGGTCACATGATCAATTTCTTTTACCATTTCCAAGCAACAGGGAGTGGCTCAACTTACCCCACTCTCCCCTATTCTTATCAGCTGTGGTACTCTACTCTGCCACTCAAATATGAAGAGGGGCCGTTTCACCCCTGGCCAACCCTTTAGAAACGCCCCTGTTTTGGGCTAAAACTGTTTGCGGTCCCATTTGGGTCATTGTCTCCCCAGTAATAAATCAGTTTTTGGTTCCTATAGGTGCCATAGGTTAAATCCAAAGCAAGAGTGATACTGGGACCTGTTTGAACCTCCTTTTTTTCTTCTATGACGAGTTTGATGTAGGTTTGACGACACGTGCACCGTTTACTCTTCCTCACTGTGATTGGTCAGCCGGTAAACGAAAATGACATTTACCAAGATGGCGCTGGGCGACAGAGAAAAGTGATGAGAGAATAGAACAACAAGAGATACAACTACATAATAGTGTACATCTGTGTACCCTGTGCGTCTAATTTAAACCAGACCTCTATTTTATCATCGGGAAACTGTCAACCGCATGCCGAGAAACCGCGCTGGTCTGCGGAGATTTCAGTGTTTAGCCAACTGTTTGCTAACTAGCTGCTAAAGTAGCTAGCGGGGCTAACGCTCGCTGTCTGCGGAAGGCGAGAGGGGAGAAGCTGGTGGAGGCAGCTCCGAGTACGAGCCAACCAGCCAAGAGACCGCTACCTTTGATACCTCGACCGGCCTGACAGAGTTTGAAACACTGCCAGGGTCGTGCAGAGCAGGACAGTAACCTCCACAGTTCACACGGATAGCAGAAAAAGCCGAGGAAAGGCGTCCTCTTTGCTGATCTGACGCCATGGCTCATTCCCCTATTCAGAGTGGACTACCAGGAGTTCAGGTGAATACAAGGGTTTTGTTTGATTCACTAACTTTCCGTTTGTTTATTTCACTCAATGTTCCTCCTTTTGTCAGTAGCTCGGAAGTTGAGCTGGATGACTTTACATAACTTTATCTGCATCGTTATCGCGTTTTACACAATCAGCTTGATTTCCAGCGTTATAGGAACGTGTTTGTCAAAGTCCAGCATCTGTAATGAGTCTGTGGTGTGAGTGAACGATAACAAGACTGTCTGCCTGCCTGCCTGTCTGTCTGTTAGCTGTCAGCTGTCAAAGTCAGCATGTTATGAATAACTGACAGTCGGTAAAATCATCACCTATAGATGTATTCTGTCTGAGTTTTTATTTACTCACGTTGGAATATATAATTGGGGCTAAAAAACTGTATTTTAAGTGAACGTGTTTATTAATAAATTATGAAACATTTCTTGGTAAAGGTACAGATCAAGTACAGAACATTATACAGTTATTCAGCAGCCATCCCTTAAGATAAGATCAGATAATCATTTATTAGTCCCTGGGGGACTAAGGTGAAATTTCATAACATGAAATACTTACCTGGACATGAGAAATAGATAGTGGTCCACCATTTTATTGTTACTTAATTTTAAAGTGCATCCATATCTCTGCCAATCTCCCCTCAGCATTAATTCTTCCTAACATGCTTATCGTCCTCCCAGTGGGACATTCAGGGTTCTCCAGTTTTACCAAATTTATTACTCAGTTAGACTTTATTAAGTCTTACCGCTACATTAAGTTGAGTAGTGATAATATCTAGTTACCCTGGAAGACAGCCATGGATGACTGGGGAGAGTGAAACCCAGCCACCTTCCTAGTAGCTCCAAAATCTTACTCCAGAATGGATGCACTGCAACCTTTGTGGAGCAAAAGTTGACCTATATGCATGCTATAATTTTGACAGTTCCTGCGGTTTTATGTTTGACCAACAATGCGTTACTGTTTGTCGGTCAATTATAAACCAAAGCCAAGATGTAACAAACAGAGAGCCATGTTTAAGAGAAAGGAATCATCCAATCATCACTTTGTTAGCTTGAAAAATGATGATACAAATCAATAGTTGCCCAATTGATGTTAGGCTGCTCCAAAAATTTCTTTTGATTGTTTAGTCTTGTCAGGATGTTGATTCTCTGAGGAGTAGCAGTCAATAGGACTTAGGACTTATTATTTCCCTTAAAAGTTATAAGTCTAGGATGTCACTGGTCTAGCAGCCTTATCATGCTTCACATGGGCGGCTTGGGTTCGATGTCAGCCTCAGTTATGTCACATCAACTGTTGTATCCTTTCCAAATGCAGGCCAAATCCCAGAAAATAATTCTCTGAAAAATTATCAAAAGTCAAATGGGGTACACAGTGTGTGAAAATGGAAGTATTTAGTGATATCTAGCAAACAGTTTCTAGTTTGAAGCGCTCCCTCGTTTCTTTTTCCAATTAGTACAGGTGCGACAGTGGCCCTCTAGGGCAAGAAGCTCCTGTATTGCATGAGGAAAATAATTCTCCATTTGTCTTTTTTTTTAAGAATTATACCTAAACAAATTCCGTTTTTCACAGATACCAAAACTTTGGTCTTCTTCTTCCAACCAATGCATTTCAGATAGCTTCTTACTAGATACAAAACCTAAATGGTCTTTACTATTTTGTCCTTTCTGTGCTTCTGTAGAAACATGGTGGTGCAATACAGTGGCCTCTGTGGAAAGGGAACCGCTCTTATGTAGCTGTGAAAGACTCACTCTTGGTCAACAACAAAAAACAAAACATTTTTTTATATTCAAAGGGAGATTATAGAAATTTAAACACATTTTTGAATATTCTATTCAAATTCTACCAAGTCTGTTCAGCTCGATGTTGTAAAAATGAAAGTCAGCTCATCAATAATCTGTTGATTGACTAACAGTTTCTGCTCTAGTTCTCGTAAACCACACTGAGGTTTTTCTCAGTTTAGCCAAAAGTCACTTCACTCCCCTAAAATACATTGGTTTTGAAAATGTAGTACCTGGCAGTCAGTTGATGCCCTCTGTTGAAGAATTAGAAACAAGTGAGTAAATTACTGTCCACGTAAGAACGACATCCTGCTGGGTGACGCTACCCAAACACACACAATTACGTAATGGATTGCACATGATACTACTCCTTCTCCAGGATAACTGTCTCATTGGCACATGCACTGATCATTTGAGCCCTTTCTATTTTTCACTTTTTGCACCACTACTTTTATGTGACCATCCTTAAATATAAGTTTGACTACTTTTACAGAACAGGTTTTTAAGGCCAAACCCTGAACCTACTGGTTTCTGTGCAGAGGACTGTTAGCAGTCGGAGGTCTGGCAGAGAGCCTTCAAACACGAGGGTGTGGTGCGTGGATGACACTAGACTACACAGTTGTGTGGTGCAGATGGGAGAGCATCAAACACATGCTTTTAGAGCGAGGTTCAGCCAGCTTTAGTTGTCACTGCAAACCTGCTGACTGTGGATATGGCAAGTACATTCCCATCATGTGTAGTCTGTGGCAGCAGCGCCCTTGTTGTTTTTTTCCATTGTTTTTACAGAGGTCAGCCTCAACATTATAATTTTCACCTGGATGACTGACCACAACCAGTGTTATGATAGTATTTTGGACATGTTGTTTTTACTTTGTCTTATTCTGCACCACTCTGTCTGTTTGTCTTTGTTGTCGAGTCCCTTCGCTATCCTATTCAGCAGCCCCCTCATTGCTCATTTTTCAAAGCGCAGCTGCCCATCTCGACCCCATATAGGTTTGACCACCATGCATTAGCCTTTTTACAGGAAACTGCTCTCTAGAGAGGACTAAAACAATGTAAAGTATGCCAACAGATCATCCATCCTCTCAGGACTGGGTTACCTGGTTTAAAGCACTGAGCCTTTTTGATTCAGTTCTTCGAGATCAAGCATACTGCAAAAAACACATTTCCAATATGTGTTGTGATGCTTTTTGAGGCTTGTGTTTGAAATATGATTATTATTATTGAAGGGATGGCACTGCAAACACAGCTCAAGCAGTTCAGGCTAATGATTCTGCTGCATGAAGGGAAATTGAACTGGCCAACTTAAAGACCATTATTCCCTCTCTGGTGCCCTGTGGGAAAATAAGCCATTTAGTCAAGTCAATAAGTCAAGCAGCTGTCTTACAGTTGGTCTTGGGCGGTTGTGTTGGTGGTGGAAATCATTCAGCCTTAGGTACATCTGTGTTACACTGCATTTCAATTGAAGTGTCAAATTGATCTGAAAATTTCAATATTCATTTGCATGCAGAAGTTGAGGCCATGCCAAAGATGAGTATATATGGCACTTAATAAATTGGGGTTTGCACTTGTGGGCAATCTGTTTCTGAGACTAGATCTCCTGATTATTGTAAACTTGAGAGGTAGAAAGCAGGAAAACAAAACTGAGATATCGCCATCCAAGTATTTTCAATAGTTATTACTTCACTTGATAATTTATCAAGTTTATCTTTTAATTTTAGCTACTATTTATCCTGGTCATGTGAGCTTTCATCCTTGTTGAGAAGGCTGATTTAACATATAGAAGCTTTTGTCGCAGAAATATATTGCTATAGAGTGAAGGTAAAAGTGTCTTAAATTTGTCAGGCTAGGCTGGATAAACATGGAAAACAGACTCATGACAAAAGACTAGTGCCCGACCAATTTATCGGCGAGCGGATTAAATCGGCCAATTATAATGCGTTTGAGACTAATTGGTAATCGGCCAAAACTCGCCGATATTTTCAGAAATAAAATGCGGGAAAGAAGATTCGGTTTCACTTCGAAAATGATACGCCAACTGAAAAGTTCCCCGACTTATCCTGTAGATGGCGCAGCGACCTCATGACAGTCTTCAGCAGGGGGGTAGTTGTAAACGCCTTTCTAGTCCGAGATTGATCAGTCGGTCTTCCTGTCAGCGTGAAGAGCAGTAGCCTGCAGTATATCTACAGTATATATATATTTTTTATAACTTCATAAAAAAAATTTAAAAATGGGGCGATTAATCAGTAATCGGATCCCCCCCCCCCCCTAATAATCGGCATCGGCCCCAAAAAAATCCATATTGGTCAGGCCCTACAAAAGACTGCCTGAAATCAATGAATCAGAAAGCCTGTTTTTTATTCCGTTCATGTATTTACTCTGAACATGTCACCACTTTCCCTTTGTGTTTGCTTATTGATAACTTTCCCTATCCTTGTCCCGGGAAACCATTAAGAGTAAGCTGTGATGGAGGCAAATTTTTCTCCTCTTACAGTCCTAGGCATGAAGATCAGTTTGCTAGTCTTGGTTAATACCATGCGCCTCATGAAATCTGTTGTGTAACTCGGTAGGAGTTTTCTGAAGTAATCCTACACTCTCTTTACTACTGATCCATCATATTTTAGGTTTAACAGAAAGGGAAAATAGGAAAAACACAAAGAGTCAAAGTGACATTAGAAATCTTTCATCAATGTATTTCATTTCATAGTCACAATGATTATACAGTGCATTGATCAACCTTTAAGTTTATGAGTATTTTTCAAAATCTCTCTCTGCAAAAATGATTTTTAGTAAGGTTGAGTTTGGGATTATTGCTAAGATTTCTTGTAAACTGCATTGACAAATCAATCAATAATAATCAATTATAGATAATGGACATAGTTGCCAGCTGTTGCTCTAATGAAAACATTTGAAAAGCCTTTGACATGTATCCTAATTTATGGTGCTAAAACTGTTGATTCCATAAAGTTATGCTCTAGAAATATCGTCAAGAAGACTGGGAGACATTGTGCTTGTAAGCTGAATTATTAAATACTTGTATTTTAATCTCCTGTGCCTCTCACATAGAAGAGTTTTAACAGCTCCAGGATCTAGTTTAATAGTCACCTGTGGATACTTACAGTATACCTATTCTCTCCCCATCATACAGAACTTCCGAGCAGACCCAGAGGAGTTTTTCACCAAGCTGGAGAGGATAGGCAAAGGCTCTTTTGGGGAAGTCTTTAAAGGTATCGACACTCGGACTCAGAAAGTTGTGGCCATTAAAATAATTGACCTGGAAGAAGCAGAGGATGAGATAGAGGACATTCAACAGGAAATCACCGTTCTGAGCCAGTGCGACAGCCCCTTCATCACAAAGTATTATGGATCCTATCTCAAGGTAAGCTGCCATCAAAAGAAGAAAAGCAGCAAGTCAATTTGTACATCAGTGGATGCAGTGTCAGTCAAACTGGCAAGTGTATTACCTGTGTTATATCTCACAGAATGCTCTAGAAGAAATACACCACCATTGCAGCAGTGTTGCTTCTAAATATTTAGATGTTTCATATTTATTTATCCCATTTTTTTCATTTAGCAGCAGCTTCATTTTCAATCTAAACAATGACTGAAACATATGTGCTTCTTTTTAGGTTGAGTATCAAAACGTTCACATAGGTGGTGGTGAACAGTGTGGTGATCTCATGTGTTTTTAGAGAAAACTACACTCTTACTCCCACCATCAAACAGATTCTTCAGTATTTATTGGCTGTGAATGTAAACACTCCTCAAGTTTAAATCCAGCTCTTTGCATCACAGTTGTAAATGTTTTCTCAGTCCCAGTGTGCTGATGTGAAGATCCAAAACAACAACCTACTCTTTGTTGGGGTATAATGTGACAGTTTACTCATCCATGACACTTAGGTACAAGTTCAAGTCAGTTTGCTACTATTTTTGCTGTTATCTCACCTTTAGAAAAAGATCATCTGAGGTACTAGTTCTCCCCCCAAAAAATTGTTTTGGTAGTGCTTTGTTTTTTTGTTTCAGCTCAAGTATGCTAGCCAGCAGAGGCTGACTGTCAGGCTCAAAAGACAGATGAATATGTCTGTGCGCCAATATTGCTGCACTGAAGTCTGGTATGTGGGAAAACTTCCAAAATCAGTTGACATGAAAGCGTCACATGAATGTGAAATCAAGACAAGAGACACAGAGGAATACCTCAGTGTCCAGGGTCAGGCTGCCTCTCACTACAGATTCAGGATACCCGAAGGAGAGGAGTAGAGACTCTTCTTATTCTTATTATAGGTGAAGTTTAAGTAAATAGAGACAATCAGATACTCTAAACCAGTGGTTCTCAAGTCCAGTCCTCGAGGCCCACTGTCCTGCATGTTTTGGATGTTTCCCTGCTCCATCACACCTGATTCAAATGATCAGCTCGTTATCAAGCTCTGTAATGGCTTAATAACGAGCTGATCATTTGAATCAGGTGTGTTGGAGCAGGGAAACATCCAAAACATGCAGGACAGTGGGCCTCGAGGACTGGACTTGAGAACCACTACTCTAAACTTTTTTTTTTTTTAAACAGAAAATGTGGTTGCTAACCTTTTTATACTTCAAATCTACAGAAACTTGACTGAAATCTAACTTTCCCAGTCAGCCGGGGTAAAAACAGGAAAAAAAAGCTCCAGTTTCTAATGTTTGGATCAGATGTAATGACAGCAACACTCAGTTGCAAACCACATTTGTGTCTGTAGTAGATTTTCTGGCACTCTACATGTGATGGTGCTTAGAGTGCCTTTCACAGCCTTTATTACAGTACTTAACAGCAGTGAGGGGAGAAGTGGCGGTCCATTAGCCCAAGACTGCTGCTGGCTGCAAAGAGAATTAGGGCTTATTTGTGTGTGGGGTGTAAACAAAGTTTATCTGCTGTGAATGTGCTTGTATTTGAGTCTGGGCTGTAGGACTGTAAAGGCTCGTTTGAAGATCTACAATTATTCTGAGCTCTGCAACATAATGAAAGATTAAAATAAAATCTTCTTTTTTTTTATTATAACAGAACCAAAGTTTTTAACCTTTGAATTTTAATGGGTTTTTTTGTCTTATGGCTGCACAAGTTACAAAATTTGTACAAGCTTTCACTTCTTAATAAACTGCTTGTGCCAGAAACAGATATACATCCATATTTGACCAAATCTGACCTGCAGACTTTCTCCTGACACTGTAGCTATTCTTTTAAGTCCCCTGGCTGTCCTGGGGCTGAAGGTTGTCATACTGTGAGGTAGGCCAGAGGGTCCTGCAGGGTTGTGCTTCGGGTGAGAGATCTGAAGCAAAGATACTGTTAAAGAGACAGATGCATACTCGTGTTCTTACAAGAACTTCAACTTACTTTTTGTGTTTCGTCCTACCAGCTATAATCTTACACACACAGTTTATTAAGGCAGTTTAAGGATTTCAAACCACCAGGGTTAAAACAATTCACACTCCTCCTGAGTCAAATCTGAACACAAAGAAAAAAGAAACTGTTTTTGATCCAGTTTGTGTCTGTCTTGATATGTTAGCATAAGGGAAATGAGTAGTAGTTCATGGGACTGATAACCAGTATTTGAAAGGAATATGCGTTTTCCTTTTACATTGTAAAAATGACAAAATTTAGAATTGGGATGATTACAAACTTCACAAAACTTTGTTCAAAAGTTTCCTGTGAGTAACTTTCAGTTTGTCACTCTTGGCGCCTCCACAGTAAACAAATCAGTATTAATCTTGCTCTCTACATACTTGAGCAGTGACTTGTGACAAAAGAGCTCAACCTGCTGACTTTTGACAGTGTGATGTACAATTTATACCGAATCAATTCATGTAGAAATTGTAAAAACAGGGTGGTTTCTTTGGTTCTTGGCTGACATCTACCCCCTTACTCTGGTGTCTGGCGTTAAAGATTAGGATAAAAAAAATCAACAGTCTTGTCACTGATGATCTTGTTTGCTTTTGGGTATCATGAAAAAGTGTCAGTTTAAGTTTTAGTCCTTTTCAAATGTCAAAAAAAAAATCCTCATACAAGCTGAAAATGCCTCGAACAAATGTCTAATACAATCTGTAACTCTGTAACCATTAAATACACAAGTTAACCATCAGCATAGATCAGCATGAGTCCTGCCTGCTGACTGTGATGGGTGAGTTTGACAGATACAGTAAATTCATTAAGAACTGCAACACAGATCTATGAAATAATGAATTAAAAAGTGAAATAATTCTATAGGTTTTTACATTGAATAAAATGGTATTTTAATAAATTAATGACACATTTAATGGCACATTTATTAATGGCACATTCCCATTTTAATCAATTTATGGCATATTTAATTATTTATTTATTTAAAGATGTATTTAAATATTTCATTCTGTCTCTTTTCGTCCTCCATAGTTAGACGACAGAGACACTCTTGGAGCAAAACTCAAGCATTAAATCATCTGTATTTGTGAGGGACAAACTAATTCAGGGATTGTTATGCCTGTGTAGCAGGGCTGTATTTAAAAAGGATGGTAAGAAAGAGTCTTAGTGCAGGATCTCTTTGATGTCTTTGAATCCCAAGAGCTCAAAGAAACAAATGTAAGTGCCGGGCTGTGGTGCTTCTTGTGGGTAATATTTGAGCGTGTGTCAGCAAGAGAAGCACGTACTGTCTGAGTAAGTTTGACATCTTAAGTAGATAGTAGAAACTTGGGGGTCATAATACACACACTCAGATGACACATTCACAGATTATTTTAGTCGCAGTGACAGTCTGGATGTCAGGCAGAAATACTCCCCACAGGTGATTTTTTTATTTATTAAAATAAAGATGTCGTACTCGTGTAGGAAACATGCAACTCTAAATCCTCTGAGCACAACTGGATCTGACAGCTGAGCTGCTTCTGGTGTTTCAGACAAGTTCAAGATTCACTCTGGTTTAATTCAGTCTGTACAACAATGAGAGTATTCACAGCTTTCCTGACACGGCATCATCTCATGTCGCCAGAATTTAATCCACCAATATATCTAGAGTTGGTATCTTAGTTAAAATGTGTATAGAAATGGTAAGCTAACCTGATTTTGGTCACATTATGAAACAATCCTCTGTTGTGAATATGATGATTTTGTCATGATCAGATATATAACCTACAGAGCCGAGGATTTACAGAAAGATAAAAACACAACTTTCAGTCCATTTGCACTATTATGTCAGCTATGGGGTTCATATTTATACAGAACACTGAATTTGTGAGCTTTTGCAAATTTAAATGCCCCTAAAAACAACTGATATGATGTAAATAATAACTGATAACAACTTGAAGCCACAAAAATACTCTGTTGTGTCGTTTTGATTTGATTTGTTTAGAAGCATATTAAGTATAAGTTGTTAAGATTGTCTAACCTGACCAGATCACTGACTTATTTTTCAGGGTACAAAGTTATGGATAATAATGGAATATTTGGGTGGAGGATCAGCCCTGGATTTGGTAAGTACATACAGTCCTAATGAAATAATGTATTTTTTTGCGTGGCAATAGTCCGTTTTTGTATGTTTAAAACGTGTGAAATTTTTGCCCGCTTACAGAGTGTTCTCACTCGTGCTCTGTGATTTCTCTGTTCTTAGCTGGAACCAGGTGCTCTGGATGAAACCCAGATTGCCACGATCCTGAGAGAGATCTTAAAAGGGCTGGAGTATCTGCACTCTGAAAAGAAAATCCACAGAGATATTAAAGGTGACACAGGCACACACCATTTCCTTGTTTTTTTTTTTTCTTCTTCCGAGCCTCGTAAACGGTTAAACCTTGACGTCATATTTTGTGGTGATGGTAATAACACTGAAGTGGTTTACTGGCATCAGTGTTTACAAGCAGCAGAGGAAATGTTTTACAAAAAAAAAGGTGGATTACACATATTCAATCTCAGGATTCATATTTCTTTTCAGTCCAGTGTCTGAGTCATGACTTTTGTAAATGTCTGAGTGCTAGGTAATGAAGAGCAGCTATCTACTGATGGATTCCTGTCTTCACTTTGTGACTGTGTAAAGTCCTTAGAGACCTTTTTGTATCTATGCAAAACTTAATTACCAGTTTGATCAACAAAGATCAAACCACACAGCAGGTTACAGTACAGTCTCGTTTAAAGCAGCTCATGTTGTCTCTCTTGCTTTCAGCTGCCAACGTGTTGCTGTCGGAACAAGGCGACGTGAAGCTGGCAGACTTCGGCGTGGCGGGCCAGCTGACAGACACCCAGATAAAAAGAAACACATTTGTCGGTACTCCTTTCTGGATGGCACCTGAAGTCATCAAGCAGTCCGCCTACGATTCAAAGGTCAGGCCGCTTGGTGTTTTACCACACACTGAAAGAAAATCATCATTCTTCACATGTTCAGATAAATGTCTTTCATCCACAGTAATGAACTGCTGTTGGCTGTTTTGTTGTGCTTATGAAATACATCAAGTCTCCTGCCAGTCATTTTATAACACTGTTGCTTCTGATCTTCTCTATGAAACTGCAAAACAAAGCAGCGAAGAGTGATTGGTTTATCAGCTGGTCTGAAAAGCCAAGTGTGGATTTACCACATGCTGGGTTTGAGTGAAGATCTGGATCAGTGGGTGTTCCTTTATTCCACTTATTTGATGTCAGTGAAGTTTCACAGTCAAATGTATGCTGCTGAGGCTGTTTCTGTGGATAGTAACGACTTGTATTGGACGTAATAGTGACAATATGTCAAGTCAAACAGTCCATGATAGATCTGGGCTCAAATTTGAAATGAAGGTTTCACTTTGCCTCCACAAGATTATTTGAGTTCGCTCGAACAGTCAGAGAGAGGTGAGGTGAGTCATATGACAGCTGTTTTGATGAAGAGGTCCAGCACAGGTTGAAGTCATGTGCTGGCATAAGACACTATCACTAAAGGGTAGTTCTGAGCTTTTTAGCTTCTCTGTTTTCAAGCTGTATAAAAATATCAATATCTAAAGGAGTGTTTTGTTTAAAGGTGGTGAAAAGTACAATCAAAATGAAAAACTCTGCTCTCTTTTTTGTGTTCTGTTGACCCATGTGTGCTTGTTTTTGTCATGAGTTTCTAAGGCCGGGTTTCAAGACTAGAGCGAGCAAGTGCATATTTTGGGGATGGCCACAGTATGAGTCAGTGTGGCTTCTCAATGCAGCCACTATGTCACAGTCCTCAGTCTGCAGAGCTTCCTCTAATTCACCCATGCTGCTTAAATCAGCCACTTTAAATGTCATTCAGACAGCTCTGTGTCACTCTGTCTATTTCTGGAGAAGTGTATGTGTGTGTGTGTGTGTGTGTGTGAGTGAGTGCAATGCTTTAATAACAACAGGATTTGTTTGTCTTTGTTTTACAGGCAGACATCTGGTCATTAGGAATTACAGCAATCGAGCTGGCTAAAGGAGAGCCGCCCCACTCTGAGCTTCATCCTATGAAGGTCTTATTTCTCATCCCAAAGAACAACCCACCAACTCTGGAAGGAAACTACAGCAAACCACTCAAAGAGTTTGTGGAAGCCTGTTTAAACAAGGAGCCGAGCTTTGTAGGTTCAACAGACTTGTTTACATGATTGGGAGCAGTATTGCGCTTTATTATTAAATATAGACTGATAGTTTCTATGTTTTTTCTCAGAGGCCAACTGCCAAAGAGCTGTTAAAACACAAGTACATTGTAAGGCATGCCAAAAAGACGTCATATCTGACAGAGCTGATTGACAGATACAAGAGGTGGAAATCAGAGCAGTCAAGGGATGAATCCAGCTCTGAAGACTCTGACGAGTAAGTCCTCCCTTGGAATATTAAAAGGAGGAAAGCCGTAAAATTCACAACCTGAGGCAAATCAGGCAGCTCTGTTGTTGATGTTGTTGTTGACACGTTATTTTCTGTCAAACCTGTGTGACTGCAGGGAGTCAGATGGCCAGGCATCTGGAGGAGATAATGCTGCGAACGACGAATGGATCTTCAACACCATCAGGGAGAAAGACCTCAAGAAGATGCAGAACGGGGCGGCACAGCCGGCCGAGCTGGAAAGACAACAAGACAACCAGGTGCAGGAGTGTCCAAAGAGGCCTTTGTCACAAAGCTTATCAACAATCTTCTCTCCTTTGTTTACTGAGGTAATGTCCTAAAGTGAAATCAAATCTGAACATCACTATCAGGACAGGATGGTTATCACACAGACTGATCTGCATCATGTGCTCAAATGCTTTTATTTTGTCTATTATTCCTCTTATTTTTGAATATTTGAGATTCTGCGGTTCCTTAAAAGCTCTCATTGTTGCAGTTAAAAGAAAAGGGGGAGACCAGTAATGGAAAACCTGAGGCTGCAGAGGAGCTGCGAGAGGCCATTTTCCTGGCAGAAGAAACACACCCAGGGATCTGTGACTCCCTGGTAGCTGAACTAGTGCAGAGACTTCAGAGGTAATGTGGGTGCCGTTTTCATTGCATCATTGTAAGATTGTTTTTTGCATGGAAATGTTTGACACCCTGATTAAAGTAAAAAAAAGATATTTGTGTGGTTTTATGGAGGTTTGCTCAGAAGAGAAATAAAATCTGTCTCTGGTTTTTCTCAGGTTTTCTGTGCCACATGCAGCTGCTGCCCACTGAGAGCAGCGTCATCCAGCTCTGCTCTTAATTCTCCACCCTGGTGGTAGCAGTCAGATCTTTTCCTCTGACCTCCACAGCCGGGATGAAGTCTCCCAGGAAGGTCTCCATCACTCATTTGCCTGAAGCAAACCCTGGCCTACTTAATGTCTGTTTATACGCTAGCACACCACCAGAGGGTCCTGTTCAGGACAGTGAGTGGCCAGCTTGCTGTAAGATGTCCCTTCTCAATACCTCCACCACAACTGGTTTCATTTTCGGCTTTCTCTGCGAGGACTCTTGAGTTTTTGGTTTTAGTGGCTTTTTACACAAAAGGTTTGCACTTGGCATCCTTACAGAGGAAATTCTTTGCTTAATTAATTGTGTGCATGTGTGTGCGTGGCTGCGCGAATATCCTGTGAAACGTGTGGTGAGAGGAGTGACGAGTGGGTTGAAGCATTCTATTGAAAACTCAGGTATCCTGCTTTAAGTGGACTGGGGCCTCTGGGAGATGGAACGAGCTCTTTAGGGTGGCTGTACAGACTTGTAAATAAGCTAATTTCTACAGATTCATGACAAAATAAAGAAGCGTTTCTAATGGAACCACTGTGTACAAATGGCCAAATGCAAACTGTAGATAATGGGTTTGAGGTAAATATTTTGAGAGACTAAAAACGGCCATATATGAGATTGCCTTGCCTTTTTACTCGTTCTTTTGTATATCAGTCTTTGATTTCTCCAGTTGTAAAAGTTTTTAAGTATCATCCAGTGAATGACATGGCTGCCCTTTAGCGTGTTTTACTTTGATTTATGATCCGTTTTTCTCCAGCGCTTTGGTTTCATACTCTTATGCTGTGGTTGTACTTATTTCAGAGAATGTAAAAACAAAACCAGGCTGGACCGCTGAAGCCCCCGACCAGTTCTGAACACTGGATACTCTGTCGTCTGACTCATTTGACATGGCCTAGAGCTGTGCTGGTCTGTCGGACTTTGCCTAACCTACATTTTTTCCTTCTTTGCTGTGTTTTTTTTTTTTTTTTTCTTGACAGGTTAGATAAACCGAGGTCTCGTCATTCATTCATTCCATTGACAGGGCAGTGCCATCATCTAGTTTCTTAATCAGCAGACTCTCTTAGTCTTCCTAGGAGCTGCACTGGTACTATCTATCTCCTCAGCGTACCTACAGCTTTAATTGCACTTCAAGTATAAATGCCTTTGACTATAAACAAAGTAGCCATAAAACAGTAGCATGAGACTTAGTATTTTGCAGGTATGCTATCTGGGATTTAAAAGAAAGTCCCTCCCTGAAGTCTCACAGCTTGGACTCTGGAGTTGGTCATGCATTGTCAAACTCGCCTGGCTGGGCTGTATCTTTCTGTTCAGACTTGTGAGAGTTCTTTTAGTTGTACAGTAAATGCATTCAGGCTTCTCACATTAAGTAGACGACCCTGCTGTCAGTTGTACATATTGACATAAAAGCCAGGAGGTGTTCAGAGACCAGCGGCACTGCTACTTCTTCTAACTGTAGTTTGAAAGGAATGCGCATGATAGTATGAGAGAAGAAAGCCTATCGGGCAGCCTGAGCAGTGTGTGTTGTAGCACGCTGCTGCAGGGCTGGAGGAATGTGGAGTCCTGAACAGAGTTGAATCAGCCTTAGAGTATTTGTGGTGAATGAGGTAAATAGCATCAGCTTTAAAATGTTGGATCAAATGTTTTTTCTTTTCTTATTTTTTAGTGATTTATTTCCCCCCTCCTTCTCACATTAATATGAATTTGCAGCAATACTTTAAAAGTGATCAAAAATGTTTCTTTCCAGAATGTGAACAAGTAGACCCGAGGACTTTTGATAAAACTCTTTAAGAGTGGGATGATGTTTTGCTACAGGGCAATACATGGTACAAAGTTAAAAGAAAATCAAAGCTAGAGCTCAGCAGATATGATAAAAAAATATATAAATATGATAATCCACACTCAAGGAGAGAAAGAGACAGAAAATACATGCTTTTACAAGTGTGCCCCTCATTTATAAAGTTATAACAAAGAGTGGAAAAAGAGAAACAGCTAGTCTGACTTTTTCCAAACTCTGTGAATCGATAAGCACATCTGAGACTGATTTTTTTTTTTACATATCTGGTCCAACACACACAAAACTGAGGGTAAAATGAGAGGTCTGCCTTATCTCACACACTTAGGCTTTGGATATTTTCTTGGTGCAACAAGTCACTTCCTGGTGAGGTGCTGCTCATAGAATGTGTTACTTTGACATCGGAGTGTGTTTTTTTCTTTTTTGTAATTTACATGATGTAAAGCCTTTAAGGTGGATTTTGTACAATCTGGACAGAAGCATCTTGGCTGTTCCTGCTCTACCCAGGTTTTTTTTTTTTCTTAGCTGAACCAAGCTGACTGACTCCCAACTGTAGCTTCATGCTTTCTCCATAAAGCGAACTAATGTATGTCCCAAAGTTGAAACTATTCCCTGAACTTCTTTGTATATAATTTAAACAGAACATCTCCCCCGTTGTCCTCTGCTGTTTACCTTTGGTTCGTACACATTTGAATAGAAACCAAATCAGGAAGATGCATCAGACTGTTAATTCCTCATTGTAAATGCTTCTGTATGTCAGTTTTCCTCTGTGAAAATCAGCTCTTCATTGAAGCTTGTCCTGTGAAATGTGCCATGTGAGGCTCACAGCCCAACTGGGACACATTCAAAACAATTAGCACCTTTAAAACCATGCTGTTCTGAGTCTTTCTCTTATTTGTTGCACTTTGCAGATTTATTTTGGTTTTAAAAATGGTACTTTAAAGAAGCTGCATTCTCATGTTGCAGTTCCACCAGTTTGACTCTCTTTCATCATCTCCCTCTTTGTGTGTTGTATGGCAATAAAGCAGTGTGGACGCCAGGAGTCATTTCTCAGCACAAGTAGGCATATATTCTATTGAACTATTTTTATAACCCAAATGAGCAGTATTATGTAATTGAGGGCGTAAAGTTTGGTTCAGTGATGTGTTTAAGTTTTAGTAAACACTGGAGAGCAATCACTTAAAATGTACATTTCATTTTGTGTGTCTTTGCTGACAGTTTTATAGTCCAGTATACATTTTTGCAAATTCAGGACAGTGCTGTTGGATCTATTGAGAGTTGTCAAATGATTACAGAAAATAAAATCCAGTGCAAATTTGATGAACAGCTTTGCCGTTGTTTGAATTGTCCTCATTGTTTCATTAGGTGGGATTTGGAAAACACATAAACCTTCATTTACCCACATATAGAAAATTGGCTTAGTTTATGCACCACTGTATTCCCACCCTGGTTTAGCTTGATTTGTACAGTTACCTACACATATAGAGAAAACACTTTGAACACAGCCCCTTACCCTGACTCCATTATTAATATATTATTATAATGAATTTCCCTTCAGGGATTATTAAAGTTCTTCTTATTCTTATTAGGACTACATTAATTTAATCCTCCTATTATCCTCAATTATCACTGACCCCAGATATATATGCCTTCTAGAAAATGATTTACATGCAACTGTTGACCAAGATTTTTTGTCAGGTGCTTCATTTATTTGTTGAGTACATAAATAACCCCTTAATAACAAAACCTATCAGTGAGTTGACCTGTTCTGTTCAAACTTTTAACGTAGAAAAAATGTATCTTGAAAAGTTTTCGTACAAATCTTCTCAAATTTACTGATAACCTTAAGGGATATTGTGCTCTTTTTATTTGACGACAGCTGTAAAACTTACCTCCTCATTTGTTTTCGACACTGCTGGACGAATGGCAGCCCTTTACAGCAGCTCCGCAAATTCTAGGGAGTTTTTTTCTTTGGAATTTTCCCTTGAGGGACAAATAAAGGAATATCTTATCTTAAAAGTGTTGGCTGAAATTCATGATGCCAAAGAATCAACACAATAATTGAAAATGTATCCAAAATTCTATCATCTCTGAGCCATGTTTGAATCTGACGTACATGTTCCATTTCAGAGTCTTTCTGATTGTATTAAACTGACTTCATCTGGATGTGACTGAAACAGCTGTTGTCAAAATGACCTTTTGTATGGTGCACCTTAAAGACACAGAGGTTTCAATATTGAGCATACACAAACTTCTGCCACAGACAGGGAAAATGTGATATGATCAAAATACAAAGAAAAGCTTTCCTTATCATTTGAAAACACATGGCAGCAGTGAAGGAGGCTTCCAGAATGATGGGATCTCAAATACCTAAAGGGCCTTAAAGGGACAGTGGTGTAAATGAAGCTTTCAGACAGAGGTTGAAGTGAGGGTTTCCAGAGACAGCAGCCTGAAACATGTTAAGAGTTTGTTGAACTGTCAATCATGTAAAGCTGCTAAAAAGCTCTTAAAGGCATATTAGGCCTCAGCCCACTGCAGCATGCATGTAACCACTTCTCCATGTCTGATGGAAACAATGTGTCACCAATTAACAAAAACCCCACAACAAACTATGTCAGCAAATACCTCACAGCAAGTTTTATTTATACATCCAAAAACAAAAGATCAAATTTCTCACACTATATACAGATATTACATACAGTGTTTGTACACATATTACATAATTTGTACACAAGAAAATATACATAAAAATGTAAACCTTTGTATACAAAAAATACCTTAGACAAAATTAAACAAGGACCAATAACAAAAGGTGACTAGATTAGCTCATCCTATCTTTAAAAACAGTAATACAGTACATTCAATGAGTATAGGAATTTGTCAGCCATTTCTGAATTCGAGCAGTTAAATGTGCCTATGAGCCCTGTTTTCGTTTTGTTCTACGTGATTTTCCAGACAACAAACTGGTGCAGTGATTAATCTCATGCTATGTGGATACAGCAGTAATGCCTCGCAGACTTCTTCATCCATATTTTTTTAATTGAACATTGTGTTGGGGGGCACTGTGTTAATGATTATTAGTGGCAACACTGCAGTAACTGAGAGGCCCGGTCGTCCCCGGTGGAGCTACGGGTTCACACTTCATAATGTGTTTTCTCTTTGGAAGGGAGAGACAGAACTGGGCCTCCTCACAGCTGGAAATGGGAGGAGGGAATTAGGGAGGGGGGGGTCTGGTGTAGGCTCAGAGCTGGTAATGATGGCAGCTGTTCATTTAATGAGCGTCCAAGCAACAACAACAAAAAATAAAAAAAAGGCAAGACAGACACGGGACACGTGAAAACACCGCCAACCTCCACCCGCTTCTGTGCAAATTCATGTTGAAAAAAATGAACTGTTACCCCTCCAATCTGTGAAATGAAATGGTCATGTATTTACCCATTGACTGTGTATGCCTATAATTTTCACCTCTGAGAATCCAGCCAGTGACCACCATGATCATGTGTTGATATCATTACTAATGCTGCCCCATGCAATCTCAGACTTTTATCCTGGAGTTTAATAGCTATCAAAAAATATTCTCCATCAGAATATGAATTAAAAACAAACTGACATCATACACAGCATACAGACATTGATCCCTCCGACTTCATAGAGAACTGAACAAGCGTTTTGATAGCCATTAAAAAACAAGAGACTCATTCTACAAGACACAGGTTCCACTGAATACATTGCAAATAACAATTTCAATCCATTGCTACTCAATAATTCACCGACAAACCCCAAGATAGAGACTTCTACTCTATATACCTACTACTCAACAATTTCTGACAATCCGTCAAATGTCTTATATCTATTAAAAGCCATGGTGTACTGTTGAATGAGTCGTTGACAGACGGGGGGAGGATCTCTCTGTATGCAGAGTTCTCAGTTTGAGTTAAAATCAGACCCCAGGTTTGCTTTTAGCTTAAAAATCACTTAATAACTGAGTAAAACAGACAGTAAACTCCTTCGCCTTCAATGGGAATAGTTCTAGTGAGTTTCCTTTGAGTCCTGAAACTGAATTTGCTCTCTCTCTTTGCCAAGAAAGAAGACCATTGTATATGCGGACCACAGAGCACCTTTGGGAGTAGACACTTAAAAGTCCCTGGATTGCGCCTTCATCACCCCACGCATTAACACTGAAAGTCATGTTTAAGCTTTAAAATCCACTCCAGAGCAGAAGTCCGGCTGACCTGAAGGTTGATCACTAGAGGCTTTTACTTATGAGAGACTGTCGTAAAGTAAAAAAGTTTACAACAGTTCAAGAGGCCAAATATCTTCCTGATCCAGCCTAGATTCATTTAATGAAGCTACATGTAATGACACCAATAGAATACTTTATGATGCTAGAGTTATGTTAATGTGTTTATTGCTTTAAGAAACTATATTTACCTTCAAGTGTCTACTAGGCCACTCAGAGTCCCACAACCAATGGTGAGGTCAGAGATTTTTGACGTCTGAGCAAACCTATACATGAGCACATAAACAGTATACACAATATAAAAAACAGCTGTTTAAAAGTATTTTGGTAAATCCATATGACTGTGAAATCTGACTCAGTAAGATTCTATACCATGATAACAGTTAAATAGCTCGAAACATAATGGGTCACAAAGATCACAACCAGTACTTGTCTTTTCCAGAGGGTGACAGAAGCATTGTGAGGAACAGGTGGAGAAATAAACGAATGCAATGGCCATCTGAGCAAGGCAGGGTACAGTCGATCGTCAGAGACGACGTGACCACATCATCTCTGTTAAGGTCCTTCCACCTATTTTCACCCGTTCATTTCATCACAGAGTGTCGCTGGAACCCTCTGCTGAGCAAAACCACAAGGCATCGAGCGGGTGGACTCGCACTGACGTACAATCCCAGAGACTGCCTGGCTGAAGATTTTTCAAGAAAGAAAATAGAAAATATTGAGGGTTATCTGAGGTTTGTGCAAAATCATTATCAAATAGTGCACTATTACCACATTGCACACATGTAGTAGATGGAGAGGGATGGTCTGCTGGGTTGTAAGTGACTGTGAGTCCACACTCCGTAATGCAGCCGCTGCAGGCCGCCTGCTCTCATTTACTCTGCGTGAAAGGTGGCGTGGCGCTTTTGGCACTTGCAGCGGTGGCACTAACTATTGAAAAGCCAGCTGGGGGCGCTGTGGAGCTGTGGCTGGGCTGCACGTCTTTCGGGATGCCACTGTGGGAGGCCAGTTGATGGCCGAAGGCAGCGCTGAACTGAGGGAGCTGTTGCTTGGGCTGTGTGGAGGTCAGGAGATCATGTGATGAGGACGAGGGCGCAGAGGGAGTTGTTAGGCCCGTCATGCCGCTCTGAGGCATTGCTGAGAGTGCAGCCATGGGCTGCAGCGTCACAGAGTTGGTGGTGGCTGGGGGAGTTGATAGGGAGGTGGATATGAGATGACTTTCTGATCCTATGAGATTGCCAAACTGAGCAGGGTCGGTGACAGTGAGAGGGAGAGGGAGATTGTTCCATGATGAGCGTGGGGGTCCGGGTGCCCCACTGAGGGGGACTTCCAGAAGCAGAGGGGGGTCTGTCTGAAAAGAGCCAGCGTGGGGAGAGGATATGTGGTCGCTGTACGGGGATGGCACGTGCTCACTGCTGTAGTGACTGCCTTGAGGAGACGATGTGGATGCATCAGACTTTGCCAGCACGTGTGATGTGTGTGTCCGTGAAAACGTTCGCTCTGTTATGGAGGTTTGGGTGAGCAGGGAGGTGGTGGAGGGGGTCAGGGTAGAAGAAGAAGATGAGGTCAGGTTAGAGCATGATGTTGGGGGTTGGTTGGTGGGCTGAGATGGTGGTGAAGTGGGAAACTGACTCCCAGTGGACTGCAGTAGGTTTTCCTCCAGCTCCAGGCTGGTGAAGTTTTCCGTGGGTATGCGGCTGTTCAGCAGATCTCCCATCCCCCCTGGCTGGACTGGACCGGGGAACACAGTCATGGCTCGATGGTCCACTCCTTCAGAGGGGGCTAGGTCTCCTATAGAGGTCAGGCACACCAGGGAATCTGGGTAGGAGCCCATAGCTTGCAGAGCACGCACCAGCTCCTCAGCTTCCTCTGTAGTGGGTAATAACTCCCCGTTCTTACCTGAACACAAACATCCACACAACAACAACAACACTGTAAAACCACAGGGATAACTGTGATATTATACACATAGTAGTGCATAAGACAGAACTCTATGACAACCTTCAAACAAGTCAAAGTCCTGCAAGTCATCAGGTAGTCTCGGCAACACGTCGGAGAAGTCCTCCTGGTTGAGCTCCAGGTCGTTTGGAATGTCTGCCATGTCATTGGTGATGTCATCAGGAAGCTCATCTGTGCTCAGGTCTGGAGTTGAAGGGCTCCTGCAACAAAAACAATGAAAAAGGTTCAGAGAAGAACAGCAAGGACCTATTTGCCATGTCTGTGTATGAGAGTATCTGCACACTGAGTTTCTGTCTACGCAGTTGAGAAAGACGGACCTGATGCTGGCCTGAGACGGCATTGCGAGGCTTGTAGAAGGCATTCCCAGGTTCCCCTGCGGTAGCGCTGGGGGGATGGGTTTCTGCGGCCTCCGCGGTCCTCTCCTCCTCTTCTTTTTGTGTTTTTTGGTGAGCGCCGGTGGTTTGGTCTTTTTGCGTGGCTTTCGCTGTTGTTGCTGCTGGTGCTGCACTCGTCTGTTACCATCCCCTCGCAGGAAGTTATCCTGTGTGGAATATTTGGAGGAGCACTGTGTCATCATGAAGCAGAGACAGGATTGTTTGTCCCCCCCTGTGTTCTGTCTATACGCTAAGCTATGTTAGGAAGTATTCATACTACAAATAACATTGGTATCAATCCTCTTAGCCAACTCTGTCGAACAAAAAGGAAAAAGGAATATGACCATAACTCTGTACTTTAACTTCTAAAGTTAAAACTCACCATTTTTTTGGCATGCTCTTCACAGAGTGGTGTCTGGTGCGTGATATCAAACACAGGGATGGAGCACTGCTGACCATCTGCAAATTTGGCTGTGCAGCTAGCAAAGAGCTGCTGGGAACGATTCAGCAGAATATCTACAGTGAACAATCAAGGAACTTATGTGAAACCAGAGACAACAAAAAGGTATGGGATTATAGTAAACCATAACACAGGTGTCGAAAAAAACGGATTAACACTAGACTCTAACTAGATAACGTTGTACACATGTTGCAACAGAGCAGAACTATCAGATTTGTGGTGGAAAGGATACGCTGAAAGCAGTGTTGAGTAAAGGGCAGTGCTCTGTTGGTGCAGGCCTGGCCCTTTGTTCTGCCAGTGCAGGTCCCTGAATCGGTCTTCTGCTGCCTTGCCGGAGAACCACTGTAGACACACACACAAAAAAGACTAAGAAAGCAGTAGCAACTAAAGGTTTGCTACGTACATTTTAAACTAGGAGTCTTTTTTTTCCTTGTTTGACCATGCTGCTCTCTAAAGCATTCAGATTTTTGCTCATTGTTATAATTATAGTCCCGAGAGATCAAAAGAGACAAAAAATAACTCCTTGGACAGACGCCATGTTACCTTGAAGAGTTTCGAGAGGCACCTCGTAGCTCCTGGATCAGCTGCCCAGCACAGTCAGGGTTGTTACTGGCGGCATGCAGCAAGGCTTTGCGGAAGGCATAACGGTATCTCTTCTGGCGGATGAACGCCCTCTCCTCACGGCACATGTGCTTGTATTTCTCCCGGAGGTACGAGCAAAGCCGGAGTAGCCGTGTTCGCCGCGAACCTTTGTCATCTTCCAGCCTGTTGAAGAAAACAATTGACGGGAGACATGAGAAGATGTCATATGTTGAATTTTACATTGTGGAGCAAAGTTTGGGATACTAACCCATTCTGCGGTCTCCAAGAGCTCTGGTAAGGTACAAATGTCACATCCTCTTCTTCATCAGCATCATCAGCGCTGTCTTCTGACCAATCCAATCCTGGAAGACAACTTGTTAGAGCAGCTAATCACTCAAAGCAAGCTTAAATTTTTAATTCTACACTCAAAGAGGCTGTAAATGTATTTATAAAAACAAGAACAGCTGGTAAATGCATGAAAATTAAGCACCTAGATGAGGAAAGAGGTCTTCATGCTCCTGGTGTCTCTTGGCACAGAGCTGAACCAGGTGTTGCAACCTGGCCAGGCAGCTGGCAGAAGGGGAAAAGGCAGCAGGACGCATGACAACCACATGCCGCTGATTGCTGCCGCCACTGTCTTTGCAACTAACAGGCAAGTGAGTAGCAGTGAAAGGCATTTTCCTGCTGAGTGATGGCCCAGAGGGTTGCACTGGACTGGGTGCTGCATTAGCAGGCATCCCTGGAGGCAGAAAGTTGACTGTCTGAGGTGGTGATGGATTGCATAATAAACCCTGCTGCTTTCCTGGGAAGATGAAGGAAGTCACACTGGAGTGCTGGGGTGGTTGAAGAAGACCTGACTGCTGCCGTGGGAGGTGTGTGTTGAGTGGCGAGGAGGGGTGAACGCGGGAGATGGGAGAAGGACTAAAGTGCTCAGGAGGTGGCTGGAAGAGGTCCGTGTCATGGCAGAGTTTCTGGTTGAGCACCAGGCGACTCTGAAGCTTCTTCTTGATGGCGTTGGCCTTCCGGGGAGTTCCAACCTCCTCACCATCTGTGTCATCCTCATAAAAGGCAAAAGGGTCCAGGAGTTCCCCATCAGGGAGGGGTAACAGGCGTGTACAGGGAGGAGATGGTGGAAGTTCATCTATACCATTAGGGGCTTTCAGGGCTAAAGAGGGCACTGTTATGTTGAGGGCAACTGACTCCAGATGAGCCCGCGAGCGCATATCTTCCAACGCATCATGTTTCTTTTTACGTTCTTTCTTGGGGATAAATCCCAGAACCTGAAGGTGGCTGTTGCAGTATCTGAAACACAACACAACATCGTCAGCAAACAAAGCACACATTTAACATAATCTTTACATATAAAAATAAAAAGTGCACATAAATATACACACCTGCGGTCCTCAGACTTGGGGATGGGGTTGGTACACCTCTGGCTGTTGTACTTGGCCACATATTCACATTGCTTGAAGGGGGCTGTCTTATCCTCCAATACATGCCGTATACAGAAAGCATAGCCATTTAGTCTGCGCTGCTTGCAGAGCTTTGGGCTGTATGAGCACAAGGGCTTATTGTCCACCTCTGAGAAGTGTATGTGTTTGCCTTCATACATCACGTTACTCTTGTTCGTGACAACATCAGCTGATGGGATAAAGTCAGGGGAAATCAAGAGTTACATCACCATACTTCATACTACAGAGGTAACTGTGCCTGCACATGCAGGGAATAGAGGCAAGAAAACAGTCACCTTTCAGCAGCTGACCTCAGCTAATATAGGTATTAAATGAGAATCAACACGCCAAAAGCCCACATACTTGTACATTCTTATTGGGTGTCATGTTACTTACTAGTGCGCGCTACGGATGGCATATAAATAGTGAGCTTAAGTCTGAAAAACACTCAGAAACATCACAGTCGAGTCAGACTAACTGTAAATGCTGGTTAGTTGCCTCAATACCCCCTAATTTTCAGTGTCAAAATACCTGATTGAGAAACGGCTCCTAAAATAGAATGGGCTACTTTACTCAATTGTATTTAAAGGTAGAAATCGAGTAATACAGTCCTGATTAGACACAAAACAGCATTACCGTAGCGTACATAACAAAGTAAAAGTTACGAAACTGTTTGTTGCTGGAGTGTAAAGTTAAACATTATTGTAGCGCCAGCCGAGAACTCAATGAAAGTCTCCTTTCCCGATGAGAATTATTATAATAGGAAATTTTTAAATGTTATGCCTGCTGATAAAACCACCCTCAAAGATATGATGCCATCGGCGGATCACTTTATTTATCATCTATAATTGTGATAGTCATAGCATCCAAGCTACAGCTTTAGCATTGCTGCTGAGTTTAATAACACAGCGTGTTTACATGTTAGATTTCAGTGTTTTATGGTCCCGACAGCTGGGAATTAATTTCCCGTGTATGTACAGGTTGGTTAAATAGTATTTGTTTACGTAAATTATTTAAAGTAAAGACGGAGAACCGGACAGGTAGCTAACGGTTTCTCACGTAGGCTGAGATAGCTTGTTAGCTTAAAGGCAAAGAGAAACTTTAGACCGGTAAATTATAGATATATCTGCAAAATACCCCTGATTCGATCGATTACTTTATCCATCTTACAGTGAACGGATTCAAGTTTAAAAACAAAGAAATCAAAAGTAAAAATTGGTGGTGGGCTAGCAAGCTAACGTGGCTAAAAACACAAATTAGTAGGCGGTAGCTAACCAGGAAACGGAAACATCAGGGAATGGCAATACTATAAAGCTTTATTTTCAGTCAAGTTTGAGTGGGAAACTTTTAACATAGTCGCAAAATAGACCAAATACTTGATCGGCCGTGGGCATGGAATTTTTGAATACGTATAAATGATGAATTCATGGGCAAATACTTAAACACAAAGGGTCCAAATACAAGGCTTTGAGGCCTATTCGTGAAGGCCTCCACAATAATCGATATGACTGATGGGCACTATCGTTACATAATATGACACTAGCAGTCTAATGGACACACAGCTGTTAATACTGTCCAAATTACTGCTTTAGTTTGTAACATTGTGTCATTTGGTCTCAAGAGAATTCATAAAATAAGAGTCATCATTGGAAGGCCTTTTAGCTTCAACGGCACAGCGGCCTCTAGTTGAACGCCGTCCCGACTCGAGGCTGGGTGAGACGGCTACCACAGAAATTGAGACCGAGGCTGAATTCGGTTTCGCTTACCTTGAACTGGTATGGGCTGTGTAAGGTATTCGCTCCAGATAGACGGCCGAAAAGACTCCTAGGATCAGCTAAGCTATTTGTGTATAGATATTCGAGATAGGAAAGTAACTGTGATCTTCATCGAGCTCGGAATATGTAGAAATAAGGATGCATGTAAATACAAGCTATCCAGAGCAAATTACAAGCCGTAGGTAGGCTGCTGAGGATTTTTGTTGGATCCACAGCAGACTCCTCACAGCACCACTACAGGCACTGCGGGGACATGACAACAATCCGCTCAACAACAACAACCTCTCCTACCATATTGGAAATTCAACTTTGTTAAAACCCTTTACAGTGTTAAGTGCAATGTTAGTGATTTTATTAGAGGAATTAGTTTGTTTTTAGGGCAGTCTCCTTCACAGTTTCCCATGTTTAACGCAGTTGAGGCATATTAAATGCACTGAAAGGTCCAACAAAGTGTATGAGTGTATATTCCACCTGGACCACGGCTATCGTCTTCCATATGAATGAGTTACTAGCTCTGCTGCCACTGTGTTGCCGGCTGATCACTGATGATGAATCACGTGCCAAGCAGAATCAGAAGCTCGGGGCTGGAAAAGTTTACTATCACCCAAACATTATAGAAACATACAAAAACAGAGTACACATTTTGATTTGTGAATTTGAAAATATATTAGGCTTTCTAGAGAGAACTGGTTTATTAATTTTCACACAAATCAGTTAACTCAATATATTCAAAATACTTTAGGAAAATATATGATTAACACTTTTTAATGCCAGTGGTTTTACAGGGAGATAAAACACTGGTGTTACCCAGGAAGGAATAACATTTAAAACCTTTGGTCACAGCTCTAAGTACAGTGTGTGCATGTCCTAAAAGGTGAAATTAAAGTGTCAGGTGTGCATTCCTGGAGATTTGGTTAACGTAGGCTTACGTTTTCTTTTGTGGCACATACACTTATTTTGTCTGGGTAATAAAATATTAGTTCTGATGAGGCATCTATTATAATCACACATTTGCAATAGTAGAACATCAGTGCAAATAAACAGGTTTCTAGGAAAGTGCGAACAGCAGAATTGTGCGTATCATATTTTTAGTCAGTGATGTATAGATGGCTATTCACTGAGCTTTAACATATGGCTGGCTCATCCACAGCTTGTGCTCCCTCAGTGACAGCTTTCACACACTTGGCCATCGTCTGGGAGGCTCTGCTTATCGGATCTATGGGTAAGATGAAGAACAGATTTAAAGTCTGTACACCTTGACTACCATGAAAATCTGTTTAATATTGCATCTAATTAAAAGAAAAAAATAAACAAATAAGTCCTTATGCCCTTGCATTATAAAAACAACACAACACAGATAAAATTGAGTAAGAGGCTTAGCAATAATATACATTTAAAACTAAGTTTTTTTTTTAGAAACTAGTGCTGATTTATAGTGCAGTTTTGCAAAAACAGAAGGTTTTACATTCTATGGCAACATATAAAGAAAATAATTTTGAACATGTAGTATTAATTTATTGTTCGATCGTTTCAAAAACATGTATTAAAAAACAGATTACCAGTTGAAAAAGAATTTGGTTACTCACTTGATATAGAAGAAACAATACCAAAACTAGAATGCATTTATTTGGCTTTAAATAATTTGTGATAAAAATATTCTTAAGCTCATCTGGTAAAAATGAATATCTTAAATATTAACGGCTTAATGAAATTTCCATGAAGTTTCTCGACTGATAGTACTAATTTTGAGTATAGTATCTGGTCAGAGGAGATCCACAATACTGACAACCCACCTGTCATATAGAAGTCCTTTACAGTGAGCTGTGGAGGGACTAAAGGATCTGAAAGGACAGTCTGGTTCACAGCCTGGAAGATAAAAGCCAGATATCACTAACATAGAGACACACGGAGTGAAGTAAACAATTTGAACACGTTTTGATAGAAAACTAGAGGAAAAGAAGAGCTGACCTTTGACAGTTCATTAGCTTGTTTAAAATAGTTAGCCTCCTCAACATCATCATATCGAACCAAATTTGGGGAAACATCTGCCAGTCGATTACGCACTTCATCAAGAGTGTCATATGGCAGAGTCACTCCAGCAAGCTTAAAAGAAACAGAATTGAGTCATGTTTTTTATTTTAATTTTTTCTTTTGTTTTAACAAAACAAGGATTATCTTTGAGTACAGTTCACCTCTGATATGGCTCTGATGATCATCCAGTCCTCTCTGGCCATGCCTGGAGAAGTCACTGCAACTTTGGTCTGCTGGGCACGGCCTTCAGTGTTCACATAGGTGCTACATTTCTCAGTGTATGCAGCTCCGGGAAGTATGATGTCTGCCATTGGTGCGCCAGCATCACCGTGGTGACCTGGAAAGATCGAGCAGAGAGCTAAAATACGTCTAATTTCAGAACAAAAGATATACTCACATTTGATTTATCTGTGATTATTATGGGAGACAAAACTTTTTAGTCTGAAATCTACCAAGAAGTGTTCAACTGGGTTTGAAAATGTTATCATGAATCACAAAGCAGCTTCTTTCATTCAGCTTATTTACTTATTTCTCAGGTTTTAAATTTCACTCATGTGAGATGGAAATACGTTGTCTCTCTCAACTGTCATGCATAAATGAATGTAATTTAAGTTTCTGCCACTGTGCTGTACACTAGCCACGAGTACACTAGCCAACCTTGGTATATTATGAAGCTATCCTTGGGGAGATCTTGGCGGGTGATGCAGCCAGAGTCAGCTCCAAGCAGGAAAAGAACTTTGGGTGGGGTCTTTCTGATAGCCTCCACTCCTGGCTTGTACCCAAGATCAAGTGCAGCCACTTGACTTGCCACCCTAAAGTCAAAGATGTTGAAAAAAAAAATAATCAACTTCCTTTAACCTCTCTTGAACACTATCCTGTCACCATAAAACTGCTGACTAAATATTCCAAGATTATGACCTGTGAAGCACATTGAGGACCTTCCAGGTTTCCTCAGCACCACTGCTGACGCGAGCATTGTGAGCAATGGTTGACACAGCAGCCATTATCACATCCCCATCCTCTCTCTGCAGGCAACTGCTCCCAACCACAACAACAGGATGCTTGGCTTTAGCCAAGACCTTTAAGAGCAGATAAAATACAAATTATAAGGAAGTACATTCAAATGGACTGAAAACATAAATTGTAATACTGAGAGTTCTGAGCATTACCTGAGAAAAAGGATGAGATCCTGCTGCGATTTCGTGGAGAACTGTGCCAGTTTCCCCAAGGTGGTCATATGTGTAACTCAAGTCCACCTTTTGTCCTACAAGAGCCACTTGCAGCTCATTGTGAAGCCAGCTGAATTGAAGGTACCGAGAGAATGTAAAAGCATGTACATTTATGTGTCATATACAGTATATATCCAATCAACAACTTTGACAGTTCTATAATTTTTACATCCTTTATTTACAGTATTGCCGTACCTTTTTCTGATTCGGGCATTGAACAGAGGAGCCTCATAGCGTGGGTTGGTCCCAACCAGAAGCAGCAGGTCAGCTTCTTCAACTCCGGCGATTCCAGTGTTTAGAAGATAGTTTGAACGCAAGTCAGAGCTGAAGAAGCCATGAGTCAAAACACAAACTAGCATCAGCTTTACTGCACCTGGATTTTTGATTATTATACAGGATTTCACTCCCTCTATAGTCTTACCCTGCTCCAGCCATTGGGAACACCTCCTCTGTGCACAGGTTGTCACTGTTCAAATGATTCAGCAAGTCTTTCAGAGCAATAAGAGCCTCTGCGTCTGCTAAGCCTCCGACAACAGCAGCAACTTCACTGCCCTTCACTCCCTGCAACTGTCAAATGAAACAGATGCTAAACACAAGCAGCAAATGATCATACATAGTTATGGGTCATTCTATCATAAATAACATACTGCTCCAGCAACTCGAGTCAGCACATCCTCCCAGGTTGTAGGGACCAGCTGCCCGGACTCATTTTTCACCATGGGCTGAGTAAGCCTCTGCCTCTTGAGACCATCATAAGCAAACCTGTCAGGACAAAAGCAACAAAGACTTCAGCAATAGTGCAGAAAAGGTGAAAATCTACATCTGTGAAGAACTTTGTGATCCATCATGAACCTGGTTTTGTCTGAAATCCACTCCTCATTAATATCCTCGTTGAGACGAGGCAGGATTCTCATAACCTCACCTCCACGAGTGCTCACAACTATGTTACTACCCACAGCATCCAGAACATCAATGGATTCAGTTTTCCTGCAGGAGAAACCAAAGATAAAACATGAGAATGAAAACTAACTTCTCATCCTAAGAAGATGATGACGCGCCAAGCAAAATTCCCAAACCTGGTTTCCCAAGGGCGAGCGGTGAAAGCATATGGTTTAGAAGTCAAGGCTCCTACTGGACATATGTCAATGACATTCCCTGATAACTCGGACATGAACATCTTTTCCACGTAGGTCCCAATCTGGAGATCATTGCCTCTGCCAGTGGTACCCAGATCCTCCACTCCTGCAATCTCACTGGCGAAGCTGTAGCAACAACAACAAAAAAAAAAGACTTGATTGATGTTTTGTCATACTAAAATGAACCAGCAGCTCACCATAATTTGGATGAAATTGATGTGTGGCTCACCGCACACAGCGAGTGCACTGAATACAGCGAGTCATAATGGTTTTAATGAGAGGCCCGATGTTCTTGTCCTCCACAGCTCTTTTACCCTCTGTGAAGCGGCTCCTGTCACTGCCAAACTGCATCGACTGGTCCTTGGAACAAAATGACATTTGAGTTTAAGGAGAACAAGTACAGGAAACAACTTTAATACACAAGCTGAGTTGTTAAAATTTACAAGTTGGGTAATTTTTTTTTTACTTGCAGATCGCATTCACCCCCCTGATCACAAATTGGACAATCTAACGGGTGGTTAGCCAGAAGGAACTCCATCACACCTTCTCTGTGTAACCACAAAAAAGTATGTTATATATTATTACAGTCCAAAATGAGTACAACAACATATTCATGAAGATGAACCTTAGATTATGAAGCCTACTTTGTCTAACTTGTGAGTTTTTCTTACCTGGCTTTTCTTGTTTTGTCAGAGTTGGTTAAAATGTTCCAACCCTTCATGACTGGCATAGCACAAGCTGCAACGGGCTACAACATGAATGACAAATTATTATTTTAAGCATGGAAATATTAATCTCTCTCATACTGAGATAACAAACAGTTGAAGACAAGTTAAAGTTTAAAAATACAGACTTGAACAAACACACCTTTGGGACTTTCTCTATCTCCACAAGACACATGCGACAGTTTCCAGCGACTGACAGGCGCTCATGGTAGCAGAAGCGAGGAATCTGCATTCCTACCTTCTCACACGCCTGTGGCAATAGTGAGTTATGTTTCACAATTCATATAGTGACCAAAGATAACTTGAATTATCTTAACCCTCCTCCTGTGTTTGGGTCTGCACCGACCCATTTTTGATTTTAAATGCTTAGAGGAACCACTTTAATTAACTTTTTTGTTTCAAGACTTTTTGACTTTATCAGGAACCTCTATTTCAACAAAATAAAAATATTCAATTGACTAAATTATAAAATTCTCTTATTAAAATTATGACACTTGTCGTGTTATGATCACTGTTGACACGGTTCGATCAATATCTAATTTTAGAGCAAAAACTGTAATCATAAGTGCACTGCTAGGCACCACAATGACAGTCAGAACCTCTTCAAATCATGTGAGATTTAGGAAATTCTCAGTTTGCCACGTTTTTCAAAAAACTATGTGGGGTATGTCCAGATATTTGAGATCAATCCAGTATAGATATCTTTGTGAGGGGTATACTGACAAAGAAAGGCCCAAAGACCCACATCAAAAAATATTATAAGCAATATTTTCATGGATAATGAAGCCTAACAAGGTAACCTAGAGATGAGAACCAAATTGGATAGTACATAATTGTTTTTAGTGTAATTTACAGCTGATTTAAGTCAAGGGTCAAAACCGACCCTTAACATGGTGGGTGCGTAGTAAAAGCTAACACAGGAAGAAGGTTAAACAACTGGGTGCATGAATAAACTACCTTACCTGTAACACGGTGGTCCCTGGCTCCACCATGACAGGTGTCCCATCCACAAACACCTCCAGGAGGTTACTGGCAGGTGCTGCTGCAGTTGCAGCATTGCGAGCTGAAGGCACAGACAGAAAACAAAACTTCTTTTCACTCAAAGACCATTAAACAGTTACATAATATACAATCACTTCTACCATAACAATGGCCTCCTCTTTTTTCAAAGTAAATGAACTAATTATTTCCACTGACACCAGAGTCTAAATTGAGCCAGCTACAGCCAGGCACCAGATTTGGTAGCTGGCAAAGCTGTAATCCTGTCTATAATCCATCAGTGGAACAAACTGGAAAAAAAAAACCTTACTGCTAACACAAAACACCCAATTAACAAATGGGTGGTCTGCAATACAGGACAGGATTGTTCTTAATGAAGGCATGATCAATTAATCAGTAGATGAAGAGGCATATTGTTACCATGGTTAGCAGCCGCACCTCCTTTGGCAGCAGCTGCTGGAAACAGACTCCGGCTCACAGCAGGCAAACGCAACATGCTGGAGGAGGAGAGGCAGACAAGCGACAGCACGTGTAAGATCCATCATTAGCAGCTATTTTAGCTGTCATACTAATGGAAGTGTCCTCAAAGGTTAAATTCACTCAAAGTTTGTGCTGAAACTGAGTCTGAGTGAGCCAGCTAACGTTGTAACACAGGGAGGCAGCAACAATGGCATGTGACGTATTTTAAAATCATGTCTAAACTATTAAACGCGTTGTTTACATCGCTAAAAGGGTACAAACAAACGCCACACTTACTTAGTAAGATACATTTCCACCACGCTTTACTATTCATTGTAGGTTGTAAGATTGCGTGATAACCATAGGGAGTTAGCTAGCATACCCCGCTAAAAACAAGCTAACGGAGAACCAAATGAAGTGGCTCCTAACCGGCTAACTGTGGCTTCCACTCCAGTGATAAAGTGTCATCTAAAGACACTGACAGCATGTGTGCCCCAACATCAACATATCCATACCGTGAATACTATATTTTGAATATTACATAATGATAAATTCTTACTTTATCAGAGTTTCTCCTCATTAGACGAGACTGCCTGCGATGCAGATTGCGCACTGTCTTGCTATTGTGCTGCGTCACGGATTAAGTAATCCTGTATACCATAATCCAAACAGGCAGGTTTCCTCTCTTCAATTACGCACTGATCTAGTCGTACGGTAATTTAACAATACAGTTTGCGTTCTCAATGTAAACCCTTATGACAAGCTGAGGGAGCACAGGGGTTTTTCTCTCACTTTCAGATTATAATGTGGAAACAAAGTAAATACACACACAGCTGGGTAGTTTAATACAACACAATACACCAACTCTGTCACAAATTCTACTTTAAGAAAGCGTCTTGATTTTCATTTTTGATATAATCAAACAGTTCACAGTTATTAGGGGAGAGTGGGGTAAGTTGAGCCACCCCCTGTTGCTTGGAAATGATAAAAGAAATTGATCATGTGACCAAATATTTAGGAGATGGGCATCAATTCATGGAGTCCGTGAAGGTTAGAAGCTCATGGGTGAAGGGGTTAGACATTTATTTCCAAAAACAAGCATTTGTCACTCTTGAAAGTAAATTTAGTCTGTCCTAAATTTTATTAGAATTGTTTTCAGACCAATTGGGGTATCTATGGGTGACAACATGAGGTCAAAAACCGAGCATAAAAGTCCACCATTTTAGCTTAGAGGACTACTAAAGTCATAATAGTAGTTCTGGGGTAAGTTGAGTCAGTGAAATATATGCAAATACACTAGTTAGAGACAAAACTATGATTGCCTTGATCCGAAATATAAAAAATAGTTCATCTTACCCCACTCTCCCCTTTACCTTATTGTCCTTTTTGAAGAGGTAGTGTGTAGTGGTGTACTGGAGTGTGTTACACTGAAAGGTGCTCCTTGTGTCTTGTCCACTACTTCATTCACAAACATGAGCAAACAGAATATAAGGGGGACCCTCAATTTAAAGCACTCTGTCATTTTAACAATTATGTTTCAGAACAATTATCACTGGTCTGATCATGTCAACCAAAAAATCCAAATATACAAGTTTATCCCTTTTTTTATACAAGATTTTTTATATTTTAGGATATCTGATCGAGCTTGTATTGGGTTGCACTGGATTGCCCAGGTGTTGATAATGTTGCAGATCATCTGTATCTGCATTAATGGGCCAATAGATGGAGGATCACAGCGATTTTAAATTTCAGAGTGCAGACGATTGTAGATTTTAGGGTTAAAGATTATGCCCTTCATCCAACTTTGACTATTAACTGTTATTCAAGGGATTCAGTCCAGCCACCTTCCTGACACAGGATGAAGCTTTATCTCTTAACCTCATGCTTGCGTAATCTGTATTAGTGCCAGTTCAGCAGTGAGAAATAACAGGAAATGGCTGGATTTGTTCAAGGATCCTCAGGAAATGGGAGGAAATTAATATCCGGGTTTGTGTCAAGGGCATGTACTAACAGGACCTCAGGAAATCCACCTGGAAATCTACTCTGTTCCGACATGAAACATCATAGGTAACTTTTTAATGAGGAAGCAATGACAGAGCCAATTACAACAAAATTAAGGTGCACAGATAAGGTACAATGGATGTTTAGGATAAAGTAAATATTTGGAATATATTAGAGTAAAACATCTTTACCACTCTAGGCGTGTTAATAAATCTAACAATATATTAATAGATGACAGGTATATACAAAATATAAAATATATACAAACACATCATAATGTTGGACTAAAATTATATAAAAAATATTACACATACAAACATTCAACCTAAATTACCCAAATTCTGAAACATTCCTCATAGTTTTCCAGAGCTCATCCACCCTGTTTCATTTTGTCAGATAAATTTTTCTGATGAAAAAAACATTAATTTTTTCTGTGATATCAGAGAAAGACATTCCCTCAGTTGAGAAGCCAGAGCACGATAACCACCAGCAAATGTGTTGGATTTCAAATGTTAGCTTAACTTGTCTGTTTTTAAAAATCCCTTGTCTTTTGTGAGGAAAAATAGAAAATACAATTTCAGTATGCACATAATTCAAATTTGAGTTTCCTTATAGTAAGAAACCCCAGTCAAAATAAAAAATACAGCAAAATAATAAAAATCTTAGCACAGAAGCTGGAAAGAACAGCAATAATAACGATCCGTTGTCCAAGTAACAGCAAGTCCTTGTGCCATGTTTTCCACACTCCGCTCCTGCTGTCTGATAATGATTATAATCATAAAGTTGATGACGCCACAGACTCATCTGGCACACTGTCTTGGTGAATTCCTGGCACAGACTCCATCTCAGTGGCAGAGAGTGATTGGCTGAGCTCTCTCAATGAATTCTTAGTAATGTCCAGGCATGCGTGCTTCAGGATACGACGCACTTTTTTACCTAAGAGCATGTACAGCAGGGGGTTAATGCAGCTGTTGAAAAAGCCTAAACTGGTGGCAAGAGGAAAGCCAGCTCTGAGTATGTTGTGCAAATAATAGGAGGAATGTATGGTTAACTCCATTAAACTGAAAGTATGAAAAGGTGCCCAGCACAAAAAGAAGGCCAGAATCACAGCTGAGACTGTTCTGGAGAAGCTGGAGAGGCGAACTTCACCTCCAGATTGTTTCACTTTGATAGTAAGGAGTATGCCACTCACACATATTGCAGTAAAAGGCAAAAGGAAGCCAACAGTGGTGCGGATGACCACAATAACAATGTGCCTCATGGTTGCTGTGTGTCTGTCCTTTTCATGAAAGTTATTGAAGCACACTACCTTGTCATGTAAGCGCATCGTGTCGCGAAAAATCAATGCGGGGCAGCTCAAGGCGGCAGCCATCACCCATATGCACCCGCATACAATCCAGGCCCAACACAGAGTGCGGTATCTCTGAGACCAGTTGAGGTGGACCAGCGAAACATATCTGTCTATACTGAGCACTGTGAGGAAGAGCACACTGGCATACATGTTCATCACAGACACGAAGGAGTTTATCTTACACATGGCCACGCCAAAGTCCCAGTGGAAGTCCCGCAGGATGTAATCAATGGAGAAAGGCAGAAAAAGCACAAAAACAAAGTCTGCAATGGCGAGATTGAGCAGCCAAACACTGTTGATGGTCTTTTTGCTTTTAAAAGCTGTCACCCAAATGACAGTCCCGTTTCCAATCAGACCGAGTATGAAAGAAATGATGTAGATGACCACCGAGATAATGTGCATAGTTTCTTTCTGGCTGTGGTCTACTTTCAGCTCCTCCAGGTCGCCATACTCCAGGTAGTCCTCATAAGTGTAGTTCCCGTAGTCCTCTCCGGAGTCCTCCATTGTTTCAAGGAGATCTATGGGGAAGTTATCTATGACAGGCATATGATAAGATGAACAGTAAACAACCTGCATGCGTTATAATCAACCTTGGACATGTTTTCTCACCTCACTCTGTTTATTTTAATGCTGGGCTGCTCGTCTGAAGGATACAGTTTCCGGTCTTTTCCCTTCTTTCCAATCATTCAGTTCCTGTGTTGAAGTTATGGCTGGGTGTGCCCTGTGGAGCTCTGGAACATAGTGTCAACATGTATCAGAATCAACAGTGTGGACAGTCAGTGAGATGCCCAACAGATGAGGCAGAAAGAGCCCTCCCAGCTTGAATCATATTGTTTTCATGAGTGTAAGTAAACACAGAAGGTTTGTACTGATACACAGGGTTCAAATGCAAAAGCACAATGTACACGTGTGGGTGATAAAATGCTCTGTGGTGTTTGATTGTTAGTCTTTTCAAGGTTATTACAGGCTGAGCAAATGGATAAAAGGTTATAGTTTAACACATATCACCCCTGTCTCTATCATTGTCAAGCCCTCACAAACTTGACCAAAGTAACATCCAATCTAAATTAGCTACAGATGTACTCTCTGTTTATATAAGATATTGTCGACATAGCTCATAAATAAACTTTGGAAGCGAATGTGAAAAATATAAAGAATAAAGGTCCTAAAAGTAAAGAGGAATGATAAAATTATGAATTAAATCTCAGCTTGGCTGAGAGAACATGGCTTTATAACAACACTGGTCTCTACTTTTGCTTTAGAATCACATCAGATTAGCTGTAGAGGACTACATAATAGAGTTACTGCAACACAATTAAGGTTATAATACTCCATTAGAGAATGGAAAGACATTTAAAAGGCTGTGGAAACAGATAATAGAACCGCATAAAGAGTAGCCTGAAGTTTGACACTGGAGGGTAACTACAAGACACTGCAAACAGAGTAAAGACAACAGTCAGATTGAACAGTGATTCAAAATGAAAACTTCAAATACTTGAAACTAAATGTACACAATGTTGAGTGAGTCATCAGTACAATCAGAGGGTTTTATTCCACTTAGAAGTCTCAGAAAACATGCAGTAACACAACTGATTGTGTAAAAAGCAACATTAGGAGATAACTGTTCACAGCTACACAAGTACCACATACACACTTTTGTTTAAACATGGATGGTTTTGTTAAGGTTTAAAGACGACAGTGCACCGCTTACCCAAAAGTTCACCGAGAAGTTTTTGGATGTGAACTCCCACAGCCCCTCGGATGAAAGCGGCTGCTAACTTAGCCTCTGTAGCTCCGTTATAGCGGTGCCTCGTCTCTGCTTCCTCCGCTCCTTCACCGAAGTGCCTCTGCAGCGTGTGTGGAGTCTTTCCGTGACTCCATCCAAGTTAAACTCTTTTGCTGTGGAGGGACGGTGGAGCTGTGAGATGTGCAGTGGGCGCGCCGGGCTGACGCGTCAAGCACCACAGACAGAAGCAAACTTATTGGTCAGCCGCACGGAATGAAGAATGCTTTCATTCAGATGAGCTGTGGCTGCTTCTCATAACAGCAGGGGAAACCCTCAGCGCCCCCCACTCCCACCCCCCAGTGGATAAACGGAAAACTTTTAGATCTTGCACATTTTCTGGTTGACGTGTAGATTTTTTGCCCAACTGTTTCTGCCAACTACGGTAAAGTGCGTTTACTATTTTGATTCTGCATGTCATCATTTTTTTTTATAAGCTCAATCAGTACTTCCACTTTACTGTAAAAGAAGTCTATTAAACATTAGAGTAATGCACCAAAATAGTTCTCAAAAAGAGGAAATAAAACTAATGCAATGCAGGTAAAAATTTACTGTAGTTAAAGTAGTGCAACACCACACTTATATACTGTATATCAGTATCAGGTTAAAGTGCCGCTGAAAATTATAATCCTAAATTGAAAATAAAAGTACTTTAAACACTGCACTTTGAAACTACTCTCAATAAGTAAAAGTCTAAGAAAAGTTCCTCATGTAAAAGTTGTATTTATGCTGCAAAAATACAAGCAAAAGACTGATATATGAAGATACCCAAGTACAAATATGACAAAGTGTGTCTGGTGGTTATTGTAAAAGCAGGTTTTATACTGTCCTACTGTAGCTGTGAAAAGTTAAAGCAATGCTTTTCACTGAGAGCACTATCAGTGATTTAATAGGCTGATGTTTGTTATAAACTGTAAAAGAAAAAGAGATGACAGATATATACAAATAAATTTCCCACATCATCCCTCCTGAACGCAGACTTACCGGGCCCTCTGCAACTTGGGTCTTAGTCCGCGTGTCCAGGTCATGGTAGGTACTCTCTGAGTCTTCATTCAGGTAGTAGATTAACCGCGAGGGGTAGGTGATCACATGCTCTACTGCATGCTGTGTTCTGTTGTCTGGGGCAGGTGCTGCAGTCGCCTGTTGCTCCAGCAGAGCCAGCTCCCTCTCAACCTTGTCCTCGACTCCTTGAGAAACTGCCGGAGAATTCCAAATAAAAGACACTTAGTATGTTCTTATATTCAGAGCCATGACACATTTTGACACGACAAAAACCAAAAACAGTAAGATGTGGAGTTTTTCAAAGTATGTTCTTTAAATTTTCATGGTTTTTGGCCACTAGTACATTTGTAAATGTTAAAGTGATGTTACAGACAATAGTGTTCAGGCACACAATGTCTCACATGCCTGCTTTGTCACTAACAATGAAAAAAACAAAACTTGTTGTCAAGTTACACATTTCAGCATCCTGTCCTGTATGATTCAAAGTTGATGAAGCCTTTCCTCCTGAAAAGGAAGTCAACTACATCAGTCTGAAACTGCAGTTAAAATACTTCAACAGATCAGTCCAGGTATATCAGTCTGAAACTTTTCTTTGTTATCATTAAAAGTTTACCAGGATGTATATCAACAAAGCTCTTTTCTAAAATGATGCAGGTTGAACTTTTTCTTGCTGCTTACTGATCTCTTTTTGTTTGATCAGCTGGTCAGACAGCACGGTCTCAGCTGTCTATATCTCCAGCGACCCAAAGTGACCATCTCATCCCTCTGAAGACCATTCAGCCCTGAGGGGGAGCTGTCACATCCTCAAATATCTATCTGTGAGTCTTTTGTGTGTATGCATCTGAGTAGATCCATGAATTACTTCATTTATTTTACACGTATTTGCTTATTAGGGACTTATAGAGATGGCGTTACGGTAGATTTCTAAAATACAAGAGGTACCAAAAGTTTGAACCTGGTTTTGGTCAGGAAACCTCTGCTCGTCAAACATCAGACTATATATTGCTGAGACAGAGTAAATATATCCGTACATGGATAGGCCACTTTGACTCAAGGCAGTTTGTGTTGTAATAATGAGGACAGGACTCGTGCAATCAAGAGCTTGTGCCTGAATAACACACTAACATCTACACACAAATGTAATTCAGTAATTGTTTACATGGCTGGCTCCATTTATATTTTTGGCAAAGCTCTTTCAATCTTCACGCAGAAAGCCAATTTAATTAAATTATGTATGCCACTATATGATGAGTAAAAGGACAACTAAACTTTATTTGGTAGCTTACCTTTTAGTTAAAAACAGAAACTGGATTGAGGAGGTGTTGTTAAAGCTCAATGATCTTACTATGCATTACATAACATGTCATTTGTGGAGTAAGTTCTGTGCTGTAACAAGTGGTATGTCTCTTATTTGCTGCATCAGAGGTAGATTGCTTTGACTGCTGTAAGATAATGGTCATTAGCTGACGGACATGACTTGATGATCCGCTATACAGGCCTTTTCACAAACTATTATTGGCACACCATAGTAGAAAAAGCACTACATTGAGTATAAAAATGGCTGACCACCACTGATGTACCTTGAGTAGAGCAGAGCCAGAGATAATGTAATCAGTAACACTTGTGCTTTATAACTACAGTCACACACTGCTCTACTGGGCCTTTGTGTTTGTAATATAAAAGATTTGCACACTCCAAAGCACATATTGTATTTCACTGTACAGAAGTACTACTTTAAAGTATCTTACCTCAGTAAATCCATCACTGTAGCTGCGTTTTTGTTGCTTTTCTAGATACAGTTATCTAGTTACAGTGCTTTTTAGTCTGTCTTACAGCCAAAAGAAGTAAATTTTATGGTTCTGGATGAGAAATTTATTAGCAATAGTTCACCTTCACAAAAACCTCTGATGACCTTTCTAGAAAGTCTCCTATAGATGGGTTTAACAACTTTTACTGTTCAATTTACAGTTTGCATCTGTTTTCTTTAGTGCTTAGTGACTAAATTAATAAAGATTAACATGAAACAAGTGGTGGGACTCCATAGTTTCTTTACTTTGTCCCCCACCCTTTTCAAATAGATTTTTTGAAATATAAAGTCTTTACAGAAAGTATGTGGTGATGCTGCTTTCTTTTATTTCCTCTGGTTATCTCTGTAGTTCTGATCATGTTTGAGATAAACAGAATTAAATAAAAAATAGTTTGAATGGTAAAATAGACTTGTTGACTGCTAAGAAATGAGAAAATGTAAATGTAAAATAGACTAGTTGAAATTTTGACAACCTCATGATCAGTTTTCTAATTGGTAGCTCCATAAAAGACATACAAAACACTGGCAATATCTCTGTTATTCTTTCTTAGTGAAATAAAAACTTATTCATGTTGTTTATGTGGTTCTTATCACGTTTGAGATAAGTAGAATTAAATAAAAATGAGTTAGAAAGGTAAAATAGACTAGTTGACAACCTCATAATCCTTTTTTCGATCATTTGCTCCATAAAAGACATTTAAAAAAACCTGGCAATGTCTCTGTTGTTGTTCTTTAGTAAAATAAAGACTTATTTTTTCCTCACAGTTTTGTATTACTTACTTTCGTCTGAAAAATAGATTTTTAAAGCACTATTCACGGCTGGAAAGTTTAATCTTATTTTTGAAAATAAATCAAATCAAATAACTTATTCAACAACAGAAGCGTTCAGCTCGACTACTTAATGCTGTGGTTATTATCTATCTATCTATCTATCTATCTATCTATCTATCTATCTATCTATCTATCTATCTATCTATCTATCTATTTATTTGTTTGTTTATTGATGTATTTGTTTGTTAAATGTTTTTCTTGTTTTTACAGGGACCGTGAACGTCACACGCTCTCTCCAGGTGTCTGTTTGTTGTGATAAGCCTTGGAGGTCACCTGCAGCGGGCTTCCTGTGCTCCGAAGGGGAGGAAGGACATGTTTGTCTGCCGCTTGACTTCCAGTTACTGCTATCTGGCCACCGCCTTCTTTTTTTTTTTTACTCCCTCCTCCCTTCCCTGTCCCTCTCTCCTCCTCCTCTCCCTCCTCCTCCTCCTCCTCAGCAGCAGCTACTGCAGCAGCGGCAGCAGCGTCCCGGTGCCTCCCGGATCCATGAAGAAAGCCCCTCATCACGGCACCTCCTCAGCCACGATGGGCCGCAAGCTATTTACTGCGTTGTTGTGTTGATATCGAGATATTTCAGTTCTCAAATATGAATCATGCATTTGATATTTCTGGCCACTTTGCTCGTCAGCAACCTCTCGCCTTGGCTTCATCCATCACTAGCGTCATCCGGTACGTATATCACTAGCTTGCTGGCTTTGTGGTCACTTTCCTCTTATTGCATGCAGCTATCACTTTTCTGTGTTGGGCTAAAACAAAATATCACGATGCACTGCAGGTGTACGGCATTGCGTCCCCCCCCCTCAAAAACAGATAGGGAGTTATTTGATTTGTTATGCGGCGTCTTCAACGTGATGGTGCATGAGGCAGACTTACAGCATCTCAGCACCTTTTGTTCAGGACATAAAATATTACAGCTCTTTAAAATATGAGATAAGCACAGTTTAATTCACTGACAGTAGGTGCCTTTAACTCAGGTGCATATTATTTTCCTTCTGCTGTCTGGATTGCATAATGCACTCTGCATTTATCTGTCTGCTGCAGAGTTTTTTACTTTGACAATCACCATGTCAAAAGTACCTCTGTATAAAATGAAGCAATTTATATTCTGCACACTTGGTGATGTGGTGATTGTATTCTGCGATCTATGTAAGCTTATCTGTCATATACGGCTCACTATGCCATTTCATAAATCTTACCGAACTGTGTCCTGAAGAAAAAGCAATGAAGCTGTGGCCACTTGCCTCCGTTTTATAAATGTGTTTCATGAATAAAGGATGACAGCTGACGGTGTGTGGACCGCCGGGGTGTTTTCATGTCTGTACATTTGGAATTCTCCGGCAGTTTCTCAAGGAGTCGAGGACAAGGTTGAGAGGGACGCAGTGCCGGCTCTACTGGAGCAACAGGCGACTGCAGCACCTGCCCCAGACAACAGAACACAGCATGCAGTAGAGCATGTGATCACCTACCCCTCGCGGTTAATCTACTACCTGAATGAAGACTCGGAGAGTACTTACCATGACCTGGACACCCGGACTAAGACCCAAGGTGCAGAGGGCCCGGTAAGTCTGCGTTCAGGAGGGATGATGTTGGAAATTGATGCTGGGATGTGGGGAGAAGTTATTTTTCAGATATTAGAATCAGAATTTGGTTTATTTCCAAGTAGGTTTGCATATAAAAGGAACCTGTCTTGGGATTTTGATGAAATACAAAAAAATGTTAGAATTGGGAAGCAAGTAGACTGTTGCACCGCTGTCGAGGAACTTCAAAATGAAAACAAAACATACTCTTACAGTGTGTAGTTTGGGAATGTGCAAGATACACCCTCAAACTACACACAAGATTTACAGATATGATCATCAAGAGTGTGGGATAATTTGGTGCATGGGAGTAAGATGTTAAGGCTAACTCTAAACATCAGAGTTCAGTGTATTGTAGAGACAGTTTAAGTGACCATGAGGCTGATGCTCTTGTGATCATCAGCAGAAATGTTTGGTTTAATAATAACATGCTGTGAGGTCAAGGATCTCAAGTTTAAAGTCGTATCAAGCCTTAACCCGATCGTCATTTCTAAACATTATCAGCCAAAGCCAAGAAACTCATCACAATCAGTTCAACACATAGTTTGACCAGCTTCATTATATGTGGAAGAACTGGACTCATGCCAGAGCAACCATGCTGAAGAAGCCTTTCTTCCAGTGTGCCCACTGTAAATTACCATCTGCCATCCATCCACCACATCTGTTATCAGTGCTCTGTGCTGAAGATGATTTTGAAAGTGGACTCTGGAGGATTGTTTTGCCTGAAGTAGCTATTAGCTACCTTACGCCTGCCATAATCTGCAGTGACTACCTTTTTTCTCTCTTTCAGGCTGTCCATCTTGCCCAGGCTAGCTTCCAGTTAGAGGCATTTGGCACAAGATTTGTACTGGATCTAGCATTGAACAAGTAAGTCACACTCTTCTGTCTGCGCTTGTTTATTCTTGGCTTAATGGACTGATGTTATAGTTAGTTAGCCAGCTTGGTTGTGAACAGGAATATGTGGATGAAGAACCCTTTGCAGTCACTCAAAACTGCTTTTGCAGTGGACTACTTGTGTGTGAGATTTTTGTTCAACTCCAAGATAAGATGTTACAAACTTTAAGTGTTAATGTTTTGTTCATTCCTGACAAGAATGTTTATTGTCAAGGTCATGTTGACAGTAATGCTGCAGATGGTTTAAAACTCAGAACAAAGGGGGCATATTTCATCCTGGTTACAGAGGAGCAGTGTAAACGTAGTCCAAACATTCACACCAGCAGATCCACATCAATGCTACCTCTGGGAATTAAGCAAGAGGTGCAGCTGCAAAGTGAAACTTTCTCAGGAAAGCTACATTGAATTTCCTTTCGGAGATTAATAAAGTTCTTCGTATTCTTATTCTCTATTGTATTGTATGATGCAATGCTGTTATTACTACAATCAGCACTGTATGCTATACTATAGAGAAAAGTCGAACAAAAAAGAAGTGAAATAGTATATCCTCATTGGTATATCCTTGCACAGTTGAGGAATCCTCACTGAATACAAAGTGTACTGTATGTTCCAAAACAACATCTGTAAAACATCAACACTGAGAGAGTCAAGTATTACGCAAGAGTTAACGCAATCACAAGATGTATCAGCGCAAGACTTTGTGAGCCAGCACTCTGTACTAAAGCTGAAATGAAAATGGACAGCACTTCTGAATCACCAATGCTTGTAAGTGGTACATGCTAATGTATGTGAATAATGCAGCGTCAGTCAGAGATAATGACATCAGGGAAACTGTAATTGCATACATCAGTGTGCTGGATTCAGAAGTGCTAAGAGTAGTTTTACCTCAGCTGCCAGACCACAGAGACAAACTGTTTAACTAAATGATTTGTAAAACCAGTCTCCGTTTTCAGTGAGGTTTCAGTGGTTTGCATCCAACGAAACAGAGAGACAGCTACGTTGTAGTCTGTCTGATCACTGTCGCATTCAGAGACACAAGGCTCTGGACACTCAATGATATTGATTTTCTCCCTTCACAAAGTAGCTGGTGTACATACGTGAAGGCTTAATGTGCATGTGAACAAGGACTTTAAAATGCTAATTGAATTCCAGGTCTCTTTGTGTAATATGGAGCTGGATTCTGTAATGAAATATTGTTGTTTCATATTGTCTTTACAGCTAAGTGCTGTTGGACCTCTCGTCTATGTGCTTGTACTCGTGTGCTTGTTGGCAGCTTTTTTTCTCCAACAATGCAAAGAAAAAAAGAGCCTTGAGAAGAGGTGTCATAAATCACAACTATGGTTTACTTAGTTTTAAATTGCAAAAACTCCACCATACAGTATTCTGTACTTGAGAGCTAAATTTAATTATCTTGGCCAACAACAAATCATGTTTTCTTGTAAGAATATGGACACTGTTGAAGTGTTGCTGCAGAAAAGCACAGATGTCATCATCTATCTGAATTAAGCAGTAGGTTTCCACACACAATAAGATGATATAGGAGTAAATCTACTGTCACAGCTGCTCTGATATTTTATGAATACAAAAGAGCTTATAGTCACGTTTCGGGACAAGCAGCGATAGACTCATTCTCTTTCTGTGTTTTGTCACTTCATACCACAATCACCATATTCATTGAGGTTTTCTAGTGAAAGACATGGGTAAAATATTCATCACACCTTTTATTTGTTTGCGTTTCTGCATAAGTACATCTTTGTTTGCAGTGTAAGCAGCACATTAGAGATGGATACAGGAGAAATCAAGGATTCATCACTCAGTTCCATCTCACAGTCATCATCATGGAAAACAGATGCCGTCCTGTCCTGTACATTCCCACACGATGAAAAGTTGCTACAGAATCTGTTTACAGCTACAGAAAGGCCTGAAAGTGTGACCTTGATTCCCAGCTGGCTGCCTGGACTGTGGGTTATCTGTGAGATACATGAGCTAACTCCACTCTGTTCCTTTTTTCGGTGTGAGAACAGGGGTTTAAATTCTGCTTGGTGTTGTAGTTGTAACAGAACAGGACTGATCTAAATTTAGACAGGTTCGCAACCTGCCAATACTTGGTCTGCTCAACTCTTACCTTTAATCGTACCTTTGGCTGCACACCAAGGACGAAGTTTTACTGCTTTGAAAAAAGATTTTCAAACTAAACAATGTTGTGTGATTAAATTATGTGAAAGCAGACAGTGAGGATGTTGATTTATTTAGTCTAAATCTTGACCAAATGTAAGAGGGATGAGTGCCATGTGTCGCTACTGGATTCAGACCTGAATTTGATCCTGTGCCAAACTCAAACCTCCTGCAGTTTTTTGGTGCCTCACTTCTCTCTCACTGCTGCTGCTGCTGCTGCATTGTAGCACTCAGTCTCCTCTGGACTGAGGAATCTCAGAGCAGGACTCCTTTTTCCTCCTCTTTACACGCTCTCACCAACATGTAAACACACATGCACATCATGATACACCCTATCCCACAGTTTTAAACCTTCATGCCCTGCAGTACTGTCTACCACTCCACACAAACACCAGTACACTCCGGCGTGGCCCACTCTCCTCACCCTTCCTCATCCGTGGAGCTAAAAATAGCCCCTCACTCAGGAACCTCTCACAGACACAGCTCGTGGCTCGATTCTCCTTTCTTAATGGTGCACTTCCTGCTCACGTGCAGCTGAGCATCACTCAAACACGCCACACTCTTTGTATCACCAGACAAATCCATCACCTCCGTCCTTTTTCCCTTTAATTGTGTTGAAACACCGGCTGCAGGGAAGAGGATGCTTTTGATTAGCAAGGTTACTGAGGAAAAAAAGCGCCATTGTGCAGAAATCGCAGCCTCTTGAAATCAGCTGTCAGCTAACAGATTGAATGTGTGTTAGTGTTTGCGTGTCACGGTGAGGGACGCTGACTCAGGCAGCGGAAACTGCCGCGAGGACCGTTGTGTTCAAGGTTAAGCCGAGGCCTCATAATCGTTTATCATGTTCATCACTTCATTGGCAGCATTCTGATGATGTGACTTGTTTCTGTTCCTGTTATGTGCGCTGATTTTCAAGCACTGATCTATGAGGGGCGGCTCGGAGGAAGAATCCCACATGTAAAAGAAAGTTTCAAAGATATCTGGACTTCTTTAACCTTGTTGTTACATTATTTATAAAAGGAATCTTCTATTTTACCAGGTGGAGTTTTGTTTGAACAGCTTTTCCTGTGATAATTAATCATCCCTAGGAATAAATGCATCGTAATTCTTCCTGCGGGCAGCCAACATTTAACATCTCCGCTGCTCTTTTGAGATGCCACGGGAGTGTTTGTGCTGGTTAATCCAAGCCCAGTGGTGATGAGTGTTCTTGTTTACAAAAAGCACTGCTCACCACTGGCTTCTAACCCCAATTTGTAAGTCAGATAAAGCAAAGACAGGCAGACTCTGGTGTGATTTTTATTGTCACTGCTTTTTTTTCCCTCAAACTCACTGCAGTCTCCATTTTCACAGTGACTTGCTGTCTTCTGATTATGTCGAGATCCACTTTGAAGGGGGCAAGCCTGTTATGTCAAAGGTAACGGCTTCTGTACTTGTGACTTCACTGTTACATACTTCTTGTTTTGGTTGCATCTGTGTTTGTGTTTTCCTTCCGCTGGTACATTGTGTTCTGCTTTATTTTTGTATTTTTATAGTCATGCACTTTGGCAGAGTAAAAAGTGCTTTAATTATCCTAAGGAAGAGATGTATAAACAGATAGAAACTACTCTTGTTGTTCATTTCCCGTATATCTGCTGGCATCTCATCTGTAGACGTCAAAGTATCCGGGAATTCAAAATAACACTGCTGCCGTCACTTTAAAATCTCATCCAAACAAGAGCACACACAAGCAGGAAATCTCTGCAGAACAAAATGTTCATGAAGAAGCATCATAGATAGATAGAAAGAGGAATTTTTAAAGAGGAGCTAAAGAGAGGAGCTAGAGAGAGGGGGGAGAAAGCAGTTTAGGAATGAGAGATGGTTTCTGCTGCTGCTGCTGATTCAGGCAGAGGGGCTGGGCTGGGCATGCTGTAGCTGAATCAGCAGGGTTTTGCTCCCCTGCAGCCTCCTGATGGAGCTCTGGTCACGTGACAAAGGAGAGAAAGCCCTCTGCAGTAGCAGTGCAGCGTGGGATGGGTGAAGTGAGGTGGAGAAAGCGAGAGGGAGAGGGAGAGGGAGTGAGAGTGAGGGGGGTTGGATGTCCTCTGCTCACCCTGGACCTGACAGCTGAGTCACAGATAGTTCCAGGACCCGCCGTGCAATGTTTTAACTCCACATCTTAACAAGCACAGACTCCCTGCAGATATGCATTGCAAATACACCAAACCGGCATCTGTGAGACAAGCTGTTCGCTCCTCTGAGATGTTTGAAAATTCTTGTTAATTAAGTAAAAAATATGATACATTCACCACGCCAAAGCTGATCTGAGCAATCTATCAATATATACACTGTTTAATGTGTTCTGTTTCCAGCTTGAGTGATCTGCTCATGTGTGCTGTGGTGCTGCATTTACACTGCTCTCTCTTCCTCAGGGTGGGGAGCACTGTTACTACCACGGTCAGGTGAGAGGGAACGACAACTCCCATGTTGCCTTATCTACCTGCAATGGGCTGCAGTAAGTGTACAGCAGATGTCCTGTCATGTTCTGTATATCTCTGAATTCACTCGCCTCTTCTTCTATTGACTCCATATTGACTGACTCCTCTCTCCCTCCTCTCTCTCTCTCTTTCTCTCTCTCTCTCTGCCTGGCAGCGGGATGTTTGACGATGGAGTCTATATGTATCTAATTGAGCCCTTACAACAGACACATTCAATTGTAAGTTATTTCCGCTGCTGGAAAGAGACACATGTTTTACTCTACGATCTATGTAGAGTCAGCTCCAGGTCACATGCACAACATCCTTTGCTGTGTCTGTTATTTACAGTTTTAGCTGAGGATAACCAGAGACATATCTGTTGTTATGGAAGATAAGGCAATGAGGCATGTCTGGAAGGACTCCCAGTATAAATTCATTGTAGATGAGCACATTGGCTTGTTGTTGCCAGTATGCTGTCATATTTGCAGTATTATCAGCAGGGCCGGGCAGTATGGTAGATATCAATATCACGATATCTGATGAGGTGAAATATTCATGTAAGTCATATCAGTCTTGTCTAAAGCATTGCACTGTTATGATTGTAACTTTCACATTAAATCGTTAGGACCACATAAATGTACCACATGATAATTAATTAAAGGGCCATTCAGCGAATTCAGCTTCTAGCCAAGAAATAGTTGGATAGTAATATTGTCACTTTTCCCACGATCCTAGGCTTGATATTAAGTTACAGCTAGTAAGTTACATTCCAACACACAGTACAGTCAATATAAAGCTGTGAAATATGATGCGTTGGCGCTGCGTCTTCCAGATGTAGATAAGTGAGCATAAGACCCGGTATTTTGCAGGTCAGTGTTGGTAATCTGTTGACTGAAGTAGGCTGTTTGCCTTGTGTTAAGTTAAGCTGACTTGCTGCTGGCAGAGAGCAGTTTAGATAACTTATCTCGCACTTTATAAAAACAAACATGTTATTTCAAAATGTTCTCTGTGGAGACAGAATTATTAGACTCTGTGTTTGGCACACGGTTCAATCCGATTTGGTCAAATTTGTTCAGAGTTCACTTCAACTGTCAGACAGTATTCACTGAAGAGTTTCACCACAGCACTTTGATTAATAAACACGTAGCTTGCACCAGCTCCTGCCTGTCCCAGTTCCTCTCCAGCCCATTAACACTTGTTACTTTGTCCTGCAGGATACAGCTGCAAGGCCTCACAAACTAAAGAGAGCCGCCTCCTTTAACTGGAACAGTAATTCAGAGGAACAGGGTGAAGGTTCGTTTTGCTGTCATTCTTCCTTTGACATAACTTCCTCCTATGTCAGTCCATCACTTCTGACTGTCACCACACCTCATGACTCAGACTTAAGGTTAACCTCAAAATGTTGTTTACAAAGGATGATTCTCAAGTTTTAGGAGATGGAATTTTAACCTGTTGCTGAGAAAATTACTAGAATGAGTTCAACAAAAGCAGCAGATTTACTGTTACTCCCACCTCCACCACTGTGACCAAGTTTGATGACTTTACTTTGCTGTTGACTAGCACACTCACTTCACCCTGTGCTTTATGGGAAACTCGGAAAAATAATGTTGGATATTCTCTGGAAAAAATAAGTCGACACAACCCTGTGGGAATACCCCGACATAAATCTTTAATTTGCGTTGAAATCACTTGTTTTTCGACAGCTGAGGAGGAGCAGTTCTTCTCGGAGCTTGATGACTTGTCCTGGCTGAGGCGCAGGAAAAAGCGAGCGGTAAGTTTCTGACCTCACTTCTGACTCAAGTCACGCGTCAAATTTTGTGTCACCCGCCCTTGCTCTGTTTTGATATTTTGGTTTATACAATGAGTTTCCTGAAGTACACATGGTCTCAAATTTAAACTGTGGTCATGGTGATACTTGTGGATGTTTTTTGTTTTGCAGATGCCCCGCAATATATTTGAAGAGATGAAGTATTTGGAGGTCATGATTGTCAGTGATCACAGTATGGTATGTGCACTCATTGTTTGCAACAACAACAAATAAAAAAACTGCTTGCTGTCTAACTGTTTCTTCTCAGAGAAAAACCTTGACGTTTCATACCTACTCTGCTTGTGCCCCACCAGAGGGAGCTGTACCAGTGAATGTGGCCCTTTGGCTTCAGCTCATACAGATCTGTGTTTCTCTGTATCTGTTTCTGCAGTATAAACGACACAGGACCAAGCAGCACACAAGGAACTTTGCCAAATCAGTGGTCAATCTTGTGGATGCTGTGAGTAAACTTCTTTCTTCCTTTTTAGAGACATGTAATGCATGTTAGAGGTCATTGTCAAGCTGTTTTATAGCCATGAGTCAGTCACAGCTAATACTTGGTGCAGACTGAAGCATCCGAGCAGGAGGGTTGACTGACCTGAAATTTTGTAGCTTTGTATCTCACAGGATGAATCATATATATCTAAGTATCCCCTGACTTTACATGCAGCTCCATGGTGAGCAAAGCTTTTCACTTTTACAGCAAAATATCTGCTCAGCCAAAAGATGCAAAAGATTTTTGTCCAGAAATTATTTCCTAAATTTTATTCCAAACTTTTTGCTAATCTAATATCAGCATCAAGCTCCAACCCACCAAACACTCGACGTCATTTAGATGTCGTTTTTCAGGCTGAATCACGTCGGCCAATCATGGCCGTATTTAGCCCAAAAAAAGACGTTGAAAACTGGGCTTGATTTAGATTGTCTGAATCTAGACCTTGTTTCGACGTATGGTGAAAACATCTTTTCAACATCTTCTCAATTTCTTTTCAACCACTTTTTGTTGGGTGGGAAAGCCCTGCACCGAGCTCTTGTTGGAGTCAAAATATGACAGAATCCATTGTGTTGTATTAGATAAGATAATCCAATATAACACAGAGGCAACCAGACAGCATGGTGCCCAAAATGTCCTTCCAGTGTGTGTCCATTAATATATTAGTCTTTATGACATAGCTGAAGACTTCTAGAGTCATTATGAAGGACATCTCCCGGTCAGCCCGGCAGTATAATCATATTGTTAGGCCATGCTGTGTCCATGGTTCACTCTGTGTTCTTGTTGTGTACATTAACAATCCCCTCTTCCTCCTTTATCCCAGTGTGCTTCATCCCCTTGTCTGTTCTCCTCAGACTCTGCAGATTTAAAATTCGTACCCTTCACACTGCCTCGGTCTCTCTTCCTCTCTGTGTCTTTCTTTCTTTATTCCTCCTGTTCACCGCACGCTTCAATGGCAGATCTTCAAAGAGCAGCTTCACACGCGTGTGGTGCTCGTTGCTGTGGAGATCTGGAGCGACAAAGATCAGATCCCCATCAGCGTGATGCCGCTGGAAATGCTGCGTGATTTCTCCAAGTACAGGCAACAGAGCATCAAGCACCACGCTGATGCTGTGCACCTCATCACGTAAGCTAATAACTGTCCGTCACTCTTTTGTACTTTTGTATTATTGTGAAAAATCTCTTCTTGTTGGATGCTTTTCTTTAATTTTTATGTTTTTCTTGATGGCCATGTAATTTTTAGAGAAATATATACACAATGCATGTAAGGTAAAGCCTTGAGAATAATATTTTGAGGTCTACAGTTCTGCAAAGTCTGCAGTTGTTTAAAACAGCGCAGTGGCTTCAGAAGTAAATATTAATGCCCTGGATTTGACTCTGTGATGTTTTTCTCTTTTGTTGTCCCACCTCTCTCTTGTAGAAATGTGACCTTCCACTACCGCAGGAGCAGCGCCGCGTACTTCGGAGGCACGTGTTCTGTGAGCCGTGGAGTCGGGGTCAATGAGGTGGGTGTTCGCTGTGTAGCACCGAGCATCAATCTGACACAGTGTGTGTGTGGCAGGTGAATAATCCATGAATAATCCCTTCTGTGTCCACAGTATGGCAATAGCTTGGCCATGGCGGCGTCTCTATCCCAGAGCCTGGCACAGAACCTGGGGATCCAGTGGGACCCGGCATCCAAGAGAAGTATACCTATGACATGCTTTGTTATCTCACAGCGAATAGAAGTGAGATAGGAAGCCACTAAGAGTCAAATGAACAACAAAGAAAAACATTTTCCCACTTATCTCTAGTTTTATTTCTCTATTAAAACAGTATTACTTCATGGTGGACCCTATAGTCACCTGATTCAGCCTTTCTGTACTTGTGCTCTGCATCGATGGAATGACCTTCTGACTAAAGTGAGCATATGAGAGACACTGCCAAAGCAGAAACCAACCTTTTCAGACTTAAATCCCAACAAAACATACTTGCACTATCGTTTTACAGCTGAGGGAGATGATTTTAGGTAGTTAAAAACAGATGGAAATCAACACTGGTGCCTATATATAAGCTTTAGAAGCTGTTAAGACCATTGGCAGCAAGACTGAATATATTAATATAGTTGTAATTAATGCCAGAAATGCTACCACAGAGTAGGTGTCAGATAAAGTGATTAACTACACAACATGTGATTTAAACCTGTTTTCTTTCACAATTTTAGTACACTGAGCATCTGAGGTGAATAAAAACCGACCATAAGGGCCGCAGTGACCTGGGTAGAAGTTGCCATGTTAATCTGTTACATTAAAAATCATCTCCGAGTTGAGTTTTAGGACCTCCTGTCACGTTTAAAACAACAGATGGAGCCTGTTAAACTACAAGGTGCCTTTTGTTTGTCTGTAAACTCTAAATCTCAGCCAGGACTGACAGATGGAGAGATGCTGAGATTGTCTTGGAGAAGTGGTCCAAAAGGAATTTAGTTGAGTCATGCTGGAGAAAGACGTATGCCGTCACTTTAAAATATATATTATTTGCTTGAGAACCTCAGGTGCTAAATCCACTGAATGATGCAGATTTTCTTTGAGTAAGTCATGTTAGCGTATTTAATTAAAAACCTTAATATCACTTCTTTTTCTCCCCCCTCTCTCTCTCTCTCCCTCTGTGTGTGTTTTTCTGTCCGCAGAGGAATGCGGTTGTGCTGACTCTTGGATCGGCTGCATAATGGAGGACACAGGGTAATTTCCAGCACACTTCTGGGACACACACACACACACAAACACACACACACACATAAAAGAGTTAGAGAGTGAAACGATTACTACAGTTTAACAGTCCGATATTATCAGACAGATTGGGTTTTAATACCAGACATAAATAAGGTCAGTGGGCTTTCATCAGCTGCTGTTAAGTGGTACATCTAATAAGAGGCACAACAACATTATATTCTCATTACAGCACCAGTAACTCTGTTACAGTCCTTGCACATGAGAGCTTTTTACTGCTGCTTCTCTTTCAATCATAGTTAGTAATCGGTCTGTTTACAGTTTACACAAACCATGCTGCGTGCTTTGTCGTCACATTGTCGTTTTTCTCGTTTTATCTACGAAAAACTTGGCAGGTAGAGTTACAAAATGTTTATTTAAAGACATCAGGAGCTGTTTTCAATTGTTGTTTTCTTAAGTTTTCTGAATTATTTGTCATACTGCTATAAACTTATCTATTGAACCCCTGCGCTTTTGGTTGCCAGATTTTTCTTTTTTTAAGGAAATATTTTATTCAGAAGTATACAAGCACAGATTTACAAGATGTTTACATTACATATTTCCAACTTTTTTTTCCTTTGAAATGAAACAGAGAACAATTCCCCTCCCAGAACATAGGACACATGACTCCATATATTACTGACATAAATTCAGATAACAAAGCATTTTCAGGTGAGGATACGATATACCTACTTTTGATATATATATAACTTCATGTGTAATTCACCTGTAAAGTGTGCCAAATAAAAATAGATATTAAAAAGCTTAGTTATAACACAAGACACAGACATACAAAAGCAGTTTTAACATGTAAAGGTGGAATGCAAGAAGGAAAAAGAAACAGGCCATACTATAGATAATTTATGAACAGATCAGTACAAGATAATACAATCAAAGTGAGGGCAAAAAAAAAGAAAGAGAAAGTAATGATAAATAAATAGAGTACAAAATATTTTGGAAATGGATGAGATGGACTAGAATTATTATCAGACAGATACCCCTAACAGGAGGAGTCAACTAAATGTTGTCAGGTAGGACACCCAGTCCACCTACATATGTTAGAATTGGGTCCCGTATTAAATGAAATTTGTTCTTAGTCCCTCTCAGTGAATATCTTATCTTTTCTAGTTGAATAAAATTCATCAAGTCACTTAACCGTGTGGATAACGTGTGTGAGTTTAGTGATTTCCAGTGTAATTCTTTAATTCTTTGGGTTGCCTGATCCTTGTACAACTATTAAAATGTGTCCAGTGTGGTAATAAAAGGTCCAGACAGATCCAGATTAAACATTATTCACCCTGTAGAAAACCTGTCTCATAAGTTTTTAGTATTATAGGCATAAATGGTAAACACTTGCAGTAACAGTAGCCTGTGTGAGTCTGGTCTAACACATAGAAATTGTTCTGTAAAACCAAAAACAGTGAAGCTCACAGTTGTTACACTGAGTTTAAAAGCACAGGCAGGGGCATATTTTCATGGCACCCCTGTGGAAGTTAATTATCACCTTGTTTTTCTCTCTGTTCAGGGTCCAACATCCTCGACGATTCTCCAAATGCAGCATCACAGACTACAAAGAGTTCCTCCTGAAGGGTGGAGGCTCCTGTTTGTTTAACAGGCCAACCAAGGTTACATCCTCATGTCTGCTGCTCTCTTTTCTTTGTCACTACTATCATGAATCATAAATGTCTACTCTATCCCTCACAAGCTCCTCTCCCCTCTTCCCGGCAGCTGTTTGAGCCGACAGAATGCGGTAATGGATTTGTGGAAATAGGAGAGGAGTGTGACTGCGGGGCCAGATCAGTGAGTGTGTTTTCCCTCAATCTGTTGTTTTTGTAGTCCGCTTGTTCAGAAGGATGAAGCTCTGTCCTCTCCTCCTCCTCGTTTGCAGGATTGCTACAAAGAATGCTGCAAGAAGTGCTCGCTCGCCAGTGGGGCACACTGCAGTGACGGCCCATGCTGCAATAACACATGTCTGGTACAATCTTTTCTTAGTCCTTCTAAAACACGGTGAATGAAGATGTTTGAAATCATAATTCTCTCTTCTCTTTTTCTTTCCAGTTTTATCCTCGAGGTTACAGTTGCCGCTATGCTGTAAACGACTGTGATATCTCAGAGACTTGCTCTGGCGACTCTGGACAGGTGTTCTTGTGTTGCACTGTCTCCTTCACTTCTAACACTTTGATTTTATCACATCTTTGCAAGTCAGAGATGACTGTAGATGGTTTAGATGCTATCTTCTGTCTTTGGTTGTTTTCAGTGCCCTCCCAACCTCCATAAGCAGGATGGTTACCTCTGCCAGGTCAGCCAGGTACGCAGACTGACGACAACAGGAAACACTTAGCAGTTTTGAAGAGCAAAGAGTGGAGGAATTCACTGTATTTTCCTCTCTTTCTGTCACAAGGGTCGCTGCTACAGTGGAGAGTGCAAAACCAGAGAGAGCCAGTGCAAATACATCTGGGGGCCAAGTAAGGCGATGCTTCCTTTGGTTCTCACCGAGCTGCTTTAAGACAGTATCATAACTTTACAGAGACGCTGTAAGAAAAAAGGGTTTGTTGTAGTCTTTGTTGTGCCTTCCTCTCTTTTCTTCAGAGTCTGGAGGCTCAGAGAAATTCTGCTATGAGAAGCTGAACACAGAGGGATCAGAAAAGGGCAACTGTGGGAAGGATGGAGATAAATGGATCCAGTGTAGCAAACAGTGAGTTTTCAAGAAATCCTACTTCATCTATCATCTATCCTCTCTAATTAAACCATCCACCTTAAATCCCCCCAAAAAGCTCTGCTCCTTTAAGAAATAGTTGTCCCAGAGACACTGCTGGCCAGTGGTTTAAGCATGCGTCTGTGGAGATTTCGATCCCCTTTCCTGCATGTCTGGATTTCCTGTCCTCTGAAAATAAAGGCAACACACCCAATAATAAATCTGAAAAACAGAAATACTTCCAGACTCATCTCTCTCTCCTTAAAGGCAAACTGCTGCCATGATTCCAGCTTCAGATACATCCATGTTTATAATGCCAGTGTTATGTTTAACTGGTTTACTTATGAAGGGACTGTTAAATCAAGCATGCTCTTTATATTTGCAGAGGAAATTGGACAGCAGCTTAGAGTCCATTCATAAAAGTAGTTTGAGAAAAATAAAACATGTTTGCTCATAATTAAGAGAAAGAACTCAGTAAGGTAAGGTTGTTACTTCCATGAAGCATGCATTTTGTGACTGAAAAAGTCGCTTGAAAATATTGGATGTTCGGACTTGCTGTCAGAAGTGACAGCAGCTGATGGATGGATGAGGCCTGACAAGTAAAAACAGGAATAATTTGGAGACTGTTTCTTCCACAATGCATCTATTTTTCTCTTCTGTATTTCTGCAGTGATGTGTTTTGTGGTTACCTTTTGTGTACCAACATCGGCCGCAACCCACGCATAGGAGTGATCAAAGGAGAAGTAACCCCCGCCTCCTTTAACCATCAAGGCAGACTGGTAGACTGCAGGTTAGAAAATAATGGATTTTTTTGGGACTCCCCGGAACTGCTCCTGACAGGAGCTCTGGTCCTGTCACATCCAGTTTGATCTGAGCCTTTTCTTCCTCCTCCTTTGTCTTTGTCTTTCTTCTCTAACTTTTCCTCGCAGTGGTGGCCATGTCCTTTTGGATGATGAGACTGATTTAGGCTACGTGGAGGATGGGACTCCCTGTGGGCCGTCGATGATGTGCCTTGACCGCAAGTGTCTGCCCATCCAGTCACTTAACATGAGCACCTGCCCTACTGGACCTAATGGACAGGTGTGCTCAGCCCATGGGGTGAGTCTTAGAGTGAATGAACCAAGGCATCATCTGAGTTTATTTACTTTATTTTTGTCATTCAGTCAGAAACAACATCATTATATCATCAAATCCCAGCATGCTGACTGAAGACATACAATATAGCTTATTTGAGAGGATGCAATACAAAAACAAACCAGTTTTTTATGTCTCATTGGATATTCAACAATCCAAGGCCCAGCTGAATTATTTTCATTTAATTCTCAAAATGTTGCCTCTTGAAATTTGGTTTGGATTAGTGTGTTTACTATACTAACAAAATGTCTGCTTTCCTCTGTTTTCATGCTAGAGGTTAGACTCGTTTCAGGTTTCAAATTTACAAATGTAGAAATGTTGTGTATCTGACAAATCACTATGATTTAGCCACTTCTCAGGCTATCAAGATAAACACCATGTTGGGAAAACTTAGATGCAGATGGGCCACATTTTAAAGGCAAAGCTGCATATTTATTAACATCACAACATTAGCATTTTAAAAATGTGAAAGGCAAAGAGTCACAGCTAACAGTACTGTTAGCCAAGACCTGGTTTTTAGCAAGTGCTAACTAACAGGTTATCAAATAGGCCTAACACTAACTGCATCTGTGGACACAGTTGCTCTATTGCTCCAAAAGACTCATTTCAGGACATAGAAGTGACTGCTAATAGGCGGATGATGGTAATGTTAGTGTGAAGAGAGTCTGCCGTTTGAGCTGGTGGTAATTATGTATATAGTGTCAGAAATGTTTGCTCCACAGTGAGATAAACACTCCAAAGTGGTTCGCTTAGAAAATGTCTTGTCTCATTTGCCGTCACAGCACGTGATGGGCAGTTGCATGTCACTCCTGCTGTGTTAGAGCTCAATATGCTAAAACTGTTAGTTTTAAAAATTCACTTAAGGAAATGTGAGGATATTTGTTAAAAAGTGCTCCAATGTGTAAGCATCTCTATTCACAGCTCCTGCTCCCCTCTGGTCAGCTCATCTGTTTCTGTCTGATCTGCACAGGTGTGCAACAATGAAGCCACTTGCACCTGTGACAGCACCTGGGCGGGGACAGACTGTAGCATGCCTGACCCGCCTAAAGAGCCAGACGCCCCTCCAGAAGAAGGAAACAAGGGTCGGTTTCAGTAACATACAATCTTTAGCACCAGAAAGGAAATATAACACACTGTAATGTCCACCAATTCAATTTACTGAGTTTTAAACTTTGTTGTGGCTTGTTCTGAATCTGTTTCACTGTCATTCATATAGGGTCACAAAGACCGACAAAGCAGTGCTACATTTAAGAAGTTTGACTCAGAGGAAGACATTAACTCACAGTTCAGCTGTACACATGATACTTTCTTCCACAGGGGGCCGGGGAGTTTGTTAAGGGGGCAGGACGCCTCTCAGAAAGGACCCGTGTCACTACATTCATGACTCTGAAGCAGACGCCTGCTGTTTGTTTTTGACAGGGTGGTAATAATGCTCCTTTTCCCTCTGCACAGTGAGCGTGGCCACTAACAGGCTGATAGGGGCAGTAGCAGGGACCATTCTGGCCCTGGGGGTGATTTTTGGAGGCACAGGGTGGGGAATAGAGTAAGCATCTTTAACCCTTTCACAGCTCTTCCTCTCATAGTGGTGCCTCAGTGTGCGGGCGGTCTCGTGAGCCGGCCTGAGCCCGTGTGTGCGTCCCGGTGGCTTTGTGTCTTCTTGTGTGTTGGTGATGACCATATAATTGTCATGTGATTGGATGTTTTCAGTGTTGTGTGATTGATTGATAGACTCCTCCTCCCACCTCCTCCTCCTCCTCCTCCTCCTCCTTTCCTGCCACTTCCTGTTGTTCCCCATTATTACAAAGCCTCTCTCTTCATCCCCCTCTTCCTCTTCTTGTCCCTTTCCTTTCTTGAATTTTGAGTCGTTATGTGGTTGCTCCTGTGATCCTCTCCTTTCTGGGGCATGTGGGGCATTTAGATGGAAAACAGATCTGAGAAGAGTCCACTTAGTGACCCAGCTTGTCAGTCAGTGGTTGGCTGTGTGGTGACTGGGACCCTCAAAAACACTTTCAGGCCACACACAATGTCTGTGTTTAATTTAGCATTCATGGTGATGGACACTCGGGGTCTAGTCCTCTGCTCAACCTTTACACACGAATCACTGATAATCTCTACGTCAACTAACCCCAGATTAAAGATGAATAAAATCCCAGGGCCTATACTTCACTATCTTCATGTTACACATTTAAAAGGGCTGGAAAGCATGCAAAATACACTATCAGACTCAACCATTTTACTGTAACAGTACACCTATGGTTTTGTTTTCTGTTCCATGTGAAATCGTCATTGTATAGCTACATGTTCTCAGTACAGTAAGAGAGTATAGAAACTCATGTCTTTTTCCCCATAACCCTTTACAGGTCCTAGTGCCACCAATCTAATAATAGGCTCCATCGCCGGAGCCATCCTTGTGGCTGCCATAGTGCTGGGGGGGACTGGATGGGGCTTTAAGTAAGCAACACGCCGCATGCCTCTCCTGCTCTAACACTAGCATCCCTGCTGCTTCTAGACACCAGGGTTTGAGCTCCTGCTACATAATGAAGACCCCAGAGTGGACAATGTGTTAACATTTCACACACTGCACATGGACAGCACATGCCTATCATGTGTCTGAGCTGCTCGCTTGGTTGCTCTATACTGAAAGACGGGGATGGTCCAAGGGTCCGGATATGTCAAGGGTGATTTGGAGAGTGACCAGGCGCCATGTGTGGGGGTCATCTGTGGATCTGTAGCAGAACCTCAAACTGATTGGACGGGCAGAGCTCAGTATTTGACATGCATGTTAGATAAAGGATCTGGTAACAGAGGGGAACAGCTTCTTATATCAGCTATGTGATTTTAAAAAGTATTGTTTATGCTTATATTCATAACAAGTTAATGTTATTTCCCCTCTGAAATCCAAAAATAGATCTCTAACATCCTGTTTTATCTGTGTAGCCAGTAAATCTACTCATGTACATAGATTATGTTTACTTGATTCCTTTCTACCGCTGATTAGCCTGCTGTCTTGAGCAACAGGGGTGTTACGCATCTTATCTGAGTAGGCCTCAAGAGAAACTGAGCAATAAAAATCTGCAGCCACCAAAGCATGCCAGGTAGAAAAGCATCAAAAAAAGAAGAAAACAAAAAAAAAAGAAGGAAAAAAGTATGCAACAAAACATTTTTGCATGTTGACTTGTTGATTTGGAGGAGGTCAGTTCATTGCACAAAGGCTGAGCCGCACCCAGAGTGATCTGCTCCAGGGTTGTCGTGCTCTCATCACGTCCATGATCTTTCTCTCAATCCGTTACTGTTTGAGGCTGAGACTTTAAATGGAGTAGTGAGAGCGACAAGAGGCGAGGACCTTATTGTTGGCCCGCAGCCTTTGTGCCATGGCTGGCCACACCCACCTCGATGGCCAGGCTCCGCCCTAGAGCAGACTCTCGGACCCGCCCACACCAGCTGCCATTGCTGCCCGCTTCACGGACCTGGTACAGACACGGCGCATTGCACTGCATGACCCACGCACAACAATAGTGCCACCTTCAACTGGTCTACTATTGGAACAGGTGCATGACAGAGTGATAGAAGCCCCACAGTAAGCCACAGTACGGGGAGGTTATGCATCACTCCTGTTGTCATATTCGTTGTTGTCCCACTGTTGTGGTGGTAGTAAGTGTTGCTCCTGCTGCTGCTGCTGCTGTGGTTGTCGTTCATGTGGTTGTGTCCTCTCTCCCTCCTCTTTAAATGATATTTATTGTTAGCTCTTCCTCCCAGATGGTTATGTTTTGAGTGGAACTAATGTCTTTCCCATCAAAACTGGTAATGAGATGTATCTCCTACACTTCTGCGCCTCGTCAAATGATGTTGCACGTAAAACCTAGTTGGCAGTGGTCTTCAAGAAGGCAATAGAGGACATTTATATGCAGACACATTCAGATATCAGCTAATGTCTTTAAAGTTGAAGTTATGAGTAAACATTTTTGTGACTTTTTAAAAAACAAAAGTTACTTTTTAGTGCTATTCTTGAATATGGTTATGGTTTATTATGTTTTTTTAAGGTTTAATTGCATATAAATACTTCTTTCTGCCTTTCACAGTCACTGCCAAACTGGCTAATATGGACCAGCCTTTTCTCACTCAAATGTCTTCAGCATTTTCAGCTTTCATTTTTGGCTTTTGAGTTCTAAAAGAAAAAACTGTCAAGGAACTAAAGACAGCACTTGACTCATCAAAACCTGAAGAGATGAGTGTGGCTGTTTGTCCATGTTGCACTAGCTGTGGTCCTGATTTGATTGTAACGTACACTGACTCATGTTTCCTATCTCCTCGTAAGAAATGTGAAGAAACGGCGATACGACCCCAACGCCACAGCCATTTAACCCAAGGAGAGATGGCAATCACAGACGGGACTCCTCCAAGGCTTCCTTAGTTGGCTACTTGACAGCTGGACTGCACTTATTGCTGCTGATTTTTGGCATTAGATTTACTTGAAAATGACATAGAGGACATTTTAATAAATTCCATTGTAGTTACATTAGATTTGCAGCCTTTTCAACTCCACCACACTCATGTAACAAACCCACAACCTCCCACCCCTGATCTCTTGAGTGACAGAGCTCCTCTTCCATCCTTTAGTGCCAGTGCACAGGCGTTCAGGCGGGATTCACACCACTCTCTCACCTGGCATGATTATCCGCACACAGCGTGCTGCTTGCTGGCCCCCTGGCATGAAGAGCCCCCTCAGCAGGGCTCTGCATGGCTACAAAAGCTACGAATATACCGCAAAAAAACAAAAAAAACATACAAAGAGAAAAAAAACGTAATAACCTTATGCAGGAGATAGCCTTGTTTTCAACCAAACCCAGCAAAGAAGCCGGTTAAAGCTCCTATAGTTCACTTTCAGGTGCTGTAGAGGATAAGGGGGGCTGCATGAGAGGACCCATAAGGGCAGTGCATTTCGTACAGCAAATGCACACACACACACAAACTGTACATAAATAAGGAGACCAGGTCTGGGATTAACAGCATATTTTACAGGGACATCAATTGCTTTTGTTTTTTATCTTAGCATGTTGTATAGCGGGTGTTTTTGGCAATGTTGTTGAAAAAAACTGCAATTGGGATTTTGGCCAAAATTGTAGTCGCACGCTGCACTCAGCCTCCTGTGATCATCTGGGCGGAGGTCAAAGGTTAGGATCACCACAGCAGACACGGTGGCTGTGGTGTCGAGGAGAAGCATGTCAGTCCTACAGGTTTCAGACTGGTATCACGTCAGATTAAAGTCACAATATTTCCTCCCCTTCCCAAAGTATCTCAAACAGTGACTCAAAAGCCAAAGAACCAATCACCTGAACATATGGATGTTGTTGCACACAGAGCACTTTCCCCTCTGTCTGCAGCCAGTGGTGCCTCTCCTACTGCTGAGGGCATGAAGTCTGTCTATGCAGGCGCTCACCTGTCCAGCCAGGTCTCACATAACAGTCCTCATCAACACCCACTATACTGGCTTAACCTTTTTGCTCTCATTAACTCTTAGCAGAAATCAAGTTCAGCTCTACTGGAAACGCTGCATGCAATCACTATAGTGGGCTTATAATTCTATATGGGAGTCCCCAAAATCCGCAAGAAAAATATGCTACAAAAGATAGGTGCATGTCAACAATAAAATAAAAAACATTTAATTTTTATTTACTATGCAAAGAGAGATATTGCACAAAAGTATGGGTTATAATGATAATAATAATGTAGACATGGAATTACAGAAATCTCTGCTAATCAGCTAATCTTTTGTATCTGGCCACTCCCACGTCTCGTTTCACTTCACTTTAATGTACTCAACCTATCGATGGACAAACAAAAAAGAACTGAATTAATATTTCCGATGAAAAAGCAAGAGAGCACCCTTTTACATCTGTGGAACTGAAAATCATTTTTGTGTGTTTTTCATCTGGTCTGATATTTTTATCACACACACACGCACAAACATGTACACTAACACACTGTATGGTGCCTGTGCATAATGAGGACTTAAAAGTTTCCTTTTGCAGGGCTTTTATTCCCAGTCCAGCTGATAGTTGGTGTGTTCCAGGTGCTGCCATAGCACTGGCATCGTTGTAATCCTCCATGTAATTCATTGTCTGGTGTCCCTCTCTCACTGCATCATGTACAGTTGGACCGATGAATAAATTACTGACAATTTTATCTGAGCGTTTCTTCGTGATTTTTCTGACAAATCCTCATACTCAATAGACAAGATGTTTTTATCAAGCACAAAAATGTAAGCATATTAAATTCCTTATGGAAAGACTGTGTATGTTAAATCATAAGATTGACTGTGGGTATTTACAAAACTTAGGGGCAGGATTGATCAGCCTATTTGTATACAGAAGCTACATAAAATACACACACATGCATATGCAGATATACTTAATATCACATGAAAAAAATAACAAGTAGAGCAAATGTTCAGGCTGATTAAATCCAGTACCATTCATATTTATGTAATCTTAGATGAATGTAGGACTTTTCAGCTGAATGAGGAAGTGACTCCAGACAGTCACTGAGCTTGACAAATAGCCCTGTGAAGTGTAAACACGGTTTGTAATACACAGTGGGTTTTGTACTTACAAAGGACAAAAACAGTCATCGTACTGTATACTTGTGGGTGAATTCCTAAATGTTATGAGGGGTGGGCCATCCGTTGACCCCATAATTAGTTTAAGGGTGCCAGTAGTCATGCTCAGTTACCTTTTTGAGAGCAAGTCTGTCTTTTTCACTCACTTCAATCTGTCTTTTTTAGCTAACTGTTAGCCCACCTGCTTATAGCTGTAACTGAACCTCAATGATTGAAGTGTGGTGATCCTGAGGGATATCTTCACATCAAAATCTAAGAAGCAATATTAAAATAAATTACTTTGGTGTATTTCAAGAGTTAGAGGAGGAAGTTAGATTAGCTTTGCTTGGTTATAACATATCCAAAAAACATAGCCTAGCTTGTAACCTCTTACAAAACCAAAAAGTTGTGATTTTACACTTTTTATTACATATTTAGCTTTCAAGATTGTGGTAGGTGGATAACCTTGAAACAGGGATAGTTATTTAACTCTATTTCCACTCTGATAACGCTGAGCTAAGTGTTAGCATCCCAGCTAATTTAAGTGACAAACTGGCATCTTAGAAATCTTCAACCTATTTTAGGTTGAGAGGCCTTTCAAACTAACAGTGCATACACAGAGTAGCAGTAGTAGGCGGCAGTAGCTCAGGAGGTAGAGCGGTCATCCAATAACCGGAAGGTTGGCGGTTCGATTCCCCCCTAATCCAAGTCTGTCCGTTGTGTCCTTGGGCAAGACACTTAACCCACCTTGCTCCCAGTGTGTGTCCTCCACTGGTGTATGACTGTGAGTGTTGTGTGGTGGTGGTCGGAGAGGCCGTAGGCGCAGAATGGCAGCCACATTTCCACCACCACCAAAGTGTGACTGTGAGAGCGAATGAATGATGTATCCAATGTAAAGTGCTTTGAGGGTCTCTGATAAAGCGCTTTATGAAATCTGATGCATTATTATTATTAGATATCGGTAGTTTACTGGTTGTTTGAGGCTATTACATGTACTGCATTCATATTTAGACTTTAAAATGTTTTATGTGCTTGTTATCACAAAAACAGAAATGCTCATACATCAAAAGTGCACAGCTTTCAAAACCATTTATTCACAGGGATACAGTAAAGTAAGTAGGTTGATACAGCACACTGGAATCTGGACTAGTCGACTGGGGCCCTGACACATAGTGGAGGGCTTGTTCAGTCATCTTCAGTGAGTGGAGGACACAATCTTCTTGGACTGGTCTTTCTAATGTCCTTTCATAAAACATTCTCACCAAACAATGATTCGCTTTAATTCACAATAATTGGTGCTTCCAGCCTCCCATCCTGTCTGGGAGCATCCTGACATCACATTTTCTGATTGAATGTGGATATGGAAGTGGTAGTCGTCTAAAGTTATAATTTAGGCCTAGCGGCGGAAATTGTCTTTAAGTCTCCATCTTTGCATCATCAGAAAGATGAATGAGTGAGTAAGAAACTCACCCAGTGCATTTAGAGGCCCCTCACTGTGCACATAATTACATTTGAGATCAGGCATGCATATGACATTTCAGTAAAAGCGCAGAGACGTAAGCACTCTCTGGAACAATGTTCATGACTGAGTTGTTTTTCCAGACAGCAGAACCAACAAAGTCTCACACATCTTATGTTTTAACTTTTTATGACTATTTCCTGACAGCTTATAGAGAAAATTATCATCCAATTAATAGAGAAATAATCACGTTGTTAATTCAAATTCTGATCTGCAGATCTGCAGCCTGTGTTGAAATTGGGGTCTCATGATTGTTTTACTTCTTATTTTACTTCTTTTATGGCGTTATTTCGTTTGCATTTCAGTCATTTCACTGTTGAACGTATTGCACGTGTATTTATTATCTATCTTTTTATTATTGCTGATTTGTGGTGCTGACAGGGGAATGTTTGGGCCATATGCTGCTGGGAATATCTTGCATTTGTCTGTTCCTTAATTGTTTCATAACAAGGCGGGTTACTGTGAAATGAATTGCCCTTCGGGGATTAATAAAATTGTCTGAATCTGAGATCTGTCATACATAGGCCTATGCTTTATTGTGTTAAAATCAGAATTTGTACTTGTATTAAGTGAAACTAGTGTGCGGTCAAAATTGTCACTGGAGATGCTGCTCCTAAATGTTACAGTAAGTTCTGTTTTAATTTGACAAAATCCTGTTCCTTATGTACACACAAACCAATTTATTCAATTGTTCTTATTTAGGGTATTTTACTTTAGGTAAACTGCAACTGGGGCTACTTATTAATCTCAGTTTTTAACACCCCCCATCCCCTCACACACCCACATATTGTACCTTTAATATGTGCTGTATATAAGAAGCCAAAGATAACACAACAAAATATGATTCATGGATTAAAAATTACTGGAAAGAAGTGCCCAGGATTTTGTCCAAGACTCCGCCAAACGTGATCAAAACTCCCAGGACAATAATAAAACAATGCTGTTACAATTAAAATTAGGCTGCAAAAAGGGCTGTAGACCAGTGGTGTAGTCTCTGTGATATGCAGGTATACCCACTAGAAAATGTGTAGAGATAGGCTCCGTAACAACAGGAGTAACTTGTTACGTTTTTAATTTTATAACGTCTCGAATCAAGGAGATTTTGAAAGACCTAACATTCTTAACTTTTAGTCATATAGCAGACACAGCACAGCTGATCCAGCACAGTTCCTGAGATCCTTCGTTTCTAAAGTGTCTCTTATGCTGCGCTGGATGAGTCGTGGTTTACCTGCTGTGCAGAAGATAGACGTGTATATTAGTTTGGCCCTATCGTGCACCCGGCATTAAGTGTTTTGCCGTGAAGCGAGAGTGTAATTGTTATGATTCACCAGACTCACACCCCAGCTTCACGCCCAGATCCCACGCTCTGGGTAAATAGCAGGTGAACTTAGATGTGGTGGTCGCGCGCAAAGGCGCGTTGCTACCCGGAGGAAGCATTAAGTTCCTGCGCTTCAGACCATCAAAAACCCGATCTAAAGGTGAAGATGTACTTTCCTGATGTTCAGGGGGCATTCTTATTGGCGAGAGGGTTAAAAGGGCATTAAGAGCTGGCAGCGTGCTTTGTCTTTGTCTTTTACGCACAGAGACGCACAGCCGAGCTCTCCCTCATGATAAAATATCTGTCTTTTTGCTTACGGTGAGATTTGGTTCTCTACTTGGTCAAATGGCTTGCTGAAACATGTCCTTGTCTCTACACATCGAAATACTGCTCACTGTTCTCTCCTCATAACTTTAGCCCTACTGGGCTCCAAACCTGCAACCTGAGAGGTTTTCCTTTTGCGCACTCTCTGAATTACGTGCATCAATTGCAGGTATTCCTTTACAGTCTTGAACTATAACTGCCGGTGACATTTACCGTGCTGTGTGCTTATTGAAAAGAAAAACGCGGTCAGTTGCTCTTACTTACACTTTTATTTTAGATTTATATTGTGTATATGGTGGTTAGTGATGTGTACTTGCAAGGAGTGCCTGCAATCTCTCTTCTGCTGCTGCGCATGTATTGGCTTCAGTAGCTGCTGGAGTGCTCTCGTGGTAAACAATGTTAGTCTCAGTAATATGCATGCAGTAAGTGTGTAGATGCAGTAGTTGTAAATGGCTGCTGAATCTTTCCAAGATCCCCCGATGACAACAATAATCACCATATTGCAACATCTGGATCTATTTAGGAAGCCTGTAACCAAACTTTGCCTTGAAATTTATTAAATACTGATTTCAGAAATTTACTTAATTAGGGCTTCTGACAGAGTTGAACAATGTTCAGCTTCAGTTTGCCTTTTACGCATTTTTTTGTGCACAAAACATGGATGTTTCCAAATATGTGTTAGAGAGGATGGTAGTTTGGGAGGTTCCAAGGGGGGTATACCCACTACCACTACAAAAAGTGGACCACATCAATACTGGTTGTAGGCCCACACTAAACAAACAGTAGGCTATTGATTTGTCATTAACGTAAGGAGATGTAGACCCACGCAGAGGAGGGAGGCACTGACGTCAATTAGGTCCCAACACATTACTAAACTTCAATCAGCACTACTGTCGTGAAAGCTGGCCAAGCTTTAATGGTAAGTACATTTTTACAGCATTTATAATTTGTAAGTTTTTATGATCATTTTGTGACTATTTTGCATGAATTTGTTGACAAAATTGGGAATTTTCTTGTTGTTGTTGTTGGTTACATTTCCACACCTATTAATGCATATAGCCCGTTGCATTATCTTCAGGTTTTCAGGGTAATTTAATTGGCTGGAGTCAATGATTTGACCATCTCATTCCCATTTCACTGAATAATCAATGGCAGATACAGCTGACCTGTGTTGTGGTCTTTGCAGATGGCCCCAGTGCTCCTGAATATACACGTAGCCACAGTCACAGTGTTTGTGCTGAGCTGCGCCAGTGCCGTCCCGCTGCAGGGCCAGAAGCCGGCTCAGGTGGACCCCTTGGCAGTCCCGCGGGCGAACCCGCAGTGCTGGGACTCCTCCTCGGCTCTGCTGCTGGAGATGCGCTCCCCGAGGATTGCTGACACGGTTCCCGCCTTCTGGGACTTGATGGAGTTCCTCAGGGCATCAGAGAACAGCAAACACACGGCGCTGTTCTGGGACCTGGCCCGGGTCTTTTGGGACCTTTACCTCGACTGTGTGCTGTCCAGGAGTCACGGCCTGGGGCGGAGACACGTGACCGCGGTGCATTCCCTCATCACTGACAGTAAGTGTCCCACACACACACAGATGCGCGTGCACACACTGAGTGTACTCTGCAGATAGAGGACAGTTTGTCTTCAATAAATCATTCTTTAATTATCAAAAATCACAATTAGTCTATTTTAAAGCAGCCCTTTATTTAAGAATTGTCGTATTCTCAAATGTTGTTTGTAGTCTTTCTCCAACACAGGGATTGCTTTTTATTGACACTGAGGGACTTCTTTTCGGATCATTTCTTTGCTTTGTCGTGGATAGAATAAAAGCATGCTGAATTATTAGTATTTTTCTTGTGTACAACAACTCCAGAGTGCCTGCCTTTTCCTCACATCGGCAGCAGTTATTAAAAAAATACTTCTGTTCTCATAGAGAGCTCAAATCTGGTTGTCTTTCTACATCTATTAGGTGTACATTTTTACACACATATATCCTCTTAAACCCTCACATGTTAAACTTTAACAGTGATGATCAAGATTTACACCCTGAACCATTTTATGTGTGGCAGTGAATAAAGGGCTGAACCTTTTAACATGTACTCTACATATTAAAAGATCAATTTAAGTATATAAACAAGTGCATACTAAAGTCAGCTCAGACCTTTTACTGGACTTAAAGGTATATTTTCCCCACATGAATAAAGACTACTCACATCAGCACCCCCTTTTTTTGTTTGTTTTGTTTTCTGCATTTTTATATGTGGAACAAGTTTGCTTTACACAGCAGCACAAATGCATTTACAAAGGTGCTGTATAGGTAAAATTTGATATAGTGTGTTGAAAAATTTTTATTTTCATCCTCTTTATTGTTTTATGTATTTATGAAAATGTAATTGTCAAATATTGTACTTTTTTCTTAAACAAATTTTCTTTTAACTGATTTTGAGGATTGATCAAAACTGTAATCTCCACATAGTTTCTGGTGTCTTGTTATTTGTGTTTAAGTCTATCCATCTGTGGGAACATATTTGGAAGCTACCCAGCAGATTAAGACTATAAAGTAAAATTGTTTTTGCTGCATAAACATGATGAGCAGCTTCATTTTTCAACCAGAACATTCTCAAATCAGTCACATATTATACAGCATACTTTTACATTTGAGGCTTAAAGTGTTGAGGCCAATGTTTTTTTTTTACCCAAGTAAATGTTTTAATCCATGACATTTACATGTAACATATAATTTCTCCAGTGTGGTATTGGTCCTTTTATCTGAGTACAAGATCTGCACCTCCTGTCTTAACATAGATTTAGCTTTTGTCTGCATGAGTAAAGACAAAAAGGATTCACTACTATTGATTACAGCGGAAAGTGCATTTTCCTTTGACATTGGGGGCAGTGACATGTGGACAGAGGCTTTGGCCTGGATTAGATCTGTTTTCAAAAAGGTCCTTAAAGTGCGTAATGCTGCTGTCATACTGTAAGATTAGAGGAGTAGTTGATAAGAAATAATGAGCATGGTTAGCTGTGGTGCAATAAAAAGTCATTTAGTCAAAGGTCTCTGTCAGAAGTTAGCTTTATAGAAGATGTAGCCAATTGGATGAACATAGAATGAACCAGTATGTTTCTCTGTGTGTGTTTGTCTCTTTTAGAGTCCTTCAGATTCAACAGGTCAGGAGCAAACTCGCAGGCGTGGCTTAGTGTTCGAGTGAGACGTAGAGGACACATCGAGACCCTGAAGACCAAACCCAAAATAAACACACACCATCACATATAACAGGATATTTGTACACTGTAAATCTTCACTGCTGAGAAACTTTCATGTTTTACATTCATTTTTACTTGTTCTGAAATTTCCTGTACAATGACATGTTTTTTGTTCGTTTGTAACAGTAATAAAATAGTTTATCATGGCTGTAGATTGTGTACCTGTCTGTATCCAAATCAAGTCACAGTGTCCATAGTTTAAAGTCACATTGGTTGGTTATAAATACGAGTATGCAATAAAGAAGTTTGAGTTCAGTTTTAAGTCCCAGTCAGAATACTTGAATCAAGTTTCACAGGAAAAAAGAAATCTCAAAGACATGGATGGTCTCTTGGATGCCACTGTGTTTGTATGAGTATTAGAAACTAATTTTAGTTCCATTTTGCTTTCATTAAGATGGCATTATCGAACTAAGCGCTCTGATAAAACAAATTCATAAAATCTCCCTAGTCTATTTTTCAGCAGGTGCTCAGGGGCACATCTAGAGGGGCTGCCTTAGCCCCCCTTGGATATCTCATTGGCCACCCTGGGTGCCACTTCAAGGTTGTAAGCTGTGATTCACTGTTTTTCCAGCTAAAGGTGGAACTTGAGTTTGAATGCACTGTTCATGGTGCATTACTAAAGGTTATTAGCTTTCTTTGCACTTAAATGCAGAAAATATTCTTTTTTTTGGTAGTTAAATTGCAGAAAAATACCTGACATCAATTTCAAAAGACAGGTGCATTTGGGAGAGAAATATTGGCACCAGAACATTGTCAAGAAGTTTATTTTCAACAGTATGTAGGAGGTTTCTCGCAGTTAGTAGGTACTTTCAATTTAACTTAGGAAAAACATCTCTCTGCATTCTTTAGGAAATATGCCTGTGATTTTTTTTTCATTTAAGTTTTTATTGATTATTGCAAAAAAAAATGCAGGTAATATGAACATATTGGAATATTTTACAGCAAAGACACAGTTGTGCTGAGTTTAAGGAGGAAGAACCTGAAAACATGAACAAAATAAATGAATTTAAAAAACTGATTGGTGACCCTAACCCAAAATAAATAATTATCAGTCACTGATATTTCACATATTTATAATTGCATCATTCACATATATTACTGAACAATAAACAAAATAAATAATGTCCACTCTGTCTTAGATGTTAGTAAAATGCCGTAAGTCATAAAGTCTTTTCATGTTTCACTGTTTTTGCTTTTAACACTAGTTATTCCAGCAATCATGCTTTTGTTATCAGATGTTTCTGCTTTAAGTCTAAACAGCAATATAAACTCTCGTATATGTGAGCTCCATCTCTTGCAAAATTTAACCCTAGCTGCTGCAATGCAACCTGCCATTATCACTGCAAATTCTGATTTAGTTATGCCCTGTGGCACTAGAGATAGGCCTAAACTAACCCCCAAATACCACTGAGGAGTTTATCCTGCTACAAATAAAAAAGAAATGGTGCAGATAAAAAAAAAATTTAAAAAAACACAATGGAAGTCAAAGAAGCAAAAAAAGGTGGCAATGCAAAAAAAAAAAAAAAAAGTTTCTTACTGCAAAAATAAAAGGATGCAAAAAACAAAAAACAAACAAAAAAACAAAGCCACAATGGAAGTGAGCTGCCAGGGACCAATAATGATGACGCACTTGTGTTTTACGATCTAGGCACAGATGATGATGGCCAGAAGACAAACAAAGAAGTAAGTGGAAAGGTTATTGTTTAATTTCATTTTGTGTGTTTTTCAATGTGTCATTGGTTAGGCCATGTTGCGCCTGAGTAGATATGAAGTTGGACTGTAGCTAACACTACACCGGCATCTTTCAGTTCAACTTCATATCGACTCAGGCGCTACATGGCCTGACCAAATGACACATTGAAAATTTTTACTTAGCGGAATTAAAAAATAACCTTTCCACTTACTTCTTGGTTTTTCTTCTCCACCATTTCTTTTTTTTTTTGCTGTGGGCTTTTTTTTTTTTTTTTTTTTTTTTTTTTTTGCATTGGTAACTTGCGTTGTTACTTCTTTTTTTTTTTGCACTTTTTTTATTTGCAGCAGTGGCAGTTCTCAGCCACCGTACAAATCCATAGAGCATTAAGGAATCTGCCCACCTCTTTACTGCATTTCCAACAATTACCATCCTTGATTTAGCCCATTTTCAACGTCTTGAAAGATGTAAAATAATGTTTATGTTCAATTTTATGCTGTATAATTGTAATCCCTGCATCCCTTGTAGCCCTACTTTTCCTTAACTTTTTCTTGCCTTCTCACTGATCCTAATATTGAGTACTCTATAATCGTATAGTGATCAGGACGTGGCCAGAACATGGGCAGCACGTCCCCATTACGTCGCATGCGTCGCACAGGTAGGAGTTTCCGTGCGCTCATGTTTGTACTTTTACTTTCGATTTCTACTTCCTCGCTTGTGTGAGTAACAAACAAGTTTGAGTTCTGACCCGTGAGTCCCGTTTGTTATGTCATGTTAGGTTTTGTTGTGTCTTTTGTCTAAAGTTATTTATTGTAGCTCGAGTATGCTGAAGTGGGCATCACGAATCCTGTTCGATCACAGACGGTGAAAATTGGTCTCCTCACAGGTAAAACTAAACGATACTTATGTTAACTATCTCAAGTTAGCCGATCTTCCGGTTCAATCGATGTTAAAATATTAATTTTAAAAGGGTGTTTGGTTGTTCAGCAGTTTACAGGGAACTTTTACTTTGAGTATGATTTTTATGTCGGACTTGTTCCTGCTTGGCTTCAGACTTAGGCGTCGTTAGGCGTCCCTCCTGCATCTTGCAACATGTCATTTTTAAGTGCTTTAGCTCATACTAAATAAAAGAATAAATAATTTTTTGGCAGTTTACTACACAAAGAGACAATCAATCAATCAATCAATAAAGCTGCCCAGTGTTAATTTAAGGTCCTCTGATAGATTGTCAAAGGACAGTAGATAGGGGAGAGTGGGGTAAGTTGGGCCAAAGGGTAAGTTGAGTCACCCCCTGTTGCTTGGAAATGGTAAAAGAAATTGATCATGTGACCAAATATTTAGGAGATGGACATCAATTCATGGAGTCTGTGAAGGTTAGAAGCACATGGGTGAAGGGGTTAGACATTTATTTCTAAAAACAAACATTTTTCACTCTTGAAAGTGAATTTAGTCTGTCATAAGTTTTATTAGAATTGTTTTCAGACCAAAAAAGATCATTTTAAATGTGTTTGATATATCAATTGTGGTATCTATGAGCTACAACATGAGGTCAAAAACCTAGCATAAAAGTCCACCATTTTAGTTTAGAGGACTAATAAAGTCCTCTAAACTATACCCCGTAGTTCTGGGGTAAGTTGAGTCAGTGGCTCAACTGAGAAAGTAAAGGAGTCTGATGAGAGGATCAGAGTTTCAGTTCAGATTGTTGAAATGTGTTACATGTTCTTTTTAAAGATACAGCTGTGAATGTCCTGAATCACTTAAAAGCATTCTCATGTTAAAATCTTTTTATTTATTTATTCATTTTTCATTTACAAAACAGCTTTTTAGCAGTTATATGCAATAATGATAAAAAGAATTATTGTACCAGATGAATAGTGTATAATAGATAAAAATACATATGAATGTGAAGAAGTGACTGTTATTTAGGGAGAGAGAAGGTGAGGGAGGGCTGGGGTGGAGAGTCAATTTACCCCATACACGGGGTAAGTTGACCATAGGAGACCACTTTTTTGGCATTATCAAGACAGTTATGTTCACACTCATTCTGTTGGTTTGAAATATCTTGAACACATATTTCAACACATCTTGAAATATATGCAGATACACTAGTTAGAGACAAAACTATGATCGCCTTGATGTAGTGATCAGAAATATGAAAAATGGCTCATCTTACTCCACTCTCCCCTACTAGTTAACATCAGCACCTGAGTGAATGTGTCTTGTGTGTCATTTTTAGTCCACATCATGGATTTCCAGAAGCTGCTATTGGATGCAGGGAAGGCCCTGAGTATGGATGAGGTGAGAGCTTTGGTGTTTCTCTGCACTGACCTCCTTAAACGAAACCCGACCTCTGTGAAGTCAGCCAATGACCTCTTCTGTCGACTGGCTGATGAAGACCTCCTCAATGCTGAGCAACCACACCTTCTTGCTGAGCTTCTATACACCATCCAGCGCAAACGACTGGTCCATGACCTCGGGCTGACTGAGGTCACATCTTCAACCAGGACCTTCATTTCTCCTTACAGGTGAAGTATTTACATGTCATGATTCCACAGCTTAAACTTAAAGATTCATGAGTAATTTTTTACTGTATACAAGTCTGATCCTGTAATAAAAATAAGACTGTGACTTACTGTACATTTCTTTTGAACAGCTGATTATATATTTGACAATGCAATTTAAGAAAATTAAAGGATAATTCAGATAATTATTCCTCATTGTTCAAAGTAAAACACTCAGATTTAGTTTTTGTTTTTTCTACCATTGCAAAGACATTCAATTCACTTCTATAAAGGACTTCAGATTTGAAAAGTTTGAGCCACAAACTTTAAGGGTAACTTAAAACTTTAATAAAATAATCAGAATTATACCAGATAATCAGCTTGTGAATTGATTAAAGTATCATTTTAGCTCTAAACGCAGATATAGGGATCACTATCAGAGGTGCACAATGAGGTATGCAAATTTTAAAAAGGATAGTCAATAAGATCATAACCATGTTGCTTTTTTACTATGCTACCACTGTTGTAAAATATCCAATGATCGATCCATCAATAGTTTTGATTTACTTACTTCAGGATGTTTCACAAATGAGAAAGAAGGCAAGAAAGACAAAAACAAACAGAATTTTTAGAGTCCTCTTCACCCTGTTAAGGTTTACCTTCTACAGTCAAAGTCAAGGTCTGATATGAGCATCAATCACTGTAATAATTATCATAATATAGGAAAGACTTAAAGTAGGTGCAGCAGTCAGAGTCAGGTGATACAACTTGACTTAAAGCTTAATACAAGGCAGAAGTCGGGCTTAACACTTGTTTGATGAGCTGAACATTTCAGCAAAATAAAACCACTGACATAAAAAAAGAAACCATTTGATCGTGTTTTTATCTTATAAAATACATGAACTTATAGATGAAGTAGCAATAGAAAGTAGCAATAGTGGTAAAAATCAATAAATAAATAAATAAATAAAATTACAGCAGTCAGACCCTCCCTCTGTTTCTCCACTGGTCCCAAAAGTCAACAGGTGGCTTCATCAAAACAACACCCTGCCCCTGTTAATGTTACCTGCTTTATACCTGCTCAAGATGACCGCACAATGAATGATAAGAATGATATCAAAAATAGCACCAAAAAATGTAAACAATTGTATATCAAACTGTATAGCTACTTAAAAATATGCTTATGGTAATTATTCATTCATAACTCCTACAATAAGCTTTGTCCCAAAGGAAAGTTTTCAATCTAATCTTGCCCAGGCCAGGACAGGCTTTGTCTATGAGAAAGAGGATTTTGCGTTACTTTTTATGCTTTCTTTGGAGCAAACTTCTGTCAATCCAACCCTTGTGTAATGTGTAAGTGACCTAGTTAACAATCATTTTTTTGAGACAGAATGTGCCGACTTTGCATCATGTGATGTAAGTTAGTCAAAGTGTTTCGAAACTGAATCTATGGCTGTATTTTCCAGGAAGCTGCTCTATGATCTCTCTGAAGATCTGACTGAAGAAAACTTGAAAGACATAAAGTTCTTGCTGGCAGGAAAGCTCTCCCGAAAAAAAACGGATGAAGATGTTGTGAGTGCATCTTCCCAGAGTCAGTGTTTGGTACATGAATTAATCGGTCAGTGTTAGCTTGAGACGCAGGATGTTTTTTCCCATCTTTTGGAATTTTCCCTTGTGGGAGTAATTAAGGAGTGTCTTATCTTTATAGAGAGTGCAGTGTCAGATTCACGAGGTCAATTCTGCACCTACATTTGAAATCTGCTGCATCATGTGACCAAATGCTGACTTCAAATTTGCTGACCTCCTCAGACTACTCTTGAAGTCTTCCTGGAGATGGAGCACATGGACCTCATAAATGACACAAAACTAGACTTACTGAAGACGTTACTTCACTCGTGCTGCCCCGTCCTGATAGAGAAGATCAACAAGTTTCAAGCACACCAGGGTAAACTAAATATAACACATGACTATGACAACAAACTTTCACTCATATCTCATTTTAAACATAAATATGTCAGCATATATTTAATCAGTATAAATAACTGTGATCATGGTTATACCTGTGTGTGTTTGTCCTTTAGCAGCCGTAGCTCACAGAGGACCTATAGTTCAAGAAACAGCTCGGCCCAGATCGGTGTCTCAGCCTCTCGAGCCAAACCATGTAAGTCCTTTATTTTCCTTTTAATTCCTCTCAGCTGTAATGACAGATTTCAACCACTTTTACCAACAATTTATTCTTCCTTTATTACGATATAACTGTGATGTCTTATTTCTGAGTTTCTTTTTCAGCAGGTTTCCCAGTTTCTCCATCCTGTTCAGGTTTCCATGAATGAAATAGCTGGTAAGTAGTTGACTCAAGCAACTGATTGTGCATTTTTTTAGAAGAAGAATATTTGAGAAGAAGGATATTTTACTCACATACTCTTTCTCATAATTTTTTCTTTCTTTTAGTGAAACTCAAACTTAAAAAGGGGTGTGTTATTTTTGGTATCAATTAGCTAATGAGTTTGTTACTTATAACTGTTTTGTTCACAGTCAGGTCTGTTTTCCCCTCATAGTTTGGGGCATATGTACTCACAATTATGTACCTACTTGTAAAACTTCATTGATAGATATTTTCTTTGAATATTTACTTCCTATAAATACCAAACAGGTATTTGCAGACCTCTTGTAATACAACATTTATTCTTTCCCCTATGCGTTGATGCTAAATGTGTGCTGTTTTAAATGTTTGGCTAAACATTTGAATCATTTTTCTCCTCTCAAGAATCACCACCTCTTTCACTGGTGAGTTCTCAGAAACAAAAGAAAAACATAATTATGACGAAAATCATTGGAAAAAAAACTTGTCATTAAGTGTCAGCTCTGTTTTTTTCTCACAGTCCAGTATGAACTCTTCTAACACTTCGCTGGGTGAGTCAAAATGAGTTGATTTCCCCGGATGCAAACATTCTTACCTCTGAAAGTGCAGTGGATTAAACCCTTATTTTTCATGTCACTATTTCTAGATGTCTCAAATGGGTCTGAGCCTTTGTCTCTTGCACTGAGTGGTTTAAGCACTAACTCTAACAGCTGCTCCTCCTCCCTGAAAGGTCATTTTTCAACATACTTTCCGTATCTTTTATTTTCTCCTAAACATGTAAATCATTTGGCAGAATTTACCTGAAATGATTGTGCTCCACTTTCTCATTGATTTCTCAGCTGATGCCATGGTGGTACAGCAACCTCAGTTGAACACGAACTTCTCTGACAATCCGAGGACTCCGACTACAAACACTGAGGTGTGTGGCTTATTATTATATGGTTATTTAATCTGATTTGAGTCAAACCTTAGTTACTGGAGGACTGTAACATCTAAATTTTGACTAAACACACATTTTCTTTTTACAAATCCAAATGCCAAACTGAGTTGACTTTTTACTGATGAAACTGGTTTCTGTAGGTTTTGGGATCTTATCCCATGACTGCAGCAAAGAGAGGTTTCTGTTTGATAATAAACAACTGTGACTTCAAGAAATCCAAACACAATCTGCAGGAACGATTGGGGACCGATGTGGATGAAAGTGAGCTCATGCTTGATTCATTTTTAAAACAGGTGTACTGTTTACTATCACTTTTGCATCATTTCACATGTATCTGTGTGCCTCCCAGGGTCTCTCATCCAAGTGTTCAAGTGGCTTGGCTTTGAGGTTGAGATTAAGAGGGACTGTAAGAAAGAGGAGATTCTGTCTGTGGTTCAGGAGCTCGCCAGCAGAGACCATCGCGACATGGACTGTCTGGTGTGCTGCATCCTCAGCCACGGCGAGAAGGACAGCGTGTACGGCGTGGATGGACTCACTGTTGACCTGACGGAGCTGAAGGAACCTTTCAGCGGGTCGAGGTGTGGGTCCTTGGTGGATAAACCAAAGCTGTTTTTCATTCAGGCCTGCCAGGGCAAGAGGCAGCAGACACCTGTGTACGTGGAGACTGACGGTCCTGGAAACTCACAGTTTGCTACTGATGCTCGGAGAGACTCCATCCCATCTGATGCTGATTTTCTGCTGGCAATGTCAACCGTTCCTTATCACGTGTCCTTCAGAGAGAGGAATAATGGCACGTGGTTTATTCAGTCTTTGTGCCAAAACCTTGTCCAGATGGTGCCCAGGTTAGTGAAACAAAATATCCAGTATCTCTGGGTGATGTTCATTTTCAGGTGTGTAAATCTACTCTTGTGTGTTAACACACAGTTTTGAGGTCCTTGATACAAAGTTCAAATTAAAGTAAGTGATTTAATAACCCCATAACCAAATGATTTACACTGACAGAGGACATTCAGATGGGTTTCTTCACCTTTACATTCTTTCATACTGTGCTTTAGTGTAATTTTGAATGCTGGACTTAACATGTAACAGATTTATATTGTGTGTTTTTGCTACTTTCCCTCAACTCCCTTCAATACTTCTTCTGACTCCTAGTTTTGAAGGAACAGCTGTAAAGGTTTTATATTCATGAAGAACAATGAAAAATATTTCACTATATCTTCTTTTATTACAGCGGTCATGACCTTGTGTCCATCCTAACAAAAGTGAATGCAGATGTTAGCCAGAGGACCGACTTCACAGGCCTGAAAAAGCAGATGCCTCAACCCGCCTTCACACTCAGGTGGAAAGTGGTCTTTCCGAGCCCCCAAGCCCCTCCTCCTCTGAGCCTCTGCCGCTGACTGTTCCCAGTTTGATTGACATCTGAGTGTTCTTGTACGATAATGTCTGCTGCCCTCTTTACAGCAGATGAAATCAGGCACTTAACATTATTATAACTTTTATTGCGTTTTATATCAGTACTTTTTAAAAATGTGATATTGGATGGACGCTCCAGTCCAGGTATTTCTCAAATTACAACCAATGCTGATAAATTTGCATTTGTGAATGTATTATGCACAGTGTTTTATTGCTAAAGCACACCAATTGTCAGCCATGAAGTAATAAAGATTTTTACTTTGCAGATGTCTTGTTTATTGAGGCAATTATTAAAATAAAACTACAAATTGTAATATTTTACATATTTTGAGACACTTTGATAAAAACCACCACAAGGTGGAGGTAGACATTTCAGCGCACACACATTCACTGCACTTTGACTCGCCGGTGACCCGGATGTTGATGTGACAATAAATTCAGTAATTTCCCTGGCCGGGCAACTAAGAATAATTGTGAACATTTAGTGGCCAGTTATAGACTCCTAATGAAAACACAATTAGATAGTAAGATATTTATTGAATCCAAGTGTGTGAGATTGTCCTGTTCCCCGCAGTAGAGCCTCAAAGAGCCTGTAAACGAAAGTAAACATGTCCACAGAGGGATTTCAGTCACCAGCAGCTCCAACCTCTGCTGACAGCAGGTTAGTTATTTTGATTCTTGTCTATTTATGTTTGAGATTAGTGTCAGATATATCATGTATGTTATTGTCAGCGTTGATATCTGTGAGCTTTTCCCGATCAGCACAGTCTAAAAGGAGAGTAAAATGCTAACGCGGCGGCGCTGAAGTTAGCTTCTTATTCGCATTCGCACATTTATTCTGTATGAAGGTGCAAGAAAAGGGCGATTTCACCTTTTTTAAATTTAGGGGATAAACCCTAGAACACCATCGCTAAATTAGTAACACCATCACACCGTGATTTTTACCCGAAATAATATACCCAAGAAAAAGTACTTGTCGCCAAAATGTATCAAAATAGGACAATACATGATAAATTAAAGTATTTTTCTTTTTCTTTTTTTTTTAACTGTGCAATGTCCAAAGGGAGGAAAAAAATGCCATGAGGGGACCATGTAAAAATGCGATAAAGTAACTGAAATTAGGCATTCATGAACAAAACATCTATCTATCTATCTATCTATCTATCTATCTATCTATCTATCTATCTATCTATCTATCTATCTATCTATCCACATATATATGTATAGTGTTTATACATATATATATATGTATAAACACTAAAGCTTAGTTTTTTCCCACCCATTCCCGGGGCATGTGAGTCTTCCCTCTGGAAGACTCAGGGTCCTTGGCACAATAACAGCTGCAGGAGAGAGAACCAAAATAGGGTATATTTTGAGTTAGTAAAAATGACCAACTGACTTAAACATTTCTTCTCGAATTTCTTTGAAAATCACTACTTTGTGATAGTTATTCATAACCACTGTGCTAGATAAATTTAGCAGGCACATTCCAGGACCACTTTCATGACCTTATTCCCTACATGCAGCGATCAATTCCACCCAAACCTACTTTACTCTTTATCACTATTGCCGGGTGAAAATCACCCGAACACGTGCCTGTAGAAAAAAGCAGGATTTGTATCAGGGAAACAAATATGCCCTCAAAGATGTCAAAGGAAATGCTGAAACTACTCAGAGACCCGTGATACTCAGACAAACGCAACATCACGAAAATCAGGTAAACATGTTTGGCTGGATGAAAATCACCCGATGATAGTGTTCTAGGGTTAAACAACAGATTCTGATCCAGTACTAGAACCACAATACTAAGCTGTGTCTGATCTGGTTTCAGTGGTGCAGGGGAGGCTTCAGTCACTTTAAAACATAGTTTAAGATTTGTGAAGATGCAAGACGTGGATTTAACTACTTTGCTTACTTCTATAAATTATTATTTCTTATATTTTCATATGTTGCTTTCTATAGTCTTTCTTGAATAAGCAAGGCTCGATCTGGGAAGTTTTAAGTTTGTGATTCTGGGTCAGGGCCTGCTCTTAAAAAACTGTAAAATACACATAAAAATCACACCGGTACTTTTGATCAGCTCTCTAAAACGTGCACTTTTAGATCATGTCTGAGCTAAATGAGGAGAAAAAAATTTGATCTGCCAATCCATTCTGTGTGTCCACAAACTGTGGTGTGTCAGCTAGCTACAACTAAATTATTATCGTACCCTTGGCAATAGAAAGTATCTGATGATCAAAAAGTGTTAGTCACTGTTTACTGCTGGAATACACAGCAACTATTTCTGTCTGTCCAGCTCTCTCCAACCACATACATTAAAGCACCTGTGAGGAGTTTGCATGTGCATAAGAACCAGGCTGAAATCTATATGACCTAGAAAAGCAAACAAGATCATCACAAACAAGATTATCTGGTTTCAATTTGTATTATCTTCAACACATGTACACAGTGCCACAGGGCAGGCTTCAGACAAGACAGCGAACATCAGAGGCAACAGTCTGTTTTCAAAGCTGGAGGAAAAGTTTGGGTGGTCTACGTTTGTCAAAAAAAATGTATATATATATTTTGTTAACAAAATCCTGTGCAGGTTTTTCTAATTGTAACGTTTTTCCTGCCAACATGGTTCTGCCTCTTGCCATCATGATTTTATGATTTGCCGCCCAGAACATGAAAACTGCAGCAATTTGTAGCCAGAGTAAACACTGGCCTGGTTAACTCTTTTTTTTAATACTCACAGCATGGATTCAACTGAGGCTCAGAGGAACAACCCTGCAAAGACCCCCATACAAATCCTGCATGAATATGGCACCAAAAATGGGAACCTCCCTGTGTACGAGATGGAGAAGGCTGAAGGAGAGGCTCACCAGCCCAGCTTTGTCTTCAGTGTGAAGATCGAAGACATCAGCTGCACAGGTAAGCTGCTGTGTTGATAGCTGCCTGTCACAGCCTGGGTTTGATTGGAAACTTAGATGCTTGCATTACTGAAGGAATACTTTATATATCTTTTTTGACTTTTAAATTGTTGCTTGTATGGTCAGCTGCTGCAGGATACTCTCGCTAGATTACCTTGTTTTTTTTAACCAAGGTGTCTCCCCCTCAGGAAAAGAACAGGTCAGGTCTAGTAAAGCGGATTTACAGAGTGTTGAGGTGATAAGAAATAATTCAGCTCTTACATTTGACATCTTCTGACTTCTTACAGCAAGATTATTCTCTGTTTTCTAGTTTTTTTTCCTACTAGCATCTAGGATGAACATACTGTTTAGACCATGCACCTTAAAAAAAATAACTACACTAGAGTCATATAGGTTTACTTATCAAGATGCCATGGTGATGAGATGTGAGGTTTTGGTACATTAAAGTAACACTTAAACATGCTTTTATTCAGTAAATCATCTGTAATATTCATATGTGTTTAATTTGGGTCAGGTCAAGGGTCGAGTAAAAAGGCTGCAAAACACCAGGCTGCCGAGGCTGCCCTGAAGATTCTGAAGATAGACCCTGGAACAGTGTGAGTAGAGAGGAGGTTATAACAAGTGGAGAGTGAAATTAACCAATGAGAGCCAAGTTTGCATGTGATTAAAACATTAATGCTATTATTTGATCAAAAATGCCCAAAATGCAAATACTCTCTTTCTACTCTCTATCTGGTTTAATCTGGTAAAAACTGAACTTTAAAAACATGAATATTTGGACATTAATCTGCACGGTGAGAATAAACTAAAATGGAAAAAAGTTTGATCCCCGTCCCATCTGTTCACATGGAGGTGGTGTGGTTTATGACTTATCCCTGCGGTCAGTGGAGCTGTCATGATGGTGATATTCAGCGGCAGTGTTAACAGCACACACATCACAGTGCCGCACTGTCAGCCTGCGGTGAGTGTTGATCTGCCGCGGCGTTTGGGAACCGCTTCAGTGTCATTTGTTTAATTCTCAACAGGAAAGATCCTGTGAAGTCTGAGAGTAATGGCGTCGCAGCAGAAACAGACAACCATCCCAACTCTGTGGGAGTGCTGCAGGTGTGTGAATCTCTGTGTGTGATTATGTGGTCTCTGTGATGTGATAAGTTTATTGCATGTACAGTTATTATTCTGATTGAAAGGAAAACTCACTCTGAATTTGTTTTTCAGGAGTTAGCGCTGCAGAGAGGATGGCGCCTTCCTGAATACACAGTTTTAAAAGAGGCTGGTCCTCCACATAAGAGAGAGTTCACTGTTACCTGTCGAATGGAGTCCCTGTCAGAGAAAGGTGAAAATCTTTAAAAGCAAGTCAGATTTCTGTGATTTATTCAGCTCTTAGTCTTTCTCTCTCTCTCTTGTTTTGGCAGCTGTTGGAAATTCCAAGAAAGCAGCAAAAAAGGCAGCAGCAGAGAAAATGGTGGGGAAGCTTCAGAGTCTGTCAGGCTGCTCAGAAATCACATGGGTATGTCAGATATTTCTTAGAAAGCAGGCGCAACATGTCTGAGGGAAAAAAACCTCAAAAATGTCATTTTTTTTGTTACATTTCTTTCTTTTCTTAAAAAAATTTAGACTCCTCAACCCAGTGTGAGATTTGAGAACTTAAGGAATTCACAAGCAGAAAAGATAACGTTACTGAGAAGGAACCCGCTGAGTATTCCCAACACGGATTACATCCAGTTGATGTTGGAGCTGTCCAAGGAGCAGGGCTTCGAGGTCACATACTTTGACATCGGTGAGAAAATACAACATTCATTACTATGATTCAAGGCGTTTCTTATACCTGAAGTGAGAATGCCTGATGCTTTAATAATGGGACTCCCTTTGATGGAGGAACTACTGTAGAAATTTAGATGTATTACTGCAGAAACAAAGCAGACATGAAGGTGTAAACACAAGGGCTGTGATCAACCAAAGAAATTCATGGTCGACTAACCCTGAAATTTTTGACCACAAATCGACTAATGGGGGTGTGCGGAGTGTTGACAGTATTAGCAAAAGCAAGCAATTAAACACAAATGGCTAAAATATAAATATTCTGCAAACCACCAGACGTTAATTAACATGGACGCTCTTCAATCTTCCTGTCTCCAGCCAGTCTCCATTGGATTGGCCGAATCTAAAATTGTGAAAACATGGGGGGTGTTCTGAGACAAGCTGTTACCTGTGAAACGGGGTGCTCTGAAAACACCCCCATTAGTACTTGGTATGTTCTTCCTGATGAAATTACCACCTACTGAGCATTTTTTGGTCTAAAAGAGGTCTAATAGACATCTAAATGTAACCTAGACGACTGGTCTAAAATCAGGCTACCACAGGTTTAGACCAAGTTTAGACTAAATCTGGACTTTATCTATACTACACTGTATATTGCTCAACGGCTATCATCATTATTTTGGTTAAGTACTTGGAGATCAGTTATGCAACTCACAGTTGCGTTTTGAAATAAATAGTTATCGATTAATGGGTTAACATCTGAATTCCGTCTAAGAATATACAGAATCTAGACAGTTGAAATAAGGTCTGAAAAATAAACTAGACGTCTAATAGCCATCTATTGCTCAGTGAGCATAGATTGTAAATTGACGCAGAAAAAAATCGTGTTGACCAATCAGAATTTTGGTCAACTCAGCACGTATTGATCAATAAGTCTACCCGTCGACTAAGACTTTACAGCCTTGTAAATGACAACGAGTTTTCACCAATCAGAATAAAGAAAGACAACAAGATAATAATCATAACTCTCAGTCCTGTCATGTTGTAAAGTGTGTGTGTGTGTGTGTGTGTGTGTAATTGTTCTCAGATGAGCTGACGGTGAACGGCCAGTACCAGTGCCTGGCTGAGCTGTCCACCTCCCCGGTCACTGTGTGTCACGGCACAGGCATTTCCTGCAGCAATGCCCACAATGACGCAGCACACAGCGCCCTCCAGTACATCAAGATCATGGCTTCCATCAAGTAAAAACCAGCACAGTCAACACCTGCTACACCTGTACTGACAGTCACATACTGTACATCAGCTGACATCCCAGCATTACCAGGCTGTAGATTATCCTTCCTGCTTGTCCCCTTGTCTGTACACGACATGAGGTCAAGGTATATTTTTATAACGAAGCAGACCATCATTTCACAAGAACACCTTTACTGATATCTGGCAGCTTTAGAGCAAAGGTAATAGAGAGATGAACATTTAAAACTCTAAATGAAGTCATTTTGGATTTAGAAACACGTATTAAAGAAACTGTCAGTCTAACTGAAATAGGAGCACAGACATTTTTGAGGTTTTTGTTTGCCTTGTTATCTGCTCTTTGTTTGTTTGAGTGGTCTTTTTTCCTTTCTTATATGAAGATACAGTTTTTTTTTACGTTAAATGTAATTTTTATCGGACATTATGTTTGCCATAAACAGAAAATAGAAGATCTTAAACATTTTATCTATTTCACAGAAACCTTCTATTATGTTCAAACATAAAGAAAAGACACTTAAAACTCATTTTGAATTATGAAAGTGAGATTATTTTTTAACTATTTATTTTTTCTATTTCCTCCTTTCCATTTTGCAAAATCCTTAATCTGCTGGACTTTAGATTCACCATCAGCCGCTCTGTTGCCATGTTTTGCAGTGTGCCTCATAGTCCTCTGTATAAATAAATGCATAGATAAACTGTCTGCTGTGTGAACTGAACCCTGTTGAAGCAAAGCAAAACCATGTCTCTAACACGGGGAAATAAAACCGAATACGACGTGTCATCCTGTGTTATTTTCTCTTTCCGCTCATACAACAGTCTGAAAGGACGGAGCGAACAAATTGCAGCGCTGCCTTCACGACTCTTTGTAGCATTATTGAATGAAATGCCTCTCGTGGGAGCTGACCGCCTGACAGCCATCAATTCATGAGGCTGCGTGTCCTGCTGTATTAGTACAAAGGCAATTACATCAGGGCCTGTGCGCCGGTTCATTCACTCTTGATTTGTGTGGGTAAATGGCTGAGAGACGGGAAACACATGATGACTGGAGTAAAACATATATACTAAAGAAACACTCACTAATAGATTTGAATGGCTGAGATGATTGACTCTTATTGTCAATTAAAATTATTTAAATATAAGATAAAATAAGATATTCCTTTAAAAGCCCCACGGGGGGGAAATTCCAAAATTACAGCAGCATAAGTACAGATACAAAAAGAAAAAACTAAAGGATAAAGAAACTTAGAGTTAAAAAGAAAGATATGTATGTGAGTCTTAGTTACATGTGTACAGAATATACATATAATATGATTTATTGCACACTGAGGCTTCTGTTGTGGAGTCTGACAGCTGCAGGAAAGAGTGACCTGCGATACCTCTCCGTCACACACTTCGGGTGGAGCATCCTGTCCCTTAAGGAGCTCCTCAGTGCAGTGAGTGTGTGTTAGAGGGGGTGAGAGTCTCTGTCCAGCATGGAGGACTGCTTGGCTGTGATCCTACTCTCCTTAACCTCCTCCACAAGTTTCAGAGGGCATCCCACGACAGAGCTGGCCTTCTTTATGAGTTTGCCACCACAGAGTCATAGGAGGTCTTCAGGACCTCAGCCTCCTGACCGAATAGTCTGCTCAGTATATAAATATAATATTTATTCTATGTATTTATTTATGGTTATTTCACAGTCTAATTTTGAATTAATATTTATACTTCAGTAATTACATGTTTAGACAGTGGACAGGGTTTTTAATCTCTAAAGTGACTGTACCTCAGACCAGACATCCCTCACCCTTACAGCCTAACCAGGAGAGGTGAATGACAGAGCAACACAGTGGGAACAAAAGTGTCAAGTTAGAAGAAGAAGAAGAAGAAGAGGGTCTTAAAGTGTCTGTGTGAGTGTGTCACTGACTAATCATCCACCTGATGGACTTCAGCTCATGTGAATCATTATAGTGCTGAAGTAACCATACTCGAGTGCCTAATTCGACCAATGAGGGGCTTTTATTTTGTGTTGGTTTTGGTGCCTTTGTGAACTAAGACATACAACTTTCCAAAGTGACTCCATTACTCCTCGACTCTAACCCTTACCCTGTTCTGAGTGATTAGATAAGGAAGTGTTTACAGCACCTGGAGCTGATTGTCAGAGGTGTTGCCGAGGAAGGACGTCAGTTTGATCTAGTAGTTTGATCACACACCCTGTATACAGAGGCGGTAATCTTTGATTTCCACCTACGGCTCTTGGCTGTGTGTGATCCCTCACTCTATCTCCCAGTCCCCTCGCTGACCCTGAAGAATAAAGACGGACTATCACACACACTGACTTACTCATGGGTTGTCTTTTCTACACAATAACCACACACGACCTGATAAGTTGAGTTTTACGGTTTTATTAGAACAAGCACTATATAGCAGCAGTGTACAGTGTTCATGGAAAGATATGTACTTTGTTAAAATTGCACTTTAGAAGGTCTCCATTAGGAAATAGATCTGAACGTAACTGAGCTGACACAGTGCTTCGTGATACATGTCAGTCCAAAAAACTAAAGTAACATGAGAGCCCAATTTTAAAAACAAAAGGTTTTCTTTTGTAAGGCATCTGCAACATTCATTGGCAGGCTAAGTTGTCTAGACATGCAGGCAGAATAATGGATGAAGAAAGCATGTGGAGGTGTGTGTCTTTTTTTTTGTTTCACTACAGTCTGACTCGGAGATCAAACAAAGCGGCGTCCGACCTCCACAAACAGCTGCTGTGATTCAGTCTTGTTAAAACGATGTAGGAGGAAGAAAAGGAACCAGCTTTTGTAGTAGTGAGCCGTCTTTTAGATGTGCTGTATTTACAGTGATGTTGGAGTAGCAGAGCGGTGCACATCATCTTTAACCCTGCGAGTTTTTTTTATTTTTTACAGTCGATTAAACCTTTTTTTTTCTCCTCGTCTGAAGTCCAAGAGAGCCAAGATTTGTCCTCACACACTCAACTGTTTTTTTTTCCGTGTGGTTTAGGCAGGTGTACACTGGAGTATGTGCGATGTTTGCCATGTTGATGACAGATCGTCTTATCAGTAGTGTGTTTGTGAGGCATTAATAAATGCATTAAGGCACAGCAAGTGAAACTGACGAGTTGTAGCATTGAGTTTGTGATGGGGATCAAATCAAAAGCACAAAAGTACGTAAAAAAAGCAAAAGGATCCAAAGCAGTTCTACCTCTTTTGGTTTGTAATCTACAGTACCATACGAACAGTGCACACAAGATGGATATTTATATTCACTTCCTTCCTCCCTTAAGTGTCCTCACTCTGCAGTCCTGAATGAATGAGAGGGCTCATAGAGTTTTTTGTGGTTTATGTTGTTTAAAAGCCCCTTTTAATCTGTCACACAAAATCAGGACACCCGTGAGAATCCATTAAAGCTTATCTGCTTTGAAACAAATACACAAACTGCAAAAAGGAACCGGTGCCTCGCAGGTGTCCAGACCTAGCAGTAAAATCTCAAGGGAATCAGACTCATTAAAATATTAGTTCAGTTTAGTTTTACCGCACAAACTTGTTTGGCTTTTAAAACTTTATTTGATCATATTCAAAGTTTCAAAATCCTGAAACTGCATTTAGACCTGACAGCCTCCAGGGGGCTCTGACGTCTCATAATGGAGTAACAGCATGATTGTGTCTGAGTGACTTGATTGTTGACTTCAATAGCTGAATTATTTATTTTTGAAACGTCAGTATTTCATTTTTTAAAGTAGGTTAATTAAGTTAGTAATTTAACACTAAAGATACCAAAGATTAAAAGGTCAGAGTTTCACAAATGAGACGTTATGTTTCTTTGTTCCCTTTGATTTAATACTCAGATTTTTGGTTATTAATGACTTTTATTTTGAGCTTTGGAAAACTGTTAAACTAACAACTCAAAATTCTGAACTGAAGATGACAAAACGAGGGAATTTCTGGTATTTTGTAAATAAACGCATATCTGTATTTGTCTTGTCATAAATAGGTATTTAGCCTCAAAGTGTGAATTCATTGAGTTTTTCCTTGAGCCGTACTGGCTCTTCAAGTCTCATTTTTAAAGTTACACCTCAGCAGGATCAAAAATTCTGTTATCTAGAACACAGTCTTTATTTAGACCTCACACTGGGGGTCCAGTTCTTGAAAGGATCTACTAGTTCACCGAGACAAAAGCAGATTTCTGCTTCACATTCAGACAGACTGCATGTGTGCGTATATGGAGGGAGTCATGATGTGTGTATTTATGTAACGTGTGAGTCAGAGGAGTCGGTTTCGTGTAACAGTGTTTAAAATTAGACAGTGGGGTAGGGCTGATGAGGGTCTCCCTCTATTTACACATAATTCCACTGAGGAGAAACTCAACCTCGTGACTCATCTGTGTTGATGGTTTAAAAAAAAACACAACAACTGTAAAGGTTGTGGGTGTGTCCTGGTCACATGTCCAAAACACCAAAATAGGATTTTCTTCTCAATCCCACCTCTCAGAGCAGCACATGATCGCCTCTGAGAGCTTCTAAAGCATTCATTAAAAATTCCATCTACGGACACCGTACTTCCTCCACTGCAGCCCAGATTAATTTTAAATGAGCGGTTTCCCGAGAGAGAGAGAGCGAGAGCACTGCTATCACACGGATCCATCAGTATTAAAAGGCAAAAATAAATAAAATCTGCCAATTCATTTGATGCTATTTCACTAAATTCTGAGTCCAGGATATTTTATAAAAATATCTCTTTTTTTTCTACAATAATTGATGATACAGTAAATGCGGCTTACTGCCGGTGAAAGCTGCTCTCTACACATGCATGATATCATAGGTAATCAAAAGTCTACATTATAGACTAATCTAACCCAAACTGCGGTCAGAAATCAAATGGCTTCGACTAAAAAGCGCTAAATCATGTGACTTGTTTCGGCGTCTTTTTAAGGCAAGGACATAATCAAAAGTCAAAGGAGCTGAGGAAAGATCTACAGAGGGGTGGTACCATTGTTGCCCTGACAACCCAGCTTCCATAAACCCAATGAAGGTGATCCTCCCGGATGTTTCCATGGGTGCTTGATCTTGCAGCAGTGCCACAAAAACCCTAACAGAGCTGCTGGACAGAGTCTGTCCATGCTGCAGATCTTCGGCCCATGCACACAGATGTCTTTTTTCAGGATCTCCCAACAGCTTGCTGTGCATAGGTAACGGCTTTCTTTTCTGATACGATGATATGACAGACAGGGCGTTCCCCATGTGCTACCATAGGCTGGCTGTCTGTTCCATGTTGATGAAGCCGGGGTTTTTGCGGAGCTCCCAGTACATGTTATTGGAGACCCATCTCTCCCGGTGATTGGCATCAACCACTTTCCTGCAAGAGGAGACAGAAAGCAATAGTTGTGAGTGAGAGAGTGGATGTTTTCTGGGTTGATAAACATGCCTACAATCTAACCCCAACAGTAACAGTAAAATAACAGATGGTGTGTCAGGGTACTCCTGATATAAAGCTGGTCTCATCTGTCTTCTTTATACTACCTCCTGTCATCTAAACCCTAAAAATGTGTTCCCATGGCCTTACAGGAATCCAGTCCAGATCAAGTTTAAGCCAGACTTTCATCCATCAGGTCGATTGTTGGTCTGCTTACTTAAAGAAGCGAGGCTCCAGTTTGATTTCATTCTCCTCTCTCCACTTCCTCCTGGTCCTCTGCAGATCCTCAATACGCTGCTTCTCTGACGCTGCCATCTCCAAGTTCCCCTCCTCTAGATGCCTGTGTAGACCAAAAATCGCAGTTTATTCACTTCATAGTTAAACAGAGCAGAGCAACATCACATGTATGACAGATCTCAAATATTCACTCAGTCTGCACGCTGATAAATGAAAGCGTTTAAATCAACAGACTGCTGTTGGTCTATTTCATTTGAGGAATCAGTCCAATCTGATCCTGCTGGTGCTCTACCTTTGATCAGGTCTGAATCTGGCATCTGTGCGAGGCAGGACGTCTTTCAGCTCGGGACAAAGCTCATTCAGTTCAATGGCAAACCTGGTGAAGCCATAGTAGAGCTCATAGTCTGTGGGCATGGAGCCTAAAGAGGAGAGAAACATCAACAGAAAGATAAAAATCTCAACATTTATCATCCGCTGATGTGCAAAGAGAAATAAATGTTCCACAGAGCTCCTGAGGAAGAAGAACTGGTGCCTACCTGGCCTCCAGACGCATTTGGCAGAAGGTGGGACCCCACAGTAAAGACCCTCGTGCCATTTCCCGAAAAGCCTGTGGATCACTTTCCCCTCCTGATCCATCACAAACCCTTGGACTTCGTTCACATTAGAGCTCCAGTAGTTCCCCTTGAAGACAAACAGCTTGTGGTTACCCATAAGTGAACATTTAGCCTCAGCCTCAGCAGGGCGATGAATGACTGTGATGAGGTCGCTCTACCTTGATGAAGGTGAGTTTGCAGAGGCAGGCGCTGCTCTTGGTGTTTCGGATGGTGATCTCTCCGTAATGTTCGATCCACCGTCGTCCGCTGAGGATGTTGTGCACACATGTGGTGACTTTGTTCCATTCGTAGTGATCCCCAAACCTGGAAACAGAAAACAACTCTTAATCAATCTGATTGAATGCATGAATGATCTCTTTGTTTGTGTTTATGGGTGGGTCAGGATCCAGTCCACATGGGTAAATGGGAGCGTGACATATTTACATATTAGCAATTACTGAGCAGGCAAGTGAATTATGATTTACTACTTTGTTCAAATCAAAGGAAGTATTTAAACTGTTTATGAATATTTCAGATTTACTCTATAGTGTGGATTCTGTAAACACCATAACTCTGCTTTACCTAAAAGCATCATTTCAACCTAAAAGTTAACACAAATGTTATTTACTGGGCTAAACTGAACATTTTGATGTGTTTAATATTACACAGATGCAGCATCTTGGATAGAAATCTCCATTTAATCCCTACAAAATCATCAGAGTTACCTGGGAATCATGAGATTAACCGTCCCAATCGGTAAAATCTCCATCGATTTTCCCCAAAACTTGTTTTTCCATCTCACATCTGAAAAGCAAATGAGTGAAAAACATTAAAATCGACAAAGTACTTACAGTGAACCACCTCGTTTTTATTAAAAGAAGAAAATCAAAAGATGTTTTGAATCAGATTAAATTTCATGACAGAGGTTTAATGAGCCTGACAGACTCTGCTTCATTCCCCCGAGATGGAGGTCTCACTAATGAGGTTTGTAACCCACCTTGCCAGAAGGTGAAGTTCTTTGACTCACAGTGGCAGGCAGAGACGGGCGGGTGGTGGCTCACCTTTGAGAGAGGATCAAACAAGAACGGTAAACTGGCAGCTGCTGCAATTAACTATCACATACACCCAAGTCAGTCTCAAACACAAGCCACTAAGTGTTTGAGAGCTAAAATGAGCAAAATGTATTTTGATAAAGTGTCTTTTTATGAGGTGCTGGTTTGGCTTAATGTTACAGCTGTATGCCTCATGTACAGGGGCTGCAGTCCTGAAGCAGGCAGCTCAGGTCTGATTCCAGACTGTGGCCTCTTTCCTACATGCTACTGCCTCCTGGTATCCTATTTCATTCTCCTGTCTTACCGTCTCTGAATAAATCCATAAAAGCCCTACAATATAACTTAAAGTCAGTGCATCTGTGAACTCTCGGAGAACTACGACCTTTGGAAGTGCCACATATACTCCATTCTGCTAGCTTAGCCTTTCCACATCCTCACGTCCTCCAGTTCTGCCTCTATAACATCCTCAGAGGCGAATGACTTGGCCTCACTATTGAGTCTCTGTGCGTTACTCATTGCAGATGAGGCATAATGGGTACAGCCTTATGATTATTTCCCCATCTTTTGGTGTTTTAACCACCAAACATCTCATCAACCGTTCATGAAAATAATTGGGCAAGTTCTCAATAATCTAAGACATCGTTTTTTTCACAGTCTTCGTTTTTGTATCTTCGAATACTGAAGACGTCATCTGTTAAGAGTTCAGTGAAATGTGAGCAGAAGCTGCACAAATTTGATGCAAATTCGTGTCCTTGTGCAGTGATTTGTTTGGGCAAATCCGAGTGCAGAAGCGCTTGCTTAGAGTAGAGATGCTGAGTGTGAGCGCACTTGATTGTAGAAAAGTGATGTAACAGTCCAACCACGTCAATACTTGTGATTTTTAAATGATGAACTAAGATAAAGTTAACGCAGTCTCTAAGTTTGCATAGTGCTGATACTCGTCTACAAAGAAACTCCCTGTATTCTTTGTCTGGTTGTAAAATCCCCTGATCAGCTGTTTGTTGTGTCAGTAGACTTTAATACTGTAAAAAAATACAATCAAATCAGTCCTCAGTGAAGTGAATCACATTTAAAACGATCGTTTTATGCAAACAATATTGTCTCGCCTTAAAAATTAAACTGCAGCAGATTTTCTAAGCACCTTAGAAAGCGAGCAAACAACTTAATATCCCCCATGATGCATCTGTTTCAATTGTATTAACTCCGGTCGGTGCAGATTTACCTGCTCTGAGAAAAAGCAGAAGCCCTTGTCCTCCCGAATACATTCATAAGTCTCTCCTAGAAGCGGGTTGAATGGCTTACTTCCTGCTCTGTAGTATGTCGACGAGTAGCCTGAGACGGCGAAAGCGGCGACGAGAACCTGTCAGGGAGTCAAAACAACAAAGCAGACATAAAGTGGAGGGATTAAGGGGTTCATATCAGCAGCCGGCTCTGTCAGACATAAGCCAAACATTAGTATGCATTCGACACAATCAAAGAGGAAAAGGAGACGGATAAAAATAGGAGGATTCAAGGTCGACGGCTGCATTGGAGCGTCACAGACACTGCCTCTGAGTGAGACTATTTATGTGGGCTTGTGACGGGCAATGTCAACTTGTACATTAACAAAGATGGACGAAAAAATACAAGAAGGGGTTTCAAATAGTAAAGCCACCCTGGAAAATCTCACCAGATCTCTTTATAACAATGATAAAGGGGCCGTGGCTGCAGAATGATACGTAGATCTAACCTGATAAACCTGATATGACAACGTGTTTGTGTCTGACGGCTTTGTTACCATGCGTTCAAAAGGGTCCTCGGTCTCTGCGGCTTTGTCCAGCAGCTCGCTGTACTCCAGCTCCTCACACATGCGCTGCAGCGTGTTGAGGGGCTCGTTGAGCTCTACAGGCATGGACACTTTGGACAGGTCCTTGCCGATGTTGTTTCTCAGGATGTTCCAGAGGTTGATGTTGCTGGTGTCGGGACACGGGGCCGGCAGGCAGGTGCGCCGCCCGTTACGGAAAGCGCTGCCAGCAAAGTCTCCATTTGCCACTGGAAGGAAAAGATCTCCTTATGAGCAATCCAAACTTAGCACTTAATGATCTGAGGCTCCCAAATGAGAGTATTGTCCCTAAAAATGTTTATATTAATAATCAAGAAATGAAGAGGCACTTTGAGTCAGATGAGGATGCCCCGTCTGATGAGACATTTTAAGATGAGATTCAAGAGCAGCGTTTGATTAAGCTCTAATAATTTAGTGCCTTGACACAATCTCTGCAGATAATCTGTCCCTTCTGGTTATCAGTCTGCTGCAATAAAGTCTTTCGTGGAGAGAAATTCAAAGTTACTCATCAATCCAGGACCAAACTTTCAGAGTCTGAAAGTCAGGAGAAGCAGTGATGCAGCAGTGTCTCTTTGATTATTCAGAGTTTCTTCATTGAATTAGATTCATTTTCATTAGTTTGTATAAACTGTGATGACGTCCTTTGGCTGTGTCGTGGTAAATTAACTTGTGACACACATCAAGCTGTTACTGCGGGGTACACAACATTAAAGTCTGATTACTTAGACTAAATAGTACATGGTATATGTTTCTTTTTTCAACTGCCTGCACCTTTATTTTTACAGATATTTTATGACGTTTTTTAAAAGTAGAAATGTCTAAATTGCTGTTCACATTCAGCATTTTTAAGTTAGACAAAAGTGAAAGTAGAAAAAAAGGGTTATATCAAGTGGACTGATGATTTTAAACACCAAAGACTCAATCAATAGAGGAGATAAGTTAGAAAATAACAGGGCTGTAAAGTCCGAGCCAACCAATTGGTCGATAAGTGCTGAGTCGACCAAAATTCTGATTGGTCGACTCAATTTTTTTCCACGTCAATTTACAATTTAAGGTTAATTTCATCAGGGGGGCGAACCAAGTGCTAATGGGGGTGTTTTCAGAGCACCCCTGTTTCGCAGGTATCAGCCTGTCTCAGAACACCTTCCTTGTTTTCACCAATTTGGATGAACCCAACCCACTGGAGAAACACAACTGGAGACAGGAAGATTGAAGAGCATTCACGTTAATCAATGTCCGGTGGTTTGCAGAATATTTATTTTTATTTTGAGCGTTTCAACTTGCCTTTTGTGTTTAATTGCCTTCTTTTGCTGATATCTGTATATTTTTACCCTGCTGAGCCGCGCTCTGCCAAGCAGCATGGGGGGTGTTTGATTTCAGTCAACTTTTGGTCGAAAATTTCAGGGTTTTAGTCGACCAAGAATTTCTTTGGTTGATCACAGCCCTAGAAAATAATATGATTTTTTCATTTCCTGCCACCATGAGCTTACACTTTGTTTTATTTACTTTCTATTCTTCCTTCTTCTTCTGCTCCAAGGTGAACACTTAACACATGCATTTGTAAATTATAACAGCTGATGTTACAATCCTGAAAGGCGAGACTGTAAAACAGTGATTAACTTAACTGTAAACAATATCGTGAGAGCAGACTGGCGCTGATGCAACAAAGAATATTAAACCAAAAATCAGAGCAGACTCCTCGTCACAGAAGTACTGCACTTCTCTAACCAGATGATGAAGTGAGTTTATTCTCAGAAACACAAAATTATATCATCAATGGGAGATTTTTCAAACTGCAGAAGTCAGATGTTGTTTTTTCGTCCCTGTGAGATATGGCTGTGTATTAGTCCGTGCGGTTGGTGACAAAGATGGAAGAGGGGGATCCCATTCGTCCTCGCACAGATAGCTTTCATAAAGTTAGGGAGAAGCCTTTGGCACAGAGCAACCCTGCAATGTCAACCGCCTCAGCCCCACTGATAAATGAGCCAGTGAGAACTGTACTAGTGTGCCTATGTGGGGGTTTCACAGGAGGCATCCACAGAGTGGGACCCCGTTTACTTCATTAATTTTTCCCTTTCTTTTACAGCAAAGGAACTACGGATGCTTGACTCGTGATGGTGCAGAATTGGACCTACTTTGTCTGGAGACGTTATCGGTCACGCTGGCGTTGTCCTCGGAAATGTTATCGCTCACATCGCTGACGTATGACTCATCGTCTGAGCCCTGTGAGGGGAAGGAGGGATGGGGGGGGAACAGGTATAGAGTCGGGTGAGTCAGTGCAGCAAAAATCAACACAGACGCTGATCAGAATCTCACACACACACGCACACACACACACAAACATGGTTTCTGCAGTTTGCCAGTGGCTAACAAACTGCAGCATCGGTCTGCGATCTGTCCCGCTGCAGTAATCACAGCACAAACCGCTGCAGCATTTTCATACTTTATATTTAGAAGGAGCACAAAGAGGCCCCCGGTGCTTTCACAGAGAAGCATATTGTAGCGTGTTGTATTAGCAGCCTTGTTGCAGTCACCTGCTGCGAGTGAAGTGTTGACTAACAGTGTGACACGGGTCTGAATGGGCCTGCTGCTAGAGCTAGAGTACAGGTGGTTGATGGATTTCCTCGGTGAGTAATCCTTCAACGGGGCTCAATGTGTGCCAGGGGAGCTACAATGCTTAATGGCTCTTCAGAGGCCACATATATTTTGAGCGAGATTGAAAAAATGGAGGGAGGACTGATTGTTTCAAGTGATGCACCAAAGTGCCTTTTTAACCAGACTACAGGCTACAAATCAGGAGGAGCAGGCAGAGGAGGAGAGGAGACGCAAGTGAGCCTTGGAGCTTTTTGGAGAGGAGCCATCCTGCGTTCGAGTTCTTATTTTACACTATCTCTGCTTTTCATGCCGTCCTCATTAGCTGCTGACACATACAGCCATCACAGAGATGTTTTTATCTAGCTTTGCAGCGGCAGCAGCAGGGTTAGTTCAACCCTATCCTTCCTTCATCCACTTCCTCCGTCGCCTCGCTCCTCTAGACTCCACTCTGCTGTCATTTTTATAAGAAGCTGTTTCTCAAATGCCCTCTGTTGTACCTCGTTTTCTGACGAGCTGGCTGACAGAAGCACTTCCTGGGCATCAAAGAACTCCGAGACAGACTCCGACATGGACAGTCGGCTCTCATTAGAGGCCTGCTGAGTCAGAGGGATCCCCATCTGTTCCCCTTCCTAAAGGCAAACACATGGAAACACACAAGACGTTCATTGCTCCTTCGCTGCAACGATGACACGTTCAAGAACCCAAACAGACCTGAACAAATACAAACAGAGTTAATCTAGCAGCCTGTGTATCCTTGCCAAAGGGCGAGCTCTCATCCGTTTCAAATTAGTCATTTTTTCCAATTAACCTTAGTGTCAGTTTGTGCGCAGAATAATGATCCTTTAAACTCACCTGCCACAGCACCCTGGTGAGGCCATCAGAGTGTACGGACAGGAATCAATACTGAGATTGACAAACGCTAAAACCGGCCAGCTTTGGAAGCCTTGTTGTTTTATCAATACCAGAGTCAAAAATGAGTTTGGCTAGTTACACACTGACCGCAGTGACCTACCTCATCAGGCGTGGAGATGATGTTAACACTGACCACCTGCTCAGTCAGGACGGATTCAGAGTGGATGCGGTTTAGTCGGCTTCGAAGTTCTGCATTTTGGGACAGCGCCTGTGTAATAAAAGTTGTGGCCTTGTCACTTTAAAATATTTCATCTAATCTTCACGTACTGTCGCTCACAGGTTCATCTCTAAACCTCACCACTGTTTCACTGAAAACACTTTGAAACTCACGTCTAGATCTAAACTCTGATTTTGTTCTGCTCTAATCATTATTCTCTCCTCTCTGTACCTGCAGTGATGATTAAACTCGTGACAGGTAGGTACAGTCCTCAATCTGAGCAACAGTTAGCTGCAGCTTCTACGAGACAGCATCTAGTTATTAAATATAGTCTATAATACATCCATCAGAAACTAAGGTTTCATTTAAGAGCCTGTGCTATCATTGTGTGTGAAAGTGGGTGAAGGGGAGAAGCGCAGAGTGGTTGAAGGACTAGAAAAGCACACTATAGATTCAGTCCATTTACTATTTGGACTAGTTCAGTGATCAGATAGATGTCCAGTTTTATAATACTTGTGAGATCCAGTTTGTGCTTTTATTTGTTTTGTTTTTTTAATTCATTTTGAACATGGAGAACAATTAAACATAGTATAAACTGAAGATATAAACACTAATAAACATGAAAAAAAAAACAGAAAAAGAACAGATCTAGAGAGTCAAATAAGTTTGTCATTTGCATGTTCAATGTGGAGTGGAAGGAAGTCGAAACTTATCTAGTCCCACCCCTTTACCCCTGCACGAATCATCAATAATTATTTTACCTGCTTCAAGTTAATAATAATAATAATAATAAGAATAATCACAACAAAAACAAAACAACAAACTAATATATTAAAACAAATATTAATGAGAAGAAAAACAATGCTTAAAGGGTCTTTTTGCAGACAGTGGTTCATCTGTGTTTTTTCTGTCTACAGTGGCCTGCAGCAGCCAAAAAAAAAAAAAAAACAGGAAGACAAAAAGCTGAAACTTCACACAGACTGTGATGAATCCCTCTAGATTACTGTCTTTGTTAATATATAAAACATAAAACTCCAGCGAGGAGCATTTGGTTTGCATTGATTTTGGCGCCCCCTCTGGACAAAGCAAGAAGCCGATCTTGTCCTAATAATGTGTAGGTAGTTTTCTGAAGAAAATAAATCCCTCTTTGTCTTCTTTAAGGTTATAAATCTGTTTGAGTCTGTTTGAATGTCAGCTTTAAACTCCACACATGAGCTTTAAACTGTCAAAAACATGGATGAGAAACATTTAAAAAAGACAAAATTATGGAAAAAAAAACTTGTCCCAACAGAAATTTGAATAACTGACAAAAGCAGCTGCCTCTGTAATAACAATCACTTAAGCCTGTAGACATCCCACAGAGCCTCGCCATTAAAGCCTGACCTCCAGCCTGCGACAACATTGTCACACAAGCCTCCAATTAGGGACAAAGCAGAGATAAAGCAGCAGCAACGTTTTACTGAAATGATGTCAACTGTTAGCAGAGGAACAGTCCAATTAAACCACTGGAGTAGAGAGACAGCCCTAAGGAGCCGAGTTAATGAACTGCACGGCACATTTCTCTCTCAGCCAATTAATATAGGAAAAGATGATTGAACTTTCACTACTCGCTAGCCTGCACCCACATCTCCACACATCATATTCTCTAATCAGGATTAGCATGGCTGCACGACATAAACTGCGGCATGTGTGTTTTATCTGACAGGCCGTCATCATGAGCATGTCTTACAACACGACAACTACAAAATCGGTCCGTCTTTAAAGACACGTTGCTAAACCGGCGGCAGTAATTTCCTCAGTAATGTTGGAATCATGTTGGAATTACAAATATAATGTAACCGAACAGGTCTGACAAACAAAGAGAAAGTAAGAAAGAGAGTTACACATGGTTAATTAGTGAAAGCGGCTCATCACCTGTGACAGAGACTTCCTGAGAGAGTTGACCTGTGCTGACTTGTCTGTCTGCTCCTGGTCCGACAGGATCTGTTTAATCTTTTCCTTCTCAATGGCCACCGTGTTGAAAGCCGACTTCAGCAGAGAGTGGACTACAAAGAGACACAACAGAAGATATTCAAACTCCTTTATGCTCTACAAATGAGGGTCTTTGTTACCACCTTTGGAGGAAAGTAGAAAATGTGATTCTTAAAACTTTGACACTGAGAGCAAAAAAGTACTTTTCTGTGCTTCGTCTGATTGGTTTTAGTTTCCTCTCATCTTTGGTTTAAATTACACTGAAGTGCCCCAAAATGTCTCCAATTAATAATAACATGATTTTTTATTGCACCATTACATTTACAAACACTTACAGAGTGAACACTGCGGTGCTTTGGGTTTGCTTCAGCGAGCCAAATTAAAAGAGTTTGATAGATGAGTCGACTTCTTATTCTCATTTGCATTTTTCTCAGTTTTCTTTTTTATCTACAAGCTCATTTTTGCAGTTAAGTTTAATGTTTATGAATTTCTTCCAAACTGAGAAAAGTACTTAAGACAGAATAGCACAGTGTGACCTCATTTTGAGTCCTGCAAAATATCAAAACCCGAGTCCGTCTTCAGTTAAATAAAACACTAAACTATGAAAGAGAGTAACCCTTTCATTTAAGACGCTGGAGCTGCTTCTATAACTCAATGAAGGATATCAGTAAACCCTTCATAAGAAGTAGATTGATCTGAGAGAAAACTTCCTTTAAAGAGTCTTAAATTAAGTTTAGAAGTAAACTGATTATTCGCAGGGATGAACCTCATCCTGAAATATGTTTATCAGTTGTAGTTTGACACATGAAGCTCACACCTTTCGTTCACCTCATTATCTCCTGTGAGGTGCTAAACTGGCCTGCCTGCAGTTCCTGCTTGTTACCCATTAAAAAACATTTGGTGCATCATGAAACGGAAAAGGAAACATCAAAGTGTTAAGCAGCTGAGATTCAATATTAGGCAAGAAAGGGATTCACTTAAGAAAAATAAAAGAAACTCTTCTCCTCTCCTCCAAAAGTTTTTTTTTTTTTTCATGAAACAATAAAAACGTTTCAGTCTTAATATTTCATATGTTGTCTTTGCTCCACATTCAATACTGAGGTTTTGATGTCTGTGGCTATCAGAACCAGCTGAGAGTTCAGCCTGCCTACCTTTCTGTGCAATGGTACAGAAATCCTCCTGAAGTTTAATGTAATCACTGGCACACTCCACGCTGTCTGTCAGCCGGGAAACAGGAGGCTGGAAGTCGACCAGCTCGGCACAGAGGTTTGGGTTGGATGAGTGGAGGCGGACAGGGGACATGCTGGCAGACAGAGGGACCTAAAGGGGCGATGAACACAGAGGACAGGTGTCAACCTGCTCGGAGACGAAACAATATAATGAAAGTCCCAGAACCAGAGCCAGAGCCAGTTATGGATAGCAAGAATTTGAGACTGAAAAAGCTCTGCTAAGTCTGATCGACTATATTGTGCTCTTTGTTCTGGAGATTTCTTGGTTTAATTAGCTTGACTGACATCTCAAACCTCTAAAGTAGACCCCTGAGGACTATTTACATTGTGTGCAACCAAAACAGTGAACGCAAGCACATTTAGTCTTTACACAAGAAGCACAAATAAACACATTTCACAACAAAAAGAGATTATTACAAGTGAATCCATGAAACAGTACACAAAAAGTGAAAAGTAGACAGCCATAGAAAGAGCAAGAATAATTTGGTATCACTCTGGATGTGTGCAGTAATAATCCTCCTTACAAAATGTGAACAGAGCAGTGAAGTCAGTTAATACTGGATTTATCTGACAAAACTTTTAGCTATACATGCAGGTATTAAATCTGTGACTTTCACTTATATATCTGTTGCTGCTTTGCATCTTATTTATTTTGTCTTCTAGATTTAAAAAGCTTAAAATAAAACAAACGCTGTTAAATCTCCAGAACACATGAACCGTGTCATGCTATAACATAAAACGAACCATAAAAACAGTGATTTAACTTTATGTTTCGATGAACTAGATGACTTGCTTTTTATTGTGGCTTTTAATTTAGCATCTTAAAATTCAGATAACATCAGAAATCGTGTGTGTGTGTGTGTGTGTGTGTGTGTGTGTGTGCCATAGTTGCTGGGCAGAAGTAAAAAAAGTATGTACCTGAAGCTGAAATTTTGCGTCTTTGCCGACACTTTTTGTTCTCCATCTTCTGTTCAAGCGCTTTTCTTTCTTTGACAATTCTACACAATTGGTCTTTGCAGCACGCATGGATCCAACAATGCAAAGCATGGTTCAAAGGACAAAGCACACCACATTTAAAGCAAAAGTTAGCACACAGATCCACAGCAGTGAAATGGCAAAAAAAGACAACATCGCCACGAATGGGTCGCAAATAAAACACTGAAGCAAACTGGATGTTTGTTGTTTTAATACGAAAGCTTGCAGATGCTGTGTGTGTGTGTGTGCGTGACCGAAATCTGTCAGCCAGACTAAATAATAACTGACTACCTTTTCAAAGACTCATGCACCTGCATCATTACCTGAGCTCTACAGACTCCTGTGCAGCTCCACACAAACACACGCATCTTTAAAATGAAGCCCTAATTAAATGTCTTCCCCTGCTCCTCATATCAGTACATGCGTGTGTCTCTGTTGTGCCCGCATGTGTGTGTTTGTGTTTCTCTTCTACCTGCATATCTGTGAAGTTGGGCGCTGACTGGGTCCTTTGTAGAATCTCCAGACTCTGCAGCAACCGGCTCAGCTCGGTCAGGCTGGTCTGGCACCGTGCGAGCTCTGAAAAATCGAATTCACAGCCCACACGATCACAAACACATCCAGTTTAATGTGTCACACAATAATTATAAACCCTCCTTTAGAGGTTCAGAGGACTTATCGTAGAGCCACAGGCATGATTTCATTTCTTGAGTGAGATCAGATCTAATCAGGACAGAAATAGAAAATAGCACACACCCTCAGCACACTTGTCCATCTCCTCTGATTCCTGCAGCCAAGCAGCCACCTTGCTCTGTCCATTACTGTAGGAGGCAGGGAGGCTGTTGTTGCTACTGCTGCTGGGGGCCACCGGCTGCCACGGCAAACTGCTCGGTTTAGTCTGCTGTGGGGCGAAACAGGAACAGACATGCAGAGAAATTTGGTTGTTCCGTCTCAAACTTCACGTCAGAATTACACCCGTGGGAAGCAGTTTTCACTTACAATGTGAAGACAGGAATATTCAGGTAATGGGTGGAAATTAACAGTTGTGGCTGATGATTTACTTCTATATATGTTATATATACACTGGCCAGTGTTTGTAAACCCACTATTAAAAGTAAAGTATTACTCAATATCTAAATGAGCAAAAGTACAATTTCCAAAGTTTTGACAAAGCTGAGTTTAATGTCACATTTTGTTTACCATAAAATGAAAATAAGGGTGATATGGTCACTAAAATTTAGCTTTTTTTGTATGCAACTTAAAAAATCTTGTTTGCAATCAATGGCCTACATTTGGGGGAGTATTTTGCTGTATAGTCTGTAGAAAATGTTGATTTTGAAAGGAAACTAAAGGTTTTCTGACAACTCTGAAGGGGTGTACTTATTTGCTCTGTATAAACTATATAAACTATAACAAGCACCACCCAGAGTGAAAAATGTCAATCATGATTCCCAATACTCTGATTTGGGATTTTCTAATTCTTTTTTTATGTCTCTTTGTAAAGCAGCAAATCTCTTACCTGATTTAACATGAAACATCACTGTTATTTAAACCAGTCCCTGTTTGAGTCTTCTTTACCTATGACTTAGTCACGTCATGGAGCAGGAACATTTGTCGAGAATATGATTTTCAAAATGTCAGAAAAGGCACTTTCTGATTTAGCTGGCTGGATAAAATGAAAATCATAAAAACAGTCACATGCTGCGTCATTTTCTTTTAACAGCGTGCTCAGGGGAAAAAAAACTGCCACGCTGAAGCTGTCTTAAGTATTTCCAAAGCACCTTGGCAGTCCTCGGTTCCCGATGTGACAGTTTTGTCTGACTCCATGATAGAAGTGTCTCATTTAGACTTTTCTTCTGGGAGAGCTCATCACACCGCAGCCAGATTATCTATAATAGTCTCCATGAAGCACAGAGCCGCAGTCCCCGGAGCGCCACGGCGGCATTTTCACACTTACACTCTGCTCAGACATGTCAGCGGCATGTACCAGAGGTTCAATGTAAGCTGGTCACAGTACTGACATATAAAACCTTTAGTTTCCACACTTCATGGGTGGACAAAAATAGCTCATCAGTAAAACTGCGAACAGAGGCTTACATACATGAAACACCACCTTCAGTACGAGCATTTGCAGTATTTGTAAGGAACTGTTGGCTGACTGCAGAATATCCTCATGAAGTCCAGTGACTTTCTCAACCAGGCTTTGTGTAACCAAAAAGAAACTGGTGCTTATACATTCACTCTTTCTCCATGATACGCTCTCCCTGAATAAGTAACTGCGCTCAGCTCGGATCACAGAGTGAGGACTCTCACACTTGACTGTCAGGTCACTTTGATTCGAAAAGTGTGTAATAAGATCAAATCTGTGATGTAACATTGAAGGCTTTTGGCCAGTCTCTGTAAAGATCATTAACTATTGATGATTTTAAAAAATCAATAATTTACAACATTTTACCGTAGCAAATCTCAAATAGTGTCTTACTCAAGCGCCTTAACAGTCAGGATATGAAGCTGCCCTCTGATTTATATGGTTAAGAATTAAACTTATTCTGGTCTTGGATGATTTCTTGGACAAAACGGGACATCCACAAACATAATTTAGGACTCTGGAAACCTTGTGTAAATATTATTTTTTCATCCAAGGACTCACTTTTGCTTCACGCACCACACTCGAGGCCGGTTGGGGGGAATCCATCGCAGTTGGAGGAGGAAATGTACGCATGGTGGCCTCCCGGGGTGATCGCACAATCTCGTTCTGTCGGTATAGCCGGTGATGGCGCAACTTGCAAACCCAGGCATCGAAGATATCTTGAGATTTGACCTGAAGAGAAAGACGACATACATGCGTCCAGGTCATGACTTCTTCTTCTACTTATCATTGATTTGATGACCTTGTTACCTCTCCCCTCTGAGTGTTACCTTCAGGTGATAGATGTGCTCCTCAGTGTCCAGGTCGATGCGACGTGCCCTCTTTTTGATGGACATGACTGAGAGGCCCACATCAATGCTACCGTGGAGTTTGCCTTTTTGGATCTGATACCAGTGACAGACAGAGATTTTCCATTATTAAAAGCAAAGTTAACAGTAAGTCGAATCATTTGTAAACTTTTAGTTCAAAACTGTTTCAGCCTTTGTGAAGTACGACAATACATTTAGATAGACAGCTTGGGCTAAAGGGACGGATCACGAATCGACCTCAATTTAACCAACTTTAGTAACAATCAAAACGTTTGCACCAGTGATTGCACACTACAAGCCTCTACTTCAGAAACCAAAGTGTACTTGGAAATATTGAGTAACTGAGCCAATTTGAAACTAATTTAAAAAATGTTTCACCACATTTAAGTTTTAAATAGATACAGAAAAACTGAATTAGTCAGATTAATTGAGTGAGTTAAAGCTTTTACAAGCTTTAACTCACAAAGCTAAAGTTTTTACAAAAAAAAATATTTTCCATTTCAGAACAAAGTTTTATGTCCATAATCACAATGTGAAGTAATTTAAACCATTGTCTTGATTTGGGAATCAAATTAAAGAAATTAGATTTTCTAAATGATTTTTAATTTTAGAATTGTACTTTAAAGAAATTCTGCCTACTTAAACCTCTGTGGACTAAAATTACAACTTACATGTAGGAGAGAGCTTCACAGAGTTTCACTGGTTAATATAAGGTGATCCGCACACTCCTACATATGCTTTTGTTAAGTGGTCACCCACTGCACCTGTATGCTTAGCTCAAAGGTGGTACCTCGAACTCAAACTACTTTTTTCACTGTTTCATATAATTTTGACTGACCAGCTGAGGCATCAAGGAGCTTTTAAAGTGTAAGTTATCATTCAACAGCATGTGGGGGTGCTGTGTTAAATAATACTTAAATGGACAACACTATTCAAAATATATCAAAAAAGCTCAATGAAAGTTTGAGTAAAAGAAAAGGTAAAACATTCATCTTTCTTCCTGAATTAACCAAATATTAAATGTGACTCTGCACCATGCAATAACTTTTCTATAAGGAGTGGGTTTTTGTTATAGGCGCAAAAGCGTCCGTGTGAAATGAATCGCTATCAACTGATTCTATTCACACACCAGTTTGAGGTCAAGTGTCTTGCCCGAAGACACTCCAGCATGAGGACTACTAGGACAATTAGCTCTACCTCTGAGCCACAGCTGCCTCAGAATACAGAGGGAAGTAAAATCTAAACAAACAAGTTTGTGGGGAGTAAAGATGTTTATGTGACAGGATAAAGACTGGGAGTGAGATTGTTTTGAAGTAGACGTGATAACACCTCAGCTGAAGCCCAGTGCTGCTGCTTTCTTTTGTATTTGATTCAACATTATTCATTGTGGTTGGAAAAAAAATGCCTTTTTAAGCTTTTGATGAATTTTTGGTATCACCCTGTCTTTTAATAGACTCATTCTCTACTATTCTGAGGAATAACAGAGCAAAAGAACTAAAAAAAATGGCAATTATCATGTTTAGCTTTAGCAATTATTAGTTTGGGATTGTGAATTTGGTGTGTATGATCATGGGATCCACAGTGTGTCATGTTGCAGTTTTTCATCTTGTCTGTGAAACTCTGGCGTTGCAGCAAAGCGACATGGCGTGCTGTAAAACACTGAGCATCCTGACCCGGGTTGCAGATGTTTCTGCTGACTCATTGCTGAGCCGAGCTGATGTCAGGCAGGGCTGCCCTGTTTCTGCCTGTGGTTACAGTCAGGGTTACTTACATCAATAGGGGACTTTGAGTACTTCAGGATACCATTGTCCAAAACGAAAAAACGCTGCAGAGGACAGAAAAAAAACAATATATTACTTTAATAAGGAAGGGCTGACATTAAATACAAATCACATTGGACCCACTTATATGTGGATGGAATGTAAATGCAAAGCTTGGTTATTGTGTGATCTGTGGTGTCAGGCTAAAATCAGAGACTGGTTTCCACTAGAATCAAATAGGAGATGATGTCTTTAAAGGGAAAAACCCAGTTTATCTGCCAAGAAAAAGATGAACTGAATGCATGAAAAAAAATCTTATCTTTCAAGCAACAGCACTTCCCTTGACAGAAAACTGCCAAACATCCATGAAGTCGATGTGTTTGAAATGTTGCTGCAGCTGCAAAAGCTTGTGTGTGTATCACTTCGACCATGTATCTTACCTTGTGCCAGCCTTTCAGAGGCCATTTCCGCTTCTTCAACATGAACCCCTCATGCTTATCAGGCCTTTGGACGTTGCTTTGACCGATTTTCAGCCCCTCAATGATTTCCCAGCTGTCTGCCTCCTAGCAGGAAACCAAAAAAATAGTGCTGTGTCAGAGCTAATCCGCAGGAGAAAACAGAAGATACATTTGCTCTGATAAAAAGAGAGGATTCTCCTGTCATGTCAACAGTCCGTCAATGAAAACAACAGGGCTACATGTTTTTACTCTCCCCCTCTATGAAAGCACATTTTCAGACCTACAACCCCATTCAGATTCCTGCTGCTCCTTCAGCATTTCCACCCCATTAGCTTCTCCTGACTGTGCTCGTCTTTCTGCGGGTGGGTCTGTAAATCAAAGTGACGCCTCCGTAGTGGAAGGGCAGCTGGGTCAGACAGGGACAGGTGAGATATCAGACCGCTGTCCCACTTGGGGGAACTCTGGGAGTCATGGGATCATACTTTGACAGCAGAGAAATGTCTGGGAACAAATACGGATCACCTGCATGATCCTAATGCAGCAGCTTATAATGATTTATCCAACACCTGATTTCTCTGTGCACAGAAACTTTTTCTGTTGTTTGACCTATTTGTGCAATCATAAGAACACTGAGCAGAAATCTAGCTGCAGTTCCCTTTATTAAGCTCCTTTAATGCACAATGCAGCTATTTATGTATATAGATTATGTAAGAGTGGGTAGTATGTTTGTGTTGTTCATTAAGCTTCTGTAGTTGTTGCCTCTTTATGGTGAAAACCCATAACTAAGAATAAGCACCTCTGGAAACCACTCACAGCCTTTATGTATGTTGGGACGCTGCAACCATCAAGACAGCATGCTGCAGGTTATTTACGACACCTGACCTCAGCTTGTTGAGCACTTAACAAAGAGGAGACAACAGCTTGTTCAATCTATAGATTAAAAATTCTATAGTGTCATGTTGTTCTGTCTCTTTCACTTGTTTATGTTGTATATTGTGCTGAAAATACGTATTGTAAAAAATATCATGTAAGTTTGGCACATAGACTGTATATAGAATGGACGCCGTATGCCTCCTCTCTGGGTGAAGCCTCGGGTGACTGGCTGCAGTATAGGTCATAAACCCCGCCTCCTCCAGCAATCCCTATGGAGCTGTGGACAAACTTTAGAAATTTATTACACAGAATATAAATTTTTCTCCCCCCTGGTTGCAATTTTGACATGTAGTTACAGTAAGACTGATTTGTGCTCAAGTCCTCTTTTTTCTCTACAGCTCCGTTTTTAAAAGTTATTATGGGTTCATGTTTTCTATGATTGACACCTGATACAGCCTATGGGCGTACAAAGATCGCGTTGCTTACCCGGGGGATACGCTGTTTGAGCCGAGCACAAGGGAGTAGGTTTGATTTCGACATTTTGACACAAACCAACACAAACACAAATGTGAATATAAATGACACCGCTGATATTAAAATCCCTTTCAGCTAACGTGACCCAGGCATAATATGCCAAACATGTTGGCAACTTACACTTAGCGGTTGCAGATAACATGCACTGTCTGCCTCCCGTCCAGTCCAACTAGCAGGTAACTTTTACACCCAGGTGTAGTGACAGCGGGGACAGCCAATCACATGTACATAAGCAAGAAACCAACAGTTAATCAAAGAGCGATATTTAGGTCAGAGGCGGGACGTCTAACAGAGACAGACTGTTAACCCTTTGTGTGCCATAATCATTGATTAAACACCAAGGACAGCGATTGTTTTGATAGGTACTTCACTGTAGCAGCTGATTATTGGGAGGGACGTGTCCCTAGCGTCCCTACCCAATTCTGTACCCTTGGCAGAGTGTCATCACAGTGACTCTTCTGCCGAGTTCGCACAATGCGACTGTGCAAGTGGTATTTCCAGGAAGTGGAGAAAATCCTGGATGTACCGAGAGCAATTCGACTTCAAATTGGTATAATGACGGAAGTGGGACCAAGTTGTCCATAGCATGTACAGTCTATGGTTTGGCACATATCGACTACATCTATAAACCTGCCCTCCTCTCTCAAAAATACACTAGTCAACAACCTCACCGACACGTCATTAACAATTGACCAGCTCAACTGTATAACACTGCCAGTAAAATAACCCAAACATCCCTTAAATGACAAGCAACTTCCCTGATGGGCAATAACAAGCAGCAGCCGGTGAAAGCCGTTCAGACCAACTTCCTGTTATCAGCAGGATTACAAACAGACTTTCAAATGACTCTCGATTGATTAATCAATACAGCACTAAATAAAGAATGGCCCACCCTGCAAATATTGCAATTCCAGGCACTTTCTCCTGCGGTCGTTTGGGGATGTGAACCATCATCAAGAAATTCTTCATGAGGAACCGTCAACGCAACGGAAAGTAAATACTCCAGTGTGTGCGCCTGCGATTGTCTCATATGGAAATAATGACCACAGTCAGAAAATTTGCTTCTGTTATGTGACCCTGGAAACAGAATTGAATTAAGCCAAAGTGATTTCCTGCTCTCTGCTCACATTCATTGATCTCACTGCAGAATCATCCGGAGCTGAATGAGGTGGACCCTCTGACTGAGTTCGCCTCTTTGATGAAGGATCTCGTATCAGACTCAGGAAGAGACGGTTTGCTTTATCGAGTCAGTAGTTAAAAAGGCGGCCTCAGTAAGCTTGGTTAATATACTGGATGACTTTGACCTGAAACATCTTGGTGGAGTAGAAGTGAATATCTTCAAAACTGACAGAATTAAATAAGAGGTAATCCTCCTGTACAGTCTGTCTTTGCCAGTTTCAGATGCCAACTCATACAGTATCCACCGGCACACAGGCTGCAGCGCAGTGGAGTTTTTAAAGCAGCGATGAATCATACCATTACAGTTAAGGTCTCCCTGAGTAGCAGAAAGGACAAACACTCCTTGGGGACACCTTAGACTAAATCAGCACTATAAATATCGGCCTGACAGCCCACTCCTGATGACACCTTCTTCATAGCCGCTTCTCCCACGGACAATGATCATCTACATTTAGAGTAACGGTCTGTGTTGCTGCTGAGCTGAGTAAGAATGGAGGACTAACTTTTCATGAAAAGACAATACATGACATTTATTCAGTGTTATCATATCATCTCGGGATGTCAGGCACATAACAGCTCCAGTTAAGACATTTACAGTATTATCTAAATGAGTTTATTATCTTATTGTTCTCTTTAGATTATAGGATATCTCACTCTCACTGGAGACTAAAGGATGTTTTTTATTTAAAAAAGTGTAACACAATGAAAAACATAAAACAAAGGCACTTATGTATCAGCCACACCATCATAGATGTACGCTGTAATACAAGCTTGGTGGACATGGTGTCCATGAAGTCAGATTTTGATTTATCAGATCACAGGAAAATATTTAACTCCTCCTCAGTCCATCTTTTATTGGTGCAGAGAAGTTGCTGGATCATGTTTACATATCATTTCCCTTTCAGCATGGTTAAATTTTAACTTAAACGGTGTTTTCAGATGATTTTGTGCCTATGCAGTGATTTCTACTGCAGAGTCATGACTGTTTCAATGCTGCCTGAGAATTTAAAGCCATCCAGTGTTGGTTTTTGAGCGTTTTCTTTTTGGGAAGATGGTCCTGCAGATTTTCTGTGTATTTTTATAATATCACATACTGTAGTTGAACACATCCACAGTTCTTTTCAGTTTAATACTCAAAGATATTAACATGAAACAATTCGACTAATTGAATGACTCAGCCTCTCTGGATTATCTCCCTAACCTGCTGCAGATTAATGTAAGTGGTCAAGAGATGTTCCTCTGAGAGGTTTCTGTTTTTGGCACAACACAGTGTTTCTCACAACCTCTTTTAAAGGGGCTGCTGACATCAAATTTACTCTAATATGAGCAGATATTTTACAACAGTAAAAAGTCCATGCACCAGACAGTTTGATAAACCCTCAAAATCACTTTTTATCAACATTTAACACAGCATCGCAACTGTTCTGGAACCATTTTTTTGGCATTGAATAAGTTACGTGATGAGCTTGGAAAAACTATGTATTTAATACTAAAAAGTTTTGGCAAGTCAACTGCTGAATTTTACTTTGACACAGAATCAGATTTGATAAACAATCAAATCAAGTTTCTCTGGTTTCAGGATTTTTTCATGCTTACATTTTGATGATTGTCACCAAGTTTTGATATGTTTGCAAAATCAAAAATTTGAAGACAAAATTTAACCGTTTTACAGATCAATAGGTATCTGTTTGTTGTATAATCCTTTTCTGCAGGCCTGAGCTCAAGTGAACAATTTTGTTTTTTCAAACAAAACAAACTAAACTAATTTGAAAATACTGCTCTTCTTGCTGAAGACACTGACCAGTCTAGTGTTTTTTCACACAGAAATGGTTGAGTGGGGTTGCTGGAGGCCAAAACTGGTAAAATAGATTTCTTATTGCAGCCTAAACTTTTAAAAATAGAGTCAGGCTTCAGGTCTGTGCATGTGTAAAGAAATATCCATTATTCCAATGCTGTTTACTTTCCCTTCAAACATCTTGGTGCACTTTTTTAATGTGTTTGCAGTTACTCATACTTACATTTGTCATGCTCATGAAATAGATGGACTGACTGTATGTACTGTATTATCTTTGATATGTACTGTACATGTTCTTCATGTCAGTGTATTTTTTTCTCTGTCAGACTTCCCTTTGAATATAACTCGATCACAATGGAATTAAACTGCGACATTAGATTTCCTTGTGAGCAAATATATACTGTGTTATAGCAGCTGTAAAAACCATCCCATCTCATCTCCGACAGACAGTCACACAGACGCTGATGTCTCAAAGGCTCATAACCAAAGGGGAAGTGTTGTTAGTGTTGTAAGGATGGATTTCACTGCAGTATCTGTCCGGCTCAGCAGTAAAGCTCAGAGCTGGAGGTGGGCCGCCGCATGGATGACAGGTTGACACCTCAAGAGGTGGCGGTGTATACGCACAGTCTCAGTCTCTGTGTAAACACCACAGAGGCAGTTACAGACCAAGAGTTTAGATGTTTCAACTGCTGTTTTTTTTTTAGGTTTGTTGTTTAAATATCTGAGGGGGCCGAGGGGGAAAATTAGTCCTGTTGAGATGCTTACAAGAAGAAAAAATCGTCTTCTTGATCCTAAAAATAGAAGTTAAGATGACAAACTGGTCCTGTCCTTTAATTATTTAGCTGTTGTTGTCTTAATACGTTTGATATAAAACACCTTCAAATTAAACTGTGGTGAATATACACTAAAACACGGTGATAAATACACCCAAAGTATGTTTGAATGTATTTCCTTCAAGAAGAAATTGGACAGGCCTTTTTTAAATGAATACTGATCCCTGTAGACCCCGACTTCAGACTCTTTTCTGCCTCTGATATCTTCTACTATCCATCAGGCAATAAACCTAAATCTTCTCGTACCGGGCACAGAGCACAGAGATTAACTTGGTTGATTTTATTGAGAGGTTTGGAAGATTAAAACCGCCTCAGTGTTTTGGTTTTGTGCCTTGCAGATTTCATTCTCCAGCTCCGCTCTCTCTATCAGAGTCATGTCCTCTGTTTTGAGTGGGTCTTTTGTGGAGAAAATGAGATGATCTGAAACTATGATAACCTGCCCACAGACAGGATGAATAAATAATCTTTTTGATCATATTTTTGATGGACTGACGAGAAAGAAGAGACATCTATGTTGACGTTATTAGCATGAAAAACAGCCGTTATCAGACCGGGTAGGATCTGGTTATTGAATCATTGATTTATCTGATTTAGGGATAAAAAGGGTCTTCTTTTCCACGAAGACAGAGAAGGATTGCTCCTATTCTTGCTGAAAACGTCTTATCTGAACAGGAAATTACAAACTGCAAAAGAAAAATTGATAGAGTAGCAACATCCTGAGTCAACTTGTGTGTTTTTGTGTGTTTTAAAGTGGGTGTGAGTGTGTCTTTGTTGTGAGAGGAAGAGAGGGGGAGAGAAGAGCGAAGGAGTAAGCGCTTACTGCAGGTGGTGCCTCTAATTGCTCTCACGAGGGTCTCCACTGTGAACAGTAGCTGTCAGTGGACAGAAAACTGATATGTATTGATTTATAAAGGGGGCTGGATCTTATTAGGATTTGCCCCCAACTAAATACCCCAATTTGAGTCCAGCCGAGCTCTCTAAAGTCTCTGTCAGTGTAAACTCTGCTTCCTCTGGGTTACTCTGGGTGAGAGACACTCCACTTTTGTCTTTTTCATCTCAAAAATAACACAGAGGTTGATAAAAACACATGTTCAGTATGACATTCATAAAAGTATCAGGTTCCGATATCAGCATAATTCATGGATTGGAAATTTCGGATCCAACCTGCGAAAATTTCCGATCCATAAGTCATGTCTTTGTTTTACCTTTGTCTGCTGAAATGACAGTACAAGTGATTATTGCGGGTCAGTCTGCTAGCTGGCTGCAAACTACGGAATGCATTTCCTGAATGGAGATATGTCTCAATGAGACACAGAGATGAAACACTCCCCCATTCAAGAAATCCACTCCGCAGTTTGCAGCCAGGCAGCTATCAGGCTAGCACTGAGCAGCACTAGGGCTAGCAAACTTTTCCACACAACATGTCCGCTGTGTGGAAATATTTAACAGTCGAAACGCCGCAAAGTAAGACAGCAACGTGCAATGTTACAAAGTCGTTATTCCGAGGCGGAATCTCCGTCGCGACATACAATACCTCAAATGTAATCAAACATTTGAAAAAGCACCACATGAAAGAGCGCAAGGATTTTTTTTAGCCAGGGGACCGAGTGAGGAAAGGAGCCACAGGGAATTACTTCTGGAGTCATACCAAAAGCAAGTTAAACTTCCAGGAGACAGGGTGAAAGATAATAATGAATAAACAATAATGATAATAATGATGGTAAAGCTAACAGATCTCTGGTATCGGAATAGTATCTGCGGATATCCAAATTCAGGAATAGAGAACTGATCGGATGTGAAAAAATGTGGATTGGTGCATCCCAAGTTCATAACCAATAATCTGATTCATGTTTAGTTTGCTGTTTCTTTAAGTCATGAGGTCTTGATCAGGAGGGTGTGCATAATTAAAGAAAACCACTAACAAAGACATTTTCTCTTATCTTCATGGCTGCCTCTTAGACAAGTACCTGACTTCATTAAACACATTCAAAGACACAAATAACAAAAGAAGGGCTAATAGATAACCTCCCTCTCAGATTAAGAAGGCTTTTAGATAATGGATCATCTGGGAAATTAAAAACTGTACCCTTTCACCCATGGAGACCTTCTTATCAGGAGCCGGTAGCTGACATTGAAGATTGGGGACAATGAGCACAAAGGGTTAACCATCTGCCTCGGCCAACTGCAGACTCTCAACTACGCACTTTCAAATAGGCCTCATTTCTCAAACACGCTCTCTTTTTTGTCCTGCCCTTCAGAGCGCCATCACAAGCTGCGCTCCCGTACAGCACACCAGAGCGTGCCACATGCTCAGTGGAGCACCAAGCCTCTGCCTGTCCCTCATGAAATATTCATCAGCCTGTGCCGACGGAAAAGCTGTGATGTCAGAGATTCCAGTTTGGGTGTCCTGTTCCTGAGCGACCACAATGACACAGCAGCCCGGCGAGGTAAAGAGAGACGGGGGCTTCAGAGGGATTGATGCATGGGTTCAGTTTAAGTACAAGAGCCTCTCTCAGCATCTGCACGGTTTTTACTTACCAACTATCTAACTCACCCTAAAGAGCTGATAATCATCTTTTCTTCTAACTTTATCAATACGGGGGGTGGGTCTGTATATCAGGGATTATGAGTGGTTAATAGGGTCAGCTGAAAATAGAGCCATTTAAACTGTGCTGAAACTATCAGATTAAACTGGATTTTCACCCCAGATTAGTTGGTTCTTGGCGGTGAGCCTTTCTACCAGATCTGTCACTGTTTGGCATTCACACTAAAATATCGGCCATAATTCGGCTTTTTTTCACCACTGATAGAATCTAACAAAACACTCAGTCTTTATGAGCTCTTGTGTAACGTCCTTTCTGAAGTCTTAAGTTTGAATTTTATTATAATTTAAAAAAAAACATCTTTCACTTTTTAGCCCGGCTGTCGTTAGCTTGTTAGCTTCTCTCTCATCATGCTGTCCCTCTCCCTGCTCTCCTCTCTCAATGATCATACTTTTATAACCCTGGGGAGCCGTAATTGAAATCAAAGTTTAACCAAGTGTTGTGTGACCACCTTCAAGGATCAGACTTCTCCAAATCATCACACCGCAGATGAGGCAGAACAGGAGCTTCAATATCCTGCCTTGAAATGGCAGAATGCAAGCGCCTACAGAGTCAAGCAGATTTGCCACCTAAGATGAAATTTGACCTTAAAATATGTTGTCAGCTGCACTTGTATGAAGATATCTGTGTAGAGATAAATAAATCTTTCTAAATAACTGCAGTTGGGGGATGTCACAACAGCAGGTTATCATTTCCTGCACAAATTCATGCAGGGTTTGTAGAGATATAAGACCTGACAACTTCTTGCATCCCCCCATGCTGGTTTTAAGACAACACTGGAAGTTTCTGGCATTCAAAATGTAATGTTGCAAGAATCGGTTTGAAAAAATGTTGATAATCAATGAATGTTTGCTCTCAGTCTGAATAAGCACATTATTGTTGGTCGAGACAGCGCTGGAATAAACAATCTAATAAACTGTGTTGGGTTTTTCCTTCTCTTTAAAATGGTGATGCAGAGATATGTCTGTTCTGGCAGCTGATTTCATAACGACTGACAAGGTCATTACAAAACTGTCCTGACTGTTTTTGTTGAACAAACTAAAGCTGCTGAATTAATTTTTCATGATTTGATATTTCTTGGCAGGCCTAATTTTCCTTAAATGAAATGACTCACAGAAGACGGCACTGACAGAGGACTGCAACGACCCTCAATAATGTTCAATCTTCCCAAAATAACTTTGAGTTAAATTCATTCACAACCAGGCTGCCTCGTGAACTATTTTTGTGTGGTATCATCATGTGAGAACGAGTCAATTACCTGCCGGCTGTCCCTCTGGGAGGATGAAGAGGAGGAGGCGCTCTTGTGAACCGGTGTGGAGGTCTTGTTGCTGGCTGTGGAGCTCCGGTCCTCAGAGCTCAAGGTGCGGCCGTGAGGGCCTCGCTGGTAGTGTTGGTGGTGGGACATGGTGGACTCCGTGGACCTCCCTCAGCGCTGGGCCCTGCAGATCAGGTACATCCTCTAATACTCTCTCACACTCGCAGCTCAGCGCTCATCTGAAAGACAAACATCAAGACATAAGAATACTGCGTCTAGAGGTGTCCCGATACAACTTTTTTTTACTTCCGATATGATACTGATATTGTAGCCTTCAGTATCGGCCAATACCAATATTAATCCGATATTAGAACAAACTTGTGCGTGACAAGTTTTGCACTCAGCTGCAACGTCTTTTCCGGAATTAGACAAAAAATACAGCCACACGGCCAACGTCACTCCCACTCCTTGCTACTTTGTTAGTACCATAGTACACACTGTTGTTGTGAGTACATGGGCCATGCATGTTGGATCTGGGCGCTGCTAGATAGGGGTGCTGGAGCAGAGTCTGGAATGGACTGCTTAGATTGAAGTGCTGATACCTGAGATTTTAGATGCAGACCGATATTTGTTTTTTTGCTGATATCGGACTGATATCGGATGTCAATATTAGATCGGGACATCCCTAACTGCATCTGAGGGCTGGGCGACAAACCAAAAAAACAAAAATTTACAGATACCGAAATTTACAACAATAACTGACGTCATTTTGCCCATATAGTATATTTGGTGTCAAAAAAATAAATAAAAGTTGGTGTTGGATGTGTGTAGGTAGGCTATGGTCTCATGTCCCTGTAAGATGCTGTCCTACATCAGAGACGTGACTCCACCCAATCCAGTCTGTAACAAAGAGGGAAAGACAGGTGAGGAGATGGAGGACGGTTCAAAAGTTGTAGCAGGTGGAGCATCAGCTGAAGTAGAAGAAGTTGATGTGGGAAGGGGTGAACAGCTTGTGGAGTGGAGTAGTTATCGTCCATTTATCGTTATCAAGGTGAACTGCTCAATATATTGTGATATTGATTTGAGGCCATATCGCCCAGCCCTACTGCATCTATTTTGAAGACCTTTTTCTTTGCAGTGCCGTTAACTTGTGATCGAACTACTCTTAATTTTGTTTATATCCTCAAGAAATGAAGCCAGTCTTTAAAATAATCTCCCATCAACTTGAATATGTTGATTAAACTCAAGATGTTCAGTCTAGCTTCTCTTTGAATCATGAGTTTTTAAGATTCCCCTTATTACTTCCCTTGCTGAATAAGCACATCAGCTGAAAAACCTCCCACTTTAATTAACAAATAGAGTAATTAGCCTCTTAGCTTGTGCCTTCCTTTAACAGTGAAACTGCACACACTACATTGTGGTCATGCTCCAATGAAGAGTCCACTAATAATCAATAAATAAGCAGGTCTGGGTTTCTCCCTATCTCACATTTGAGTTAAATTACTATTGGCTTCCGGATGAACTTCAATCAATGCTGTTTTTACCAAACCAATCGACTGATCAGAAAAATAGCAGGCACATTAATCAACAATAGCACAGATGGTCGCAGCTTGATCTTAGGGTCTGAACTCTGTCTACAATCAGGAAATAAGAAGTTTGAAAACTGTGTAATTAACATAAACACAGTCTCTGTCTCTCTTGTTAAAGGTTTTAATAATCCCACAGGATTTTCGTAACATAAATCTTAAAACATCCAATTAGCACCATGAGGACGACGGTAATTAGGAGAGGATGCCAAATCAATATGACAGGCATCTTCATCTGTTCTGTGCTCTACACACTCAAGAGCCCAAACTCCCAGATTCACACTTTCTCTGACTTATATGGAACATCTCTAAGTGTTTCCAGGACAAATCTTGAATAAATCACCTCAGCTCAAAATTTCTTGTTCACCTTATGTTCGGATCGCTGGAGGAGGAGGAGAATTGTGGCATTAGTCATGGCAGTGTAGCGCTCTGTGCTGACACCAATAATACAGTCTGCAGTCGTGCTGTGTAATCGTCAAAGAGGCCTCTGCACTGACAGAACACACATCGATTAGGAGATAGTGGAAAACAAAGTGATAAACAAACCCTGTTCAAGTCAGACTCAGAGATTTATGGCGAGACATCGAGGATGTTACTGGATCTTTACAAGAGCAGACAGCGTGATGTTGTATTTTTATTCAGAAACTAATGCCAATATGGAAACAAAGGGAACAAAAAGAGGCTTTGCACATGCTACAACAGTCTCAATCATCATAAATCTACCAAAGGAACCAGAGAGTAATACAATTTATACAGTAGCTCCACAATAAATCATACATAAGGGAATATACTGTGACACTGTTGATGTGGTTTATTCATGTCCATCACAAAAAGTCATGTGCTGCAGCCTGCATGCACACAATGGTAATTTAGGATGTGTGTTACGCTTTTATGCATTTATTGACACGGATAGGATGGTTGTTAGAGTGTTAGAGTGGAACAGCAAAGAGCTGCAGGATGGAATCAGGTCACGCCATCGAACAGCAAAGTTAAACCAGCACTAGTGATGGGTGGTATGGGCTAAATTTATCATAATAAGATTGGCAATAATGATAAAAGTCTCAATAAAAAATATTACAATTCCAGTCTATATTTTTGACTCATTTTGTTTTGAGAACACCAGTTGGAGTAGTCAAATGCGATACTTAACCACAAGTTTAAGTGGTAGGTTATAGAGAAAACCAATGACTTCAAACAAGTCTCAAATGTGAAAACATTTCCAACATTTATTGAAAACTCTTGCACAGAGTGAACAGCAGCAGATCCACTGTCTGATGTCAGGTATACCTGATGTGGAGCCTCGTTCAGTAACGAGCCGCTCAGAAACGTCTTCTTCATTACTTTCAGCCATGTTTGTTTGTTATTCTGCTCTGTGTGGGCTATGGCTGCGAGTCTGTCACTTGCACTTACGTCATCGACTTGCATTTTTCTGACGATATATCGTGGACTATAATTTATTGCCTATCCCTAATCAGCACCCAGACTAAAGGATATTCTGATGGGTATTTTTCCTTTTTTTAAACATTTTAGATCATTTAATCATCACATTTATCAAGAGAGAAAAAAGCTGCTGTATCCACCTGCTGAAGAGAATATGCTGTATCAAACACTGACACAGTATTATTAGGGAAATCATCCAAGTCTATTTCAAGTCCCAAATAATCCCTGTAGTATTGCACTGGAGGAATCACTGCAGCAACATGACAAAGCCAAAAAACAAAAGTGAGTAATTCAGGGTTATTTTCAGACATCAACACAAACTGCATGTCTTTTCTACGTGGCTCTTGTGAAACTGACAGTCACTATATACAGCTGCAGAGGTGTGCATCTGTGAGGCTCCCCTGTGTCAGAGAAACTCCCCGTCCCCTCTGCAGCTCTGCACGCTTCAGCAGTGTGTGCACTCTCACATGCAACACCCTCACACTATAATCTATAATTCAGATCCTTTTACAGCGTCATCATCCCTGCCCTGTCTTAAACCAACCACAATCTAAGCTACTGTGAGACAAGGAGCTAAGTCCATTCAGATAGAGTATTCCACTCAGCCCATTTAATAGATCTGCTCTCCTTGACCTAATAAGGAAGCAAAAGCGGGGGAGTGCCTTAAGTGCAAACTTGACTGGTGGAGTTCACTGTGCAGTCTGGTTGGAGTATGATGTCTAATCAGTACTGTCAGTTTGAGACAGAATCAGACGGATTTGAAACTGCTGTTAGTAAAAGTTAAGTGAAAGTCACAAGTCACATTTCCCTATATGTGTGCATTAAACAGATTCAAAGCCCCTCTATGATTGGTGGAAGGATGAATCAGCTGAATATTTTCTCAATATGTCAAAAAAAATAATTGAAAAATCACCATCATGGTATCCAAAAGCCCAAAAGTGACTTCATTAAGAGAGAGACTTTGTTTGAAACCAGTTCATATTTGAATTGATTGTTTAATCAGCCGAGTCTGACTTTAATTTGAAACTCCACTTACTGACTCAATTACTCCTCTCTTGTTTTCCCAAACTGCAGAAGTGAAAGCTAACTGAGGTGAACCATGGAGGACTTTCAGTAGCACCAAGTTTGTTCCCAGTTCCCCATGAAGAAGAAGAACATCGAAGAACTGGAGTGTCGCTTACTCTTCCATTTAGACAGACGGACCTTGATACAAGCTTGTTACCATGTTGGGGAACGTCTGATCAGGATCTGATTAGTCATAGGCTTAATCTTCTAAATCCTGTCACTGTGATTATGGCCCTTTAAGCAGCAGGACGAGGCAGGTGCTGCCGTGTGTGCTACAGCCACCCTTCTCCAACACCTGGTCAACACCTCAGGTTTACTGAATGATGATCATGTGTGTGTACTAATAACAATAATGTATTACAATAAGCTAAATGAAGGATCAGACCCTTGAAACACTACAAAGAGGGAAATGAATTTAGCCAAGACAGAGAATTTTTATCCATTTTTATTCTTTTGTTTTTGCTTTAAGTCACGAAATGGTGCGGCACCTCAGTATATTGCTGACCTTATACATGTCTACGCCTCCGCGAAAGCATCGAGATTCATGGATCAGCTGCGTTTTGTCATGCCAAAAAGTAGACAAAAGACCAGGGGGGACTGTGTTTTTTCAGTGGTTGCTTCTCAGCTATGGAATGAGCTAACCACCCATATCAAAATGGCCCCCACCCTGGATACTTGAAATCTCATTTAGAAACTCATTTTTACTCCTTAATACTGCATGAGAGCTGTGTGGTCTTTATCTTTTATTGTATTTTTATATTTCCTTTTTTTCTTTTTGCTTCTATATGCTCTTAATTTAATGTATTTTAACTTAATTTTAACTTAATTTTATGTTTTTTATATTTTATCTGTTGGGCAGCACTTTGGTAACTTTGTTGTTTTTAAAATGTGCTATACAAATGAAGGTGGATTGGATTGGATTAGATTTCATTAACGTCAAAAAACTCCTCACAGAAGCAAAAGTGACAGAGGACAAGGAAACAGAAAAGGACATAATTAATGTAGTATTTTCTACAGATGTGATTTTTGTAAGAGCCTGTGAATGTAGCATGGATGTTTCAAGATCCAGCTGGACAAAGAGGAGCCTTCAGCTTCATGAAAGCACAATAGCAGTAGTCTGTAAAAGTAAGAGGAAGTGGCAGACATTCTTGCAATGCCACAAGCTGGAGTGAAATGTCAAAAACTTTTAACGACTTCAACACACTTGCTGGTCCCACGAGGGCTGAAGCTCCCTGAGACAGAATCCATCCTTGAGAAGGCTTGTTCTAATACCTGCCCTCTGACATGAAGCTCCTCATCGTTTGTATGAAACTGATACCGATGTGGATACATTTCAAATTAAACCTGCTAATAAATCAAACAAAATTTAGCAGCTCTTCCCAGAGAAAACAGAAGGAAACTTCTTCTATTGTTCTGTTTGGTGGGTTTAACTACTGTTAGGACTGATACAAAGAAAATTGAGGAAGTAAAGGAGGAAGTATTTCAAAACAAACTGAGATACCACAACAAACTATTCTGGGATTGGAGCACAATACGGATGTCAATTTATTGATTACATTACGTGCCCAAGTATTGGTGTGTTAAAAATGGATTTAAGGCGTTAAACATGATATAATTTGGTACATATGTGTTGATTACTTCATGGAGAGAGGTTGTAAAAAGCTCAACACCACACACACTGCAAATTAATTATAAAACTGCATTTCTGCAACATGCCGCCTGATTGATTTTGCCGATGCGTGACATGCAACAAAGAATTGTTAATGAAAACGAGCGATCCCGCGGCTCAGTTTCCTCATAACGTTTCCATATTCGTGAAATGTGCGCACAAGCAAGAAACACTTTCACTTCTCTTTTCTACCATTCACGCTCCCCCCCAAAATGCACCCTCAGCTCAATCACACACACACATACACACATGCACACACACACACACACATACACACAAGAGCTGAGTCTGACTCATTTCATGCTCCAGAAAAGCAACAGTATTTTGGGGAAGAGGTTTAAACTGAATCAGAGTTAGATATAGACGATCAAAGAGATGCTTTAGGTACAAATTTAAAAAGGCAGAGTTTAATACTTCAAAATGAACGTCTGCCATTTTCGAGATTAGAGGCCATTTGCTCATTTCAACTAAACTCAGGAGCCTTTTATGAAACAAACTGAATAAATAACTTGTGATTGGAGGTAAAGAGAGATTCAAGTTACCCGCCCGTGAGTGGTATGGTCGAACACTTTACATTTGCAGTTTCTCACAGTTTAATAGAGCTGATTCGGATCAACTACTTGATCATTTTATGAGTCATAACACAGAAGTTTGCTTAACTACTTCCTTTAATCTTAACCATTGAAGCTCACAGTTGGGAGTAATGTTGCTGATAAAAAGTCCTGGTCAAAAGTACACACTCTCTTCTTTTTTGATACTTATTTTGACATGACTGCCATGCTTTCTTTTACGACATTTTACTGATTCTTCAGTCAAGTGAAAAGTCAAAGTCTTCCTTTGTGTAAAAACATCAATTATGCAGGTGACAAACATTGGCATTAAGGGCATCACTGATGCATAAAACTGTTATCTGCAATCAGGGATGCGCACTACACAAAGTGATTTCAATGTTAAAGGGTGAGTAATTTGTTATATTTGCTTTCACAGCATAAAACAAACAGGATACTGAGACCACGTCTTTTCTTGTGTTTTTGAACACTTTATGTTCAAACACCGTGTACTTCCTGTGATCGTTTAAAGTGAGCTATCAAACCTTCATGTTTCCTTGCTTCTTTAAAAGGATAACATTGTGAGGGCTTTTATGAGCTTTAAGCAGGCTGGCACCGAACCAACCACATGCTTCTGCTCTAGTCACCTGTAATAAGAACAATCTGCTCTGCTGAAATGTCTCTGAATAAGAGGTTGAATCCCAACAGGCTTTGGGGCTTTTGTTGCAGAATATGTGCTGAAACCTCAGGGGGGGACGGCGAAAAGTCAAATTTGTCCTGCAGGGATCAATAGAGTATCACGAATGAAGCGGTGACTATCATCTGTCCTGACATGGGTCAAGGAAGAGCAGCGCAGAGCTGTCTGAGGGACCGCATTAATCCCTCTATCTGTGCGCCGGAGCTCTGTGAGATCTGAGAGGGATGAAGGAAATAAACTTGAGATTTCAACACCTAATATGTCAAGCAGCGCTGCGAGACCCCAAGAAAAACAGACTGATAAAAATAACAGGAACAAACAATCACAGATCACTTCCTCACAAATATATGAGCTGATGCTTGTGCGCTTGACACAAACAGCTACAGCAACATTAATTGCATCACTCATCATCACAGTGGTGTAATATGATAAAGCATAGTGGTAACTGTGCCTCTGTGATAGGAAAGACGGTCATGTTTATGCTGTCTCCACATTCAGCCACCCACAACATCACATTATCGACCAGCACTCTACATTGAACCAGGTTTGCTGTTCTCCCCTCTCTGTTGCATTATTAAAGGGGGCCCAACAAAAGCAGACTCATGTTGTCCCAAGATTGTGTTACAGGGTCCTCAAGGACAACAATAGTCTGAATTTACAACTGGGTAATAATGCGTATCGATCAGCAAGGCGGCGTTTTGACCGTTTACCTGAGCGCACAATGGCAGGCTGGATGGATGTAGAGCTTGTGTGACATCTGTGAGCAGAGAGCAGCACATCTCTGAAAAGTAGGCTCTTTTTTTTTTCTTTTTTTATTCCAACAAGACAAACTGGACAGAGCCAGTTTATCCCGCGCTGCACATATTACATCATCTAGGTAGAGCTGGGTATCACACTGCAATACTTTTTCAGTACTCACTGTCTGTTGTGCCCATATTGGGCACTGTCAAGAGCTGAAAGTTGGCACTGAATACTTGCTCAGGTCCTGGAAGAGAACATATTTGTTAACTTTGGACAGTGGCATGTTACCTCTCTTTGTGTTGAAAGTGATGCATACTGCAAATTTAGCAACATTTTAGAGATGTAATAGTTTTTTTAATAAAACCTGATGATACTTGTGAGGAAGTGTTTATGTAAAGGAGCCAAATATCATTATGAGACACACTGTGATTGATACCAACACTGTCTTTAAATATATGAAGAGGCATAAACTCGTTAAGCCAATAACAGATTATGAATTTTGTATATATATTTATAATTTGGGCAGCAGAAATTGGCAGCTTTACATGAGTCATAGTCCTCAAGGAGCATATCTCAGTCTGGAAATACTTTGATTTCTAATGAATTTTGTGCTTAAATGTCTTAGCTAATTAAACAAGTGGGAAGAGCAATTATCTGCTTTACAACTCAGTGTCAATACAGCAAAAATGAGGCACTCTGAATCCAATATTTTAACATCTCTCTCTGTCAACTCTGAAAAAGACTTGAGGACACCTTCAGGTTCCTCGGGCCTGGTCTGAAACTAAATCCAAAAGCTGTCACCTCTGCTGGTTACAGCAACATCATTTTAAGAGAGCCCTCAGGGACAGAAAACAAGTCCTCAGTCCTGTGCTGCTCTTTAATTTATTGTGGATTTTACACGACTGCAAAGTCACAGGCTGACCTTCAGTTAACAGGAGGCTGACTGATATCGTGGAGCAATTCTGTTGAGTGAGAGAAGTTGGCCAACTTTCAATTAGTTCGCGTCTCAACACAGGCTGCATAATAAGCAGGATATGGACTCTAATAAATGGAGATTATGTCCATCAATAATCCTCGTATGGATGGGGGGCTGGCTGTATAATGGGCCCACAGAGGAAGAGATGAAGCTCGTGTAAAAAGGTGAAAATGTCAGTGACGCATTACGTTTACATCATCTAAGTCAGAGGTAGAGTTAGCTGCCTGCGTGCGTGGCTGCTTTATTACTCCACTACAGCATCCATGTTTCCAGGTGTCCTGTATCATCACAAAGCCCCCCTAGTGAGGCTGGGACATGTATGTTTTCATACAGAAACACCTTATATCTCTGTCAGGGTAACAGCAGCTAGCTAAATCAGCAGTGGCTGG